ATAATGTTTCACTAGACAGGTTCACCCGGACAGTGCATAGCCAAATTCTATGAGCTTGAGAAAGTGGCACCAACTGTCGTGATCTGTTTGATCTCCCTCTCAGGGCACGATGAGGAGCATACAATGGTCACCTAGACATGAGTCTTGATGATGTAAGTCCTCATCCCCCTTCAACCCAACTCCGTACAATCTAAGTAGGTCTCCGAAGATCTCAGCGATTTGCCAACCGAGATCATGATGGGTAACGAACTTCATCATCTGTTGAGGAAGAAAGGGGGGGATGGGGGGGAGAGGGTATTTGTACCCCCCGTCTGCTAGCGTGATCACCGGAAACAAACAAAGCCGGGTAATGGAAACACATGGAATCGTAAGCGAGAGATCTGAGCCCTTCATCAAGCTGCGGTGGCAAGTGATATTATTTTGGTCTTGGCAGGCAATTAGGATGGGAATCAGTGAGCTTGAAATGGCGATTCTGGTCAAACATAGCTGTCTAGTAGCTCTTTGCAAATCATATCCTAGCTTGACATAGCCATAGAAACCAATTGAAATTGCTTGACTTCCCTTTATCTCAATTGATCCGCTGTGCTCTAGTACCCCTAGCAGTCCTGCCGCCTTGCGTTCCTGCCAATCTCATTGTGAGTTCTCCCAGTCTCGACTGCTCAGTTCTGAAGGCTTAGCTGCAAAAGATGGTTGAAGCCCCATAGTTCACTCATAAGCGTTTCTCCTCTCGCTCGAGGACAGCGCTAAAACCTCATCGCTGATTCGTGTACAAGTGCCTCTGTAATCATGTTCCGGATCCGTCGCCCAGTCCGAGTTTTGAAGCGCCGCTCTTTTCACGGAGAGACCATATTCTTTCGGGGCGGTGGGAAACGCGTCCGCCTCTTCAAAATCGTACAACTCGCAATGCACTTGCTTGAGCAGGAGAAAGCTCAGTTCAGGATAGCAAAAACCTGGCAGAGAAGCCTGGAGGTAAGAGATCCTCTACCGATTATCATAGCATCCCCTTTCAGCCTGGTTCTTCACTTCTGAGCATTGTCATAGCCTCTGTTTTCACTCTTTTTTCACTCTTGCTGACCAATGTAGCGGCAAATTCGGAGTGTATACGGTGATCTTGTGGAGGCGGAGGCAACTTTGAATTGGGAGTACGGATAGGTGTCCCCCCCGCCCTCCCCATCCATGGGATAGCAGGCTATTGAGTATATACCAGTGGCACTAGGTGGAGGAGATTCGACGCTTTGGGAGTGGCGGCTGCTTGCGGCCTTGTTAAGAGGAGAGAACCTTGGGTTGCGGTGCACCTGTCGATGAAGAAGCTGACGATTTCCTCACCATCGAGGCTTCTCGGCCGAGATTGGGTACAAGTGCCATGGAACGAGCATTGTACTTCCCGTCGCATGGAGTAGAGGTGTTAGGAGTAGTCTTGCGCTGGCTACACATGCAATAAAGCAAGGTACCGTTCCGTCTTCATGCTGAACAACTCATCAGCTAAACTAGACTCAACTTTCCCACAACCACAAAGGCGTAGAGCGAGAGCGAATGCGCAGTTGAAGACTTAACAAAGTAGACAAGATTATGTTAAAACAATTTTTTGGAAGTCCTCAACACCTAGTAAGAGTTTCATATCGAATTTCTCATTCAGCAATATTGTATATGCTTTCTTCAAACACGTTGTTCTTGGACTGCGCACTCGCCTCTGCCCCATCTTAATCATCAGCTGTTGCTTTCTCGCAGCCTTTGTAACACGCTTTGCTGCCAGTAGCCGTACCCTCCTGCCTCTAGCCGCAACCCCCAAGCACGCCAAAACTGTGATTACCGAATTAAATCGCCCCAAAAGGCCCTTCGGAGCTCAATTCTGCCTTGTTCACTTAGCCGAAGTCCTTGAATCCACACCAAAGCCGGTAAATACATGCCAAACTTCCATTACGAATCCTGCGAGGCTTCACATGTCGTCAACAAAGGCTCAGCGGCTCGGTAGCAAGCGATGATGGTGCCGGGTCGTCAGAGCGTCTGTGACTAAGGCAGCGGGACGGTCCTCCGCCCGAGGCAGATAATTTCAACATCAGGCCGCCAACAGAGCACCCCCATGCAACGTCAACCACCTGTTCATGAGCAGTATCTGACTGATACTCGGGCCTTCATATGATCTTTCCGAACATCCGAGCACTTTCCCGGTGTTGCAGTGACCTAAATTGGGTGATCTGTGAAGGCATGTCGTTGGGGTGGTGGCGATCGCGTCAACCGCGGCTCTGGCCTTCGACGACATGCCTTGAGCCCAGGAAGGAAGCTGTAGCTTCTTCAGGGCTGTGAAAAGCTTCTCCTTAGTCTCTGCATGCTCCTGATACCCTGCTTTGATGTCCACGTCCTTGGATACGTCTTGGTGCAGTGCGGAGCTGAAAGTCACGTGATAAATGCCAAGCCTTTCTCAGGGGCTTGCCTTTTGTGGGAAGGAGATTCTTTTGCTCGACAAGAAGCGTGACACGAAAGCAAGACAAAGGGGCAAGGCCCAAATACATGACGTGAATGATACTTCAATGTCTAGAGGGACGATCAATGACTCGCGATACTCAAAACCTGCGGCTCCACAGAAGCACTTGAGATTGGTGCTACGATCATGAGGCAAATTCTTTTTCTGAGACCAATTGCGCATTGGTGGTCTGAAGACAAGCAAAGATAAGGTGAAAGGGAATTCAGAGAAAAATGAGAAGAGATACTTCCTCTCGGATCAATTGCAGGCCATGGATTGTGACAATTTGCTTGATCAGGTCCTTCAGTGCCTTGAGCATCGAATGAAGCTGGTCCAAATTGAGGTATAGAATCCTTGGAAGACATGCAGAAGGCCGTCATCATCTTTTCGACATGAATGCTTCTTTGCCCAATAGATCTCGCATATGTGTTTAGGACACACGAAGTACCCCATAATCTCGTGGAAATGCTGTGTATTTCTTACAGTGGCTATTAGGGTACTTTCGGCTGAAACTTTTCATCCAGGGGGAGCAGCGGATGCCCTTAGGCTGACTCCAGGATAGGAGTCTAGGGCGCTCGAATCCTAAGGAATAGACACGACGCCAGACTATTGATTTGTTGAAACAAGGCCTGTCGACCCTTGTCTATTCGATTCCCAGGAATTGCTAGCCCCCTGAAATGTGTTTGACATGTATGTACTAGACACCGATTTGGAACAATTTGACCGAAGTTGCGATTGAGGATGAGGTGGCAGGCGCGATCATCGGGCTTTCGGTGCTCGAGTAGGGACGATACTTCGATGTGTAGTTGACTGCTTGATCGCCACATTAGCTGTCCAGCTTCAATGCCCTAGGTAGTACGGTGGCTTACATTGTATTAGCCTAAACAAGGTGCAGTCCTTCAAGTCGAAACATCCATGAAGCTAGTAGAGGAATCTCAGTGACTGGAGGTTTTTCAAGGTTCCACGCATGTTGTCTACTATCGAAAGCAAATTTGAGAAAGATCATGGTATAATATGGTTTCTTCACGATCCTCCCAGCAAGCTTTGCTAAGGTGGAGCTGCCATAGTCTGATTTGATTGTGCTTAGAGTCTCGCAAACGTAGCAGGATAGCTCCTTTCAGCGTACCGATGATGAAGTGAGACCTAAAGGAGTCGACGACTGATGATGCTACTGGCTGCCCATCGTTGAGGCTGTCATAGCTTGCTGTTTCGTTTCGAAATATTGGTCGGTCTCTTTGAGCATTGATCTCAATGGCCAATATCGTAGTTAGTGGCTCTTTGGACCTGCAGAATACAGCGAAGACTAACAAATATTGGCCCAGCTCGAGATGGTATGGTTCAGCGACAGGTGGGCTGACCTTCGAAGGTCTTCGTTTTTGTTGACATTAGCATCAGGCACAATCCGCACGCTGAATGAACATACTTCCGGGACAGATGTTAAGAGACTCTTAACTTGAGTTCAAAGCTGAATGTTAAAGTAGACCCTGATGCGGTACTTGCGGCGATTTCGAGCTGTGGAGACGTCTTTCCCTTTGCCCAACAATGTATAGGCTACATGGCGCAAGTTTGGTACTGGTGACTGCTTTGGTGGGAGTCTCGAGTCTAGATGATTCTCTCTACTTTGCAGTCATTCTGCAGCTTGAAAGCGCGGTCGTGAGACTGTAGGTGAAGATTAGCGGAGTCCAAGAGAAGCGTCCAAACCGTGAACTCTAAGGGCCCCGAATGAGAAGCGCATGCGCTCCCACAAAGATCATTCCAGTAGCTATCATCAGTGTACTTGATCATTATACCCCCCAAGAATTCATGGGAGAAGTTGGCCTTCACGAGCCCAGTCAGGAGCTCAAGATTTGGTGAGCAAAGTGGACTGGACGTTGTCAAATCAAATCTCTTTGACTTCTGACGTTCACCGAGTTATAGCATCAGCCACTGACATGTTTACAGCATTCAGAAGCTCTATATAGAAGGTAGAGTGGAGGGGGAACGTTGTTGGTCCTGGGGACAGCCGCAACCAAAGACCTGGAAGCCACCCGCCGCCGCAGCACAAAGTCTAGCAGGACCACCACGACGGAGCCAGCGAGTCCACGGGCCTAATTCCACGACCCACAACGTCAGTGATGCGTTAGAGACGGGATGCAGGAACAAGGAGGTCGATCTGGCTTGCACCATACCTCAAGCAGTTTAGTAGATGATAGACCGACAAGCTCCTCGCTTCGTCGACGCGCGAAGTCATACAGACGTCAATCCTCGAGTCCTTGCGGCAACTTGCAGCTTGCTCAACTTCCTGGGCCATCTGAGATTTATGTGCGCATGATGATTGTGCTGTGAGTATAGCTGATCAAAGTCAAGAGCTGATCCCGACGGGGCATAATGTTAGCACAAGATGAATGGCGGAAAGCGTCAGACGTCTCACCCAAGATTGCATTTCTTTGACACTACACTGTGAGGATTACCGCTGCCTACGCTAGTCCACCACCACCTCCTCTACCTCTTCCATCCTCATCTCTATCCTCAGACCACCTGCACACCAACATCAAGAAGGATGTCGCAGCGTGCCACTACGTCTTACGAAAGCCCCCAGGCGGACGCAAGCGGAAGTGTCCTAGAGATGCGCAAGCAAGCAGCGGACAACGCTGAGTTCCTCCGTGATTGTCTTGCAGAGCAAAAACGTACAGTTACAAAGCTTCCATCCATCCAAGAACATGCAGAACCTCATCCAGCTGCACCTGGCGGGCCAGCAAATCCGATGGACCGCCCGAAGCATAGTGTATGGCGTCAAATCCTTCGCCTTGATGAACTTATCACCTGGTTCAACTTGTGCTGTGCATTCATCCATACGCTTCAATGGCTCGTTGTGCCTCTTTACTTCATCAACAAGAAGTGGTTCTATCGCGGTATGGATTACACAAGACAGCAATTTGGCATTCTGATCATCACGGTCACTCAGTGGTTCAGTCCTACAGTAGTTCGCGTAAGCGGAGACTCTTCGGTACAACATCAGATAATTCGGACATCCGATGGTCGCCTCGAGACTCGCTTTCCAGAACGCATGATCTTCCTAGCAAATCACCAGATCTACACTGAATGGCTATATCTCTGGTGGATCGCATACACAAGCAACATGCACGGCGCAATCTACATCATCTTGAAAGACGTGCTTCAATGGATCCCCGCTCTTGGCCCCGGAATGAAATTCTTCGGCTTCATCTTCCTAGCACGCAACTGGACTAAGGATAAAGCGCGGCTTCTCTATCGTCTACAGAAACTCAAACAGCCTCAACGCTACCCTGGACAGAAGCCTCCTAAGCTTGACCCGATGTGGCTCCTGATCTTCCCTGAAGGTACTAATCTCTCCGCAAATACTCGCAAACGTAGTGCTGCCTACGCTGCAAAAGAGAACATACAAGATCTCGAACATCTCCTTCTTCCCCGCAGTACTGGGCTTTTATATTGTCTTCGCGAACTCAAAGGAACAATTGACTGGGTTTATGATTGCACAATGGCCTACGAAGGTGTTCCGTAAGTTCACTCTGTTCCCCCTGTCGCGATGTAACGCTACTCAAAGCTGATCACTGCACTTTGTCTAGCCGTGGCGGATACGCGCAGGATCTCTTTACATTACGCTCGGTCTTCCTCCAAGGGCGCCCGCCGAAGTCCGTCAATATGTATTGGAGGCGTATCAATGTCAGAGATATTCCGATCGAGGATGATGTCGCCTTTGGCCAATGGCTCATGTATCAATGGCTAAAGAAGGAATCTCTAATCGAGCACTATGTCCAGCATGGCCGCTTTCCCGCCATGCCACGCGGGAAGGGCCATATTGAGACAGAGGTAAAGCTTGCTTCAGCCCTTGAGATCAGTCAGATCTTTGTTGCTTCGGTCGTTGCGATGTTGCTCGGCCTGTTCGTCGTCATCTCTAAGACCTAGGCGCCACGAAAGTGGCTGATATTGAGCGTCGGGCGCTGGATATGGGGATTACAGAGAGCTTTGAGCTCTCCATACTATAGGCAAGGCCTATAATGACTACATAAAGATACCACGATAGCTATTTCAAATAGCTAATGCGAGCATGAAAAATTCTCTAGTGAAGGCTCTCAACCCTGTTGCATCTTATCGCTTATGTAGTAGTGGCCTCTCTAACTCTACTGCTTTATGTACATGGTATAGGCGTGAGGCAAGGCTACTGCAAGAGACTGAATGTAGTGCCTACCTAACCATGGCAGTCTCCCTTATTAGTCGCTGAAAGCTGCGAAAACCGCTAATCTCGCTATCATTCACCTCTATCGCAGCTTGCACTATATACATAACCTCTCCGCCGCCGGCTACCCATTCAAAATCTGCCTTGCCGGTCTGACTTCCTTCTCTCAACTCTCTCTTTTCGGCCGAAAACGAGGCGGCGAGCTGATGTCTTGGCAGTCGGAGTTAACGGACATACCATGATCAAATGGGAACCTTCAACCAAAAGGTTTTATGATCGTTACCAGACGAACTTAACAATAAGAATCCGTGTCATTCAATACGGGTGATACCGCTTAACTCTCACATGTCTTTCATGACGTGACACATTGCGTCACGACCATCGCCTGGTCAAAGGGGCCTCTGCAACTCTATGCTTCCTCCATTCCAATGGCTCCATACGCCAACGGACTTGCAAATGGCCAAGTGCGCCAGCTGCCTAGCGACCCTGCATACAAGAATGATCGCTTCTCGGACATCCCTTCTACCCTAGAAATTCAAGTCTCCGGCGGCGATGCAGACGAAGCTGTCGAGATCAGCCTGGAGAATCTCTTCGACGACCCCACAGAGCTTTGCACTTTACTCGAGAATGAGAACGCCGAGAAAAGAGCATGGATGATAGTCGCATTAGCTTACGCTCGGCAACGAAAGATAGACCTTGCAATAGATATTTTGCAGAGAGGGTTGAACAACCTGAACACAAGTCATGGGCACAGCTCGAAGGAGAAATTGGGCCCGCTGAGCCTTCTTTGCTGGATGTATCTTTTGAAGAGCAGGGTTGCCCCCCGAATATCCGTCAAAGAAGGAGCAGAAGCAAGTTCCAAAGAACTCTGGCTGCAGGCTGCGACGGCGATCATCAATGAGGCGGGTCGAATAAATCCGGCGTTTCCACCCTTGTATCTGGCACGAGGCGTGCTCTATCTCCTGCGCACATCACTTCAGCCTCCCGCAAAAACTGGTGCTCCGGGAAACATCGAGCATGTGGAACGCGTGGAGTCACTACGACTGGCGCAAAAGTGCTTCGAAGATGCTGCGAAGGTGTCAGGCGGCAAGAATATGCTGGCCGTGATGGGGATAGCAAGGATACAGTTTTCGCTTGGTAAATATGCAGACGCGCTGTTAGGATATCAAGAGGTGTTACTCAAGAAGCCACAACTTCAGGATCCGGATCCTCGAATCGGTATAGGGTGCTGCCTCTGGCAACTTGGCTACAAAGAAGAAGCACGTGAAGCCTGGGAGCGATCTTTAGAGCTGAATCCTGAATCGAAGATTGCGACGGTCTTGATTGGTCTCTACTATCTCAACCATAGCTCCAATTTCTCGAGTAAAGACCCAGAATTCGCCCCAATCTACAAAAAAGCGATGACAGACTACACACAGCGAGCCTTCAAGCTGGACAAGGAAATGCCTCTCGCGTGCGCGACTTTTGGCGGCTATTTCACCCTGCGAAGAGCGTGGCCTACTGTTGAGACGCTAGCTCGAAAAGCCATTGAGCAAACAGATGTCAATGCAATTGCCAGCGATGGCTGGTATTTGCTCGCTCGAAAGGAACATCACCAGGACACTCCGGATACCACGAAAATCACGGATTACTACGGGCGAGCTGACGCTGCAAGAGGTGGCGGCGAGAAAGGCTTCACACCAGCACGTTTTGGCATAGCCCAAGCCTTGGTCATGCAAGGTGACATTGACGGCGCAAAGTTCAGGCTTGATAAAATCATACAGTCATCGAAGAGCACTGAAGCGATGATGCTTCTAGGTGCTTTGTATGCTGAGGAAGTCTTTGCTAGCGCAGCACTTGGTATGAGAGATGATAAAGCGACCGAGACGAAGAGGGCCATCGCACTTCTCGAAGCTGTTCGTATTGCTTGGAAGGATCCTTCGAAGAAGCTCACACCAGATCTGTCGGTGCTTGTGTACCTCTCCAAGCTATATGAGCTGGATCAACCTGACAAAGCTTTCCAGTGCTTGCAACAAGTGGAGAAAATGCAGGTCGATGATCTTCTGGAAAAGGAAGGGCAGTCTCGAGAAGATGCAGACCAAGCGTACATATCGAGCCTACGCGAGGAACTTTCTCCACAATTACTCAACAATCTTGCTTGTTTCCAATACCAATCGGAGAGGTTTGACGGAGCGCGAGAGTTGTTTCAGTCGGCTCTCAATGCTTGCATCAAGTTTGGGGAAAAGGATGATGCCACCGATACAGACGCTCTGGTTACAACCGTAAGCTACAATTTAGCAAGGACTTATGAAGCCTACAACCAGCTCGACGAAGCCCGTGCGGTCTACGAAGGCCTACTGGCCCGACATGACGATTATACGGATGCAAGGACGAGGCTAGCTTATATCGAGTTGCGGCAGAATCCAACTGAAGACGGCCCCAAAGCCATTGCGGCGCTCAACGAAACTGACGGTAGCAACCTGGAGGTACGAGCTATGCTTGGATGGTACTTGAGCAAATCGAAGAAGCGCGCTACGAACGTGGCAGACGACCAAGAACAAAAGCATTACAAAAAGACTCTATTAGACTACGACAAGCACGACCGCTACTCATTGACCGGCATGGGAAACCTTCACAGCACCTATGCCCGAGAGATGCGAAGATCAACAGACAAAGAGAGGGAGAAACGAAGTAATGAGTATATGCGAGCAATCGGCTACTTTGACAAAGTCCTGCAGCTCGATCCAAGAAATGCATATGCCGCACAAGGTGTTGGCATTTCTTTGGTAGAAGACAAGCGAGATCTTACGGGGGCAGTTCACATCTTTTCAAAAGTCAAGGACACCATCCGTGATTCAAGCGTCCTCGTTAATCTCGGGCACATCTTTTGCGATCTCAAGCAATTCACGCGTTCGATAGAGAATGTCAGTGCTTAGCTGTATTCCTTCTTTACAAGACCTTTGCTGACTTATATTTTACACAGTACGAAGCCGCCCTAAATAAAGACCGTTCTCAGGATCCTCAGGTACTTGCCTGCCTCGGTCGCGTCTACCTACTCAAAGGCAAATCCGAGAAATCTCCCCAGGCCATTCGCACGTCTCTTGAATACTCCCGCCGCGCCCTCACCATCGCTCCATCCCAAATCCATTTCAAGTTCAACATTGCCTTTGTCCAAATCCAACTCGCCCAACTCCTATACTCCCTCCCAGAAACCCAACGGACGCTACAAGAAGTCGTCGACGCCGACAAAGGCCTTGACGAAGCCATCGCAGCCTTTACAGAAATCGCCCAAGCCAAGAACCCTCCTTTCCCCGCCCATGACATCGAACAGCGCGCCAATATGGGCCGCAATACCATGAAACGACAATTAGAGCGGGCAATAAACAGTCAAAAGCAATACGAAGAGAAGAACGTAAATCGTCTGACCGAAGCCAAGAAGACGCGCGACGCAGAGCTAAAGAAACGCGAAGAGGAGCGTAAGAAGGCTGAAGAAATTGCCGCAGAGCAGCGGCGCAAGATCCAGGAGGAACGCCACAAGCTGCTCGAAATCAGCCGCACCCTAGCTGAACAGCGCGCCGAAGAAGAACGACGGAAAGAAGAAGCAGAAATGACTACGGACAGCGAAACGGGCGATAAGATCAAGAGAAAGAAACGCCCGCGCGCACCTGGTGGTGGCAAGCGCAAGAAGAAAGGCGACGGCAGTGGGTCAGAGAGCGAGATCTCTGCCGCCGAGAAACCACGGCGAAGGAGACGGGGGAAGAAGAGCGCGGATACTACGGCTGGAGAGACGGAGGATGATGATCGTGCCGGTGGCAGTGCAGTGGCGAAGAGGGGAAAGAAGAGGAGGAAGTTGGCGAGGAAGGGAGGGGAAAAGAGTGGGAAATTCAAGAGCAGTGAGTTTGTGGGTGAGAGCGACGAGGATGGCGATGGCGATGCGGAGCCTGCTGTCGATGGTGGGAAGAGGAAGAGTGCGACGGGGACTGAGGAGGATCAGGATATGGACGATGCGCCGTCGGCGGCTAGTCGCCCCGGGACGGAAGATGAAGATGACGAGGATGATGTGGGGACCAGAAGAAGGGGCGGTGCGAGGAGGAGGATCGCGGAGTCGGAGGATGAGGATGATGGGGAGGTGGAAGGGGGTAATGTGTTTGCGGATAAGGATATCAGTATGGTGGATGAGTCTGTCGCTGCGACTGGAAGTGCGGTGGCAGGTGGGGATGAAGCAGGCGCAATGGGGAGGGCTGCTGGAGAGGGATTCGGGGCTGATGATGGATGAGAAGCTCTCCAATAAAAGGATGTGAGCACCAAAACGTGCCAGTATTAGTATCATATTTTGTAGAGGCAATTACTACCATCGGAACTCTACGATTGGACTATGCCTTTGAAGTTGCAAGTCGCGTCAACTGTCCTTGGCTCTTGATGACGATGGGCATGATTCCTCAATGCTCATGATCCCGAATAGAACGGCGACAGCATCAAAACCCACGAGACCAACGTGAAGAAGTTCTATGATTAATCTTTATCTACACTACATCCCATCCTCCTCCACGCGTCTCTGATCCATATGGCGAACGTCATAAATGGACATGAAAGTTCTCAACGCAAGGACTACATCCGCAGAGAATTCTAGGTTACAACGTGGCAAGATGTTCCCAGATGTGAAAGCGACAATTTGCAAATCGACACGTCTTGGTGGTATGGAAGCACATGGTGGATGGCGGTGTGAATCTGTCACACGTGCAGGAGTGAGACAGCCCCAGCTACGATCACGGTGTGTGGCGGTCAGGCAACGAAATGTGGCAGGCCTTCTGGCGGTATGATCGTGCGGCGGTGTGGTAGAAGAATAGTAATTCGTGTGTATGCAGGTATGTATGCAGGTCGTGTTTCGTATATGTTGGAGCTCGAGGCTCTGGCTGGCTCTGGCTGCCTGCTAGAGTCAGGAGGTGGTGCTTTGGCAGACTTGACGACAGGTTGCGAAGTCGTGGCCGCGCATGTTTGGCGGAGTCTAAGTGATTCATGGACTCTCGGTGAACGATAGACACCGAACGTTTTCGATTCTAGAAATCGTCGTCACAGCCATCACCGCAAGCCTCAAGTCTCTTGTTATGGTTTCGGTGGCCCATATCGGCAGTCATTCCGAGACACACTGCCGGAGACTCCGACTGGTACGCTCAGGACCTTGCGCCTCAAGAGACGAATGTAGCAATCATCGCCCACTATTCTTCGACAGGAATGGCAATTCTGTTCGCTTCTGACCTTGGCTTTGACATGGAGATGGAATTTGGAATCTTGTGACAGTTCAGGCGCCTAGTGTAGACTGAATGATGCTTCCATTTGGGCTGGGTCTATCTTCATGGGCCTCATTTGTCGTGGGCCACGATGCGGTCAGGTGGTGTTCGTGCAAGGGCAAAACCATGTCCACATGCGACTTCGACAGCCCCAGCAGGAAGCATGCCTACGCGCGTAGGTCCTCTGGGGCCCACGGCAACCCTGAGGTACAGACTTCGCACTACAGCACTGGTGAAGATGAAGACAATGCCCCAATACTTGCTTTTGGTTTCGGCCTGGTGGGCCTTGAGGCACGCTGCGATGCGCTTCGGAGATGGGCAGATGGCTCGTGAGATCTGGACAGGGAGGTTGTATCTAGATCTATCAGCAGCAGGCTCAAGGATGGTATTTCGGGCTCACTGGCGCATATATCGAATCTGGAGTATCAAAGCGCACCAGAACTTGCTGAAGCTTAGGGCTCGGTAGATGAGATGAAGAAAGGTTGGCCTTTTAGCGAAACTGTCAAGATCGTTTGGTGTACTGTCAACGTTGCGCGAACCAGTCATTTTCCATATCCGTTATTTGTCAATGTGCATGAGCAGGCTGGGCGATTTGGGCGATGAAGTCCGATTGCCGCATTTAGCATACTATTCCTGTGCCCTTGCTGTGGCCGTGGTTCAACGTGGAAATTGAGTTGCACACTTGTGCAAGTCATTCTGCAACTATGGCGCATAAACGCTGTGGCTGCCTGTCAAAGTATCGAGGATCGCCACCGAGTCTTCCCCAGCTTCAGCCCAGAGTAGTCAATGCAGGTACAAGAAACCGAACAGGAAGACGGTCAAAGCACGCTAGAAGTTTCCATAATGAGTTCTGATATGAAGTAAGGAGAATTCAAGATTCCATGATTTGCAAGTCTTTTGGTCATGAAAAAGCAAGAGATCGAGATTCACGTCAAAGCCGATGCAGGTTCATGCAGCGTCCACACAAATGTCCCGTATTCCCAGAGAGGACGAAGTCGTGAGCCATTCCATTGCGATGTTGTCGCTGACTTCGCTCTCAGGGGTTGTACGAACGGGGAATCACGAAAATGAAGAGAGGCAGGCGGCTTTTGGAGGGAGTGTTATAGTATTCGACAGGCCTCTGCTGCGAGGTGAGCACGTAGGATCGTGAGGATGACGGTGCTGGATGACCAGCTCGCACGCAAGCTGCATGCAACCAAGCCAGTAGACTGCATAAGTGCATGGGTGTGGTTCCTGCGCGCATCACAGGGCAGCGGCAACCCACCCAAAGCAGGGTTGCAAAGATTCCATTGTGCCAACGGGTATCCAGTTAATTTCGAAAGCGCTCATGGTGGAGACATGAGTATTCGCGATATAGAACGAATATTGGCGATGTCTGAGCAATTATAGCAGGGAGAATCGGGGGATATTGCTTCAATGAATAGTCGTCGCTTCCTCGAAGTTCATGCGCAAGAATTTCCGGATTGGGCGGCGTCTTTCTCGTCTCTCTAGCAGCGATTCTCTAGGCTTGAGCATTCTCGCGAGTCAATTTCAATAATGCGAAAACAGCAACAGCCAGCGTCCTCTGAGATGGAGGGCGAATGCTAGAATGAGGGAATATAGTGCAAAGATAGTGAAGTTGGAATGCAATAATTATGTCAAAGGAAAAAGGACGCGGCCTATCTCTATCGATCGCTTCCACTGTCCACTAGCCATGTGGACCCAGACTCTTGGGATTCGAATCCATGTCCTCCCTCTCCAGACTTGCACGTAACTGGGATCGCGGGGTCGAGCTATTCCTGCTCGTTCTACGGGCGGGAGCCGGTAAGTTATGGAAACGCAAGGATACGAAGCTTTGGGAAGCTGCCCAGTGCTGCAAGGTACGTGAGTCTATCACACCGTCCCAGCATTCTGGGAGGTTGGGTACTCGCTAGTTGGATCTGCAAGAGCCATCCTGGGAACCATGCGATAACATCGACGTGCAGCAGCTCCAGGAGAAGAGCTCCAATATAGAACTAGCAAGAGATGCGGGTCAAGCCATACGGATTTCTCCCATTCCATCGCATCAGAGAAACGTCAGCCTTCCCGGACAAGTGCGAAAGTGACAGGTGAAGTATCAAAACATCCTCACCCCCGGACCAGTGAGTATTTCTCTGCCAATCGTACTGAGCAAATAAGTACTCAATCATCACCACCTCAGACATCTTTGCGACAACCCTGAATCATCAGCCTCACGGCCCGACAACCAGGCACTGCAGCGGCAATATAGACTATCGGACTGGACCACTCCCGTCGACACGCTTCTCATCCTCATCCAAAACAACGACGCACGGTCAGTCGACGCGTTCAAGCAGGTGCATTGACAGCCCAATCAGCGACGTGTAAGTCTCGCAAATTCCGTTTATGCCTCATCTCGCCCAGCATCATGGTTGTATTATTGCGAGCAACGGGGAGAGTGAATCAAGGTATTTTGGCAACAACAAGCTATCAGGAATAAGAGGGAGCGGCTCGCAGCGTTTTCCGCGTTGATCCTCCCATGAGTTCTGCCTGACGCCGTTGTTGGTCATCAAAATTGCAAGAATTTCATTGCGCGTTGGTTTCCACAATCAGAAAATTCGCGGCCGTTTTCTGTCGAAAGTTTCTAATTCTTTGGTTAATTCCAGGGTGGATATTTACCAGGAGGGTGTGGTTGTGCCGTGCCGCCCATCGGTACTTCGAGACAGGTAGGCCAGGCATTTGTTCGTGCTGTGCCTGTGCCTATGGACATCGTGTACTGACGAGACGCTGCAGGTCGCACATCCACCTCAGAGTCGATCTCGTGGACCAGCGACGCCGCCCATACCACCCCCATTCAAAGTAACAAAAGAGCACCAAATCGCAAGCTTTGCCGGTCGCACGACTCTTGCATTTCCAGAGGGGATTATCCCAAACCCCTTGGCAAAAAGCTTCCGGCGCAACCAGAGACGGCCCACTCACAGGGCTCGCGCATCGGCACATCGAGTTCTGGTGCTCTTGGTGATCCCTTACCCAAGGAAGCCTAGCTCTCACGCCCATTGATCAATCGCCATCGTTCCAGCCTTCGACCTAGTATAGCGTGGGAAGGTGTGCTTCGAGCCCGGCCCTCCGCTAGGTCCCACATCCCTGATAGCGTTGAAGGCAGTCTCGCAGCTCGGGACCGCGCTGCTGGTAGACCTACGCTAGGGCTTGCCTCGAACCGCGTCCTGTCTCAGGAATCCTGTCAAACAGCCCTCATCTGTCCTCAGGCTTTTTCCTCAACGGTATCTTCACGTCTCCAGTTTCATACTCCTCTTCGCCACATTCCCTCCTCCCTCAACACCCTCTTTGATAGAGAGATTGCAGCTACCCATCAGCTGCTATTCCGGACCTTGATGCAGTTCGTGCGGTCTATAACACACAATCAGGATGCTCGATCCTGGCAGATTGAGAGAAGAGAAGGACAGTGAAGTGCGGAATTCGGAAGGGCATGATGCGGGGCAATTTACAACGTTTGGAGGCAGGGAGAGACCATACTCGGTTCAACCTCCGTCGACACACCACCTCCGCACCATGACCGAGCAACATATACCACGACCCTCCACTATGGCCCAGCGTGGTCGTAGCAATACATCAACCGAGGATTATCCTCCAACTCTTAGGAAGCCTTACCGTCTTGAAGAGGCCAATCGACATTCCTACGACAGACGATCGGGCCCAATGAGTTTTCACACGCGGAACGAACGCTCAGGCAGCTTCTCTCGAAGCTTGAAGAAGAAGGCCTCCAAGCTGTTGCGTAGACCCGAGAGTACTGACAACGACAACGACGATAATTTGACCTCGCTGCGCACGGTAGACTGGTCTTCAGAGCTCGACGACGCGCCTTTCCAAGCACCAGAGTCGTCGAAACCCCAAAACTCCTTGACTGTCCGGTATCAACCGAGCTATCAAGGTAAGCATCCACATGTCAGTGTTGATGAATTCATACTGACATTTAATCTGAAGAAGCGTGGATAAAACAAAACATCTCCTTACCATTCGATTTTCACCATCTTTCAGCCGTCTCGGGTCACGACTATGAAAACATGCAAGATATATCTCCAAATGAGTTCTCAAGTGAGATCGGCACAACGTATCCCACGAGGAACGAACAGGGTAGGATCAGAGCTCTCGACTTGTCTCAGCATGGTTTCTCCTTCGGTCTGTCGCCCACAGTATCAAATTCCCCTCGCACTTCGCGTCCCACAACGCCTAGGCGGCCGTCAGATCTCACCGTCTACGAAAGGAGCGTCTCTCCGCTTCTACCTCCCTCTCCTATCGAAACCCAGTCATACCATTCATCGCCCTCACCTTTCAACAGCCGATCGCCAACCCCTTCTACATCTCTTGCCGCCAGCCCTGAGGTCTCGCCCATTCGACGTGAATTTAATCACAAGATTACCGCTGATCACACCGAACCTTACAGGACCGATTCCCAAGTCAATGAGACTCCTTTTGACTTCTCAGTTCCACATGCCGTGACCACGCCAGACGATGCAGCACATGTGCTCCGGCCCCCACCTTTCGAGATTCAGAGGACCTACCTTAGCAGGGTGATCGAAGAAGACGAGATATCAGAGGGGAGGCGATGCTCAGTCTCCACCATCGTAAGGAGACCTTCTACGTCTGAATCATCCGTGAGGCATGTAAAGTCCTTTCCGAGCGCACAGCAAGCATTTGGGGGCCATTCTCGATCCAATTCGGGCGAAGCATACCGTGAAAGCATTCAGTCCTCTCCAAAGAAGCAGCGTCGGTCCGTCAAGGTCATTCAACCATGCTTTGACGATGCAGAGAACGACGTCCCCTATCAAAAACCCCAGCACCTTTCGGCCACCGTCAAGGATACTGACGGCAACTGGGAAGACATCATTACTTGGTGCTATGATCAACGTGCGGAAGCGGACTGTAACTTCGACTTCACCCGGGCCGCCTCTCCACCGCCGCGCAGCATCACAGACGAGCCGACCAACCAAGTTTCTAAAGCAGCAGGACCGGCATCAGGATTTTCTGAGGTGAACATCTCGCCGTCAACGATTGACCGAATGTCCGCGCACCAGCCCGTACAGTCGCCCAGTCTTCTCGTGAACACAGCTCGCAGCTCGTCTCGTCTATCACACGATACCACTCCTGTGGTGTCTGTGCAGAGCAATCAACGACACTCACACTCCTCCGCTGTATACAAACGGCCAGATAAACGATCATCATCGATCTACTCCGCATCGCCTCCACTACTTCCTCAGCTACATACTGCAACATCCGTTCCAGACTTGCAGCCTCCGTCCGCTATTTCGAATCACTCGTCCTTTGAAGCCTGCGAGGCCATGACTCCAGACGTTGGACCCGAAGCATTGCCACGCTTCCCTCTGTTCCACTCGAATTCGAAGCCGAATTTCTCCAAGCCTGTGGGTCCATATTCTCCACACGTCTCAAATGACATGACACCTCCAGAACTTTATGAAGACCTATGTGGCGAGAAGTATTCGAGAGAATCTTGGCATTATGGTCGCCCGGAGGGATCGATCATCAGCTCCCCTATCAGCAAAAGCAGTTCCCAGGAGAGCTTTTCATTGGCCCGTCGGCATCGAAGCAACAATTCACAAGGCAGTCTGCCAGACCTGATTTCGGGAAGGAACAGCAGAGAGAAAGTGGAGCATTTCCCGGAACAACTTGCTGAAAACGTGAATGGGCTCACAATTGATGATAGCACGCTCCATCGACGCAGCCCGGCGAGTCTAGTGCGAGACGTCGCCCAGAAAAACTTACTAGCCAAGCTGCAAGAGGGAACGATTGAGGACGCTTGCTCTGCGCAAATGCCTCTGCCTCTCCACCCCGCTCTAAGGGACGCTGGTCCAATCATGGGTCCACCATCGTATCCGCCTCGAAAGAGGTCAGAAAGCTCTGCTACCGGCCTCAAGTCCAACCTCAAAAAGAGGTCAGTAAATATCTCTCCAAGAGCGAGCAGAGCAAGCTACGGGCTATATCCCGTCAACGACCGGGGCCCACTTGGCCTTTGAAGGTTCGCAAGCTACTCGACACTTACTCTTAACCTATACGACCTCTAATCTTCGCATTCTATACGGCGCTTTGGTCGCCTCTTCAACATTTCACATCATTCTACTATATCTTTCATCAAATTATGCATACCTGCATTTTGTCATTATACCCCCATCAGTTCAGAACTCACGGCGCTTGATGCGCGACTACTTAAACTTGTACCATGGAAGCCCCCGGGCGAAGGAGGCTATACGACTATAATGTCCTAATGACTTGCATACTAAAAGGCTATTCAAGGCACAGGAAAAGGGAAACAAGGAAGACGGAAAAAGGCAAGGAGTTGGATGGAGACTACAGCGTGCCTTGATGGCATGCTTTGCATGGAAAGGGAAGGGGATGGTCATCCTGTACGCAGCATGTCTCCGGGGTGAGGGCGTACACGAAAGTGCCTGTTGTTGTGTATGCAGTTGTCTCAAAGGAAATCAAACAGATTCTGAAACCCACATCGCTTCCACTTTCTTTCACAAGCCGCGTCGTACTTGTTTCGTCTATTCTAGGCTTTCTGACAAGTGACGAGGCAGCATTATGCCGTGCTCCGACGTTTCATCGGATCTGGGGTTTGTGACAATTCGTGACTGGCGCTTATGGAGGTACGTAGCCTCTAATCTCGATTGCGAGGAGGGGCGCCGGTGGTGGTACCACGGCTGCTGGCTGATGGCAGGGACCGACGCGATATGCAAGGGGCGAAAAGGCGCCGTCCAGGCTCGAACGACCAAGTCCGCATAACTCCGTCTTGGCGGTTATCTCCGGTGTTGATCTTCGGTTGGGCCGACAATACTGACGACGCAGGTCCCCCATTATTGCATCGACAGCAGCACTTACGATTGGATCGATGATCAATGTGCATTCATTGGTAACATTGCCATAGTCTCTTTAATTGCAAAAGCAAGATTGCGCCTTGGACTACCTCAGTACTACCCGACGTATCCACTGCCCCTCCATGCATCAACCAAAATGCATCTCCTTGAACAGCAGTGGGTGAAGGTACAGGAAAAGACTTTCAAGAAATGGTCAGTCAGGCTCTCTCATTACTAGCTGATGCATCGTTCCGCTTACCACATTTCCGCAGGCTCAATAGCAAACTCTCACAGCGAGACATCCACATCAATGACCTTGTCACTGATCTCTCCGATGGTGTTCGTATCCCTCTCCTCCAATCCCCTAGATGAGTCCTCCATATCATTTCAAGAACTCTCGATTGACGCAGGCTATGCTCCTCAGGTCATACTCGTTCACCTCCTCGAACTCCTCTCCCAGACCTCCCTCGGCCGCTACGCCAGCAAACCCAAGTTGCGAGTCCAACGCTTCGAAAATGTCAATACATGCCTCACATTCATAAAATCACGCGGCATTCAGCTCACCAATATTGGTGCTGAAGATATTGTTGACGGGAACCGTAAAATCATACTTGGGCTGATATGGACGCTAATTTTGCGATTCACCATCTCAGACATAGGGGTGGAAGGGCTCACTGCAAAAGAAGGGCTGCTGCTTTGGTGTCAGAGGAAAACGGCATGCTATGATGAGGTGGAGGTGAGAGATTTTGGTGGTTGCTGGAATGATGGACTGGCCTTGTAGGTCTTGCCCCACATGCAGGAACAAAGGCTTCCCAGTGTGAAGAAGCAGGGTCTGACTGATGTGATCCAGCTGTGCATTACTCGACATTCATCGGCCCGATCTAATTGACTACGAGAAATTAGATAAGCGGGACCATAAAGGCAATATGCAATTGGCATTCGACATTGCAAGTAAAGAGATTGGCATCCCCGATCTCTTGGATGTAGAGGACGTGTGCGATGTTACGAAGCCTGATGAACGCTCACTCATGACTTATATTGCATACTGGTTCCATGCCTTCTCGCAGATGGAAAAGGTAGAAAATGCTGGTAGGAGAGTCGAGAAGTTCGTGACAAGTATGCAGGGAGCATGGGGCATGCAAAATTCCTTTGAGCAGCGAGTACGAGATCTTCTAGAAGAGGTTCGCGAGCAGAAGCAGCGCTGGAGAGAGGCAAGTTTCACTGGCACATATGCAGATGCCAAAGAGCAGTCCGTAGAATTCTCAATTTATAGACGAAGTCAGAAGCGGAAGTGGGTCGCGGAGAAATCTGACCTCGCGGCTCTACTTGGAAATATCAAGACCAAGATGAGTACTTACCGGCTGCGCGCTTATGAACCGCCGCGGGAGTTGCGGCTTGAGGTGTTGGATGAAGAATGGAGTAGCTTGTTGCAGTCAGAAAGACAAAGAAGCCAAATCATCAACGAGACAATTCGCGAGTAAGCCCATCCCTCCAGATCCCTCATCCATGGCGCCCAGCAACACAGATACTAACTCAGCCCCAGCATCAAAAACGAGCTCCGCCGCGCTTTCGCCCAAAAAGCCAATTCATTCGCCGAAACACTCTCCACCATCTCCCTCGCCATCGCCGGCCTCTCGGGCGAGATCCCCGACCAACTTTCCCACGTCCGGCGCCTGCACGACAACCTCCCCCGCTCTCCACCTACCTCGAATCCCTGGCCTCGCTAACGCAGAAATGCGAGGAGGCCAACATCGACGAAAACGACTTCACCACCTACACGTACGACGAGCTGTCGTACGAACTCGATCTCGTCAAGGGCGCCGTAAGCGCGAAGATGGGCTTCCTCGAGAACCAGATGGTGGCGAGGGAGATGACGAATTTGACGCCCATCCAGCTGGAGGAGTTCGAGAGTGTGTTTCGCCATTTTGATCGGGATGGCAGTAATACGCTGCAGGAGGCGGAGTTTGGGGCTGCGTTGAGTAGTCTGGGGGTGGTGTTTGATGAGGAGGAGATGAGGGGGAAGTTTGTGGAGGTTAGTGAGGGGCATTCGAGGCGGTGAGTATCTGTCTGATATCCTTCTTACATTTCTTGCTTTCTCTCTTTGTGAGGGAAGGGGACGTATGCTGACGGGAGGTAATGACAGGGGCGTCACATTCGAGCAATTCATCCGCTTCATGGTCGATGTCACTGAGGACCAGAACACAGCCGAGCAAGTCTTCCAGAGCTTCAAAGAGGTGGCTGATGGAAAGGTGAGCAAACCCCCCTCCACACTCTCTTCCACCTCTCACCTTGGCCTCTTGTCCTCTTCTCTTCCCTCCCTCCCCCTTCCCTTCCTTTCCCCCTTCCCTTCCTTTCCCCCTTTCCTTCCTTTCCCTCCCTCACACCCCTACCACCACAATCCCAAAACTAACAAACACCCCAGCCCTACGTAACAGAACTCGACCTCCGCCACTCCCTAGTCCCCGAAGAAATGATCGAGGACCTCCTCACCAGCATGCCGGCGCACAAAGGCCCCGATCTACTCGAGGACAGAGATGTGCCTAAGTATGATTATGTGGGATTTATGGAGAGGATGACGCTGGGGAACGAGGAGGGGGGTGGGGGTGAGCAGAATGGAGGAAGTGGGGGAACAGGTGCGAATGGGCGGTGAATGTTTTTTCAGTTGGTTAGAGAGGTCGGATGGTGGATGGATGGAGGGCAAGCATGGTGAGATTGAGTATGCTGCAATAGAGAGAGAGCGAGGGAGGTCGTTGGATGTGATGATTCGGAGATTTCAAGAGGCAGCATTTTGCAAAGTCTGCATGGTTGGTTTTTCGTGCGTACATGTTGCCGGTGATGGGATAGGACAGGATACGAAGGCCGGGGCCGAGGCCGGGGGCATCAGCGAGGGGTGTTTCTGGCTACCTCGTCCAAAAGGCATGAGATGAGGAGAAGTGACATAAAAGACGTGATGTGTGTATGAACTAGGTCGGTTGGCCGATCGGTCAGCAATTGACTGGCTTGTTGTAATAATTTATGCAGTCGGGTATATTGATGCTAATGCTGCTTCTCCTGACATTTGAGTCAATGTGCCTCAGGCTGCTTTTCAATCCTCTTCTGAATGCATGTTAATTCTTCGATCTCGATGTCTGGACGTGGAGGCATTTGATGTGAACCCAGGCGATGCTATGGGTAGCTTTCTTCGTCTTTCGCTGCTCTTGAGTTCTCGGAATGTTCAGCTCAAAAGTCTCTAGTTCCGCTGGAGTCGTAGATTCCATGCACCGTTCGTGGTGTCTTCACTCGTCGTCTATCTGGGACGAAGTCATAAAACCCGGAAGTCTGCGTATTGAGATTCAAAATACCACGAAGTGAGATCCGAAAGTACCATGGCGGCTGTAGCCAGTCCCTCTCTCTTTCTATCCAATTCCCGAACAAAGTCGATCTCTTGCCAGACAAATTCTGAGGCCTAGCTCTCCTCCCCAAACGGGTAGTTGAACTTCAACAGCCCATTCAATCCCCCAACCCATCCCTCATCTCCACCCTGCGTCCACGGCATCACGCACGGAACACCCCCAACCCAGTCTCTCTCCCCTCCCTTTCCATTCTCTCCTTCCTGCCCATCTCCTTCTCCCTGATGTAAGCTCTTCACCTCCCTCCTCCTCCCAACGCCCTCCCCCCACACAAAGACCTCCCCGCCAACGCCCAGTCCACCCGGTACCTTGACTCCATCAATACTGACGTCCACTGCCTGTTCTCGCCATTCTCCTCCCTCTGCCGTTCCACCAACGACTCTCGTTCCCTCCTCCACCCTCACTCTGATATCCGCCCCCTCCGGTAGAACCAGCGCCCTGAAACTCAGACTTCGTGCACAAATTGGCGTCACACATATTCCCTTCACAAGTGGATGCACAATACTCCCCCCGCGCTGAGCGAATATGCGGTGGAGCCCGTAGGGGTACTGATGATCAGCCCGTCGGCAATGCCGGTTGTGAGGGGTCGGTTGTTCAGAGATATAGTGAGGTGGACAAGGTGAGGGGAGGGTCCGCGGTGCAGAAGGAGCTCGTTAAGGGCGTATTTGCTTGCCCTTTCGCTGGTATCGTTTTCGCGCCCTTTGGTTATTGCGGAGGGAGCGGAGGGGATGGAAGGGGAGAGCGAGACGCGGATGCGGTCGCGGAGGAGGATTCTGGAGCTGCGAGAGGGATTTTGAGAGGCGCCTAAGGCTGGATCCCAGGCTGAGTTTGTATGGCTGTTGTCTTTGGTGGTGGAGAGGAGGGAAGAGCGCGAGGTCGAGGAGCCGGACATGTAGACTTCGCGGAACGCACGTTTGTAGTCAAGGAATTGCCATTCCGAAAGGAAGCCTAGGGTGCCCAGACTGAAGGAGAGGATTGGAGGGACGGAGGGGACGCTGGAGAAGAGAGAGCTGGCATGGAGGATTGTGCCATCACCGCCGAAGGTGGCTATAAGGTCTGTCTTTTCCTGCAAGGAAACGGCTTGTTTGAAGTTGGCGGCATAGATGGGAGGGGCTCTGGGGGTGCTGTAGACTGGGAAGGGAAGGAGCGACTCGAGGCGACGGGCTGACTCAGGCTCGAGCAATATGCGTATGTTGGCGAAGGAGGAGTCTATGTGCCTGTTGAGTGAAGCAGACGTCAGCAGGGACTATATGATTTATGCTTCTGGTCAGCTTTGCATGTTCTCGTGCTCTTGACGTACTTCGCGAATTGTATCAGGGCGTCTGTAGCTTTGGGCGACTTCTCTTTCTGGATCAGGAGGATGTTCCGCGGGGGTGATGGCCATTGCAAGGTCAGGAGATCATTATTAGTCGTCTCTGCGTGTGTGAGTGTGTATTCTGGAGCTTGCTGTAGTCAATGCTCACCTTGGTACCGTGGTTGGATGCGGTCCGGGATCTTGTCTAGGGGTAGGATTTCACGGCGACAACGTGTGGTCGAGAAGCAACGCCCGTGGAGCTGATTTCTCAGCTGTATCAAGGGGCGCATAGTAGCTGAAGGGCCGAGTGATGATGCTTTGCAGTCTTTGCATCGTATTGTAGTCGTTCTAATAGGTTGAATAGGGAAAGTTCGACGACGTCAACTAAGCCTAGACGGCACCAAAGCCCTAGAGCTTTCGGAGAATTTGGACCACTCAGCCCCCAAAGCCCCTAAAGCCTTTAAAAGCAACCTAGCAAATGCTAGAACAAGACAGACATGAGGCACGAAATATGCACACCAGCTTCTATGAGAATATCTTCATCGATTCAATCATTTAGATACATGAGCTCGTCAGACATAGAGCTATGTGATTCACGTTCCCTATCCTTCCATGCTATGCGTATGTCTAAACGCTTTTAGATCACCAAACCCCCTGCTGAAGATTGCCGCCGTAGCCCCCTGAAGAAATGAAAAGAAATGAAAATCCATTCAACATGATAAACCGCCGTGATAATGCATACTGTTCCTTCTGTGCGAAGCTCTTACTGATCTGGACATCATGTAGAAAGACTGGTCGTAGGGGTAGGTGCCTCCTCGCCATTCTGATAATGATAATGATGCACTGTCATGTAAATGAATGTGCGCCACAACGCCCTCGTGGGGTATCATGTCCATTCAAGACCGTAACCTGTCAATGAAAACTCAATCACAAATGCATGCACGTTGAAGTAGAAATTGAAAGTCATGGCTCGACTGCAACTCGGTTCGGATCAATTCGAACTGTCGAGTCCAGGAGCAGATACTGGAATAATTTTTGATGGAGTTCTGGCGAGATGATTGGTGAGTCATTCAACCATACCAGATAACTCATGCTTAACGACTCTCAAACATTGATAGTGATTAGCGAGCGGTTCTGAATTTCAGCAGCTCCACAAGAGACTGGGTGCTGGACGTGCGATGTGTGAGGAATTCGCAGCGGAGGATGTCGTCTGCTGTGGAACGTTTGCTGACATCGACCGTTAGGCACTGGCTGAGGAATCGTTTTGCGTCAAGGCTCAATTGATCTGGATTCTTGAGAGTAGGCGTGCCATTTGTTGCAATGAGAAACAGCGCCTTGAGTGGTTCTTCATTCAGATATGGGGGCTCAGACTCGATCATTTCGATAGCCATGATTCCTAGGGACCAAATGTCTACTTTGCTATCGTATTCCTTCTGTTTCACGACTTCTGGGGCCATCCAGTAAGGAGTACCGACCATTGTAGCTCGTTTGGCTTTCTGGTCGGTCAATTTGGCACAGAAACCGAAGTCGGCTAAGACGATATGTCAGGTAAAGGACAGAACATGTTGGAGAGGTCGATAGGATGTGTGACTTACTGATTTTGACGCTACCACGTGCATCGAGTAGAACGTTGTCAGATTTGATATCACGGTGAATGATACTTTGAGCATGGAGATGGGCTAAGCCCTGGCATGTCTAAAAGATATGTCAGTGCATGTATGCTCACACGCTTTTCCGCGCATACCTCTTTGCAGATGGTCGCAATCTGGGATTCCGTGACAGTTTGATTATTGTCAATCACATCAGTAAGCGCACCGCCCTCCATGAACTCCATGACAACCCAGAGCTCGTTATTAGATTCTTGAAGGAAAGAGTCCAAGAAATTGACGATATTGGGGTGGTGGCTCTCCTTCATGACAATGATCTCGTTGACGATCAATTCCTTTCGAGGTTGGTTGCGAAGGTCCATTTGCTTAATCGCAACTTGTGTTCGAGGGCCATAATCACGATGAAGACGACGGGCGACTGGGGAAATTGCATTGTCAACAATCTTAGCAACATAGACAGAGCCTGAAGCACCCTGTCCAATTTTCTTCTGTTTGCTGTATGAGGCTGAAGGATCATCTTTAGAGACAACCTGCTTCAGTTTCTCCATGACCTGAGATTCGCTCATGTTAGACATACGAACTTCCTTTTGGCGCTGATGGCCACTTGGTTTAGTGGTCAAAGCAGTCTCTGCTTGCTTGTATGGGTCATTAGAAGTAGCAGGAGCTCCAGTAGGTTGCTTGATATGGAGAGGAGCTGGCTGTTGAGCAGTAGGAGCCTTCGGCTGCTGGGGACGGACAGGAAGTTTGGAAGTTGGTCCGTTACCGTAATGGTTTGCTGGGAGAGCATCCTTGCGCTCGGCTTCTCCGCGACTAGGTGGTGGACGGCTGCTGGGCCCAGGTTGACGATATTGCTCAGCTTTAGCGGGTGCGCGAAGTGAACCCTCGGCAGTCGGAGACTGCTCACGTGAGGCAGGCTGCTTTTGAGCATATGGTGGACGTGGCAGAGCTTGAGCTGGACTAGGACCATTTGGCTGCGTTGGTGGATGAGGTGCCTGGCGTTGGGCAGAGGGACCACGCAGAGAGCCTTGAGGGGGTTGACGGTGACGGTCATTCCCTGGGGCGGATGGTGCGGTGCGGACAGGGTTGTATCTATTGTCAGCGCGTTCCTCATTGGTTGCAGCGAAACCACCACCGATCTCCTGCTTTGCCATGGGAGTACGCGCCTTTGGAATTGCTGCTTCATACGCTTCTTGATCTCGACGGTTCTGTTCTTCCTCTGCTTTCTGTCGATCGCGCTGTCTCTGCTCTTGAGTCTCTCGAATACGGCGAGCTTCAGCTTCCATAACTGTGCGCGTGTACTGGTCCATACCAAGCTTCGAGCTTTGATCTGGCATGCGATCCGGGTTAGATACATTCCTCTGTTGGCCATTGGTTGGTGTGACAGTACGGGAATTGGGTGAAGATTGTGGTGAGCGCTGCTGAGAATTGTATGATACAGGTGGAGGGGGGCGGGGTGGAACGACCGCGGCGCCTGATCCATGGAACATTTCCTGCTTGTCCTTCAATGATAATGGAGGCATTGACCCAACCTTGCCCTTGCCAGGCTCTACTTCATTGCTATAAAATTGGAGGACCTCGAGAAGAGCTTGTGGGTTTCTCTTGATGTCTTCTTTTGTAAGAGTCGATTGATTGAGCAGCCTGGCCCATTCATCTGGAAGCCCGGTAAAGCTCCCTGTAGCTTATTAGTCTCTCTAAAGGCAATATAGAGTGTACGAGCTCACCGCTGACTGGATCGAACCCAACATGGACTCGGTGAGTGAAGTTTGTAGGGTTTGAGACCCCACCCATACCTGGACAGCGATCGTATATAGCGTCGGTCCACTGATATATCTCGTCTTCTGCTTCCAATTGAACGATGATAGTCTTCGAAGGCAGATCGCGCCTGACTGATAGAGGTTCACGCGATGCATTTTCACTCGGCTTCGCAATTTTGATAATTTCAAAGCAAAACTTACTACTTTCGCTTCGACTCACTGAGATAACGTCTTTCAAAGCAATAGTAGCGACTACTTTTCCATCCTTACTCTTGTGGAAGTCAAGCGCGAAGGCTCTCAAGATGAGCCATCGCTGTTTGAATGTCCACGAATCTTTCACTTTAGCGGGCCCTTGTTTGATGATTGACACTCCACCTGTTGGCATAGTGTCGTTGTTAGAGGAGTTGGTCGTACTGCGCGAAAATGTTGAAGAGGTGTCAGTATGTCGGAATGGAGAGTCTATGGAGGAGAGATTGGTGCGCGACGCATTCCCAGGAATGCCCACGACGGATGGCATTGCATTGTATCGCGGTTTGTCCGTGGGCGGGGCCGGTGCAGGACGCCCAGGGTTCATGAACTGAGCGTCCCTGTTGCTCACAGTCAGTACATAGCGTATCAGAGTCGATATATAGACCTCAAGAGTGTCAAAAGAAGCGGATACTTACAGGTCTTCGGGGATGCGCGCCATGGTGGCTGTCTTTGTGAGCTATCAAAGTGAAAAAGACTTCGAGGTCGTCTACTCACGGCGCCAAGACACCACCTGCTTCCAGTCGTGCACGGGCTTGGTCCACGTGCGGAATTTCTTCCGACTAGCCACACAGCCCCCCCGTTTCTCTCCCACCACGACCACGCCCGCCCTTTTCCAGGCGGGAACTCGATCGCCATGAGAGTACTGTGTCTTCAAAACATAACAACAGAGCTGCAAGAGCCTGTATATATCTATACAATCACTACGATATCTGTTTAGAAGTGAATGACGCTAGTCCGAATCGGCTCATTTCATTTTTGCAAAACCTGCATATGCTATCACCAGATAGCCAATAAGATTAAAGCAGCCGGCTGAAGGAAGTGTTGAAATGTCCATCAGGCTGCTAGAAATACTGACAAATTCCAGACTGCCCCGCCAATCTCTCGATTCCTGTGCAAATATCCATCAGCTCTGAACTTTAAATTTTCATATACCCCTCATGACACTCTGTGACCCCACATTTGGCTACCCATAGGCTTCAATACGTCTCCTGAGGTTGTCAAGGAGGTAGGGTCCTTGTGCTGCAGCCATATTAGTCGCAGCTTTCTTTGCTTATTCTCTTTTCAAAAGACCGAATCATTATGCGTAGCCCTAAATCAGCAAATATATAGTGGCTTATTCGTATCCAAAGCTTCATCCTATCCCAGAAAAGACAATTGCATCATGCAAAGCAATATCATTGGTAAGTATTTTATACCAGGTGCCTCATTGCGCATGACCCATATCGAGAAATGTTGTGTTTGAATACCCTGTCTAAAAGCCTCAATTCTTGCCGTCGTCATCTTTGAAGTGTGCTACCAAGCAATTCGCTTTCCATGTTGATACAAAATGTTCAACAGGTCACTGCTAGTCCAAAGTAATATGAAAATCACACCCAAGATCTGGACAGCTTCGCCGGTCAAAATGTGAAATGGCTATTCTGGTCAAGTCGTCGTAAAATTCACGGTCTTGACTGATTGTCTTGACAGAAACAAAATCTTCATGGTTGGAACAGGATATCTTATTCAGCCTCGTATTTCAATACTTCCACGTCAGCCCTTAGATTAAATTGCACGAGGCATGCTTTATGCAGGCATGAAACAATCGGAAATACAGCCTTTACGCAGGCTGAATACACGGGTGATCACAGTCAAGCTTCTGCCGTATGTATGGCATATCTGAACATCTTTGCGAGCGCTCGTCTTCGATCACGCAGCGTGTAAATTATACATACCTGGAACATCACCATGTTTAGGCAAAATACCGCCAGTCTCCTGATTTTGCCAATCTTCTCTCTCTTTCTGAACAGTGCTTCCATTATTTCAACTCTACAGGACAAAGCCAGAACGGATGGGGCGAACGATCCCCAATTGCTCGAGATGAAATCCACTGTACCATCGGTATCTGGACAGCCGCCTACGAGAGCCTTCTGTCGACATACCCCTGGCTGTGAGACTCAAATCAAGACAAACTGCTCCCCTTCACAAAGACGGTCAAGACTGAGACCAACGGATCCTGCTTCAAATGTACTGTGCCTGAGACTCCAGGCAAGTAGTGGACTAGGCGGTTCACAAACTTCCCGTGTAGAGAGAGCCAAAAGGGATCGGTTTCAATCGGTAAGACACATTAAGTGCACTATGTGCTGTTTATGAACATTACCATCAACGGCACGAATCGCGGCTGCATGGCTTTACAATGATGTACATCACAGATGACCGGTTGCAGATGATGGGGACTTTCCGCTTCACTGGGCACCGAGTACCTGGTGGAGCGAACGTAAAGACTTTTTGATGAATTGCTCAAGTCGTCCTTTTTAGACTACCAGGATCCATCACCAGCATGTATGCCAAAATCACTAGAGATGTGTTTCGATCCAAGAAACCATCTGAATGTGTGTGCAGGTGACCAGTACTAATTTTCATCCGCTTTGCGCCAAGTCGATGTCATCCAACCTCCTTACGTCTTGCCTGCTCTACACGTCTTCTATGTCCTCGCTAATCCACTGCTCCCGCATCATCCTCACGCACCCCCTTCATGATCGCGATATCCCCCACCGACGGCGTACCTCTCGAAACCCCGATCCCCAAGCCTACTTCCGCGATGCGTCCCGGCGGTTGCTCTTGCACCCAACCTTGGAAAAAACTCAGACACTTACCCGCCTCCTCCCATGTCCACGAGCCATCCCCATCCGTACTATCGACTACCAACTTAGTGAGCCGCAAAATGTTCCGCCAAGTGCGGCCTTCGCGGGAGACGTGCTCGCTTGCTTGCTCAGGGTTGAAGTGTGTGATGTCAGCGATGGCGTCGTTGAGAAGGCCCGCTAAGACGTCTTTATTGATTTTTCTGGGTCTCCTCTCTCCGGGTTCATATATGATGACGTCGAGAGTTAGGGGAGGATTGCCGGTATTCGGGACGGTGAGGTGAATGTACTGATTGCTAGAATGGCGTCAGTGGTGTATGCTAGTAATGATACTATCGGACAGGTGAAGCAGCAGATAAGTGAAAGGGTAAGAGGTGAGGAAGACGTACGCTGCTGGCTTAGTAATATTGAATTGATCATCCAGGTCTCCATATCCAGGCGAGGAATCCACGGCAATCACTGAGCTAAGAACTGTGGTGAGGCTGCTTAGTAGGATGATGGTACTGGTAAAAGCGAGCAAATGCATGGCGGCTTTGTGTTGCGTTCAGACGATTGGCAATAGTAACGTTGTGCCCGATTGGAAACCAAAGATGGAATAAACCCAGAAACAATGGGAGTGGAGAGCACAATCGGGACCACAGATTTCAATCTCCGGGCCATTGCTCTTATGTGTAACCATTTGTGCTCCTAGCTTTTCAATGACGTTTCTATTTCTAGATGTTTGACTCACATGCGCATTTCATACGACACTTGCGTCGATGTCCGCGCACTCATGATCCTGTCCAACCACTTTTTCAAGATGAACTGAACTCGAAGTGTATTCAGACGATGAAGATACATGCGAGCTTGACTCAACAGCTTGACTCAAGCCACCTGATCAGCAATGGCCCAAGGCGACGTAGGCTGAGGTCGGTCCGACCGTCGGGAGTAAGGCAAAATGAGTTTTCTTTAATCGAGTAGGACGCCTAACCATGACAAGAGGTCGTGCAAATTCTCTGGGGCTGTTGCCCTGATTGCCCTTGATGTAGGCAAGATCTGTGAGAAGTGCAAAGCAAGGCGACGGCCTTTTGGAGAAAAGAATTGATAAGACGAATGCAATGTTAATATATCGAAGCACAGTAGCCGTTTAGGGGCAAGCTGCCGCTCTCCCGGAGACTAGCTTGGCCCCTTTTTCTTTCTCTTTGAGCGTATACAAGCGGAACTTTCTCTCCACTAGGTACAATACTGTTAAGAGATAAGCGTGAACTGATTATGAAATGAGAACTAACGGCTTTGTGCGGAATGTATCAATGAACTTCGAGCTGCAAGTGGTAGGAATAGAAGGCTTCTCTCGAAATGTAAGGCTGCGGCAGCCTCAGAATACATATCTTGATGGAATTTACCTATTGCACCGGCCAGTCTCTGGCATAACTAGGCATGAGAGTTGAGTATGTGAGGCGTTCATTTCTTGTCCCATTAGATCAAAAGTACTTTTCAAATGCGTACACTATCCTTCAAGGCTGCCGCAGAACAGGAGATGAATGCAATGTATTACTTGATCTTCTTCTCAGGCTTTCAAAAAGGCTCGTGAACCAATAACAGAGAATAGACAAGGCGCTCTAACAATAGCAGGACGTCTCAGAAGGACGATCTGAAACCGAACCATAGTGCAAGCTCCTCCTTTTCAAAAAATCCTTAGAACAATAGGCGTCTCTTTAGTTCCTATTGGTCAAAAGAGGCTGAACAATAGCTGCAGAATCTTAATTCAGCCTCTTGCACATCTCTTTCCAGTGTATTCTGGGAGTTTCATCGTATTATTTGCCTCATGGTGGCCGGATTATTCTTGTTATTGTCCAAAAACGGCCTAGCCTATAATCTCCTGTGTTGATATTGCTTCTGCACAACGCGAATTTTCTCTTCTCTGGCGCAAAATCACTTTTCTAAACGCATTCCTGCCTTCTGCATCAATCAAAGACACTAGATACGCCTCTAGCATCTCTTCTCTCGCTCGCTCTTGCCAGATAATCACTACCATGGCCACGAATGGCACCACCAATGGGGGCCCTTCCGGAAACGGAGCCCCTGGCAACAGCAGCAGCAATCCGCGTCCTCCGTCGCAGACCACTGTGATGACCGCCCTTGAGAGGCAAATCGAGGAGATTCGGAGCGCTGTTGCAGCCATTCGGAGCCACGCCCAGCCGTCAACGAGCCAGAACGGAGCGAATGGGAACGTGACCAACAGCATGAATGGTGGCACAGCCTCGAATCGCAGCCTCGTAAGTGCCTTCTCACTGTTTAAACTGCCTGAAATATCACGTACATTTAGCAAAACTGACGATTCCGCCAGCAGAACGCAACCACCAGCGCCCTGCCCGTCTCCTCCCTCGCCCTCAACGCGCCCACCACCCTCACCGCCCCCAACACCTCCACGGCACGAGAGCTTCCGCCGCCCGTTCCTCCCACCGACCTCCCACCCCATCTCAGGGCGCCTCCGGCCGGATTTCAAGCAACGGGGCTGACTAGGCCCGCGGGCTGGACCCGCAACATGAATACCGTGGCCATCCGGATGCTTGAGACGCAATCAGTCGACCAGGTGCACGCCAATTTCGCTGGTTTGAATGACCGTTGGGCCGACCAGGACGAAGTGCGGGACCATTTGCAAGCGTTGCTGGAGCTATACTGGGGCGGGATTTAAGGGAAGGGAAGGGGGAGAATGAGTTAGAAGTGAATGGGGGGTGTAATGGGCGGTCTGAATGTTTAGATAGTGAGACGAGAAGTGGTTTGTGGGAGAGGAGAGGGGGAGAATGAAAGTTTTGTTTTAAGGCTGGCAGCTGTGCTGCTGGCTTGTTCCCGGGACATTAGACCTTTTTCTGCCTTTTTACGCGCATTTCTCCCTATTCACCAGTCTACGTTCAATATATGTAGCCTCAAAGACGGCTGCTGCACTTGATTATAATGGAAAGAGCATCTGATATAATTTTCTTGAACAAGGCGGACCTTATCGATAAGCCCCTATTTTCGCCACAGCTACCAGAATTCGATACGCATCCCTTCTTTCTCGACTACTACAGCTATTTACAGGTAGAAGAACAGGCTGCTAAGCGAGGTGTATTCACTTTGAAGCTGCCTAAATAGTGAAGAGATTATATAAAGCAAACAACGCTTCTATAATCTGCCTTTGTAACCTACCTAGGGATTGTCTAGATTTAGCCGTAGAAGGTAAATTTTACGCTGGATCCAATGGCCCTCTGCCTTCTTAGCCTATAATGAAGGCTTAGACAGACGACTTAATTATAAAGATATGTACAAAGAGGCTGAGAACAATCTGCAAACATTGAAAACGCTCCTCAATCTGCATTGCAATGCTTGCTAGGCTGGTTTGCTTCAACACATTCCCTGCACGCTAGTGGCATCTAATATGATACGCGCTTCGCGCTATTTTTTGTTACCTTGCATGTATCGAGATTTTCTACCGTTCGTCGTGAGTTTCCAGCCTTTAGCATCCTTCTCTATACGTCAGGTAGCTCTGCAAATCCACGTTTACCTTCCCCCTTCACTTCTACAGCATTTTACACTGTATTCCATCTCAAAAATGGGTCTCATAATGCCCACTGAACATGAGTTCCAAGCGCGCGAGCAAGGCTCAGACCTCCGCAACAGCCTTATTCCCTATTATCTATCCGATCTAGGGTTCACTTACGACGAAGAAGAGCTGGTGGCTGCCATTTGGATCTTCGCATGGCTCCCCGTGAACGAGGAAGGCTTGTACGATATCATTCTGTCCTACTTCAATAAGAAGCGGATTTCTCAAAACGTGACGGAAGAAGAGAAGGATTCATATGCGGAAAAGATGTATATGAGCGGACTACTGAAGCGAGGAGGTGCACCGGACGCGTTTGTACAGCTTCATTGGCCTAAAATTCAGAGAAATTGGAGATACTATGCCGATATGGTGGATCGATTGATGCTTTTGACGGCAGAGGAGGAGTGGCTGACCGAGGAGGTTTACGTTCCGGAGGATAGACAGACTGACGAGACTGGTACGAGTAGCATTGGGGCGAGATACAGGTAGAAGCGCTGACAAAGTCCCAGGGGTGAAGATGGAGCGATTAGCCAGACTTGTATCGCCAAATGAAGCTGAACTCACGGCCAGACAACTGTATAGGCACGCAAGGAATATTTGGCAGCAATACGAGCCGAAAACCGTTGGTACTGGTGCCGCGTTTTGGACAATGCAAGACCGACAGACGCGTCTTGCAAGAGAGATATTCGATGATAACCCTTACGATCAAAGCTCCACATTCCAGGATCCTCGATAGATTCAGCAAGCAGATATCGGGCGCTTACAGGGGAGCATATACAGACGGGGAGGCGTGGCCATGGAGAGACGTATGCATCACATCAGTGAGGAGTCAAGGGGTAGTAAAAGTACGTTTCATTGTTGGGACGAGGAAGGAGCGAGGAACACAGAATGTCTACTTCATTGTTGAGAAAGGCGAAGGAGCCAAAAGATTGTTTTATTATTATGAGACTAGTGCCCCCAAAAGCCAGTCCTAGCTAGATACATGCATACCAATAACTCGTACAGTCGCTGCTTTCAGTCTCGCAGCTAATTCTTCTGTAAGCTACATTTCATTTTGCTCAGCTTTCTGCTCAGCTTCCTTCTCAGCTTTGTCTTGCCTTGAGCGACTTCAACCTGACCTGATCCTTCCGCAACCTTCACCCGGCTTAGTTGTCGTTTCATAGCCGGCGTTATCTTGTCCGCAATTTTCCACCAGGCCGCTTGTCGCGTCTCCATTACTTTCTCGTTCCATTCATCCGTCATGACATCCTCACCCCTCTCTTGCTTTTCCCTGGTACCTGTCCTTGATATACTCTCACCCTCCGGTTGCTCTTCTCTTGTACCCGTATTTGTGATTTGACCTCCACCGATGACTTCCCCGCCTTTCTCCTCGCTTCCGCCAACAGCATACGACTCGATTTGTATTCCAACGCGTGCAATACGCTCTCTCATTGACTTGAAGTCACCCGCTTCGATCGGCATGCTATTTCTATAGTCTCGAGGAATGGCCGGTAATTCTTTCATCAGCTGTGGCTTTGCGCGTCTTGGGATCGCGTCTTTATCACGAGGGTTTAACGGCAGTCGCAGAGGAGGATGGATAATGTCAGAGAACGTATGGGTCTGACTTGAATTGGCTGTGCTGGGAGCTAAAGAGTAGACAGATAGTTGGGCGCTTCGAGATGTCGCTTCTCTGATGGCTTCTTCTAACTTTTCGTTTGACTTGGAAGCTGAGGAACTTGGAGGGCGTGGAAACAACATTCCGGAGAAGGAGGTCGTCGAGAAAGAAGTCTTCAGAGTAGGTCCTGGCGGCGGGCGTATCACGGAATCTGCGGGGGTGTCCGCTGTCTTGATTTGGGCTGTGTTGACATGTAGGCCAAGCATCATGGCCCGTCTACGGGATTTTGACAGCCTTCTGGTGCCTGTCCACGACTCTGGAAGTTGGCTGTGTTGCTTCTCCGACTGAGCGGCTAGCCACTCTTTTATTTGATTCGCTGGGCGGGTGATGTGACCCACAGCTGAGGCGTTCCAAGATGGGTAGTACGCCTTCGTACCGGCGCTGTACGACCCGAGAGAATCGCTGCTTCGCGCTGAATTCAGCGCAGAGCTCAGCGCGGAGTTCATCCTCGGGCTGTTCCGACCTGAGTGGCTCATCTTTGACGATCTTCGACGGTTTGGTGGGAACGAGTAGGTAACAATGAGATCTTGGGCTTCGGTATCGCTGAACTTGTCAAGTTCTGAAGTGAATGAGCCTGACGAAACGCCGAATGCAGCCTCGTGATTTGGGGATCTCGATGCGGCGGTGGCAATCGCCACGCACCAAGCAAAAAAGAAAGACAAACGCACCTAGAAATCGGACTGTCGCTATGTCAGCGCCTGCACAATTATAGGAGAGCATCGAGATACCGCTTTTGGGCGAACGTACCATTTCTTTGGATTGGTCGGTGGCATCGCCTCTTGGGCAGCAAGGGAATGACTTCCCAGCTTGGATGGCCCATTTGTGGCTCTAAGGGTGGTCGATCTATCTGTTCAGGTCAAGGCGTAGATGTCAGTAGACCTTCGACAACATCTTGAGTTTGCATGGCCCCCCAAAACAGACGCACTTCATTTTCAGAATCGCTTGAATCGTAGAACGAAAACATGCCAAATATACAATCAGATACTTTCTACATAGGAAACCAAAATACAGATGCTATCATCGCAGTACTCATGAGCGCAAAAAACAAATGGTGATTGTGAATTGATCGTGGATGTTCCAAGACCAACCTCGAGCTAGGCCGCAGTAGGTTGTTGCTGATAGCGATTTCCTCTAACTGATTTTGGCTTTCCAAATCACTTGCGTCAGTTACTTGGGTGGATTCATCCTGCCATCACACATCTCTGTCTTCCTTTCCGGCCGCTTGAGGGCATTGACGAGGCAATTGAAAAATATGGAAGTCTCGCAAGTGTCAAAGTAAGTGTTGCATTTCAAAATATACATCCTGAATAAAAGAAGACCCGGCTGCCTTAAAGAGTGTCCGTCATTCAACCTCGCAGCCTTCATGTATCCGCACGTGCATTATTCATGACACCTTCGAACTTGTACTGTGGCATCCTCGTCCGCACATATCATCATTCTCTTGTTCTGTTGGGAGTCATGGCTCTTAGACTGGGCACGTCTGTCGAAAGCACCTCAGCACTGCGGTAAACAACAGATGTTCGAGATCTTACAGCACCGCAAGCCCCGCATGTCTTTCCTCCACTCGAGATTCCAGTACCACACTTGGGACAGGCGTTGTGGTTCATGTTGGCTTTGGAGACTTCGACGGACGCTTAGGGGAGTATTCGTTGGGCCTGGAGTCTGTCAGCATCTTCCATGTCTACCTGAAGACCACGACCCTGCTCACACTTGTTCTTCGAAGTTCTTTGACGTTCTTGATCGACAGCAAGGTGGATTGACGTTGGATTAGTCTCAGCTGAGCGAGCGTCGCTTCCCCCGCCGAATCCTTGGCTTGGCTTGGAGGCTAAGTGATGACTTGCATAAGATCGTCGTTAGAGTCCGGAAAGACAGCCGATAGGAGCAGGAGAAGGGCGCAGACTCTAGCTGCCGCTTCGAATCCGCGCTGCAATCTTCATACAACCTCATCTCCTTCTGTGATACCGGAGCCGTACTCATTCGTAAGGTGGAACGCTGCTCGAGCCCACCTATGGCTGCAATGAAAGACATCATCGGGCGTGAAGGTGACGTGGGCGAGTCTGAGGGTCGACAATGCCCGTACGGCCCCGTGGATTGAGTTGCCCACGCCGCTGGCCCCAAAGGATGTTTCAAGAGATGGATTACAAACGAGCCAATGTTGCTTCTGCCCTCCAGTCCGAAATGATGCCTCATCCCAAGCGGATCTTGGGTCCTGAGAATAGATGAAACGGCTTACACACCGCACACTCATCTCGTTATGCATCCAGTCAGCTTTAGAGCAGGTAGGGCCTTCTAAAAGAACACAAAATGGCTGTTGTCCTGCTCCCTGATCAGTCGGATACCAGCAGCGCTCGGTGTCTCAACGTAGTTCCTACCATTGTTGCTACGCTTCTGTACTTACTGAACCTGTCCTTTTGTGTCAACATCTTTGCGATCGAACGACCAAGTCTTTTCGGGCAAGATGCAGAAAACCATCCTCCTTTCTTTCCTTCCGGCATTGATTTCCACCACTCTCATTGTCGACTTTAAGGCCGGCGATTCACTCCTAGCTCTCGGGTGCCCCAGCGTGCAATGCTCCGCTGACATTCCCACCAATTGCGATTTCTCCGCTACAACTCAAAGCAGTGGCTCCTCGAAGATTGCGATTGAACAAGATCCAAGTGGCAAGACTTCCGTCCACTTTCATCGAGAGCCTACATGCCGCCGTGCTGAAGTACAAGCAAAGGGCTCCTATGGGCCTAACAAAAACTACTACATGGGCTACCAATTCAAGCTCTCAAATGTGCATCAGCACTTGGCCATCTTCCAATGGTATGAGCTGACATGTTCTATCCTTACATCTCCTGCTCATGGAAGCCACTTGCTAACACAATGCCCATTCCAGGAAGAAAGATGACGAGTCCGCTGAACCCTCCCAAAACATTCCCTTTAACCTTCAATTCAACAACACCAAGGACACCCGTCTGAGTCTTGGCTACACCTCGCCCAATCTGGACTACAAAACACTATGGACTGCCGACTCCGACTTTGATACGTCTGCTGTGCACAACATCGCTTTGGCATGGGACACTATGGGCAGCGCAAATAGCAAAATCCAAATGTGGTTCGACGGCCAGATGGTTGTTGAGCAAGGAGGCCTGACACTATGGACTGGCAAGACATATCCAAAGCTTGGGATCTACAGGGGCGAACAAGGGGATCATGATACCGCAGGCTACACAAACGACTTCGACCTCTGGGTCTATCGAGTCATGATCGGCGACGGAGGATTGGACGAAGTTGCTGAGGCCGGTGGTATACAGGCTCAGAGCAAGAGAGGTATGAACAACGGATACCAGATGTCCAAGAAGAGTGTGCTCAACAACAATCACGAGCCCAGGGGCGCAGAAGACTCGGTCGCATACTCAGCACCTAGTCGATTGTCCAGAAGACAAAATGAAAATCGCGCTTCACCCGTGGGAAGCTCAGGTACCGGGCTCAAGTATCGGTCTGGGCCTAGCTTGAATACTAAACGCGAAGACCATCTGGAGCAGGGAAGCGAGAATGACCAGGAAGTTGGAGCTGATGACCTTGTAACTTGGTTTGCGAAGCGGCATAGAGCTGTCGATGAGGAATCAGCGAATATTCGCGCGCGACATGAGGGTGGGCAAGAGCCTGAGCATCCAAAGGGGAGTGGCGATGGGAATAGACATAAGAATGATGGAGATTCGCCGTCTACTGAAAGTTGGTTTGTCAAGAGGAACGTGGGAGGACGTGGCTTTCGTTGAGTCTGGAGGATCATGTTGAGTACTGAGGGCAAGGTGAGGTGTCTGGTCGGATGGTGCGACGATATGGTCAAGCAAAGCGTCAGTTTTATAGAGGTCGGTGTCGAGCTAAGGGTCTGCTCACTTCCCTGTGAGTTGTTTGGTGAATGAGGAAGGGGCAGGGCGAGTGAGAAATTAGGTAGCATTCTCTTTGTCTCCATAAGTGATTCTTTGTCTTGTTCACTATCTACATTCATCCTTGACATCATTTTGAATTGCGCTACTCCACGCGACGCATATCCTTCTACGCTGAGATTTCGTCAGTGAAGGAACAAGTTGGCTGGGACGCCGTCACGCACTTGATCTATGATTGCGTTGAAATTTCTCCGCTCTTCACCCGCGTTTACTCACTTTCAGCTCTTCAGTTGATCACCGCCAATGTCTACGGCATCGTATGTTGTGATCAGGCTCCACTAAACGTTAAGCGAAGATCTCACGATCAAGCTTCATGTAGAGGTTGCATGGGTTCACTGGCCGTTTGCAGGCTGTGCGAAGCTCTCGAATGTCTCCAAGATGTGAAGAATTGGACCCTGCACTAAGAATCCACCGCGAGAGACAGTCAAGCAGAGACATCTTCTGCGTCACTGTTGCATGTCACTACTGGTTAATGATGTCTCGTAGGGCTGACGTGGGTATTTAAGCTGCTTCGTTTCCCCTTGTTACTTCTCCTTCCAACCTTTCTCTCCCAGCCTCCTCTTCCAGCATTCTCTCCCTGCATCCTCTTCCTGCTTCCTCTCATCCGTCTATAGTAGTCTTCGCTGAATACAATGAGGTCCTTCTCGCAACTTTGACTTACTTTGTTGATCCCCTTCCCGGACGAGTGAGGCTTTGTTGACATACCTAGTTGACGATCATCCGACGATTCAGTCTTTGTTAACACAGTTTACAGACTTCCAGACTACTCGAGCTTTGATGCCCCTACTTAGCCAACTATAATTTCAAACCTCGCAGAGCAGGTTGCTTTTGCGTCAGCAAACCTTTGATATCTTTTCCGTTCACCGTGATTGAAGCATTATGAGATCTAATTGTATCATATAATCACTGTTGAAGCCTCGGAGCTAGACCAGACTGGTCTTTTCTCTTGTCGAGCATTGGAATTACGCTTCACTAGGGCGCTGTTAGGGCGCTGTGGCTTCGAACTCATACTATCTCTATTGAACTCTTCAGACTAGACCAAACTTGTCATTTCCTTTGTTGAGCATTGAATTTACGCTTCAGTAGTGTGAAGCTAGCTGTTGGTAGCTCCAAGTACGCATTGTCCTCGGCCACTGGGCTTTCAATATTGTCGGGCATCCGGACAATAGGCCTACACATGAGGAACTAGACCTATCTTGTCAATTCTTTGTCCTCAGCGTCGAAATTACGCTTCACTGGTGTGCCTCTAGTGTGCATTAGCTTATTCTTTTATGTGATCCTTTCACGAATCATAACAATAGCATTTGTACCCTGAGCTAGCCCTCTCCTGGCTATTTCTTGCCTTCAGCGTCGAACTACGCTTCTGCTAGCTCCCATTAGCTTCTGCTGCATAATTTGTCATATATCTTATGCGTGAGTGTGTCCACGAAAACAGGTTTTGAAACATACGACTCAGCTCTTTCAGTGTTCTCGCGCTTACCTTCAGCGAGACTGCGTTACCTAATAACGAGTATTCTTCTGGCATTACTGTTGACATGTTACTAATGGGCGACCTACCGGTGCTGCATGTGCAGCGAGCCGGGGTGCTTCTTTCACCATCGGTCTTCAGGCATGAATAAGACACATACCCGGCAGATCAGGCTCAAACAAAGCTTCTCACATCTTACTATTGGGCGAGATACAAATGCTTTCTACACAACAGTCTGAATGCTTATACTCCCATGGGTAGATGGGCAAGAATACGAACCAAGGATAGTAGATCGGGCACATTGGTATGCGTGGTGACGGAAGGCGGCCGCCATATGCTACACCTATACCCAGAAAGACAAAAAAAGAGAACAAAAGTGGGGAAGGCCGGTACAAAAGGCTGGGAAGATGGATACAAGGCGTCCCACACAGCCTGGCTTACATGGTGGAAAGCATCCAATAGTGAAAGAAAGAGCAACGATGGTCACTAATCTGACTAGCCAGAGCTAAAGCAGGCATCAACGAACTCACTACACTAGCAGTAACCTCAGAGTTAACACCAACGAACTTACTGCCCAAGCAGTAATCTCAGAGTTAGCACCAACTGGCAAACATGATTCTGGGAATCTTGTCACTTAATTCCTTGATGGCACACGGTCTAATTATATATACGAAATTCTCATGCCTACCTTTGGTTCTTTGGGTACTGAACAACATGTCTCTGAACAACGACGTTCTGTTCGTTGTGTGGGAGATGATTGCGGCCGTCCTTGGGCTTCGAATCCATTGTGTTACTTTCCACAAGGCTTTCTTCAATCGTCTATGAGGTATCGAACTCGGAATCGACATGTCCAGCTGCCTGTGAGCGCGGTGTTGTACAAGTCGGTGTGACTTTTGCATTGTTGCCTAAAGACTACACCACGCCACCTCCTTGTACAACAATGGCTATTTGCCTGATGCGTCAAGCCTGTGTTGGGATTGTGGAGCCTTCTCAACTCATTCGGTGTGATATTGGAAGGCGCCGAAGCCTCAAAAGCCTCTCAAGCCACCACAGAACTCTTCCCCAGAGGCCATAAAACCCGGAGCTTCCTAGTTCTTCAGACTTCTTTCATTGTCTTCTTGAACGTATCTAGGAGCTCGCGACTTTGCATCCAGCAGAAATCTCATAATCTTCTTTATCATTCAAGATGACCAGCTTCAATGACCTTCCCGAAGAAATTCTAGATATGATCAGCGATCTTTGCTGTCCTGACGGCTTCGAGACTCTTACCTTGCTCTGCCAAAAGACGAGGCGTTTATCATCAAAATACGTGTCTTCATTCAAAGAGTTTTTGGAGGAGCACCGCTACAAGCAAAATGTGCAGATGAGCTCGCCACCAGGCTGTAATGACTTTCTTGGAGATACAAGCGACTTGGAACGTGCGCTAGCGTCGCCGTCTGCACAGATTTACCGTCGTGTACTTCACATCAAACAGAAGAGCACCCTTGAGAAGAACATCGAAAGATTGCGTGAACCTCATATGCATCTGGCAACAATGCTGCAACCTTTTCGAGCGGGGGTGATGGAGCATTTGCAATCTTTGTATGCAAGGTTCGATGCGAAGTCGGTGGAGATGTGTGATCCGTTTCGGTGTATTGGAGAAGAGGATCCCCATCCTGTCTTTCTAGCGGTTGGGCGACTAATTTTCTCCATGTTGTGTCGCGTCAAATGTCTACGAATCACTACCTCCAATGCTGGCGACGAGGACTTTCTGCTCAATACCATTTCGGAAGCAAACTTTCAAAAGGGCGTATTGACTCACCCTCTAGCTCTACCATTTCAAAATGTGACAAGGGTAGTATTGAAGAGCAGAGCATCGCTTCAAGATAGAGGCGAAGGCTTTTATCAGGATGAATTTGGTCTATGTGTGGACAGTGCAAATGGCGAAATGCGACTCTTGAATGCAATCCTCATTTTGCCATCTCTTGATCGCCTTGAGTGCTATGGAATAATCAGCTTCTAAACATTATCGAGGTTGAGCCTGGCCAAAGGCCAAATGAAGGCATCGACGATAGTACTCAAGCGTTGTACTTTGGATACCAACCTGGTTCTCAGTATATTACGTAGCAGCTCCAGGCTACGATGGTTTGCGTACGACTTCTGTCCTCCCCAGAAAATGTGGCGCACAGAGTATCCGGTCACTCTAGAGTTTGGCCAAATTGCGCATTCTTGGAAGCCCGACGCCATTGTCAAAGCACTTGAAACGTATGCAGCTGATACGCTTGAGGTGCTGGATTTAAGCTCTGAAATGTGCGACATATCAAAGAAATTCATTCAAAGCTCTTTGCTAAACGACCGAGAAAGACACGGCTCCGAGAGATATTGCATCAAGACTTTGAAAGGATTGTTGGGTCTGCGGATGGTGTTCCTGCATGTCACTGCGTTGCCAGCAAAGGACAAATGGATCAAATGGAATGAGTCTAATGATGCATGCCGACCTGTGTATCGTAGATTGGTCGACTTTCTGCCTAAGACAGTGGAGAAAATACACCTTTGTGGATCCTTGACAGGCAAAGAGGCACGACAGGTTTTTCACCGCTTGATTGTTGACGATCATCTTTCTTTGCCAAATTTGCGCCACATTCATACCGACCGGCCTATCAAGATCAACAAGAGTCTCACGAAACGACTTCAAAGGGATTTTGGAATATGCTTCAAGATTTTTCGTCGACATTCCCAGAGTGACAGCAATCAGATTCCGTTCCCAAATCATGGGCTACTCGTACCCGAAGATCTTTTCTCCTATCCAGCACTCATTGGTGACTACGATGGTAAGGTCTGCTTACCCAGAGGTACATCACACGAATGTTAATTGGGTTTGACAAACCGCTTTTTGAATTGGGCCATCGTCTGTCTGGAAGGGATGTTTGGTGCCTCTGTCGAATCGAGATTGCGCCTGGTGGTCTTGCATCGGAGACTCGACGGATACGAGGGATGAGAGGCTTTCTCAGATGTATATGGGTCATGCGTAATGAGAAAACAGGAAGTATGACACGTGAAAGAAGAGTTTTGAGGCGTTCTATAGACACATCATATCAGTCATTGTCAGAAAGTCACAGACTCAAGATACGAATCATCTGCTGTGCGAAATACCCGTATCGATCGTTTGCTATCTCTCTCAGTTGCGGCTTGAGGTACTGAGGGTACTGAGGGTACTGAGGGCACTGAGAGTACTGAGAGATCATATCGATAGCAATAAGTGAGGCAAAGATCTGCCAGCGTTACGGTCAGACTAGCGCGCTCGTGTTGTGTTTGGCACTTTGCCCGCACATCTGGGTAGTACAGATAAAGCGAGACATCAGCTGAACCCACACGTCAAGACCAGCTTCAGTGACTTTGTCTCTACCATTTTCATCCGTCACTACCACTCGCGTCGATTTTATTCTGGACATTGAAGAGACACAGATGGTGATACCGATGGAACGGTTGGGTTTCCGTGAGCACGCTGGTTGCCTCATCACTGGAGCCATCGAATTCCCGGCATATCCAAATTGATTCTGCTGAAGCAAACTGCCGGCCACAGGGGGCTAAAAAGGAGGACTAGGTGACCCCGTTGGGTGTTGGGGTGAACAAGCACTCAGATCAAAGAAGGGGATTTTTCCACCGCAGCGCACAACAGACTTGCGACTGGCACGCGAATGCATCCAACATACTATTAATAGCGCTCCGTTCCAGTCGACTGCTATGCTAATCTCTACACTGGAAGGCAAGCAGCGCGTGACACCGATTATCTCGGCGGTTTCCATTGGATGGAAATGAATGCGACTTCGAAACTCGCGTTTGTTGATCATCCCTACGACGCCAGAGGTGAATTTCACAGAGGTTTTGAGGAGCTTACATGCCTATGTCTTGTTGAAAGCATCGTTCAAGCATCTCCATGTCATTTGACTGACTGTGCTTTAGAAAAGTCCGTTCCCTCGAAAGTCACCTGCCCAATCAACTTTACCTTACATTCTCGCGTCTTCCGTACCTATTCGAAGTTGAAAGCCTTATCGACCTACCTCCATTGATGCAAGACGCAGCGTTACCATCCGACTGATATTACAATGTACCGATCATCAGCACGGCGATTTTGAGAGCCCGACTTGATCACGAGTCTACAACGTGTAGCTGAACCACTTCGACCTACAAGGCCTTGGCCGTTGTCAAAGCAGAATATGGTTTTGGGAGATCATGGATGAGTTTGGTGAAGACGAGAGGCAAGATTGAGACTAAATATGGCGAGAAGCTAGAGTCGGAAGAGAATGGTCGGTCAACGAAGAAGGAACGACCAGGTCATTTCTTTGGTCGGACGACATGTCTTGATCTCCATGGTGGGAATCGTGACTTGAGCAGTAGAATCGAGTACATCTTGATAAGACTTTTCATACCTGAAAAGAGGCCTACTTACCACATGAGATGCTTCCAAATGTTATACGCCGCTACACAGTGTTTCAGCCTTGCCCATCTTCTTTGTTTGACGCACGATCCAACCTGTCCTATGAACCATGGAAAAACACCTGTTGGAACAATACGACGAGGTCATGGGTCCCTTGGTGGATTAAGGTACGGCTTCGAGTTCCAACAGGCTGGGATTATTGAAGAATAAGCAGTCGACGGTTTGTAAAACCCTCTGTTCAAAGCGTACTTCATTTATTACGGTATCTTGCATGAGGGTCAACCGTTGCAGTCGACGACCTTTGGTTTGCAACCCTACTGATTCCACCATTTGGAGAATATCTGGGGATAACATCTAGCGAAAGGGAGTTTCTTCCGAACAGGACAATTATGGAGAGGACAAAGGTCCGGGCACTACGCTATATTAGGCTTAGACTATCGTCTGATGTCAGCACGTGCGGTATTCCGAGTATCTCAAGAATGATTCTTTCTTCTTTCTTCATCCCTCCAGCTCCAGCACCCTTTGTATACCACGCCACATTTCCAACAATGAATGAAAGGAAGCTATACCGATTGAAGAAGCATCTACAGCCAGGATGCAGGCCATTTGTGGCCGCGTCGGCCCGCCCTGGCAATGGTGCCGGCGGCGCAGTCGAACAGTCGAGTCGAAGTGCTCTTGCGGGGCACCTGGGGCGAATGTAGCACTTCTTGCGGGCTTGAAAGCCTGATAATCCCTACTAATTTGTTTGAAATGGCTTTACCAAACTGTATGTTGGAATCGTATCCTTTATCTACCTACCAACTGAGTGCAAAGGCTAGGCCAGCTATCACGATTCCGAAGTCCAAAACATGAGCTAGCGAAGATATGATTAATGGTTCCATGAATCGATCATCTACCTCTCATAGTCGCTCGATCCATTGGGTATTCCAGAAAGCATTCCACCAGCAGCTGCAGTGGTCGACTGATGTCTTGATCTAGAGCTCAATATACAGCTTGTCTACTGATCGACGATTATCGTCAGCGGTCCTTTACCCACGGACTATATCGAGCGTAGGAGCCCCAAGTGCTCGCGCAAACCTACCTGGGTTCTTGCAGTCGTGAGACACCTGTGCCTCATCCCCATTGCCTCTTCGGCAAACTTGCTCCGTCCGTCTCTGGCACATGGCCTCCTATTTTACTCCTGACCAGGCAGTCAGTGATTTTTAGAAATTCGGCAGAGTGCTCATGTCCGGTTTCAATGGAAGAACAGGTTGCTAGGATCGACTGCAACGCGTCATGGCGAAACGCCGCACGAGTCGCACCCTATGCCACGAGACTTTGACTTGATGTACAAATGGTTGCAAATTCTCTTCTCCTCCTCCATTTGCCCGTTTAATTTGTATCGCACTCGCTTCAACACGCTCTTTGCTCTTCTTCTCGACGATCTGGGCTTGAAGCCTGATCTCCTTTCATTTACCTACTCGGTCCTTTTGCGGACTATTATATCCACTCTATCGATATGCGTACAAACTCCTTACCTATATGGTTGAGTGCGACTGGCGTCATACTACACGCTGCAGGACTAGCGTCTCCTCAACGTCACGGTGTCGTTCATTGGGTCAGACCAGCACGCCCACAAGTCGTGACAACGTCGAGCTCATCAACAACTACCGAATCAAGTGAATCGACTTCAGGCGCCCTAGTCAACAACTTAGACCTCAATAAGGACGCAGTGAACAACCAGGCAGTGGTCAATCAAGTCGTCCAAAATCAAGCTGCCACAACCACAGAACAAAGCTCCTCTACAAACACTGCGAGCACATTGGGCACCACCAAAGAATTGGCATCAACAGATGACACGAGCACAACAGATGACACGAGCACGAAAAGCACGACAAACAACGGGGCTTCCTGCGGGACTGGTAAAGGTGGTCAGCAAATAACATGGCAAGGGCAGGTAGTCTCTCTTTACCGCGCTCCAGATGGTTCAACAGAAACCAAAGGATGTACCGACGTTACGGGTTACACAGGTCAGCTCCATCTTGGGAGCAACGATGGCAAAGCTACCATATTCGAAACCAATCCTTCCAACTACTATGATGTCAGCATGATTCTTGGATATACAGTCCCCCTTACTTGTTGGCCTACCGGCAATGAGGGAATCAAAACTGGATGCAATCAAGATCTCGGCTCTCCGAAAGCAAATCCTACTGGGCCAGGCGGTACCCTTGATCCTGGCCCATATACATGCCCAGACTGCGTGCCGTGGTGTCACGCGTGCGATAAAGCTCCACCTGGCTTCGAAAAGTGTGCAGGTGGTGCATACACTTATCCATACGATGACAAAGCGACGATAGGACCTCATATCGATGTGACATGCTGTGTGGGAACAAATTGCCCAGCCAACTCTCCTGCACAAGGGTCGACAGCAGGAGGAAACCCACAGACCGCTGCAAGCCGAGCTGATGGTAAAGGTTGTGCGCACTGTCCAGCGGGGACAGCGAAAAGAAGTGCAAAGGATGAAATTCAAGAAGTTGTTGCTGCAAATGACACCAAAACTACCCCACCAGTGCACAGGCACTGGAGTAGAGGACATGGTAAAAGATTCACAAACAACCCTTACTCGCCAGTTCTTGAGGGATAATGTCAGCTTGGTGGTATCTCATTCGCTTTTTTGGTGTCTTTAGGCTTCGCCATTCATCGTGAAGATGTGGGCGAGCGTTTTCAAGAAGCAAACCCGGATTGCTGAGGCAGGCCTAGCAGCCTGTGATGCTCAAGGCAAACATATGGACGCTGAATTTGAATTAATCATACACTGAGAATTAGCTCTCGGAAGCTGTACGTAATATCTATATTTCGCTACATCCTCTATCTTTTGTCCTCAAGAGTCTCCGCGCGGCTAGGAACCTCAAGGTGTTCCCACCGTCATCACCAGGGGCTGGCGTGTCAAGAATTTCCTTACCACTTCCACACACAACAAAAAGGCTCTTCGAAACGCGTTCTTGGACAGGTAGGGCAGAGATAGAAGAAATCAATGGTTATATCAACGCCTTCGGAGGGGCCAAAAAAAATTTGAAATTGCTCAGACGAGGACTCGAACCCCGATCTCTAGGTAAGAAGGACAGGTGGTCGGCAAACTCATGGGGTGAAGCATAAGCCGTACCCGACCTCTGCAGTGATCTTAAAGGATCTGCAACGCCCGAAGGCTGCCTGCTACAACTCCCTAGCGTGCTAACCATTTGCACCATCCGAGCTTTTTGAAATCCAAGTTTTATTATCATATATGAAGAGTGAACATTCCAGTAGTTCTGCGACGTGGGATCTCATGCACACTCCAAAGGGTATGATTACACAGACTTGCTTGCCTACATGTGAGATTGCACTATATACGAAGCAAGATTCCTCTACTTCCCAACCCAACTTTGGCTGGTGTGCTCATGAAACCTGTCCACTCTGCTGTTCTGGTGGCATGAACACCAGCCCTACCGATAGGCTCATTTTCTTTCTGTGTCATACGCAATCATCAGGATTGATTATGCTCTGGATCTCCATAACTCACCAGAAAGGAGCCCAGCCAAAATTCGAGGTTGAGTTGCTATAAGAAAACCCAAAAAAAATAAATCTTCTATTGCCCAGACAAGGATTTGAACCTCGAATCTTCAGGATTGTAGCTCACAACTCTATAGGAGAGGGCTTGCAAACACGCTAATAGCTTCAGTGCCGGGTTGCCAGCTCCACTACTTCGCAGGTGTTTTCCTGACGTGTTACCATTACACCACCTAGGCTTTTTGTTATAAAGGAGCGTTCTTAAAAAGCCATATATAAGCATAACTCATAGGCCTATAGGATGCAACCCTGAAATTTTGCTGCACCACTTCCTCTTCACAGTCCTGCATTATATCAAACAGCGTCACCCCCTTTTCGGAAAGATCGCTCATCCATCTAAGACATCTACAATAGACGCTATCCGCCACCTTCTCTCTAGGTTGACGCGACGGCTGTCACAATATGTGGTACCAATCACCTTGGAGTGTTTACCCCTACGGCCGCACCAATCTGTTCAACTCGACTAGGTCCAAGCCACTGCCCATCAAAAGCCCCGCTTCATACTCGACATCGCTACATTCAATGGCCTCAGAAGCTCTTCTGACAGCGCATCATATGCTTGGAACATTTTTTAGTATTCCGCCTAGACCGAGACTCCAAAGCCGACAGCTGACAATCTATGTGCATAGGACACGCAAAACAAATAACGAACCTCATCCTTGTCTCACAAGCATTTACAAAGCTTTGAGAACCATCATATCATCATCCACAAATGGAGATAGCCTGTCCTATGCACCAGCTTACGATACCAAATATTTAAGCCTCATCGCATTGATAGAGAAGAGATGCTCTTTATGGGATCACCAGGGATTGATAAAACAGGGGTCCCTACAAGATGAACCAGAGCGGTACTGCTTTAGATACGCTCGCAACGTGGTGAATAACTTGCACTTCCTGCAGGATTTGAGTTATATGTCTGAGACATGAAGGAATTTTCTTTCCTGCAAATCATCTTTGACATCTCCTATGGAAGACGAGGCCCTGGGGTATTATCATCGTTGCTCGCTGCAGGAACAAGAGGCTGACATTATTTCAAGGCTACAGATCGACGCATGCGGCTCCCTCGCTCCGATTTATACTTGGAGTGAGCTCTACAACCTAATAGCAATCGAGCAGATGTCCACCTCCTGCATTTAGCCGCAACTTCATCCCTACCCTATACCGAAGAGAATCCAACCCTCAAGACCGAGCAAGCTCCCTCATCGAGACGGTTTCGAGATCAAGCGAAAGGTGACTTAAAAATGAAGCCGTTGGCCAGGATAAATAGTTCTGTTTGAGCATGGATCGATACCCTCCTAGACACTATCCTACAGCTGCGAGGAAAGTGAGCGGGGCCAGGTCGCTGCGCTGACTCGCGATCTAGAGATTGCCATCATCTAAAAGAACCCGGGCAAATCAACAAGGTTCACCTTATCTGCGACGGAATAATCTGCACTTCAATTTCGAGCATCGCTATGATTGAGTCGAGCTCCATACTCAACGACTCGGAGTTCTGCCCTTCTGTCCAGCTAGATAGCCAGATGACTTGCATTTACATCAGGCTTGGAACTAGACGCTCGCCGTTCCTTTGGCATCGCCTCGGCCTCCTGCGCGTCCATAAAGGTAATGGTCGACATCAGCAAGCCCACTCTCTTCAAGAGAGACATTCCAAGCCCAGGGACGCTTATCATCATGAGTACACAACTCTTCGGCCGCACACAGAGACACAGTCACCAAAGCTCCAGAGCGAAGAATTTTCAAATGCACAGGGGGGCAGCAGTGGAAAGACAAAGAATGACGAAAGCGCAAAGGAACAAAGCTGCCACATCCACCCACTGGAGCTTACCACCTACCTCCTACATATGACGAAGTCCCACAATGAGTCGAATCAACGTGATGATGAGTTGAGGCCCATAGAATCTCCCCAAGTGATTCGACCCACGATCTCACGAAGAAGGTCTTTTGCTTCCTAATCTTGCAGATACCTAGCCACCTCCTTCTTCATGCAAATGACCGGCGGCTCTGCTCGCATTCTTCTCCAAGCCTCAATCCTATATTTCAATTCGACCAACAAGACCTACAACAAGGGCAAATGTATCACTCGAGCAACCAACAAGTATCACAGACTGCTGGATGAGCCTGGCTTTGACAAAAAAACCTTCAGTGACGCCTCCTTGAGAGGACCGAGACCCTCGATCTTTCTACGGTCCTCCATCACAATCCCTCACGAAGATGTTTGTCAGTATTTTGGGCATTGACTGTACAGTGTTTTTCATGGATGCCTCATTTGACCTACGATCAGCAGCTCATCTAAAATCGAAAGCAAGCCAAGAGATTGAGAGATCATACACGACTAAGGACTCGAAGTAGATTGCAATACATGACCACAACAATAACACACTGGCACAAGCAAGGCGAATTAAATCTTGAGCTCGCCTGAGGACTTCGTGTGACGTTGGCGGTGAATTTCTATCAATCGTTCTGTCGTTCTAGGAGAGGTGAGCTCAACCTAGTATCTTAATGGAAATGCCTGACCGTTGAGTTGATTCTTAGGTGATGAGGCGTACGATCATCTTCCTTACTGTCAATTTCCAGACAGGCAACATCGATTGCCCTGGTCACCATTAATCCATATAATTGTCAACGAAATCAACATGATTGATTCGTCGATTTCTGGCACCTGCACTCCTGCGCACCAGGATACGAAAACGATTTCCCACACAATGTCTCCTCTCTGGAACAAAAACCCCTCGCTACTCCGAGAGATCAACTTCTTTACGAATATGAGTTATTTTGGTTCTAAAATACTCAAGTATCGATCGATCCACAAAGGAATAGAATCCTTTCTACCCAGCAACAGAATTGAGTCGGACGGTATACAGTACAAGTCACAAAGAAAGTAGGGAAATATTCAGCAGGAGGCGGCAAAGAAGTAGAAAGCTTCCCTTGGCTCATCTACCCCCAATTATCATCAGATAGCCAGAGATCGAGATCATATTTACCAGTAAGATACGCGGGGCAAAGTGTGTACCTCCCACCCAGGCTTCATACTGACCAGACCTAGGGCAAAACTTTCAATGGCTACAACTCGCATGCTCTACCTGAGCCAAGAGCTGTATCAACCAGGACAGCAAATATCCTCACCTCTCGTACCTCCCTCCCTCACTACCTTGCTTCACGAAGGTGATGCATGAACAAAAGACAACCTTCGACGAGCTTGTCTCCACCAAATCCATCGATAATGCATCAGTGATGTATTTGCATCAAAATTGAGCTTCGCAACACCCTCGAAAAGGGTCTACAGGATTTTGCAGAAGCTAGAATGATCTTCTCCAATGGATTTGAAGGAAGTATATTCCAGGCAAGGGATGATCAGTGCATTCTCGGAAAGTCTATGTACAGAGACACAAAAAGAGGATTCAATGGAAAAGAAGATACGAATGCTTTATGGTGGGGGACGGGGTGGATACTAAGATATAAACAAAATATGTCCTATGAAGCTTGTTGACAGACGCACGGTGAAAAATGCATCCACGAATAACAAAAGAAACGAAAGGAGGAGCTTCATCAGGCTTGCATTTTGTGCAGGGGCAACTTGGGCAACAAGATTTCTACCTGAATACCACCTTGGGATGGCCACTAACTCAAACTCGGTCTCTTGTGAGGCAAGAGAAATCTCCCGGGGAAATGCGAAGAGGGTGCAGAAAGATCCAATGACTTGGCCATGACGAAAGCGTGCATTCGTCAAGGAAAGCCAGGGCCGCCCAAGGATGAGAATGTATGTGTGCGGTGTTACAGCAAGAGACTATATTGGACAAAGAGTTTTGGAAAAAGGAAGGCTGGAACGTGGCCGTGGCTCTTTGTCACGTTGCGGTTGCGGAAGGAACCCAAAGAAGCAAGAGCTTCCAGGTAATTCAATGAGTTGCAATATTTGAGGCAGGTAGTCAGTCTCACAAGACGTTGTAGAGTATGATACGGGTATTTCAAAGAATGGGATAAAACATAATGAACTCCTAAAGATCACAGTGTCATCGAAGACGTATCGAAAGAGAGCACCATTACATACTCTGTCGAACAATGGAGCTCCAGTCTCTACTCCCATGGCTTATTCCAATATTGTCTTTGACTTGGCCCGCTCCGCAGTTGCGATTATAGTCTTAGCGCCCAATCTTCTCAATTAGCGGCAGAAGCAGAAAGACAAGCAACTCTTGGGATTTCTCACTACACTCCCCGCAATGCCTTTCATTCTCAAAATTCTATCATCTCCTTTGGCTGTAGACGAATACCTCATTCCTGGACTCGTCTAGAGTCACCCCCTATCTCCGCTCTCGCCTCTACAGCTCCTTGCAAACGTAGTATTGCAAGTCCGATTCATCCTTCCACCATCAATACATACCACGACCGTAAAAAGGCTACGACGCTGCCCACACGACCATAAAATGAAAGTGATTGAAGTTCACATCTCAAATGACTGAAATCTAACGAAGAACCCAGGAAGCACCGAGCGACGGAATCTTATCACATACAGAGCTCAGCTTGACAACAGTACTGAAAGCCAGCTGCAGGATCGACTCACCATGCATCTCAAGCACCAGTCGAGTCATGAAATCTACAGCCTTTGTGGTACAGCTTCACCGGCATGATCCCTTGCGGGGTCATGCAGGAGAGGATAGATGAACACGAGTCTTCGTTGACCTCCGGAGTTGAGAGCGTCTTCAAAATACATCTCATCATCCTGCTCTATGGTAGCCACCAACATTCGTCTGAAGCACCCCTTTACAGCCCGTGATATTAGATTCGCTGAAACACCTAGCAAGATCGAGTCCCGTGACCTGATACCTCTTTGATAGAAACCCTCCTTCTCTTCTACTCGCAGCACCATGAGTGCATACACACTCAATTGAAAGAACCCGCAGTGGATGCTCAAAAGATGTTTGCATCGAGACCTTTTACGATACGCCGAACGGCGAGTCTAAGAATTGGAGAATTCTTGATCTACAAACACAATACCAACATATACTCCAAGAATGGATGGGAATATCTGAATTAAAGGAATACCGTTCTTCACAGCGGGAGACACTATTGATACAGTACGTATATGTACAGTCTAAAAGCCATTAGAAACCTCACAGAAGTGCTAAAGGACAGCAGAATCAATCCAAGGCCAAGATGGTGTTTTAGAAGAAATTCGATAAAATTCTTGCCTGCACATGAGCATGGCTCAATGTATGCACGAACTGTGATCTATACTGAGATTGAAGCTGACCATATCTCTTACAGTTCCTTCCGTGGATCCTTTCAAAAGTTTGACAACGGTAGCTAGCCTTTGTGCTTCCATGTCTTGGCTACTATACCTGCCCTACGCATATGTCACAACCAAAGACCCGGCTGAAGACGCCCTTATCCTGAATTCTTGAGATTTATTTCAGCACTTCTATGAAACAGTTCTACAGAGCGGACGCCCCTTCAATTCCCTCGAATTTGAATAATGGGGGCCTTACAAACTTATAGTTGAAGCCTTCGTGACTAAAAGAAGAACCACAAGGAAAAAGCTTTCTTAGGAAATTCCGATGGTGCTACGGCTTGGTGAAGAGTATAGAGCAGTGGTCAACAGTCCCAACAGAAAGGGCAACGAGCAAGCAGAGACAAAGAAGAGAAAGCATACACACGGCTCTCAATGAGCCTGTTGGATTATTCATTGCGTAGTGCTACTACGCATGCTTCTCAAGAGCAGAGTTGTGTCTTTCTAATAGCACAATCCTCCTCCACCACACGTTGATTGAGAGAGATTGACACCTCACCCTTCTCCACTTCACAGCGTAGAACCAATCACTACCAACCGACCGGTTCCCCTGCCTCCCCATGAAAATGAAACTGCTGCGCCGGAGCAGATCCACAGGTATCTCGATCATGAACAATCCGACAACGCCTGACATACAAGTCTACACCTATTCCGAAATCCTAAAAGATAAATGTTGGATGAATGGTCATCGAGAGCTGAATCTTGAAATTGTCTGCGACACTTGACTCGAAGCTCTTCTCGATAGTTCCAAGACTAGCATCCAGAGTGACCACCGCCAGTCTCTCCTTCATGACGAAGAATAAAACGAAAGAAGCACCAAGTACAAGCTTAGAGCAGGGAACATGATTCTCGGGAGGCTGCCTTGAGTCTGGAAGGCCTGGACTCATGTTAAGAGCGCCTACCCGAAAAGAACAGAAGGACCTGAAGATGGAATCGTACAAAAGTTATTCAAGAAAAGATAGAGCTACTTTACAGGTCGCTCTCAACAAACCACTCATGCGAGCGCAGTTGCAATTCGGCACCAGCTTCTCCCCACCCCCAAAATGTTAATTGAGCCTAATTACCATCTTGGACAGCATCATATAGCAGCAGTGATGCGCAACCTTCCCTCCTAGCAAACCTCGATCGAGCATACCAACCTTCCGCTGTCTTATCTACTCCGTTGTCCTGTCCACGCACCAGTCATTGAAACCAGAGGATCCCCTTATACCGGTACCCCTGACCTCTCAATGCAGCATAATCGCAGCACTACAGCCACGTCAGTCTCTTGCATGAGCTGATCCACCCGACAAGCGATACCTTGCCCTTCCCTCGTGTCGATTATTGAAGTTGCAAGAGCGGAACGAAGTCAAATGGAGATGAAAGCTATCTAGTAAGGGATGAGCAAGGGGTAAAGGTACACCATGAGCGAGACGCACTTTCTGCGTCTATCAACATAAATAGAGCAGGGAATCATGATTTCAGGAGCGAGCATAATGCAAAATTAAGGCACGGGCATAGAGGAAAAAGGAACTGTCATGCTACAATTGCAATTCCAAAATGCGTTTGAGATTGAATAGTGCGGTCCAAGATCTATCACTAGCTACATATGCTAGGAATCGTAGCAACTCTCAATTGCAAGCAGCGCAGCAGCAGCCAAGATGAGACCAATAGCTCCTTCTTCGCCAGCAACTCCAGCGTAAGCAACTGCAACCAAATCATACCGAAAATATTACCGTCTAGCCCATCGCTCTTGCATACTGTTGACTTGCTCCCTCCATCACCACACCCCCCATCCCTCCCATGAACGGCCCCCTACCTAACAAGATCATAATCACCCCTCTTCCCCTCATCGCTCAAAACCTCATACGCCTCGCCAATATCCTGGAACTTCGCCGTCGCCTCAGGATCATCTGGGTTGCGATCTGGATGATGCTTCAGACTCAAGCTTCGATAAGCTTTCTTGATATCAGCGGCGGTGCAGTCGGATTTGAGGCCTAGGATGGAGTAGTAGTCTTTTGATTCGGCTTTCGCGGGGAGGGAGGAGGGTGGTTTTGGCTTTTCGGTGCGAGGAGGCGTGGTGGGCCGTGGTGGGGGTCGGGGTTTTGAGGATTCGGGCTTGGGCTTGGGTTTGGAAGCTTCGGGCTTGTCTTTCTTGGAGTGGAAGTGCTCGGTGAAGTGGTGGTATGTGTGGTGGTATGTGTGGTGGTATGTGTGGTGGCCTTTGTGGTGGGCGTCTTGAGTTCGGTCTTTAGCTCGATCTTTGTCTTTGTTCTCGGCTTTTGTGGTCTTTGGTGCTTGGCGACCGGCTTCTTCCTTCTTCTCGGCTTTCTCTCTCGCCTTTTCCCACTTTCCTTCGGTGTGGCTGCTGAGCTGGAAGTCGTACGGCTTGGTCTCTGGGCTGTGATGTCTATGATGGGGAGGGCTGTCGCGATGGCATGGGCGGCGGTGGTGGTCATCGCGTGATTTTCCCTCTCGCTCGTTCCTATGATGGTCACGGTGACGATGGTCGTCATGATGTGTGCTTGCTCGAGGACGTGAGGGGTGATGGTGCTTGCCATCTATCTCTTCAACACGGTCAGCGAAGTGGACCTTTGGTTTATCAGTTCTGTGTCCATGATGATGGGGTGGTGTGGTATGAGTGTTCGCTCTCTTGCGATGCGAGTCGCCAGCCCTTCCTTGGGGAATTTCATGCTCACCTCTTGAAGGCATCCTTGACGGGAGAGCTGAAAAATTCGAGAAACCACGTTGAAGGGTACGATCATCAAAGCTGTAGTAGTGTTCACTATCTTCGAATCTTACGGGGAAACCACGTGGGCGGCGAGGCTCATCGTATTTGTCGTGGTGGTGAGGATTGGTGGGAATGGTACGCCAGCCTTTTTCGAGCAGTTTTCCGTTCTTCCAGGTTATGAAATCCTCGCCAGGTGTGCCATCGCTATCCTTTTTAAACTTTGTGATTTCTTCCGTAACATCGCCATTGGTATGTTCAGTCTTCTTCACAAATTCGCCTAGGTGATTGGTTCTTTTGATGACCACAGTGTGCTGTGGAGCACAAATCCTGTTTCCGTACATTTTTAGACAGTCCGTGCTTCTAATATGGTGGACTGGCTTGTGGAGATCCGATGTCTTCAACGTCTTTGAAAAGGGCAATGAATGATGCAACCAAAGTGAGCTTGGTAGTACTCTTTCGATTGATGTCAGGTTCCGATACAATAGAAAGACATGTCACACCGAAATCAAGAACCCGCCCTCCTTTTATAGCGCCTTATCAGGACGTACAAAGCCAGCAAGGGTAGTACAAGGGTTCATAACATTGCCATTATACCGTTACGTACAGGCTAGCCATGACTAGAATCTTCTTTCACGCAAGACGGGAAACATTGCTATTGTTACCCAGGAGTTGAAGAGGTTGTGCAAATGTCCACGTTGTCTTTGTTGGTTGACGACAATTTCTGCATGCAGCGGGCGGGGCTTCTCACAAAAGATGCCGAGTCAACGCCATTCGGAAGCTTTAATGTTCTCGTTGGAAAACAAAGGCATCGTTGGTCAACGCCCTTTCTTTGAAGTCGACTGCACAGGTAGTAGGAGAAAGCGGAAGAGAGTTAAGGAAAAGACCGTGGGATTATTAATGATATGCACACGCGCTCAGGGGTATTATTCGTCCCTGGTTTTTCGTGCCTCGCTCGACACGCAGAGGCTATACTATGCTTCCGCCTTGCATTCCACCGTTATCCAACCCCTCCTCAAGTGTACCAAGTTTTGCTACGCTCCTTTTTGGGTGGAGCGATCGCGCTCTCGAACGTGTCCAATGTGAATTTGGACCCTTCCTTCCAAAATCTACCCAAGCCTGTCGTGCGCTTCTCATTTGGCTTGTCTGGAGAAGTTTTCTGGTCGGACTTTGCCGACTGGCCCTTTGTGAGCACCATTGGGGGTGCTCGTGCCTCCATCGTCGTTGCTCGGAGTGCGGGGAGGCGTCTAGGAGGTGAGATTACGGCTGCTCCTTCATTGAAATATCTAAGCAGATTGCTCTGCTTAGCTTGTCTAGGCACAGGTGTACTTGTTCCATATTCTAGTGCGTTAGAGGACGACGGAAAGGTGGATCTGTGGTGGAGAACCGGTCCAGGGGGGTTTGAAGTTGCCTCGTTGGCTGCATACTGCTGAAGATCCTCTTGGCATTGAGTTTGCCCTGTCTTGGCGGCAACGTGCATTTCCTAGCATGCGTCAGTCTCGCATTTTGGGGATCGACTATAGCTTGCTGGAAGAAGGAGACATACCTGCTCAAGGGTTTCAAAGAGTAGCCCGAGCTACTCACGCATCCAACTTGGAGGAGGGCTCTCTTCCACAGGCGGATATAGTCAACTGCTTCCTCCCAATTTGCCGGGTCTGCACCTTCCATGGTGTATCCGTCACCATACACTACGTCCAAGTCTTCCAAAGTAGGACTTTTCTTTAGGCCCAATTCAAAGAGTGGCGCTAGAATTTTGGTATACCTACTCAGTACGTCCTTTTCGTTGACATCACACGTCAAATGAATACGTCTCAAGGGGGGTACTATCTCGTAAATCGAAAGCTTCAGCTCCTTGAGAAGCGGCATTGGTGTGCACTTCAACAATCTGCAGAACCTGCGAAGGCTTCCGTAAACGCTCATGCTACTATCGTTGGTATTGCCGCTTGTGAATGAAATATCCAGGTCTACCTCAAGTACCAAATGTAGACTTGTGATTAAGCATAATGGAGGTGAAGAAACGTAGCCAGAGTTCCGTAGAAAAGGTGACGCAACAGTACCAGAAGTAATCTCGTGTCCCACCACGAGGTTGAAGGTGTTGTTCTTCACGATCCATCGCTTCATCTCTCTGTATAGCACTTTGTTGATCAAAAACGCATCGATCGGAAATCCATACTTGGCATATCTGATAGCTGGTTTTGCTACGAGCCTCGCCGACGTCGTGGTTCGCAAATGCAAGTAGATCCTCTCGCGGACATTTGAAGCGATGGTAATGAGTCTGCAGTTGCTCGAAGCGGCCAACTCGTTGCAGGGTTCTCCAGCCTCACAGGGCGCGCAGATCTGGTACGTGGTAGTATCCAAGGCTCTGTTGACAAAATGCTCAGGCGTCTCTTGCTTTACGGAAGCGTCGTAAGTAGCTAGTGATAGGTCTGGTAGCAATGGATCAGAGGGTGCGGGGATGAGGATGGGCGTGCTGTTGAAGGAAACCTTGGTCGCTCGTTTTTTCGCTGGTTGAACAACGCTCCATTCGTCCTCTTCTATCACAACATGGTTAAAGGCTCTCGCGATCATCTGCTGATCATCTTCCGGGCTGCAGTCGTCCTTTTCGATAATGATGTGATCGAATGCTTTGATGATCATGTTTTGATCGTCTACAAGATTCCCGTCTTGGTCGTGTCCAATCGGTGTCATGCTGTCGCCACGAGAGGGGTTTTTAGTATCCGGCAAGGTCATTTTTGACAAGCGAAGCTAAGCTATAGAATCAGGTGTAGAGCTGATAGCAAGATGCAATAGTGATGCAGACGGATAGAGGCGTTCACATGCCGGCAGTACCCAAGCACCTGCGTTGAACACGAAAGTTGTACAGTGGAAGAGCGGTGTGAATGTGTGGCCTCGCCTTGGAGCAAATTTGATTTCTTGGCAGGGGTGATGGTCAATTCACTTGGAATTTGTCACGAATGAAATTGCACAACGATGCCCATCAGATGTCCAGCAGATGCACGTGATGATGATGTTCGCTGCTTGCTCCCATTGGTACGAATCATCATGACTGACCTTTGGGGATTCTTACGTTGTATTTGTTTTCTATTTTGTAAGGCTGTATGCCTTCGTCTTCCCTATTCCGTATGCAACCACTCACCTCTACAGCACTCATAGTCTTAAGGGTATCATTAACGCCAGTAGCCCGACGAAGCCTCATATGCAATCAATCATCAAACGTCAATAGCTTTCCTACCTTTCAAAGTAATATGCAACTCTCAAGGGCAAGTCCTCAACATGTATCCCTTACATGAACGTCTCGAGCAGATGTATACGGTGTCGCTCGGTATACTTGCGCTTTTTCGAATGCTGCATGCCATCGTATCGAAACAGTACGTCGGAAAAGATGTGTGTATACGCACTCAATGCCTTACCATGGCGCTCAGCAGGTGGAGGCGCAATCTCATGAGCGACCTTAGCAAGCATGAATGTGATTGTAGTGAGAGCAGCGCAGTGACGCGGCCACTTTGCGAGTATATCGATCATCAACGACTGCTCTTCTTCTTTTGTTTGAAATTTTGAGCGTGAACCCATGTCGCGGTCTAGCTCTTCCCACAAATCTTTCGGGATCACGCCGTCTTCAAGACTTTCGAGGAAAGATAGGATAACCTCCGCCATTGCTTCAACTTGGACTACAATGTCCGCCTCTTCGGGAACGCCAGTTGTTAACGCTGCATTTCTCTCGAGATTTCTCCTGATATGGTATTGGATTTCTCTGCGTTGGCCAGGCGCCTTGGTGTGACCCTTGAAAGGCCAACGTGGTTCTGTCTCCCACGGACCTTTTTCTTCTTTCATCGCCATGTCTGCTACGGCTCTTTCGACCAGTCCATCCAAGCTTTGAGCGAGGCTCGAAATACTGCGGGGAACCGCACCGGCGCGAGACCCAATAGTTGAGTCATCTGACGCAGTCAACGAGCGTCCAAAATACGAACCAGCCCAATGTCCTGCGATAGGCAAAAAGTAATCCCTGCCATCAATAACGCGCAGAATCATGACGTCTTCCAGAGATTGGTCACCGTTGTTCAGACTTTGCACCTGATCGAAAGCGGTGACGTGAATTGTAGTCTTCACGGAAATCTTCTCCCCTGGCCGAAGGACATGGTCCTGTGGATGATCATCGGAGGACTCATCGTAGTGAATCGTCAGCCAAGGGGATGCGGAAGTGTCTGGGCTGGGCCCCTTCAGGATCTGTATCGTAGCGGTCGAAATACCTGTATTAGCGATCATGACTTTGCGCACCTCTGGCTCCTCATAATGTATCTGTCCGAAGTCGATTGATTCAATCACCTCATTGGTATCCTCCGCTGTAATGCTTACCGTAGGCCGCCTTTCATTCTCTTCCCTGTCAAATTCCTTGGCCATCTGGCCTCTTAATTGAGCTTTCTTCTCTTCATCTACAGCGTCAAAATACAAGGAGAAAAGAGCGTCAAGAGGCTTATGGTCTGAAGATAATATGTCCTGATGCGATCGATACGTATTCTGCTCTAAGCTACCCTTGATGGTATCAGACGATTTGGGAGTCTGAGTCTCCCTCGAAGGATCGTCTCCATAGGCCATGCCATCTGTCTCGGGGTCGTAATCGAAGATGACGGACTCGTCTTTGTCGCTGTTGGATTGAGACTTTCCCGCCGCTTGCTCTCGCTCTACTCTTTCACTAGCTTTGGTTTCATAGGCAAGGCGATCCTCTTTCGAGCGGAACAGGATCCGATCACACCAACTTGGGCTGCGCTTTTTTTCGCTCGAGTCAAATGACCCGAGAGTTCCTAAATCGTACTTGTAGGTGGGAAGGAAATGTATGTCCCCTTCTCTCCAGCCATCATACAGCGTCTGTTCGGCCTTCATCTGTGATCGCAGCTGATCATGAGAAAGCAGTGAAGAGACCGTGGACTGCATAGAGGTAGGGTCGATTGTCACTTCTGCCGGTGTGTTTTCATTATCAACAAGCGTAAGAGATGATACCGTTGAAAGATTTGCGTCCCCTGAGTCGTGCGGCTGTTGAGATGAACCATTATCCGTCTCAGGATCGGCTACGGTGGTTCCCTGGGAGACAGGCTTTGAGTAAGCTACCTTAGCAGTCACGTCGGATAGTTCAGAAGTAGATAAGGATTGATGGTGTGTGTGAAGCATCAGAAGCCTTCGGACGTCCTCGCCTGGGATGCCTTCAAGCCGGTAGTTGAGATCACCAAACCAGAAGCAGAAGTCTTCGTCGCCAATATGCTCTTGGCGTCCTTCCACCTCGTGAATACCGTACTCCAAAGCGGTGAATTTCGTTCTGCTGACAATCTGACTGACATCCCAATTCCGTCGTTCGAGGTTGCCCTTTTCGACGCCAGCACTCAAATGACAGTTGACAAAGACTACCTTTGTCGTTTGGCCTAGGACAAGTCTTACCGCGACAGCACCCTTGTTGCCCATCCAACCCATCCCTCCCGTCGCAGTACTATTGACGCTTACGTTTGAGATCAGAGGCAGCATTGCTGTAGAGGCGTAGATGATGACATAAAGACCCAGTAGCTGTTGTTCTGCGACCAGGTGGTAGTTCCCCGGCAACGCTTTTGCGACAGCTTGCTTCCATTTCTGCGCAGGATGAGGGTCAACATATGGCTTCAAGAGTTCTGCCGCAGATGAGATGTCTACGATCTCCTGCAGACCCAAGGCGTACAAGCCTATCTCTTCTTCATGAGCCACATCACTTGATTTCTCCAAGTGGACGGCTTTCTTGATAGATTCAATATAGCCATGCTTCTGCTCTGGTGCTTCCTTTGGAGCCGCAATTTCACCCTCCGCCTGTGCACCAGTGAACCATTTACCGATATCTTTGTCTGTGTGGTTGAGAGATGCAACATTCCACGTGCCGATCTTTATCTGAACTTTTCTCGGTATGGTGTAGTCTGCTCTTCGATCCCACACGGCCTCAGTAAGACTGGGCTGTGACACTGGCTCTGGGGCTATCCGAGGGGAGTCTGGAGGGAAGCCACCAGGAGGAGGAGAGGGTAGGGGGTCATCGTCTTGAGGAAAGATAGCTGGCGAAGGGGACTCTGCAGGATCCGGCATAGTGTGCCTGCCGCTGGTTGCGGGAGGAAGGCGCCGGGAAACGGTGTTCCATTGCCCGAGGGTCCAGACTTGCTGATATCTGCAAGGCAACTATGAGGGAGGTATAGGGAGCTATACCAGTTTGAGGTAATGCAAAGATATCACCAGGTACATGAGAAGTGAAGAGAGGTGGCTTGGTCCAAGGCACTCGGCGAGTCAGCTGGCTTATCAGTCGTACAGGGCCTAGAACTCTACAGCAAGGGTTAGGGATCTACAGGCCCTTAAGCGGGTGTGGCTCCAGTCCCAGAGGCTCTATTGCATACCCCTGTTTGACCTGCTGTAGTGAATAGTGAATGGTGAATTGGAATCTCGATTGCGGTGCTCTGTATATCTATAGATCTTTCTCCCAGTTCGGAGCCTGCCAGAACAGTGCACCGGTAGTCGTGAAGGATCTGATCCAAGCGATATCCCCCAGCCCAGAGGGAGCCCCCAGCAACGGCCAAGAGCCACCTCTGCTCAGCCCTATGCATGTAATAAACGTGTGCTAAAGCCTTAGAGCGCCTGACGGTTCACGCGTAAGCCATATCTAGTTAGTTCCTTTCTCTCATGATGGGTGTGGTGGTGGTGGTGACATTTTCCACACCTCACACAGACATTGGACATTGACAGACAACAGAACACGCGACAGACATATCACTCATATCGACAAGCTGCCACAGTTCATTGTCTCTCTTTGTCGCTATCAGTCCCCTACACTTCATCTCGACCTTTGATCATTGGTTCTCGACCAACCCACGGGTACTCACGCCTCGTCCGGAGTCTCCGCGTACCACTGAATCACTCCACCATATTCAGCCACGAACTAGTCATAGCACAGATTCTCAACAGTCGAAATAAACACTGAAATCTATCTCATACTCGGTATCTGTCATTCTTTCACACTCTTCCGCGTGCTTCGGCCGTTTGTATCCGCGCTCAGTACGCGTCTTATTGTCTCTGTATTGAAATCTTTCAAAACTTTCATTCTCGGCAACACATCCCATGATAGTATTAATTAATCTCAACAATCCATTCAAATCTCGCCGCTTGGCGCGTCTGCGTCCATTGGAGATCATGCCAGAACCGGACAGCCCGGACAAACAGATCTTCAACATGAACCTACGGGTCTTGACGAGCCTGCTTAACGTACAAATCGCGAATATAATCACAGTAGCATCGTGGGCGACTGTATTCGAGCTTCATCACGTGTCTGAATGGGACGAGCAAGCCTGGAATGGCGGCTACTTAGACCATCCTAAAAGCTGGGTCAAGATTGGGATCGAAGGTCATCTCTTCATCGTTTCTTCACCACCTACAGCAACAAATAAATACTGGCGCTACTTCATCATCGTGATCAATCGTAACAGTCGCATCAGTTTTGCTCTTGAAATCAAACAATGCGGACAGACAACCACCTTCGACGAGGCAGATGACATGCTCTATCTCTCACAGCACGCTTGGCCCCCTGAAGTCCACCAAAAAGACTTCTGGGGCGTAGAAAAGCCTGATGACGGAGCTCACGAATTTGGAATATGGATTTACTCCGACGGAAGTAGCGCGCCACATCCTCAAGCCATCCTCACAAAGATGAATTTTTGCCAAATGCTTGGCCGCATCCAACACGACGAGCTCAACACCGGACAAAAAGACTACTACTCAAACATCCCCGACGAATACCGGCACTTCAACTACGACCAAATCTACGCCATGATTCGCACAGGCTACGACCCGCTCGACCCCAACGACGAGCCAATTTCCGCCCAAACCCTCCGCGACGTCGACAGATTCGACCTGCAAAAGACCGACGTAATCACTCCTAATCGCCCTCCACGAGACTTCCGCGCCATCCCCTCGCCACTCGACGCGTTGTCATCCCGCCCCTGCAGCCCCGACTACCCCTCGTCGGTCTCCTCGCGTGGCTACGACCACACCTCCCAGCGCTCCTACAGGGCGTCCCCTCAGCAACGCCTCCGCTTCGCAGCCGCCCACTCCCCCGCCACCAGCCAAGCCGCGTCTGCAACAAAGGAGTGGCCTCGCGGCTACGTCCACCCAAAGGACTCGCCGCCGCCAACGCCCCGCTTCCCGCCCTCCTCCCCGCCCAAAGCTGCCTTTCCCCGCGCGACCCCCTCCCCGCCACCGCCAAAGGGCCCTGCTTCGCCAGGCGCCGACCGGCAGCGTCTCTGCTGTCTCTCTTTACGAAAGCGGCCGCAAAGGCCAAGCCTAAGGGCAAAGGTGGTAGGAAATCCTTTTCTTTGTAGCTAGACCTGGCCCCTCTAACCTAATTTGGAATGATGCTAACCGCTTTTAGCAGACGATGAGTAGATTTGTGGTTGCGGGCCCCTCTGAGGAGGGTGCATACGGCTGTGTCTGTGTCTCTGTGTGTGTTCTGTGGTCTCTGTGGCGGCCCGGGTCTGTTTTTGTAGTCTTTTTTTGTAAATTATAGGGAGGATGGGAGGGTGCAGCAGCACCACAGCCAGCTGGTTCTGGCTTGTTTTTTTATGTACGTTAGTGCCAATGATAAGATTTTACGATATTCTGACTGCAATTGCCTTGATTCGCTATTCTTTATATCTAAGGAGGCTGCTACGGCCTTGGAAATTGCTCTCGTTACCTTGAAACAGGTCGCGTTGTCTTATATCTGCCTTTATTTACTCCCCTTCACACTGCTATAGGTCTATACTACCGTGAAATCTATGCCAATCCCTTCAAAATCCGTTATATCTCGTATATTCAGCTAAACTCGCAATATCTCCAGCCTTTGCAGGCTGCTCTAGCCTCAAGATAGGCTGCTAAAGCCCTAGAAACACGTACATCACGCTCCTACAGCCTTGCAAATACCCTATTCTCCCTATTGAAGCTATTACAGCCTCATCTGACGCATCAAACTGCCTCAGATCGTCCAATTTTTAACGCTTCCTCCCTTTTGAGGCATTCGAAGCGGGTGATATTGCCCGAAATACGTAAACAGCGAGGATATCGTGCCCTTTCAGAAGAGCAAACGGGCTTTTAGAGCCTAGGAAAAGAGTGAGATGGAGAGGGAGAAATTTCGGGGGGAAGACATTCTGTATTCATCATTCGTAGCATCATCTATCATAGCATGCATGTAAGAAACGCCAGTACTCTCTCCTTCCTCTCTTCTAAACCTCCCCCCTCTCCTTCTTCAGCCCCCACCCAATCCACCACCTACAAATCTCATCCACAGCCCTCACGGCCTCCGCCGTGGCCTCCACTTCAAACCACTCCCTATGCTCCTTCCCACACGTCTCGCAGTTCCTCTTGACCCTCTTCTCCGCTAGTTGCATGTGTATCAGTCTTTCCACCTTACTGAGGCAGGGCACGCCCGCAGCTTGCTGGACTCCATTTCCATTCTTCGGGAGGGGACTGCCTGAAGGGGTGGAGGAGTGACGCTTCTGCCCACCATTGGGAGGAGGAGAGGAAGAAGATGGGCTGGTGGTGGTAGGGTAGTACCGGACCAGCGAGATGGCGTAACCGCACTGAGATTGCCATTGTGAAAGACGGCGGGCGACGTTTGCCGCGGAGCCGATTTTAAGGAAGACAGTCTTGTTGGCTGTGGGGGTTGCGGTGGAGGATCGAGTGGAGGAGCCGGCTGCGTACTTCTGGAGGACGGTGTCGCGGGTTCCTTTCGTTGGGGTTTGAGGGTCGAGGAGTGTGGAGGCTTCAGAAACAGAGGGGACGCCGGAGGTCAGGCGTGTTTGCCAGAACATGTAGATGAAGCCACGGCGGTTGCTGTCAGCTGGAGTAATTGGCTTGACGAGTTCGGCCATGAGGGCGCTGGTGAGAAGGGGAGGGAGGTGCTTGGGGATTTGGCGGAAGATTTGGACGGTGGGGGCTGAGTGGTCGACTCGGTGGGTGGGACGTGGGCCTGATTGGTTGGGCGCCGATTGAGAGGGTCGTGGCGACGATGGATAATAAGCCTGGGGACGTGGAGAGTGAGTCTGAGAGGCATGCGTCTGAGGCAGCGGTGAAGACATCTTTGTGTAGCCGTCCGTTCGCGCAGGCTTCACGACCGTTGTGCGAATAGGTTCCGGACTCGAGGGGCGTGCACTGATGCAGCAGAAGAGGCCAACATTCGAGGAGGACTTCTTCTTGGCCTTCTTCCGTACAGCGTACATCTCTCCGTCAACATCCTGCCAGGTCTGTGGTAGCGTCTCTTTCCGAGCCGGTCGTGCATGTCTATTCTCTTTTCTCTTTGACTTGTCTTTCGCATTCAAATCCACAATGCCGAGTCGTTCGACTAGTGTATCCACGCTCGTTCTACCCTTGAGAGGGACTATATTTGCTTTTCTTCCATCCTTGGTCTTGGCTACCAGTGTGGCTGCTTGGTCCTTATGCTGCCAGCAGAAGTAGGCTGCTGCACCATCGTGGTCATCATCTTGCGCATCTAGTACTGCAACTACTCCGTCGTCCGTTTCGCGAAGCTGAGATTTGATGTCGCGTCTGCAATGCTTGCCATCGGTGGTAAGTCCTTTGCATGTTGTGGAAGGGTTCTTCGAGTCACTGCGCGCAATCTTGGACTCGGGCGTATTGGGGATGAAAGGCATGACCGGACTGTGGTTTGTTCGGGAAGGAAGAGGAAGGTGCGATCATGATAGCAAGGTTTACTTGGCGGTCGTACATTGTTAAGGCAGCCATCTCTGAACAATGATGGGTGAATAACGTCTATTGGAGAAATCAATGAGGCTGGGGAAACACGCGAGCACTTGTCCCCAGCCAATTGTTCCGAACGGCCCCCTAGGACTATTCCCGGCTTTATTCCCAGCCATACTCCTACGAATATAGAACATAATCATTTTCATCGACGGTAAATTGCTCACTGCGACTGCCAAGATACCTTGGAATCCAACTCTGGAACCATTGGGCGTGGACTGAGTAATTCGAAATGCTAAAGCGTGGGCAAATGCACAAGAGAGGACCGTGGTGTTGCCTATGCAAAATCATGTATTTCATGACAACAGCTAGTTATATGTCATACTTCTTGCCTTTCATACCTCTAACGCATTGACCAATCCTAAGCAGCCGTCCAGAGCGCCCTCAAGTTCAGCAATTCTCTCCCTCAATCCCCCATTCTCCTCTCGTAGTGCTACCTCAATGCCTCTCGAGTCCTCATCATCGTACCTACCATACCCAGCGCCGTCGTAGACACTCCCGCGATTATTTACAGGCTTTGCACCACTTTCCACTCGGCGTCTTATGCCGCCACGAGTCAAGGTCGTAATCTGCTGCGCTTGAGCGAGATAAGGTCCTTGCGGCAAGCTCAATGTGGACGATAGACCGGATTGAGATGATGATGAGCTATGCAAGCCGCGATTCGGTTGTGAGAAGACGCTTTCTGCGACGCTTTCGTCCTCTGAGGAGTCTGCGTAGAAGTCTGAGAAGTGAAAGGATCGGCTCGGACTGGTTGTTCTGCTTGGCATCGGCAATACTGGTGGTCTGTCGCTAACCATCCTGAGGGTTCGCCTGCCTTCTAGCTGGTCTGTGAGATCTTTGTTTGCCTTTGTCTGATCAGCTAGCTTGGTTGCGAGATCGTCTAGCTGGTTGCGGAGTAGCTCAATGCGGGTGTCGCAGGCTTGCTTCTCTTCGTGCAGGGCTGCATTCTCAGCCTCGATCACTTTGAACTCGGCATCGGAGTGACTCGGTTGGCTCGCAGAGCCTGAATGATTACTGTTGAGGCTTATACTTGACGCTATAGCTTGCTTTGCTTGACTGAATGGGGATAGCTGAGCATTGCTCTGATTGGGACTAGGGCGCTTGGCTGCAGTTCCGTCACTCCTGAGCTTCGAAGTCTCATCCATATTCTGCGTTGACCCGATTGGCGGTAGACCTATTCTGACCGGTTCTGACTTGCCATCGAACCACTTCGATATGCGGCGGGCGTGGTTGGGTCGCTGGGGTCTGTCTTTGCTTGGCTGCAAGTGATCCATGGATAGTGAGGTCAGGGTCTGCGGTGCTTCTGTATACAAAGAGGCTCGATGTAAATCCGTGACAGATGGGGAAGCCGTACTCGGTGGGTACACTGGGAGGGAAGCGGAAGAAAGTAGCGTTCGGGGTCGAGGAGGTTGTACAGAATATGCTGAATCCTGAGATACAGGATTTTCAAGCGAAGTCTGAGCAGGCGTAGTTTGATATCCATGATAGCTGGTGTCGTCATTGTAAGTTGAGTATGAGGGTGAAGAGAGCGATTGGCTTGATCTCATTGATGGGTTCGATAGAGTGTGTGATCGTGTATGTGATGGCACTGCCTTTTCGGCAGGCCGGAAGAGGTCCAACATTTTGTTGGGCATTTGTGCGGATGGATCGAAGCTAGCGAGATTGGATGATAGATTGAGTACGGCAATCTAGATCCCCAGATGAATATTTGGGACGCAGTTGAGCACTCGTTGAATCCAGTGGGCTGGCTCACTCGTCGCTCGTATGTCTTTCTCTGTATATTATGAACAGAAGACGAAGGCTTTTTGACTGGGTATAAATGTTTGCGGTAGAGCAGGCTGAGAAAGCAAGGCTTGAGAAACAAGTGCGACCAATTCAAGCAAGGCAGGAGTCAACAAGGTACAACGAACACATAAATAATAAATATGCATGCAAGTACTATCAACACACTATGAACAATCGGCGGACCTGGCTATACAATATACTTATCCCGTGGCTGTATACAAAAGAGCGTGGTTGGGAAGAAAAGGAGAAAAAGGAGGCTGGAGCGGAGCGGCCGCGCGACTAAAAAAAGCGCGAGGAGCTAGCAGCCGTTAGCGGCCAACCCTAAAAGCTTATCTCCCCGGACGCCTCCCGTCCAACCAGCGGCGGTGACGAGTGCCAAGCCTGCAATTACCTGCTTTTTGGTGAGAGAAAATATCTAAACAATCTCACCACCATTAAATCATCACAGCTGTTCTTCTTTGTGATCTCGGTCGAACCACATACAGCCTCTTCTACGCGTTTTCTTCCAGTGTCCAAGCTTCAGAAGTCCACAGCACTGCCTCCCATGACCATCTGAGCTGCTAAACGCCCCTCCCATCCCGTACCACTTGCACCAAAACCTTACAGCACCAATCCTACCCCACCGGAGTCCATCATGGCCGAAGCAATCGGTGGCCTCACTGGGTCTCTGCAAGGCCAGATCCAGGGCCTTGCAAATGGAGCACAATCTTGGCTCGACAAGATAGTCCCTCCTGAAACCCGTAGCAAGATCATGGCCTGGATCATGAAATTCATCAATGAGAAGCCTATGCTTGCTGTACGCGTCCGCTTCTACTACTGCCTCTGGATAAATTGCTGACAGCCCCTCAGTCCTTCTTAGCCTCCCACATCGCCATCTCCGGCTTCCCACTCGGCCTCTTCATGGTAATGACTATAGCCGTCGCCCTCTTCGCCATCATAGCCGCACTCCTCCTCGGTCTCCTCGCTGCTCTTGTCTTCATAGTCCTCTGTGTCGGCTTCGCCCTCATCTTCCTCCTCCCTACCCTCTTCGTCACCACCGCGATCGCAACCTTCATATTCCTTTGGGGCGTGGGCACGTACTACATCCTCAAATACTTCAACGAGAAGGATATTCCCGGCATCCACAAGCCTTTGGGTGAAGGATTGTCGAACGAGGCGAAAAATTATGCTGAGGTAGGGCAGATCCAGGGATATGGCCAAGATTCGATTCTTGCACAGAAGGAGATTGTTGGGAAGGGAGAGCCTAGTGAGGAGGAGAAGCAGGGGATGAAACAGAGGGAGGAGGTGGAGAAAGATACTGTGGGTAAAGTTACTGGCAAGGTGCCGGGTGGTGATCAAGTGGACCAGGCGACGAAGAAAGTGCCGGGGAGGGATCAGGTGGGGAAGGGAGTCGATGGGGTAGGGGAGAAAGCGAAGCCGGTGGGTGATGGGGTGAAGAAGGTCGGCGAGAAGGATCCGACAGGACTCGCCAATGGAGTTGGTGGGGTCACGAAGGGGTTGACGGGATGATGGTGAACGTTGCTTCCCCTCCCTCCTGGTTGAATGTGCATAATTTTCTGTGCTTGCATTTTCAATGGCTCCGTGGGCATGCATTAGTGGTTCAGTGGGTTTGCATCAGTGGGCTTTGAGATTGAGCGAGGCGTTTGCGAGGCGTGAGCATCATAACAACAGCCAGCTCTTGGTGGTTCTTTTGTGATTGGCCTAGCATTTCATGTACAACATTACTGAATTCTACAGCGGCCATGCTCCTACAATAACGTTCCAATCGAGGTTGCGAGACCGCGAAAGATCTACAATTCGTGAAATTCGACTTGCTGATTTTTATTTTCCTAATGAAAGCGACCTCACAGTCAGTGACGCCTCCATATGAAAATTCAACTTCCACTCTTCTTTTGGCACTAGCCTTGTTCAAGACATGCACATTTGGTAGTTTTTATGACTCTTTGTTTTAAAGCGACAATGGTTTACCTCCACAATGAGCTACATTCCTTGGTCCAAAGTTCCCACGACCCAGGTCTTTCCCTTTACCTCCCGGTGCCTCCACAGCTATGCTTAGACTCTCCACACTATTCCCATTTACTTCAATCCTCGACTTTGTCAATGTCTCTAATTCATACCTTCTCCCTGGGTGCTATATTTCTTTCATGCGCTCCACACACGACCAAGATTCCGCACAGTCTTCTTGACCACCTTCCGCATCCTTGATTTCTCCTCTTCCGTCTTAGGCACCTTAAATGTCTTGAGAGACGATCCCTTCGAATGTTCGCCTTGAGCTGGTGGGTCAGACTGTGTTGAATTGGTTGTGATATCCTCCATGCCCGCATTCTGCGGTAAAGCCATCGATGGATCGGAGACTGTGTTTTCAGTCTTCAACGATTCAGAGGCACTCACTTCAGAATCGGCAAATTCAGCCATCTCCGCGACCTCTGGTACTTTCTCTTCGGAGGGAGATGGTTCAGGATAAAAGGCCTTCTCAATACTCTCGCAGAGCCACTGGATGCTCTCGCAAGTTGGATCTGAGCGCTTTTCTGGCTCAAAGATTCCCTGTGTTTGTATGGATGGTATTGTGTGGGTCTGACAACCCGACTGAAATGCTCCCGGCTCTTGGACCACATCTAGGAGGTTTTCAGTCTCAAAGATGGTGCTCGTGTCTATGCAGGGTAGTTCATAGACTTGGACATCTTCGCCAATATTGGTGAATGACGGTTGCAGCTCCTCGCTGGTCTCTGATTCGTCCTCACAATCATCCGAGACGTAAGGGTTTGGTACCCTAGATGTCTTCGGGGGCTCAAGATTCTCGGATCCTAAGCCATTATTGGAGTCGTTTGGATTCACCACTTCTTCGTTTGATGTACCTTTCTGTGCGGTGAAGAAGAAAGGAGTATTTCCCGCTGCAGGAGACGCCTCAGTCAATTCTGCTGATGCTGATCCAAATTTATAAGGCCCTGATCCTTGCCCGCCCTCAGCAGAGGTCTCTTGAGTAAAGTTGAATTCTGGGAACACCGGACGGTTCTCGTAGTGATGAGAGGTATCTCTGAAAGTAAATTCCGATGCTGGTGCACGGCTCTCGTGGTGATGGGTGGGATCTGTGAAAGTAATTTCAGATGCTGGTGCACCATTCTCGTGGTGACTAGAGGTACCTGGAGAAACAAAACTTGATGCTGGTGCACGGTTCTCAGAGTCATCACCATCTTTCCCCTGATCATCGACTTCTTCTGTGGCTAGCAGCGCACCTCCCGACTCTGGCCCCGTATCAGAGTCATCAGTTCCGTTCAGATCCGGAGCTGAGGAGGAATCTGATGCTCCCATCTCAGCCGTGACTTCTGTTGGTCCTTGCTCGCTCTCGCTTGACTCTCCAGGTGATTTTGTGTCCCGTTCGGACTGTACCAACTCGTCTATATCTTCGTCACTAATCACGAAGCCTGTTGGTTCTTCTTTCTTAGGAGCCTGTTGTTGTGGTGAAGAGTTGGGATCGACGCCCGCAGCTTCTTCATCATAGGTCCCGAAACCGTCGGAGCGTGGTTGCTCACCGCTTACTGCATCTGTATCTGGTGGTGTCTCAATCGGATTTTCAGTGCAGAACTCTTGAAAGACTGCTTGGAAAGCATCTTCATTTTCCACATCGGCTTTTGCCTGGGCGATGAGCGCGGGGAATGGGTGGGATTCGTTCCGGATCTGTGCAAACAAGATGCTCATTGTGTCCAGTTCTGGAATTTGTCGTTCCGGACCCCACCATCTCTTTTTTTCTGTCTCCAAACCCTCACCGTCTTCTTTAATTGCAAAGATCTGGTCCACAACATCGGTAAATTCGTCTCGCTTTCGAACCCGCGCATCAAGATGTTTGTCCTTCAGGAAGCGTTCCGTCTGCCGTAAGTAATCGTACATCTCGTGAGTAACCGCTCGCTGGCGGTCCATTTCTTCGAACATCCTGAAATAAAGTTTTCTATGATACATTTCTATCTTGAGAGCCCTCGGGAAAATGATACGTCGTAGTTCATTTACGTCTCGTTGGAGTATCATGTACGAATACCCTGCTGCTTCCAAAGTTTCTCGTAGCTCTTTAACGTTCTCTTCGAACTCATCTTTAGTAATCTCGGCCTCTTGTAGTCTCATCTGTAGCTGAGCCACTTCATGGATCGGTCCTCGAGAAGACTGGGCAGATTGGCGTTTGTAGAGACGCTGCGCTAGCATAGACCGTGATCTAGCGGCTTTTCTCCTCATCTGTGACATCTGCTGCCTATGCTTGACCTTCAAACGTACAGTCTCCTGTCGCCATTTGGTGTTGTTGAGCGCAATGGCATTCACAACAGCAGTGGTAAGCTCTGCTTCACTGAAAGTCATGGAAGAAGGTGGTGAGGTAGCCTCTGACTGGACATGAGCCTGTGAGGACAACTACGAAAGCTGTCAGTAGAATATTCGAGGATACATGGAGACGAGCATACGTCTTCTGGTGTGCCCTCTGTGCTTCCAGGAGTCTCGATCATCACTCCAGTCCCACAACTTGTTTCGAGAATACCGGCTTCTTGTGCTTCGCCGGCTTCGGCTTCGGCTTCTTTCTTGGTCTTGTCCTGAACCATACAGCATCAGCCACTCATGAAAGAATCTAGACCTCTGCTACGATAGAGTGGACTCACTGATGTGTCTTTGTAAAAAGACTCACGCTTGTCCTTCAAGAAGCGTTGCCATCTACCCAACGCCGGGCGAAGTCCTGCCAGATGGGTCGACGGTGAAATTTCGAACGACATATTGAGTGTAGTGTAGTGTGGTGGGACAAAGTTTGAACTGGGAGTACTGAAGATGGGAGTTGCTGGGACTTGGGACTTGAAGAAGGTGACTTGCTTGCTGTGTGTTGATGAAAAAGTTGAATGCTAACGATTTGGACAGTTGCTGGTCAAAGTCTCGGATGGAAGCTGGAAAGAAGATGAAGATCGATGATGAAGAAGAGATGGAGAAGAGAGAAAGAACGGGCTTCTTATACCCACGGTGTGGCGAGGAGATGGGGACTGTGTCTTGCCATCCGCAGTGTAAGCTTTGAGTATCATGTCGAGTTTTATGTCAGAGACAATCACACTAGCGATTATGTGTGAGAACAGGTGCAACACACAATGACAGTGACATTTACAGTAGAACCAAATAAACACGCTTGTGATACGTCAGTGGGGTGACACTGGCAAAATTGCAGGCAAATCTTTGGGCGGAATTTAGGCAGGAGACAAGGCTAAGCTTGAGAACAAAAAAGCAGCAAGGCTGCCACAATTTGACCATGTGTCAGAGTCATCGTCGACTGAACTATCATCGAAAGATGTGCTTGAAATAATCTCTCATGTTGCTAACTTCAAATGCAATCAAAACATGCTACATACTTGATCCTATGGCTTCCTCGAGTGATTTCAATGTCCAATCATCTCTCTTGCACGAGCAATCGTTCGCACCTTCCATTGTCCTCTCATTACAGTAACAAGGGCTCCCGAGTACTCGCCAGCTTGTATTGTCTCTTTCCCTCCATAATCGTCCTTCAATATCCTCCTTTGTGCATCACGAACCCCTACATCATCGTGCAATTTCTTCTCTCCCGACCAACGACCAAATGTGGGCATATATACCTGATTTCATTTGCTCTTAACTGTGTAACGTTGTCTTCGAGTTCATCGTTTGTGATCTCAGCCTCTGCCAATCTTAGGAAAGCCTCTCGATCGAGGGGAACATTGGGTTTGTCTCCATCCACAAGGTATCGCACCTTCGGTTGTGGCCGCTTTCGCTCGGCAAAAGGATAGAGCTTTTGCACAAGATCATATTCACAGCTATCGATGCTATCTCAGACCGGAGATCTTCACATCCATGCCCGGTTGCATTGTTGTCTTCACTCGTTGGTTGAGTGACTTATTCTCGCCACGAGATGCATGAGAGATTTTGTATCACATCACGATCAACCACTTCCTCGACGACAATCAAGTACCGTGGGGTGTAAATATATATATTTAGAGCCACGAGGCTCTTCTCCTTCCTCTCTTTTTCTCGATTTCTTGTTTTCTCCAATCCAATGGTTGAGGGGATGATCTGATCGATTTGCAAGCTAACAGAAGCCGAATGCTTTTGGGGACTAATAAACGGGATGTGAATGCTGGTGAAGTGATCGTGTGACGTGGCTTTAGCGTGGGTACTGTGGATATCCTGATCAAGGCTGAGACACCACGTCATCTTCCTCAATGTGAGTTGCAGAGCGTTTACCTCGCTTGATTTCCTTCCCAGGCAGGGCAACGCTCAATATCATCGGCGACTGAGCTAAACGAAGGCCGCGTGACGCTAGGAGTAGCGTCTTCTGATGTCACTCTAGACTCAGCGTGCTGCTTCTCGCGGGCCAAAGGAGCAAACTTCTTCCCTCCTGGAGCATCATCTTCCTGTGAACGGTTATAAGCATGATGCTGACTCCCATTCATCTCTCCTCCATACGCTCCAATATCTTCTCGATCATCCTTTTGACCCTCGCTCGTGGGTGGGTCGTAGGTAGGCTCTCCCCCATCATCATTCACGGCTTCACCTCCTTCTCGTAAATTCATCCGGTCTTGTTGCTCACCTCGGACACCAGCTGGAGCATCATCATCATCACCATGATCTTCCTCATCAGTATCATCTCGGTCATTCATTTCGAAGCCTGAACCAATCTCCTCGTCGTCAGCTAGAAAGTCCTCATCAAACGGATCCGGCTCCTCTGCAAGGACTTCTAGAATCGCACCGATTTGTTGGATCTTTGGGACCTCCTCTGGATGACGCCACCACTCTTCATCTACGTGTTGTCGTCCATCTCCATCGAGACCTACGAGTCTGAAGACCTCTGCTTTCATCTGCTGCATACCCTGAGGCGCTCCAACCTGTGGAGCTTTGGCGAACATCCAAGTAAAACCCTTCCAGGCACTCTTCGCTAGACAGCTCAATTCGGTCATTTGGTTCCCCCATGTCTGGTACAATAGTTGGAACTCGGTTGCTAATGCGGTAGTAGCCTGCATAAGGCGGAGACGATGAGCTTTGTGCTTCTGACGGAGGTGGTTCACCTTTTCATTGGTTCTATCCAGATCAGCCACTAGGTCGGCGATATACTCCTCATACTCTTGAGGTGATTTGTCGCCGTCATAGCATTCCTTGTATGGTTCGAGTTCCTGAACCTTCTTCTCAGAGGTATCAAGTTTGGCCCGGGCACTTGCCATCTCGATCTGATGGAGTGCCTTCAAATCCTGCTCTTTTGTGGCCCACTTCGATTGCTCCTTGTCCTCGATAGCTTGCACGGCGACGCGCATCGATTTTTCAAACACCTGGCGAAGACTGTCATCCTTGAGGAGACTATCGTAGGGCTTCGATGCAGGGGAGTCTTCGTGATGGATAGAGGACTCAGTCTGAGAACACGGATCCCGGTCGGTGACTATGTTTGGAGCTTTCTTGTTCATAAGCTGTTTTAATACTTCTGTCTTGTGCCAGCCGACTTTGACTGGGCCCATTAGTGTTTCGGAAGCTCTCAACGGCACACTCGGGAGTGAAATGAGGCTAGTCGATCCAGAGCTTCGTTTCCCTATGCCATTGCGGCTTGACGAGGTCGTATCGCTTGGTTTTGTACCAAACATTGCGACGTACCCTCCATACAGGGATGGTGGCTCAAGATGTGGCTCTCTAAACGGATCAAGGATTCCAGGCATGAGGAGTATCGACATCTTGATACTTTGTTGAAAGATAAGTGGCCTGGAAAGTTTGAAAAGGAAGGATGGTATGGTTGCTCTCTGGTATATGAAAGATTTGAAAGGTTTGGGTCAGCTGAGGTATGAAAGGAAATGTATCGGCAGGCGCGATTTATATAGGTGCTAGGTGCCCTCCTTCGCTGATATCACGCTATCATCGCGTGTTGGGATCAGTGTCGCGCCCCCATGCCTTGTGCAACTAATGGTAGCATGTCCATGTGAACCAGTCAAACAAATTCGGGGGAAATGCTACGATAGCTGCGACAAAACCCATTGTGTTGTAACAAAGATCACGTGAAGCACAATCACGTCAGGTCGACACAAATCACCCAGACTCCCCTTGTCACTAATTTACTAGAGGGATGTCCATGTGTCACAGTTTCACAACACATCCTCGACCCGTTGAATTTTTTCGTACCTCGTCAACGACTTGATCAAAGGCTGTACACGACAACATCATTAGACATCTTCTGTAGTACTCACTAGCACACAAACGCAATCACAACGTCACTCAAGTCAACTCATCTTGCTCAAATCGCACAATGGCGGCACACAATCCAGCCATTGGGGTCTTTCCGACGGAGATCGTCACCATCATTCTGAGGGAGCAAGCGTCACAACACCAACTACAGCTAAGTACGCGACTAGTAAGTCGCAGATTTGATACTCTTGTGGTCGCCATTTGGTTCGAGAATGTGACTTTGACGGAACGAAACACAACCTTCATGTTTGGCCAAATGAATGTTCGCATTTTCGCATTGCCACGATCATTCGGAGCATCAAACGCTTCTTTACGATTCGCAAGCAATGTCGTAGAGCACACAAGGCATCTAGTATTCGATTCTGAGTTCAGCAACAGCGCTCACTGTCTTCTCGCGACTAACTTTCAAAGACTAGATATCATTGAGTAAATATTTCTTGCTATTTGACGCTTCCTCTGACTAATATGCTCAGGTATGCTGCTATACCAATCCCTCCGAATCCCCAGTGGACAGCCACTCTCGGTCAACTAGCGACGAAATCACGCCATCCACCAGGCATACACTTGAACGCAATTTTGAGCTTGCTAGGGTCAACAGGAACATTTGCAACCATCCCGCAAGGGTGCGTCGTGTCGCTCAAGATCATCAACTGGTCGAATGACCAAGCTGTGCCAAATCGAGAAACCATTGTGGGGAATTTCCTGAGAACCAATCTGCAGCTCAAGACTCTGCATCTTAGAGAGATCATAAGGACGCGCGGCACTCCAAGACAGGAAGACACCTTTCCTTCACTACCAAGAATGACCGACGAGGACAGATTCCCGGCTCTAGATGAATTGGTGCTGGAAAATTACCACTGGCCGATGATCACGACTCAGCCCTGGGACTGGTCGCAAATCGTTCATCTAGAAGTGAAAGGGACCTCAATTCTCCGCTTTCTCCGATCGATAACACCACAAAGCTTCGCAACCTTGCAAATACTAAGGACGGATGGATATGGAGCCTTCTCACATGCGGACCAGTTCGAGGTTGAGATCCGGACGCAGGAGCTGATCACACATATGAGAGTACTTCGCCGGCTCAGTGTACGCGTGATTCAAATGAACTTTGCTTGGCTTCATGCAATACAACGTCATGGTCGTACCCTACATGAACTTTCGTACAGACTCTTCGACAGAGACTCCAACGTTGTCACCCAAGCTTTACCGTACACACCAATCGTCGGGTCAATCATTGATCTCGTCAAAGTCAAGGAGGCATGTGCGAACCTCACAGAATTGAGCATCGACCTTGATATGGTGTACACCTCACCATCGAAAGAAGTTTGGAGCAACGCGTTGGGGCAATTGCGCAATTTGAGGCGATTGACTGTGTACTCTAACAATATGATCTTTGATGATCAAGTCCTCGATCCAAGACAGCATTTTATCTTCTTTGTCTCTCAGTTCTGTGAAGGCTTGTACAGGTCAAAGTATGGCGCACCCTTCGAGAAGGTGACCGTCGAAATCTTCGCCAGCATAGCTCCAGCACCTCCACAGTCTGCAATCATCAGATACTACTGGAATGGACAGATAAATCTAGGTACACCACACGGGCCGGTGATCATGGGTGAAAGTTGGGCGGTTTAAGTTGCGTTGGCGCGAGGATAGCAGAGAGACTACGGAGTGGATCAAGAGGTGGAATTGAATCGTAAGACTAGGAAGCTGGGTAGCGCATAGTCCATAGCGAGCGTGCAGATGACAGTTTCTTTCTGTTTTGCTTCTGCAAGAGGCATAGGTGCCTCATTTCTAGGCCAAAAGTGGCTGCTTTAATGATACTCAAAGCTTAATGAGACTGATATCTCTACCGTGACCTTTGATGCATCCATTTTCGTACTAGATCCGCTGAATGCCACATAGTGAGTGTAGATCTCTTGTCACAGCACTCCCACTTGGACCATCCCACTTCGGGTGCTGCTGCCTTAAAAAGAGTATATGCACGGCGATTAAGGCAAAGCCGTGTGAAGCAACGACGAGTTGAGGCAACAATATCATGCTGTCTCGTGAAATCTGATTATAACACAAATTCCCAATCCGTCTCACTAGCGCCTACATTTCAAGCGTGTTTCCCCCCAAAATAGCAAAGCGCCTCGGATACCTGCATAAGCTCCGTCCAATCCGTCTGGACACGCAAACAACAATACATTATATGCAACACCACCGTCGATTGTCTACGTGAAATCACATCAGAGATGATATAAAACGATGGCTGTGGTAATACAAGGGATTCAACACTTTGGTGATGCTTAGCGTCGTTGGAAGGGTGGGGGGGGGTGTATAAATATATACACATGCCCCAAGAATTCTTCTTTTCTTCAATCAATCTTTCACCTCATCACTTCTCTCATCATACAGCTTCACATACCTACTTCTCATACTTTTTCATCTGTGTCCATCTCTGTCAAAAGTTCAGCACATATACAAAGCACGCGCAGATTAAATCAAGATGTTCTTATCACTGATTCAGCTTCTGCTTCACGTGGTCCACTTTGCTGTCTCAAGTTCGTGAGAGCTTCTCTGTACCCTGCGTAGCATTCTCGATGTGCTCATAACGCTTGGGACTCTCTCCTTTCTTTACGCGACCTTGACATCTTGGGTATCCAGTTTCCAGAAGCAAGTATCCAATATAAAGGATACTCCAGAGGCGCCTGAAGATGCCGTTGAACAGTTGGAGGGTCATGTAAAGCTACCAGAGTACCCTGCCGCCTTGGAAACTCTTGAAACACCCGTCGAAGAAGCGCAAGTATGTGGTAGTATGGCAAATTTACTCGTCGATGCTGATCAAAATAGGATACTCTGACGAAGCAGGATTCGCATCCTAAAGATATTGCGTCCTCTTTTGACGAAGCTGCCGAAAATATTGCTCCATCAGAGGTTGTCTTGACATCTACCTCCAAGCTCGATCAGAGCAATGTCGTAAGTTCAGACTTCGACACTGTTTTCGGATCGAATACTGATCCATGACAGGTCGTGGTCGACTCTGATGGCGAAGTCGAAGTGCTCAAGACTAGATACTTAGTTATTGGTATCGACAATACGTCAAGTCTTAACCTTGCTCAGCAACCACATCCCTCTGGAGGATATCTATCAGTCAATGAAGAGCTGAGCTTTGCACCAGCTACCACCAAAAAGAGTCCATTTCTCGACCATGTGAACGAGCATCTAGAACACACAGTCGATCCTACAGCAGAAAATACTCAGACTGCAGATGAGTTTTCGAGTCATAGCGCGAGCTTTTCTGGAGCAACAGACAAGGATGTAGGCAGAGACGTAAAAATCAGCCATGCATACAAGGCCGAAGCAGTCGAAGCAGCCGATCAGGAGACCGCTGAAGCGACACACATCATACACGTCAAAGAATCTGCAGACAGATCTGATCCAGAGGAGGCTATCAATATGTCCCGAAACTTGCCTCCAAAGAGTGATTCAGTCATACACGCGGTTGAAGCATCTGAGGCAGCGCCGGTTTGCCCCTACGAAGTACCCTCAGTGTCAGTAGCTGCCGAACTCAATCGCGCAGAGTTGGACCAACTATTGGTGGATATTGAAATGGCCTCCTACGCTGAGAAGTATGATTGTCCAGAAAAGGTTATTGAGTCTGGCAAGCAGCTGGCGGACGCGGGACAGAAGCTATCAGAACATACAGGAGACTGTGAGAACATTTCTTCTCCCAAGATATCTGATTATGGAGCAGTAAACACCAAGCTGCAAGACGACAACGCTGAGCCGTTGGGGCAATTGGCTCCAAACAACGAGGAAGAACGGACTTCACTCTATAACTCTGAATCCGAACAATCGGGTGAGACGAGTTCTACATCAACGATCCAACGTCAAGAAAATATCACGGAACAAGGTCTTTCTTCGCAAGAGTCGGGTGACTGTATAAATACTCCTTCCTCAAGCCCCAGTCTGGCCAATGTTTATGACACCACTACAGTCACACCTCCAAAGATGCAAGTCTTTGGAGGCATCTCTTCATCTTCATCTCCCCAGGATACTTCGAAGCCGATAGATTGGAGTGCCTTAGACTGGGCAATGTCTGGTTTTCCTCGTTTGCCCTCTACAAACGCTTCGCCGATAAGCTTATCGTCTCACGCAAAAAGCCCATCGGCTGCCCCAAGATTTGAATTCACGCCTTCAAAGATTGAACGCGCCCAAGAGATTTCAATATGTGATGGTGCGCAACAAGATGGCAAAGCATCAAAATCCACAAGTCGGCGTAATCAGGAGCGTAAGAAGGCAAAGGCAAGGAGAGTGGCGGCAGAGGCAGAGGAACGAGTGAAAGCTACTGAAGCGGGTCAAGCTTCAAAGCAAATAGCTGAAGAAGAGCTGTCAGCGTTTCCACCACCACCAGAATCTGATACAAATTCGGCTACGTCAGGTCAGCTGAAAGACGCAACAGAACAGAGGAGAACAGCTTCTAGCACCACACCCGAAGCTGATTTGAGAGTGCGTTCGGAGAAGGAGACGGGCGTTGACAAACCCGATGCTCCAAAGAAGAAGGGCCCCAAGGTCCTTACCATTTCTATGGATCAAGTTCACTCCGAGAGAGAGAAACCACGTCTGCCTGTAGATGTCAGCAGATCCAAGATTGCCAGCCAAAGTCGATCCAACGTCAAGCAAGAGACCCTCGAGCAGACAAAGCAAGCAGAGTTTTCGAGTCGCGGAACACTAGCTGTTGAGATATCAAAGCGTCCAGCTGTGTCCGCACCCAAGGTGGCTGTGGAGAGGGTCTTAAAAGCCGTCCCAAGCTTGTCCCAGATGGAATCCAATCTGAGGCACCGAAGTGGCACGCAAGTCTCTCTTCAGAAATTGCAAAGCGCACCGGTAAAGGGCGGTGGGCCATGGGCACAGATTGTGAGACCACGCACAGGAGCGCCATATCAGCCCATTACGCAGACACGTGCGCCCATTGCGCAGAAAAAGGAGCTTGAACAGGCGGACGTGAAAGCAATGCAGAGCATCGCCTTAATTGGTGACGACAAAAAGATTCGGGAACAGATACGAGAGGATGGTGCATTCGACATCGTTTCATATGCGAAGCCAAAAAAGGGGTTGAAGGCAGAGAAAAACATAAAATCGCGAACCCCACCTTCATGCTCCTTCGATGAGTCTGAGAGGAGGAGGTACAAGGGTTCAAATACATACAAGGCAGGGCGTATGCTGGGATAAAGACTCGGTATAAAGACTCGGAAGCAGAGAGGGACAGTGATTGCCCTTGGGGTTACATGGATCATGTCTGGTAGCTTTAGGTTTGACTTTGCGTACGAAAGAGATGGTACTGAAATGCTGTCTTCAGGGCTTCTCGTCCAGTTGAACACGATTTTTGTAGATATGTTTCCCCTGCTGTGCCATGGTAGAAGCCGGGGAACTCTGACTATGTAGAGAATATGAGCCAACATACGGTCATCAATCTGAGCACGCACCCACTCCAGTGATACTCACACCTACTATCTTCATACATTTCCTTGGTAATTCCTTCCCAAATCGTGTCGAGAACGACCCACCCTTACCTCCAGGACCGAACGACCCCCACCATCTCCCGCCTCTTGACCCCACCACTTGCCCAGAAAAATCATGCAAATGGTCAGAGCAGGTCGAAGATTCGACATCACTGCCAGAAACCACAGAAAGAAATTCGAGAGTGGAATCGAGTGTTCAGGTGTTCCTTCGAAATCGTTTTCTAGGCCCACTTACAAGCACGACTCGCCCCATCGGATTTCCTTAACAATGGCTCTGCTTGATTCAATCTTATACCATTTTCGATGCGCAGAAGGTCAACGCACCGCCACCTCCACTTTTAAATCGTCACTGGATCAACAACAGCTGTGCAATACAGAGTTTCCTGCCAAGATTCTACATACGGTCGAAGAGGCTATGCCACTTACTTGCTGCGCATTTCTAGACAGGGGCAAATGCTAGAAACGCTTCGCGTCATGTTTCCCAATATGTATGACTGGCATGTGGTTCCTGCTACCGTGCACACTCGTCTACTGAAGCCTCTACCACACTGGAATCTGCATGGGTCTGCATACTCAGCAGTTATTACACGACATCACCACCCATGCAACAAACAAGCTCATTCTAGCACCGCCTCATCGCCATAGAAGTGCCTGTAGTCCCACCAACACCCCTCTATCTGTGAGCGCAAGTAATCCTGGTCAGTCATCAGTTGTCGTCGGAGCAGTAGTATCCTGCTCCAGCTACCCACTAGAACAACACGTGTCAGCGACGTCAGCGGGTGAGCTGGAAAAGGTTGATGGCTTACGGTCAGACGGTTCGGGCCTTGATTGCAAAGCCCTGAGCTCAGTTTTCATGTCCGTGATAGGCGGTTGTAAATAGCTCTTCAGGTCCCGTTCAGCTCTCAGCGCGAAAGCGTACATGCAGTTCTCGCATCGGTAGTTGTGGTTGCGGTTGAGCGCTGGGTGGCCGCAGGAGTATCGATAATTTGGCATGACTTGGTGGTGTACTTGGTGGTGACTGGAAGAGGTCCTGGGATGTCTGGCGTAATAGCCTGACGTGCTGTTGTTTCTGCTAGATGTTCTCGTACAGTAAAGATTTTTTTGTGCCAGTGTAAGTTGAGATCTGACGGTTGACATATAATCGTGGTTGCGAGACGTATGCTGACTTTAAGTAGGTAGAGGATGTCGTACTGAGATTGCTCAACGTGGTGTCACAAGCATGTTTCGTCGTGCAGTCGAGGTATGACAAAGACTGTTGTCACACAATAACTGTGAATAGCTGAACTTTGCGACTCTCCAACATGGATTCTGTGACACGTCTCCAGGAGTTTCCAGATATCGAAAGCAGCAGATACAGCACAATGCAACACAACATCATTGTTCGGAAAAGCCTGAAGCACAAAGCCAGCACAACTATTGAAAGGTAGGCTTCTCATTGTGTCAGTATATCATCAAAGCCTTCCTCCATTTCAATGTCAATCTCAACCTAACGAATGTAGGCTTCATGACCTCTACCCACGGCTACCATCGTCCTTAGGTCGAGGCCCATAATACTTCTCGTACTGAGCCCAGACCTTGTTCGTTTTCCGCTCGAGATCTGCCTTCATATTATCCAGAGACTCCTGCAGCATTTCGATTTTGCTACCGTCTATTCAGGAATCGCAACACGTCAGCAAGTGAAACATTCTTCGTGGTGTTGTACTCATCATCTGTCATACTTTTGAGTGGTCTTCCCATGCCTTTCAGCTTCTTGATTTCGTTCTTCTTCTTTTGAATGCGAGCTCTGTAAACCCCCTCCAGCTTGTCGGCGTCGGCAGTTGCATACATCTGGCAGTGCCATTCGCAGTACACACCCTTGCTTGGGGGCGGTGTCTCTTTTTTACAACCACAATCATAATCATGCTGGTATATTGATAAGCTCATAATGGTCTGAGATCTGCACCGAGCGAGGAAATATTGGTGCAGTGATTTGTGGTTACAACTGGGGCCGTAGATTTCACGATCTAGTGAGTTGAGGAAGTGAGGAGAATAGGGACAGGTTCTTGTGGTCTGATTGAGGTAATACATGGGTGAAACAAATGATGCTTGGAAACAAAGACGCGCTGCTCGAAACAAAGGATATAGGTGTCTGTTTCAGACGATTCGAAGAATTATGGATGATTGTATGGGTAGTCGCTTGGATAATCTACCAAAGCTACAAGTCTACCTCGAATCCATCCAGAGCATTATGTCAAAGGAGTGTGATGAGTTTGACAATTCGCCATCAATAACTAGCTGGATCTCCATGGTACCTCCGATATTCATTCCAAGCCACGTATACCCCATCTTCATGTTTCCTCTCCGCTTCCCCCAGTTCTTGTTGTACTTTTCCAAGCCTTTCGTCAACTGATCATGTTCGAAGACGAATAAGTCAGACTCATCTTTGTTCATAAAGCAGAGTGTGTGGTGGATCTACCTTTAGGTGTCTTCTCTGATCTCTCCAGCTCCTTGATCTCCTGCTTTGCTTCTTTGATGAATGGACGGAGAACATTGTCCAGTCTATTTTCTTCTATCATTGCATCTTTTGCGCAACAATCCGGGCACCTATGTGTGCGTGTCCCGTAGGGACAGTAGCAGCCACAGCTCCATTTGAAGTCACCGGCGTTAGTCATTCTGATTCGAGTTCTTGAGGTTTTGATTTTGGGTGATGAAGTGTGTGGGCTGAAGGGCCAGGGTTATTGGATATTGTAAGAACAAAGAAGCCCGAGCTATGGAGGACGACTTATCAGTCCTTTGAGGGAGGGATTGAGGTGATACAAACCTTGCAATGTAGTGCAGAAACATTGTCCGACGCGAGGAGAGCACGGAGTCTCTGCATGACGCTACGTCCTCGAAGGATCTTGCATGAGTGAACGCCAATTGTTCATGAGAAGAAGCCAACGCCACTGGTCAGAGCAAGACAGATCGAAGAGTCGAGCTCTTATTAGATGCTGTATCAGCTTTTGATACAGCGTCATCACAACGCTCATCCTGATGCTTCGTTCCCGCTGACAACACCCAGACGATGCACCAAGACCCGCAAAAGCCTTTTATATCGCCGTGAAAGCAGCCCAAACCACCCACGTTGCGCCAAAGCCCTATCAAATCCATCAGCAATTGTAAACACCCAGCTTTGAACAACTTACACACACTTCTCACCCCTCACATCATCATCGCATCCAGCAATGCCTCCTCACTCGCGATCAAAAAGTCCTCCTCCATCGCCTTCAAATCCTCCCCGTTCGGCCCATAGTGCTCCTTCAACTTCGCCCAAATCCCCTCAACCTCCTTATCAAACTTCTTGATCGCTTCGTCCAAGTCCTCCTTCAAGTGCCTCAGCTCGCTGGCATTGGTCCAATTGAATGTCGCGCCTGCCACAACTGTCAGCCCCCTTTCCCCTTCCCCCTTCCCCCTTCCCCCTTTCCCCAACCCTACCCCACCCCACCCCATCTCACGTCATCTCCGCCCATCTCCACAAACACACACCAAAGGGAAGGAAAGGCAAGGCAGGGAACGTACAGATCGCCTTAGGATCCAACGCCTCGATCAGCGCTATACGACTATGTTTCTGCTCGATCACAGGCACCCAGCGCGTATAGCAAGCTTTATCGATCTCGAAGAGCGTCTTGTTCATGCAGTCGTAGCACTCGTAGTCGACGGTGCGGTAGTTCTCGCGGTCGGGCCCGGAGAAGTGGTCGCAGATGTAGGCGGTGGTCATTGTTGTTGCCATCGCTGCTGCTTTGGTAGGGTTGGGGGTGGTTGGCGGGGAATGCGGAGGGGGGATTGGTGGCTTGTTTGGGAACGCGCTGGTGCTGGCGTGGTGGCGAATGGGTTGTTTATCATGTGATTTCGCCTATTTGGGAAGGAGGAGATGGGGTAAAAGGGTAAAGTGGCTGTTTACGGCGTTGCAACTGCCTTGATTACATGAAGTCTATTCTAAAAGGGGCAGATCTATCTCGCGAATTCTTGACTTGAGCCGTCTCTAGCTAGAAGTTCAAGTAGCTCGACCTGATGCGGACAGAGAGAATAGTTCTGTCAGGCGTAGACTACTACTTTGGGCGTGACCATGGCCCGCAGATCATGTTTGCTTTCTTAAAAGGGGCAGAAACTCTTTGTGTGTACTGAATTCAAGCTATTTCTGGCCATTAAGTCAAGTATTTCAGCCCGATTGGGAAAGGGGGAGAGCTTCACTTGGGAGAAACAACGATTTGCAACGTGATAATCGCCTCGAAATCATCTTTGATTCCTTAAAAGAGGCAGAACTATCTCGCCTACGCTCAATTTGAGGCGTTTCTAGTCATAAAGACTCTTAAACTAAGGCAGATACCTTTGCCGCAAAGCGAGCATCTCGGGCTCTCTCCTCTGCACTCTCCTCTCTCTCAACCAGATGGTTCAACTCAGGATTCCTGCGATGGCAGTGGCGCGGTCCATACGTCGCATCTAGCTCCCCGTAACACTCCTCCCTGAATCGGTCGTAGGCTCCCACGGCGGTCTCGTACTGGTGATTCAGCTTCTCTCTCTCATTCCCTACGGTCCAACCGGCAGGTGCTACGTGCTAAATTAGCATTTCGTCCGTTTGTACTATAGCAGCTTGCCAATTGGGGTTTCTTTGATACGTACACGTGGTTTCAAATGGCGTATTTGCGTCCAAAGGGCTGATAATTTTCAGTTTCGTCCTCGCCGCCTCGAACGCGTGCTCCAGCTCCCACTTCCTTGCGTTGAACCTTTCGGTTGCTTTGCTGTGCATGCATACGAAGCAGTCATATGGTAGCTTTACTCCTTGGATTGGTAGGCGGCTAAAGGACTGCTCAAGTTTCTTCGTTCTCGGCGTAAAAACGCATAGACAAGCGTACTTGATGTGCTTGGGAGCCATCTGTGCTTTGCGTATGGCTAGTCGTCGCAGGGTCTATGTGATAGACGATATAGAGATGTGATTTACGATAAAGAGGCAGTCTTCAGGCAATGTGGCGCAGAGAACGTTACTCCCTGGCGGCCAATTTTACTATTAGGGTATCAAAACAAGCTAGTACATTTGCTAGTCCCGAATAATCGACGGCAGAGTTCCAAACACGACTATATTGCTTTAATATCTATCTATAGCTGACTATAGTCTCTGGCATTATGCTACTGTATACCTTTCCTAAGCTATTGGCATAGGTATCGAGCCAGAGAAGGTAAAGCGTTATTAAATGAAGAATGATAATAAGTGAATTTGTGCCTCAGATCATCCGTATATCATAACGCCTTTCAACAATTTAACCTTCTCTACGTTTAGATCTACTCCTGAAAAGACTGTAGCAGACTTCGTATGAAGGCACATGTGGCCTGAAAAGCTTCTTTGCTTACTGCAAGCGGCTACCGTGGATATTGCGTAGAAAATGGCCGGTTTATGGACAGCCCCTTTTCCGGGTCCCTAGCCTTTGCAAAATCTCCTGTTTTCCCGCAATTGGACGATACCGTTCTTACTCAGTTTCCATTGGTAGTATTCGCTGTCACCGCAGCCGGAAGAGGCGTATAGCGATGATGTGGCAGTGCCCACCCAGTACGGTCACGCTCCAAATTGTACCCTGCTCTGATTCTACGCTCACGTGCCCACATCAAAACAACGAGCCTATCCTTAATGTCCTCGATTCTCTGCCTCAGCGTAATCCCATGGATCGTGTCTAATCATGACTTTTTAGCATCAAGCTCCCTGGAAATGCACGGTAATTTGGAAAGGAATGAAAGACGGAAATCAAGACGTTGTAAAGGAAGTCAATTACCAATCGCGTCTAGATCTGGACGAGTCGTATAAATACCCCATTCAAGTCTGAGGATGATCACCTCGGGATTGACGTCGTGTGCGTGATTTTGGAAGGCCTCGCGGCGCTCGCAGTTCTCCATCGCGTGCGTCTCGCAAGGGCGGACCAGGTTGGTTTCGTCATTAGGTGCTACACAGCCGCATTCCGTATAGTGGTGCACAGTAGCCGGCGGGTTTGTAGCGTGAGGCATCGTGATACTGGACAAAATACTGCTGAATTTGTGTGCAAGAGGGATGAGAAATATGTGAGGAACTGTCGTAGGACGTGAGAAGCAATTGAGCACAATGGAGATGTCTTGATTTTACTATTCTTATTGGCTATTCGGCGACAATACAGATAATTGACAGAGAACAAGACTGCAGATACTGTATTTTGCTAAAATAATGGTGCGAAATGAGCAACACATCAACGATCTATTAATAGATATCCTCAAGCTGCGATGAGGAAGGCAGCTCTCTCCCAAGGCTTTGGATGGAGACGGCTAGCATCATGAATAAAATATCGACTTCAAGGATTGAATTCACGGGAGGACTATTCAATCTGGTATAATGGCTTAGTATCACAAGTCGAAGTTAGCTCAACTAAGAGACGCAGCCGTCAATTGAGACTAGTGATTTGAATGTAATTGAAGTTCTTATATCTCAACGATCACGCATATCAGTACATCGCCTTTCCTGCACAAGGTGCATGTGGCTCCTGATCATGAATGACTAACTCTAGGGCAGCAACGACCGTTTCAAATTTCGACGATGTAGGCAAAAGCCGGTTTTGTTACACCTAGGTGGCCAGATCACATCCTCTGTAGCGTCTTTGCAGCCAACCTATCAAAAATAAGCATACAGAGGATAGTAGGGGCAGCGTGCTAACATCTGCGACAGCCATAAGAGTTTCCTGCTCGTCAGTACGTTAGGACAGAGTGATTTTTGGCATGCAAGAATAAAATGGTGCCTGAATACCCATCTATCGCATCCTCTAAGTAGGAACTATGATTCTGAGACTTCTTCAATGATAAAGAGTGTATGAAGTTTGTTTGCAGACAATGTTCCCCCATGACCCGTAGTCAGTGCCAAAAAAAAATGCTTCCCAACTATGGTAGTCAACTTTCTTGGAAGCTCTTGCCACTTCTCCAATCTTTCTTTGCACTTCGGGCTATGCAGGATATCTTTCATGAGCAATAGACCATCTAGTGCGGCGACGTTCTGCTATATACGCCATACGCTTCTCTAAATTGTAATAGTTCTTCCAACAATGTATTCTTGCCTCCATCCTAACTTTCAATTGACCGATTGGTCCCCAAATGTCCACTTCAAATGAATCAGCACAGGTCTCGGCTGAGGAGATAAGGTATGTCATTGAAAAAAGTGGAAAGGAAGCTTGACATTAGAATGGGCTCTTACATTGTGCACCAAAATCCACATTTGCAGGTATAGCGTCTAATGTCTCCTGAGCTTTTTGGCGCCATTCATTACTTTGATACCTTTGATCTTCTACGGCTTCACGCCTTTCACAATTTCGGCGCGCACAATCCTCACAGGGACGATCGAGGTCGGTCTCCGTAAAGGGAGCGTCACAACCACATTCAATGTAGTGATTAGCTGAAAGTGGATTGGTGGCGTGTGGCACGGCTGGATTGATTGTCACGTCAACGGGTATGAGTGGCAAGTGAAGAAGTTGGATTGTAGATGCTGGCGAACTTGTTGTCTCGAGATTCATTGTGTGAATGCAGAAACTAGAGGCATCTCTTCGATAAGTGTCGCTCCTATATATTTTTGGGCACTTCAGCCAAGAGAATTTGCAGGAAGCCACAAGAGCGGTTGTTGGTAGACGAGAGGCCAACAGAGGCATTTACACGCCGCGGGAAAGGTTTGAAAGGTATGCTGCATATCGTGACTGTTGGTGGGTAACATCCAAAGCCGCAAGCTATCAGCCTATACCAGATCGCTCGTCCAGACGTGGCCAGCATCGTGCTATCGCTCCTGGATCGACGGGCGAGGTGCGACATGAAGCTCTTCAGCGTACATCTTGCATTTGCTTCATCTGCAGAGCAGTTTCAAGTAGCTCTGTAAATCAATTTGAAGGCTGTTTGGTAGGTCCCAGTATTTTCAGGGCAACAAATCTTCTCGTATCCTCGCCTGACATGGCTTCTAGCCCTCGCAAATCGACGTACGAAATCCATGTAGCTTTAGAAGGACTCGAGAAGACCCCGCAGCTGCATTTTCGTTTCTATTCAATCCGAGGACGACTGAGCCCGGCGACCTTAGGCGGCAGCACTTTGTTTGATTTGTTTCGTTCAAGGGTCCAGATGCTCCCGAATCAGAATGCCGTTGGTTCCTCTGTGATGACTAGGCGAACTTCTTTCGAGACCTTGAGGTTGCGCAATGCATTCAAGCCTCCATCTGATTCAGCCTGTAAGAGTAGTCGATCAGAAAATAAATATTGCATTTGAAACGTCTTCGATGGTATCTCGACTGCTAGATTCCGGAGGTTTCTGGGCGCAAGTCTCCAAAGCTGATCCGCGAAGAGCACTTCTTCATCTGTGTAATGAAAGCCCAAGTTTCGGTATCGGGTCTTTGGTGTAGCTTCACGAGATATCGTACGCGAATCCAGTTCCTGGTCCGATCCTTTGCCCCTGAACTCTTGGCGCGCTCTTTGAGGACTAGCGTCTCCTTAGGGTCTCTAAGGTATAAGGTACTGGCCTGCCACTTGTCACTTGAATTTGCACAGAGTCTGACTTATTTCCTAATGAATATTGGTAATGCCTCTTTTACAGATTTTCATCATGTCCGTCTAAATCTGGTTTAAGCAGGCTAGCCTTTCACACCACTTCGCCTGACAAGGTTCGCTCTTGACTGGCATGCCGTTCCCTTTGCTTTACACGATCCACGCCTCCATCTATCAACGACTCCGGATTGGAATCTATCCTTAGACTTCAGAGTTGATGGGTCTACATCCATGTCCCTCAATTCCTTCTCTTGGGGACTGCGATCGGCATCGACCACCGCGTCGTCTTCTTCGTCCACCGATGCCTGAATACTTTGGACCTTCACATTTGGTGGCTCGGCGGTCTTTCAAAGCTTCAACTCAACTATTTCCAAGGATCATATCGACAAGACCAAAGCAGCCTTCTCGTTCCTTCTCTCGTCTTCTACCAATCCGCCCGATGCCCAGAGTCTTGCGCTGCATACGAAATTGACACAGTTTCCACCAATGGTGACTTGGTAAGATCATCACATACAAATGATGAACAAAGATCTGCATTAGGTCACGCTACTGTCCAGGTCTAGCTTATCAGTGTTTGATGTCGTTCAAGGCGGAAAAGCCTAAATGCTCAAAAAGGGAGTCGAAGACACAACAGGGAGGCTGGGAATTAAGACTGTGGCTCTACTTTCAGGCATGGAGCACGTCAGTGCACTGGAGCAGGTACCATCCAACGTCAATTGTTGAATCCCTGCTTAGAAGCTGATACTCGTCAGAACAGAGCTGATTTGGTTACCCTTCTTCTAACGTTGGTGTACACTGGTCTTTGAAGCCACCTAGCACGCTCTAGCATGACACAGTCTACAAGAAAGCAAAGGCCCGTTCCTTAGTGTTCCACCCTCTACCATTCGCGCATCACTCACGTGTAGTCCAGTCGTTCTTCCCAATATGGGTCTTTGATATTCGTCCAGGGGACGCTTTTTTCCCGGGTACTTCTCATCAACATCCCGCCAAATTGCCTTCATCAACATCTCCCGTTTTGCCTCAAGCGCATCGATCTCGGCTTTTATGGCTGCTTTTTCATGGTAGACTGTTCGGCCACTCTTCACTAGAGACAGGTGCAACACAGTCAGCATCGTTCATGCGAGCCTTACCTTTGGAGGAACAGAAGGAGAGAAGGGAATAAACACATGGGATTTCAGTCAAGGGGCAGACGAACGCTTGCTGTCATTATCCATTTCCTGGAGCTTCATCAACTCTCCTCGGCAATCGGCGAGGTGCTTCGAAATTGGCTCAACATCTCTCTCCTGCCTCTGACTTGCTTCGTCGACCATTCTCCGCCTGTTCCTATATAGCGACATAGCGAGTCAAATGCTGAAGACTCGGAACTTCCTACCAACGATATCATGTCGAGAATGGATTTTGATCAACGGGTGACAGCTGAGATCGAGGAGTAGAAATTGAGACCTGGCAGGATTTTGAGAGGAAGAGGGTATTTCTGTTACGAAGGTCGCACTGAATTGCGGTTTGTGTCACCATCATTCGTCAGCATTCTTTGTACGACAAATGACGACCGCGTGATCATATTCAGGACTTGAAATACACATGGCCCTCTTGGATTTGTGGGGACACCGTATTCCATGACACCGCGATCTTACATTCAAATTGCGCTGCATTTACCTGTCGGTGACTGGTCTATTGGCTCACAATACGTCTTTGAACAAGGGCTATGATCCCATCAATCCCATCACCCTTGTTTGAAGGAACGAATGCGAAGGATCTCCTAGGCAACCACATGGCAGTGCTGTGAAGCTTCATCACACAATATATCTAAGAGATGTGAGCATGAACGAGCAATCAAGAAGGGCTCAAGACAGATATCAAGCCTGGGGAGGTTGCAATATGACTCTAGCTTCAAGAATGAAACACATTCAGCGAACACTGAGAAGGTACTAGGCAAGGTCAAGCGCACTCAAAAGCTAACGCTTGGCAGAACAAAGCAGATCGGTTTTCTATCTTCTGAGATGGGTAAGACAATCGTCTACAACGACACTCAGCACACACGAGCACGATCTGCAGTCTACTAGCATGTAGCAAACATCTTCTAGAGTGAACCCCCCTTCCACCTTCATAGCCATCTCTCACATCTATGTAGACTACAGCTCATATTCTCTGAAAACGGCTACCTCATGATTCTCCCCGGGAAATTTTTCGTTGTAGTCTCTCCAAATCTCGTCCATCTTGGCTTGCTCATCCCCCTCCAACTTAGCCTTCTTTACTTGAATGTTGAACTTTTCTTGAAAGACTGTCAACCCGCTTTTCACTAGATGTTGACCGTAAATGTCAGCAGGCTTTATGGTACGCTCATATGACGTGAAGGGAGAGGCAAAGCGAGTGCTAGCAAGAGCAACTTACGTTTCTCTTTCTCACCCATACCCTTGAGCTTGTCCAGATCCCGCTTACAGAGAGCGATCTCCTTGCCAATTGGATCGACATCCCGAGACTGCTTGTAACGATTCTCTTTGCGCTAGATGCATTGTTTGCAATGAGATCCGCCGGGGCAATAATGCGAGAGGCGAGGGCACCCGTGAGTCATGATAAAGCTTTCGTGTGTAGTTGTGATGTTTAGAGGTCGGTAGGAACACAAAGGGGGAGGTGTGAAGATTGCGGGAGAATGGAAGAATACATATCTCGCAGAACTTGTGCAGAGAGAAAGTTGGGGGTGCCTGTACGACACGAAACATGTCAATAAACCATCTTTCATGATCCAAGTGGTTGAGTGACTTTCGGTTATATGATACACGCCCTCGAGCTCACGAATCGACTGCAGTACCACATCAATCATTGAAACGATACCAGCTCCTATAACATCCGCCTCTGCATTCATGCTGCTACACGTAATGCATATTCCTCTTGTTAGGGCAACGCCCTGATCTGCAGTCCAATTGTATGATCATACGACGCTCGCCGCATCCCTGACTTGCCTCTCCACAGGCTTATAGACCTCGACCTATCATTCATTCCAAGCCTTCAATCTCAAAGCAAAACAATCCTAGGCGTATTCAACTACAACGCAAAGCTTGCCAAACCACCACCAAACATCATTGTCGATGATATTCAACCCAGACTCGCTACTGTTCTTTGCAAATTTTCCATCAGGACAGGCTTCGAAACCAACGCTTTCTCGAAACACTCTTCATTTTGAGACTGTACGACCGGCACATTTCCAGAGGAACTTTGTCCGATTTCAATGCCTCGTAACAGAGAGATCCTTGATCCAAAGCCACGTCCCTGCGCGAGTCTCACTCCAGGATTGCATTCGAGCTGCGAAACCCAAGCAGCTTTCAGAGACACAGGGACTTGCAGTGTGTGCCTTTGAGGTTTTGGTACCAAGCCCAGCCATCATTTGCGAACACATTGTCAAATGTGATCTTTGTTTTTGGGTTTTCTCATTGGGACTCTCCGTGGTCGAAGAGTGTACGATAGTGGCTCGCATTGAATAATGTTACTCGCTGATGTGTGAGGATTGGCTGCAGTCGCGCGCAAAGCTCCAAGATGACGTTGTTCATAGGTCTACCGCTAATATCCGGACTCATCAAAGCATAAACCGGATGGTTTGGTAGCCTTGGAGGCCCCAACACTTGTCGTTCTATGGCTCATTGTCCCTAAGGTGGACGAGGTATCCACATAATTGCTGCTCACGGGGTTCATGCCGTCGGATTGCGTAGTCAGTAGTTGTCGTTAGGACTCCCTGACGAGTGCTTCATCATGCAATTCAAGAACCACTGTGTCAAAGTAGCTCTCTAGTCTCATGACTAGCAGGTTCATCGCCCTGTTTTCGTACCTTGTCAGCTTTCTAGCAACTTAGCCGGATCGAGCCTAGCTCCAGTATTCGCTTTGTCTTGAACTCGTTCTTTGCACAACGTTCAGTGTGCAGTGAGTCATTGATCACTCAACGCTATATTTGAATTGAGAAAGCTATCGAAAAGGAGAATGGCGGGGCGATAATATTGGTGGTGAGTAAAGTTCACTCCTTGGTGACACAGACTCCAATTCTCTGACTTGTTGATCCCAGCGCGGGGAGGCAGCGTATTGGCGTTCGCTACCTGCCGGTTCTGAAGCCATCTCCTGACGATACCAATTCTGCATGACGGAAGTCCCAACGATCCGAGGCCTTCGGTCCGTCGAGCTTGACAACTCTGGTGGCATTTTCTCGTCCGCTTCCATCTCGGACAATTCCCAAGGACTGACGCCTCGGACCTCAGGCTCTGTTGATTGTTCAGAGACTGCATGGCTTGGTGATCGCTTTGAAAATGGTATTATGTCCTGAATCAAATCGTTCCCTCTTCGTTTTTGCTTCATACTTTGGCGAAATTTTTGGAGCGCTTGAGAGAGAAATGAGAACAGGGGCATCAAAGAAGGAACATTGGCTATGACCAGCATCCTATGATCAGCAATTTCATCGGAGATCGAGAGCATGGGTTGACGCACCGCATATGGTTGTAAAATTGATTTCTATGATCATCCAGATCGCCGCATATTCTGAGAACACCTGCTGATTGTCCGGACTGAGCTGTACAATCAAGTACGCAAACCTGACCATCGATGCCGCTATTGTACTGTGGAGCATCAGATACTGTGCAGGCTCCAACGCCATGAATAATTTCTCAAGAGTACTCACAAAGTGCCTAACAGGAAGACTGCGACCAAAGACAGCTTTTGGACTCGTGGTATATCCAGTTTCCACAACCATGGCAAAGGCAAGAGCAAGATCACAACATCGGTCAAAATGTGCGCGCCTGCAGTTCCCGCCATGAGTTTCGCTCCTGCCAAACAATGACGCTCCCACTCTTCCACATTGTTCGAGTAGATGCCAACGCTGAAGATGGCCGCGAGAAGCTAGAAAGAAGTAAGCAGGGCGCTCTGCTCATCAACGCTCAATCACTGACAGTGGCCAAGCCCCAAACAGAGACGAGCCCCAATAGCCAAAGCAGTTTCACGCGATTCTTCCTGTTGTCGCCAAAAAGTCGCCAATAAAACGCAATAATCGAGCACTTCGTGACCCATAATGCCAGCACCCAGAAGAGGTAAGTCGCAAAATTGCTTTTGATCAGGACGTGCGCTGAGGCTGTGAAAGCAGACCCCGTCGTCAAATAGATCGTCACGCTCGACGTTGCAATAGCAAAGATCTACGGTGCATCCCGTCAACAACTCGCGGCTCCCAGAAGCGTAGTCTTCCTGGATATTGCGACGTACCACGGCCGGAATGATCAGCCAGTCATCCCACCACAGCCCTGCTTTCGATACCTTCCGTGCCAATATCCTCAGACAACAAGCCGCGACGCTGACAACACCAAAGGTAATGGCGACAGGCGGAATGGCTCTCGAAACATTGTCATAGCCAGCTTCTTTCTCAGCCATAGCGTTGAGCTCGCGGGGACCGATAGGAGAAGAGGAAGGGCAAGAAACAACGCGAAAATAAGAATATTGGTGGGAAAAGTGCTGACAGAGGGTTTGAGGCGATCACCTCCCTCCTTATGAAGGATTTAACCTCACAGCTAAGCACGCACCATTGTCATTATCGGGCGGGAAGGGCTGACAGAACCACGTTTTCAAGAGAGGCACAGGGGATCATCGGTAAGCACTAAAACATGTCCAGCGTAGCGGACGATACTAAGGATCGACTCGCCCAATACCAGAGGCTCCACAGGCTATTCCAATCTTCAATCCGGCTAACGATATGGGAGCTGACAAATTGCATGTGCCGCAACTCAGTCGTTGATGGAGGACCTCTGACGTATTGTGGCTTTTGTCAAGGGAGAAGCACTGGCCTGCCTGTGAGAATGTCCAAGGGTGCTCCAGGGGAGTTGTCCTCACGAAAACGCCCTAAGCTACTCTAGCACAGTCGAAGGGAAGGAGCCGCCAGGGGCCCCAGAATGTAGTAAGCACTCATACCAAAACGTCCACCGCGAACGACCTGACCTGTCGGGCTTTATGCAGCTCTGATGTCAAGACAGCGTACATTCGAGGCATCAAAGCTCTCATTGCGATGTCACGACTTGCTCACCAGCCTCAGCACTTCAGCTCTCAATCCACTACGGCCATTCTAGTAAATCGCCAAACCGCTTCTCATCCACTCCCACCCTACCCATTCGACCCCCAGACCCTCCTCTCAATGATTCCCCCCAACACAAGCTTCTTCTCCGCTATCCCCTCCTTCCACGTCGTCAAGTACACACTAATGGCGCTCGGCCCCCATGCCCCGGCGCTCGCAATCTCCGCAAGCCCCTCAGCAAGCATCCAATACTCCACCGTCGCCCTCGCCGCTAGGCTCACAGCATACTCCTGCCCTACGCACACATACTCCCATTTTTGATTAGTATCTAAGTGGGTGAAGCGTGGCTGCTGCGCCGCGAGGACGAGGAGGGCTTCCATGAGCGTGATGCCGACGGCAAACTCGTTGGGGCGGCCGATGGGCGTTATGGAGGCTGTTATGCGGCCAGCGTGGGCGCAGATGTCGGATGCTGAGCCGGAAGAGTTTATGGTCGTGGTGATGGTGGTGTTGGATCGGGCGGTAAGATTCGCACCCGCAAGTCCTCCACCGTCAGCAACTCCATCGCAGCTGCCATCATCGCCCTCCGCCCCAATCCCAGCCCGTGGTCTTTCCTTCGCAAAAAGTACTGTTCCGATCTCCTCCCGCCTGTGCCCCTCCCCCTCGTCCTCAAACCCGAACCCACAGCTCCCGGCCATTGCCCCTAAAGCTGCCCCCGCCCCCGCTCCGACCTCCCATGCACACCCCACTACCCCCCACATAGCCACCTTGGCCACAAACTCCCCCCTGAGCCTCGGGTCATTTGACGGGGAGATGGACAGGTAGATGTCGTGGCTGTAAGTGAAGCCGGAGACGAGTTCTTCATCATACGGGCGTGTAGCGAAAGTGGCGAGGGTGGTGAGGGCCGCGACGATGGTGGAGCGGAGGGGGAGGCGAGGGGGTGGGTGCGGTGTGAAGTATGTGTGGAAGTTTGGAGGAATAGAGGGGGTTCGGGGAGGGTGGATGTCGGTGTCGTTTGGAGCTTGGGAAGAGATGGGGATGGGGACGGTGAGTGCTGAGAGGGGGTGTGAGAGGGCGAGGAGGAGGAGGAGGAGGAGGAGAAAAGAGGGGAAGAGGAAAATATGCATGATGAGAGGTGCAGAAGAGAGAACAAGGTAAGTGGGTGGGTGGTGTCGCGCAGGGTCGTCTTCCCTTCCTCTTGATGTCTGACTTTAGGATGCCATATGCGCCCCGTGTGCTACCGAGCCTCACAGCATATACAAGTTACAGACTCCATCAGATTCAATCGCTGTGTCGATAAGGATGCCTCAGACAAGATGTATCCGCCTCAGAAGGACGCTCGAGTCGAGTCCGTGGACTGTAGCTGCTCGAATACAGAATTCTCATGATTGGCCTCACTTGACGCCGACAGAACTGGTCGATTGAACGGTACATGTGTGGCGAAAGAAGAACTGCAGATTTTAATAATGATTGAGGTCTTTGAGGCTCAGTAAGACCCGTCTCCAGCGCAAGTTGCGCGCAAGAAGACGATGTCAAATATAGCCACCCGACGCCCCCACCGCGTTGTTTTAAGCTTCAATCCTGTCTTTGACGTGCTTTACGCGAACAGGACCCTGAGAATTTGACAGATTTAGCGCATATAAAAGGGAGCTGTATGCTTCATCAGGGGATTTAGTTCATCACGAGGGAGACTTCAGTCGTTTCTTTCACAATATGGAGGCGGAAGCACCTCAGATACAAGTGAGGGACTTGAATCAGTGACAGTCGTCCCCAGATGGCAGGCTATAGAAGGAGCTGCGCTTGAGCGTGATAACGAGGAAACAGAAGTCGACATGATCGTTTGTAGATGGAAGATGTGAGTGAGTTTGTTGTACAAGATCACGAGAATTCACAGGCACGTCCGTCACCCCCTCTAGACTTGTCCTGTATGTCTACCACACCGCATTGAAAGAGCCCAGCTCCATCTCCTCCCTCTCCCCTTGCTCTTCGCAACTTCACCTCTTTACGCCCTGCCCTCCATACAGCCACATTCCCCTCCTCCTCCTCCTCCTCCTCCTCCTCCTCCTCCTCCCAACTCCTTCCTGCTCCCCCCCGTACCAACATCCCTCCTACCCCCCTCCCCCCACATCAGGCGCAGGCTTCGCCAGCCAAGCATGCACATTCCGCCACCTCTCCCCCCCCTCCTCCCCCCTCCTCCCCTGCCCCCAGCCCCACTACCACCCTGGGGAGAGCTAAGTGCGTACTCACCCGGCATCTCCGCCCTCTCATCATCGGCCTGGCGCGCTAGGATGTTGTGTTCGGATACGATGCCGTGGGCGATGATCTGGTCCTGCGTTTCCGGTATGCTCTTCTTCTGGATGGTAACAGAGCGGGTGGAGGGGTTGGAAGGGTTGGAGGGCATGGAGGGCATGGAAGGGGTGGAAGGGGTGGAGGGCAGGGGCCCATGATCAGAGACGTCTCTGGTGTGGTGGAGGATCAGAGCGGTCGTCAATGGAACGGGGAGAGGAAGGGCGGTCGTGAGGTGGAGGATGGAGAGGAAGGTGAGGGTGTTGCGGGTGCTGGGTGTGATGTACATATTCTCTTCTTCTTTTGTTTCTGTTTCTGCTTCTGCTTCTTTGTCGAGGCGTAGGGTTCGGGTTTGGGTTTTGAGAAGGAAGTGAGGGATTTTGGGATGGAGAAAGTACTGGATCTTGAGAGGGTGGAGGGGAGGGTTTGTAGGTTTTGAGTAAAGAGAAGTTGTAGTTGTGAGGGAAGGGTAGGCAATACAGGTACCACCTGATCGAGGTGAATTGTACAACAAAGCAAACCACTTCCCTCATCCATTCATGAATAGTTCATTGAAGGCGTACATGCACCTGCGCAGAAAGCCTGCAATTTGTTAACGAAGAAACATTGCCACAAACCAGCTGAAGCATGTTCGATTTGTGAAACGGCGCCACTATGTCCCACGTCAACTCCTATACCACCTCAGGATGTATTATGGAGCAGCCCCTCGGTGAACCATATATATCATTTAGTGAATATATTGTATTTACAAAAGCCCCGCATTCTTCGATCAGTCATAGTATATGCCGCTAATAGTCCACGTGGCTGTCTGTAGCAGTCGCACGCATCTGCTTCAGCCTACCAGCATCCCCACATATCTAATTCCTCCTTTTCCTCCCCTTTGTAGCTAGCCTGCCCGCCAAAGATTCACCACCTCCCAAACAAGGGCACTCAGTACCCACCATCATGCAGTTCTTGATCATTAGTGTCCTGCAAGTCGTTCTCACACCCCGTAGTCATCCACTTGCTCCCCACATAATTGACTGGATCTTGGCCAGGGGTGTCGTAGTTGAACCCCTTGATATGGCCCCAGGATATTGTTGGGCCTTCGACGCGTGGGGCTACAGCACCAAAGTTGTATCAGCACAGGTACTTCCTTCCGAAAAAGATACAGCGATTCGAAAGAAAACGGGAAATGAAAAGGGAGGGTAGATGACGGGAAAATTAGAAGAAAAGAGGTGGGAGAGGGGTAAAGGGCGGAAAGGGGAACCCACCAAACCCAGGCCTCGCAGGCAAATTGACCGTATACATGTTCTCAATCGTAGCTGTCTTCTTGTTGTTGAGCCCAATTTGCCCGAAGCCGCCGTTGGTGGTGAGGCCCTTGACGTGCAAGTTGCCATTGTTCTCGGAATTGATGGTTCCGCCTTCGCCTAGGCCTGTCTGTAGGGTGAGAGTGTAGCCGACTGCAGAGAATAGTTAGCGGTGTGAGCTGTGCCGGTTGGTTCTTTGATAGGTGAGGTGGTTGGGGAGATGTAGAGTTCAAGGACGAGGAAAGGAGAAAGGAGGGAAAGGGGAGGAGATGGGAAACGGACCTTTCAATTTCACATTGTTCGTCTCTACCTTCATCGTCCACGTGCGCTTGCTGTCCAGCTGGTCGAAATTGTATTCCCCAGTGAATTGAAAATTGATGTCGGGAATATTCCGAGCGAAATGCTGGGGGTTGGAGGCATCGATAACATTCAGATTGCGCGGCCCGACTTCGCGCCAGGTGGATGTGTTATAGCCTTCCTCGACGACGGCAGTGATAGTAGCGTGGTTATCATCAACGTCATCAATAGCGGTAACCTTAGATTGCGTCCAGATCTCGCCTCCAACGTCGAACCAGATTGTACCGCCGTAAAGGGTGAAATCCTCGCATTGGTTGATGTAAATGGCTTCGCATTTGTCGTTAGCGAGGAAGGTGACGTCGCGAAAATCGACGGTCCAGCCTTCGTTGAGACCGTCCATGAAGGAGAAGACGATCTCATCTTGGCAGTCGATGTTGTAGAGTCCAGGGGTGATGACTATATATTTGGATGCGGGCACGTTGCTGGATTTTGCGTATCCGCTCATCCATGTTGAAAATGCTTTGCCAGAAATTGTCTTATCTGGTGTGTAGGTAATATTGTCGGTAGGGGCCACGACATCGGCAGTAGGGGCTGACAGGTGGTGACCATCAAGAGGGAATCCCGCGACGTTGCCCTTGTTGGTCGAGACCACTCCTTGAGTCCCGGTGCCTGCAGAGGAATTTGTGGTATTGGAATTCGTGGAATTCGCCTGGGTGGCTGATGTTTGAGTGGTGCTTGTAGAATTGGCCCCAGTACCTGACCCACTGCTCCCTGTGCCAGTAGTATCACTGCCAATGGTATCACTGCCAATGGTATCGCTCCCAACAGTATCGCTCCCGGCAGTATCGCTGCCAGCAGTATCACTACCTGTACCAGAGCCGCCACTGCCTCCAGAGCCAGAAGTAGCGCTCTCATCAGTAGTACTGCCACCGCTGCCAGAGCCACCACTTCCACCACTCGAGCTACCTCCACTAGCTGCGGGCGCAGAGACAACCACAGTGATATAAACAACATGCTTCTTCTTCTCCGGCACCGTTCCAGCATGGTTATTGGTATGAGTATCCGGAGCTGCAGCAGCGCACTCTCGCCGGTCAATGTCGACGGGCACAGCCCGTGTGGCGGCAGCGAGAAAGAAAGCGATAGACAAGAGATTCTTCATGGCGTCGTTCTTTCAATGCAAAAAGAGTGTAATGCAGGTCTAAAATAGAAATCTGAGCAATGCAATTGACGTGTCTTCAAAAGAATGGTATGGGACTAGCCCTGAAAAGAGTGACAATGCAATATCGAAAAGAGCGAGGATGCAAGAAATGGCACAGAACTGGCTGTGGTCTTGACGAAGAAGGAGAAGTAAAAGAAAACGGTGACGAGAGGGGTAGATGAATTGGTTCATCATCCTTCCCACGACCTAAGCGCATGCAATCTTAGAGAGGAAACGGAGAGGATTAAGGGTCGCCGTCTCCATGGTGTTTCAACACCCCCGGCTTCGTGCCGGCGGGTAAACAATATTCATCTTGCGGCTTGTGTTCTACCATCGATCAGGAGAGCCGTAGAATTTAGATTGGCCATATAAATCATGGTGACCAATAGATCAGGCACCTGGAACATGCTGGGAGTTGGATCCGGGGGTTTGCTTTGCGTGCAGCATGCGAATGCACACGTCTGAAAATCCCGAGAGATATACGCGCAGATGGAAGACGGCATGGTTGTGCCTGGCCCGCACGTGCCGTTAAATGATCATGTCTTGGATTCATCTTAATCTTCCTTTGGTCGAGATCTAGATCTTGAGGCGTTAAGCTTGCGGTGTTTTGCTCTAAAGTATGTTGTTGAGAGCTGGGTGACTTCAAGCACTGTTCTTCGCTATTGGTTCGGGAGTGGGGAGCTATTCAGAATGACTTCAATAGAGCAATAAGTGTCTTTGTCAAGTCCATGGCTCAGCTCAAGCATCAAGGATCTCCACGGGCTTGTTGATTGATGCATGTGATGGTGGGAGCATTGCTCAGAGTTTGATGTCAGGCGCTCGGCCGAGGGATCGGCCGACGACCGAGTCGCCCATGGAGGCCTGTTGAGAAGCCTCTCAAATGACGCACAACATAGGGAAGGTCAAGCATGCTCGCTTTGTTTCTGGGGGGCATGCACAGGACATTAGACGTTATTTTATAGGAGATAAATCATTTCCATTAGGGCTAAATCCTGGACGATGCTTCGAGGTGAACACTATGTACTTGGGTATATATGCTAGAACGCCTCGCTATGCCAATGACCAATATACTCCTGAGCTGAACCAATGCATCCCTACAATCAATATCCCACAACTCCTGGCCCAGCAATGACTAAGGATTCCAATGTTGTCATCGCAGCTTACGCTTTGTCCTCGTGGAAGGAACTGTTCGGAGTAACACTTCGTGTCTCTGCCGTTGGCTCCACCACTCTGCTCGTTCCCCTCTCTAGGTCTTTCTCCTTCTTCTCTTCTGCCAGCCTCGCCACCTCTTCTGGACTCATGTCATCGAATGTCTCTTCCTCCGGGCTGATGACCTGCTCCAATTTGTCGCCGCCAGTCTCGCCATCCGTCAACGCGTGCTCCTTCGCAGTGTTCTTGCCTGAGTAATCACCAGGTCCTTTCGATCCATCAGGAACGTAGAATCGCCTATCAACCCGCACGATCACGTAGAAGAAGATGACGATGGTCTCGATCGTGTAATTGAAGATGTAGAAGCATGCTTTGTTTTGATAGCTTGCTGGATGCGTATTGGGTCTCTTTCCTCCAGCATAATTTACGCCTGCACGGAAGCTGGCTCCGAGACAGAGGAGGACAGAGGAGGCCAGGAGAATTACGATCTTTTCACGCCACCGACCTGAACCGAATTTCTCGAGACGCTGCTTTCGTGGAATCAAGAGGCCGCCGATGATAAGAGGGATCGGCAGGAATGAGATGACAGCGTAGAAGGTTTGGCCGTATAGTTGGATGTCACGATCGATACGCTTGGTGTTCTTGTTGAGGGTGAAGAAGGATTGAATGACGGCAGTGATGAGCATTATGAGTGTAAGAACGATCAGGACGTAGATGGCCGTGAAGAAGTTTTTGAAAAGTGGATGCCATCCGCTCCTCGGATGCCCTGCTCGGATAATTCGTTGGGTAAAGATTAAGTTGACGACGAAAAGAAGGACGACACCTGCAGCAACGAAGACGTTCGCAGCGATGGCCACAGATATGTTGCGCGGGTAGCAGGCCCATGTGATTCGCATCACTTGTGCCGTTATTCTTGCCATGCAGAAGCCGAACATCAGGCCGCTCATGATAAATTTGTGGCCCCGTCTCAAGTTCACTTGAAGGATCGTCATGTGGCAGACAGCTCCGACGATGAAGATGGCGAGGAAGACCGAGGAGACCGGAATGTCAAGACCTTTGGTGGGCTGGCCGCCGAGAGCGGCAGTTTTCGGTGGGTAGGGTGGCCCTGGAGGACTGTGAAGAGACATGGCAGGAGCCTGCAATACTTGTCAGTGCTGTGCATGTGTAAGCTGAGGAGGTAGATGCGTACCTGTCGAGTTTGCAGTGTGTTCATGATTGTGTCCATGGCGTTGAGGCAGGACTGAAAGGGCAGTCGGAAGAAATGAGGGATGTAGAGCGTCGACAAATAGCAATATAATGACTACCCAGAGTATTACATGTCTCACAAAAGGGTCAAGGTGGAGGCGTGGTATGGTGTTTGAAGATTGCTATATGCGCTTTGTCCACGGTTAGGCTCCATTCCATATATACCCCCTTAAATCGGCAGCGGCGGCAGCGGAGGACTTTGCACGTGTGGCCTTCGCGCCTTTCGGACCCTCACACGGCGAGGTCAGCGGCTCCTACCGTTGCGTAAGATGCTTAAGCTCTCGAATGGCTTCTCGAACAAGCTGTTGCCCAAGCAGTTCAGCAGATGATTGGATCGCACGTCGGTCCATTTGGCATCATCTATGACGACAGATGTGTCCGATAGTGCTCTGACCAATGAACGATGGGACGATACAGCCACTAAGCCATAGGCAGGCTAGATTGCGCTGAATAAGCTGTGTGTACATCAATAATCAGCCCTACGGACTCTTCGGCACTGAATTGAGTCCGACCCATTTAGGCAAAAACCAAACACGCAGCATGCGAAGCGAGGCCTTTCGGATGAATGTAGTGCCTTTCTCACCAGATATTCATTATTGTGTATGATTTGACGATACCTCATAGTCTTGCCTTCGTACCCTCAGCGCTTGCATCCCTCTTCGCCCATTCCCGCAGCACCTTCCTCAAGATCTTGCCGGACGCACTCTTGGGCACCTCGACCACAAAGACCACGCCTCCAGTGAGACGTTTGTATGCTGCCACCTTGCTGTCAGTCCAACTGACGATATCTCCCTCCCTGATTTGGCCTTTCGCTTGAGGCTTGATTGTGACATAAGCGCGCACTTTCTCCTGACCGGAGAAGTCAGCACTCAAGCCCACCACTGCAGCATCTGCGATTGACGGATGCGTGAGTAATATGGCTTCGAGCTCTGCAGGTGCCACCTGAAAGCCTGAAACTTTGATAAGCTCCTGTCCATAGTCAGCTCTCATTCAAATCGTACCATATGCTACACATGCCTTCAGACGATCCACGATCCAGAACCAGCCTTTCTCATCTACTATTGCGACATCGCCAGTCTTGAGCCATCCGCCCTCTAGCATCGTCTCTCCTGTCGCTTTCTCATTCTTCCAGTAGCCTGGACTTACGTTTGGACCTCGATAAAAGAGCTCGCCCTTTTCCCCCGGCTGCACTTCTTTGCCACTCTCATCAAGTAGTTTTGCTTCGCTCCTCGGCACCAATTGACCGACACTACCTTTATAGTCGTCAAAGCCGGCTGGGCATGTAGTGCCGGTACAGGTCACCTCCGTCATTCCCCACCCTTGCCCAATGGGTGTGCCAAATTTCTTAGAAACGACAGTCTCCGTCGACTCTGAGAGTGGAGCGGCTCCACAACCAAGGCGCTCGACGCTACTGAGGTCGTACTTAGAGACGGAGGGGTGTTTCTCAAGAAGCACAACAAGCGGAGGAGCGAGGTGGAGACGCGTTATCCGCTTCTCTTGTACTAGACCGAGGTAGTCTTCAAAATCGAATTTTTGTTGCATGTAGACCTGAGCCTTCCATTTAATTGCTGACATGATGAGTACCATCTGCCCGTATGCATGATAGAGCGGCAGTACACCGATCCACCGCTCTACTCCGTTCTCATCTTCACGGAGGTAGACACCTTGCGATACGTTGGCAATGAGATTGTAATGTGTGATCATGACGCCCTTAGGAAGCCCTGTGGTGCCGGAAGAGTAATTGATAGCTGCTATTGTAGATTTTGAGGCGGGACCATCGTAGATAGGCCATGTATAGAGTGAGGCTTCCTTTTCAGGCGCAAGGAGTGAGCGCCAGTCGTGGATACCATCGATGGAAGCTCGCTCTGAGTCCGAGAAGAGAAAGAGAGCCGAGTCTGGTATATTGGCCTTGACGGCGGCCTTTCGCGCGGTACTCAAGAGTGCTGGGTGGACGAGGACTAGGCGAGTCGAGGTGTCACGCATTTGATAGCAGACCTCTGTCGTCTCATCAGTCGATTCGTAGCGGATTGGAATAAGATCAATCACCATCATCAGTGAAAGCAGGATTAGCACCACTGAATATTCTGCCTCCGCAAACTGTGCCTAGGTATGCAACAGGTACGAAGATATGATTCGGCGACACGACCATCACTACATCCCCGGATCGTACATCTCTTCTATCCAGACCCAATGCTAGTCTCTTGATCCATGAAAGCGCTGAATTATGGCTGAGGTATTTTCTGTCATCGTGGCCATCTATCCATAGCTCTTTCTTCGGAAGGTTGAGACCGTCGCCGAAGAGGAAACTCAGGATATTGGTCTCTGGGATGCCTATGTCTGGATGAGGTGATTTGACGACCATGTTGGCGATCCGTAGCGGGACGTAGATGCAAGCACTGGGGTTCACAGGCAGGTCTGTAGGACTACATTGTCCTGGCGATGATTTTCACTCGATGTGGTGACCGCATCACTCAGTAAGATTCCGTGCAGTAGCTGCCCTCAGGCACAATACCTCGCCGAGGGTTTGCAGATCGCCGTCGTAGCATTTTTGACGGCGCGTGCGGGGTCTTGAGCGTGCCTGTCGACATCCGAGCCGAGGTCATCAACACCATCTGGGCCCTTGTTGAGTATCCGAAGTGGGCTGGATAGTAGGTCCGGTCTTGAGGGAGAAGAGACTGGTTTTTGTGTGTATTTGATGAATGAATAGTGGAGAAGTGGCTGAAGGATGTAAGGGCCAAATTTGTCGGCGGTCCGCACCGCTACTTGTCAGATTTTACATCTCACCAAGGATACAGCACACAAGAGCAGGAGCAAGATGAACGGCGACAAGTTGAAGGACGAAGACGATGAGGCTCTCAAACAATTCTTTCCCACAAGCTTTGGCAAAGCGACAAGAGAGGCAGATGTTGCGAGGCAACTAGAGCGAAGCAAGAGGCCGATAAATGGAGAACAGGAAAAACCTCACAGGTCAGCCAGTGAAGATGACGAAGATGATGATGACGATGAAGACGATGAAGACGAAGATGATGAGTATCCAGTCTCTCATGAGCTGGTGCTCAAAACGCATGACCGACCCATCACCTCAATGACACTCGATCCATCTGGATCTCGATTAATTACTGGCTCTACGGACTGTTCGCTCAAATTTCACGACTTCGCATCTATGACACCAAATACCTTGCATTCTTTCAAGACAATAGATCCCAATGAGACCAAGCAATCTACGAATAACGATACCCATCCTATTCACCAAGTGCAATTCAATCCCAATTCGCCCAGCCATGTTCTCGTGGTTACCTCAACGCCTCAAGCGAAGCTTTTCGGTCGCGATGGTGAAGAGCTCAAGGAATACGTGAAAGGCGACATGTACCTCAGAGATCTACATCATACGAAAGGACACATATCTGCTATCACTACGGGTGTGTGGCACCCAACAAACAGAAACCTCTTCGTTACGGCTTCCACTGATAGCACCCTGCGTATATGGGACGCAAACATGCCCCTCAAGCAAAGAGATGTCATAGTGCACAAGTCAAGAGCAGCTGGATCGGCCGGCAGGACAAGAATGACAGCAGCTGCTTGGGGCACATCTCCCCAAGGCGGGAAAAGCTTGTTGGTTGCGGCCGCGTTGGATGGAAGTTTAGCGATGTGGGATGGCGAAGGAAATTATACTAGGCCAGCTGGAGAGATTCGGGAGGCTCATACACCTACTACCTGGACCGGAGGACTCGATATCAGTGCGGATGGAAGGACGGTGGTCACAAGAGGAGGCGACGATACCATCAAGCTGTGGGATACCAGGAAATTCAAGCAGCCCATCAACTCAGTCAAACATCTTTCGACTACCGATATACATCATACTACCAACATAACCTACTCCCCAAATTCCTCGTCGATCTTGACAGGCTCCGCGGACGGACAGTTGCACATCTTAAATCCAGCAACACTGAAGCCAGAACTTGTGACGCCTGTCACACCAGGCTCGTCACTGATCACCGTCTCATGGCACGATAGGCTCAACCAAATCCTCACAGGCTCTGCAAATGGTGAACTTCACGTCCTGTACAATCCAAACATCTCGACAAAAGGTGCTGCGATGGTCATGTCCAAAGCTCCTAAGAGGCGGCACGTTGACGATGATCCGAATTTTACGACCGATCTTTCTCAGGGAATCTCCGGCGATAACCTCACGAATGGGAATGATGGCTCAAGGGGCAAGCCTAATACAGGACTCACCGTCTCCGGGCGCTCTAGGGACCCCAGAAGACCGCACATACCTCTTACAACACCCTTCGCAAAGACACAACCAGATGAAGAGCGCATCAAGAGCAACATTCCTCTGAGCTCAATGCGGGACGAAGATCCCAGGGAGGCGCTGCTGAAATATGCGGACAAGGCAGAGAAAGATCCCTTATTCACAAATGCGTGGAAAGCGACGCAGCCAAAGACGATATATGGGAATGTCAGTGATGATGAGGACGAGAATGGTCCAGAGAAGAAAAAGCGAAAGCAGGGGGGATAATCTGCAATGTCTATTGAGGCTTCTTATTGGAATTCGAGAGCGAATCTGGTGGGACGGCAGAAATTGCTGGACGCCTTACCTGCTAACACGATTTACCTTGCTAAAAATGGGCTGGCGAGTGACGACTTTGGCTCCGATCCTTCAGATCCAGAAGGTTTCGCAAACCACGCCGTCTTGAGCGTAGATTCAGATGATAACCATAGCTTTCGACATCGTCGTTTCAGAGATGGTGAGCTCCCGCACCCAACCTAAAGACCACCCCAAAAGTCTTCAGCACCATGATTTGGCAACGACATGCTCGTGACGGTCGTACGGGCTTGTTGCTGGATTTGAGCCATCGAATGATTTCAAGGTGCTCGCTTTGGGTTGAGGACGATACAAGGGATCTGAGAAGCGCATGCATCTGCTCTCCTGCTTCTAGAATTTGGCAGACTCAAACAAGAAGTACTTTGGGACCACAACATTCATACGGTCTTCAATGGCACGATCCAACACAAATTCATTCGAGAAGTCTTGTCGTTCCATCGCAAGTTTCGCCCTGACCTGCGCAAACGCAGAGCCCACAAAGTCTCCACACCGCCGTCAATAGCCCTCTGCTCGCTTAGAAAATAGGTCTTAATCTGACCAGCCTGAGTTCAAGATCATCACCAGCCGCATTGAAGGATGTGGGTACGTGTGTCATCGCCAAGAGCAATCTCAGCACACTGTCGTCGATGCATTTGGTGATAGTCAAGGTCTTTTAGATGAGCTAGGGCAACCACATCCCTGATCAAAGGTTCCATTGTCGTGCATGCGAATGCCGAATCTCGCAGATGGTGACCAGATCGATCAAGAATGCAGTGTTCGTGCAGGATCTGGTGAGTTTTGACCTTGAAACTAAAGAGGCAGCGCATATTGTGCAGACTACGTCGCAGGGGGCTCGCTTGCACTATGTTTGCTCTTGACCACTCCTAGGATCTAAGCGAGGGGTCAGCACGCTTTATCTAGGAGGGTGGCTTTGGTCCTCGTCACACTTTGTCTACTAATTTACTTTTGGGAGCCATCATGATCACAATGGTCGGGCAGCCTCGGACGAAATAAGAGAATTGCTCGACTTGGCTGAACTGAGCCTAGACTCGATCTATCCATCGAGTTGCTGGTAGCTTCTTTCGAGTCGACATGCCTTCATATCGGAGAACTATCTTTTTGGCCTCGAGAAGGTAGAAACGACGGATCGGATTCTCGTCTTGGTAGCGGTCGCCGTCTATCATGTTCGGCGCTTTTCCCTTGCAGCTGGGCGGCGCCATTCGTTAATCTTTGGGTGGACAACAAGCTTATCACGCCTCCGCGATCACAGCATGTAAGGCCAAAGGTCGTCAGCCATTCAATTCTGTCTCCGGCAATCTCTTCGGCGGTTTTGGGCATATCAGCACAGTTACTGTATTCTTGAGTGCGCACAGCACACCCGGCACAACCCTTTTCATGAGGCTCCACAGCTCAAGATCCTGCAAAGCACTGGCAATATGGTTTAGGAGTGCAGAGTTAGCGTCCTTATCTGGCGTCTCAAACCCGGCTGTGCGCCATCGATCTCTGCATGCCAAAGCATGTTCCTCTTAGAACACCAAAAGCCCCGAGGCGACTTGATATCCTCCGAGAGAATCCGACGGCCACGTGACTTTGGCTGGATGAAACAGCTTTTCTCTTCTCTCATGTATATGCAAGCGAAATGACGGAACAGGAACGTTCCTCCGAACCATGCATTCGGAAACTTGGGATTGAAGGACTCTTCTACGATCTACGCCGATGTTTCAAGTAAGGTTCTGATTGCTTCAAGGTGCATGCCTGAGGAAGGGAGACTGCTCCGTCTTCGGACACATCCGTCTTCTACAGTTCTATCAAAGCGAAGCATCACCCACCATCACGGATGTCAAGATGTCAAGAGCGTTACTTGGTCCTCGACTCAACGAAAACAGAGCTCCCCCAAATCCACCGTAAAACATTTTGTGGGTGTGGTGGGGCTTGGGTAGTATGGACAACTTAATGATCGCCCGCCAATGCTATGGACCACAAGCCTGCATTAGCCCTACACCTTCAGGCCACCAAGCTCACCACCACACACGTCGTCAGCAAAGCCACACTAAGTCGAATGGTGGGAGAAACAACGCGGCAGTATCGACACCGCTACACCGAGGGTGAGCCTCACATCTCGGCAATCGGATGCGCAACGTCTGTTAAGAGACCGCTGGCAGGATTAACGGCTGGACGACGCGGAGGCAGAGGAGGCTGTAGATAAGGCCAAACCTCCGTCGGCGCACTATCTCCCATACTCTAATGCAACTACCAAGGAAGATGGTGCCTGACGATAAAGCTATACCCTCAACAGCAGTCAAGGCCTATCGTCCACGATATCCCAAGCAGAAGGCGTGAACATATCTGCCCAAGATCTTCTCTATACTCCTGCTTTTCCCAATGCCTCGTCTAGCTGCAGAAATGCCTCAGCCACACCCACCTTCGGGATCGCCAGAGTACGTACCACTGAGTACCTCGGCGGCTTCCTTCCTTCCTTCCTTCCCTTCCCTCCCCATCCACATTCCCATAATCCCAAATCCAGATACCGCACTGACTAACCATGCAGGGACCTCGTATCGTACCTTTCCACTACCCACCCCCTAATGCAAACTACCCTCCCCCTAAGCCGCCCTAACATCCCCCTAACCATCTCCCTAACTTTCGCACCTAAACAATTCACTACCACAAGCTCCCTCAATTCCCATCCCACCGCATCCCGACTCTCTTGGAAATCCCCATATCTCTCTCAATTAACAAATAGCAAAACAGCCCATACGCGCACCTCGGGCGAATTTGCCTCATGCGCGGGGAATGGAGCTTCGTTTACGCTGTACGCGCCCCAGTCCTATCCTATCTACGCGACCCCCAAAGCCCAGCGCAGTCCAGCCCCAGGTCAGGAAATCTGCCTACCTTACCTTACCTGCTTACGCCCCGCCTACGCTGGCTGCATACGTACGCACGCACGGACGTCGGTGTGTTAATGGTGCATATGCTATGCTATGCTATGCTATGCGGGCCATCGCTGCAGAAAATCCCTCCCTCCTTCCCTACCATAACGTGCTCCACTAAACGAATAATGCACAGTAAATCCCCCTCTCTCTCGCGAAAAATGCTGTATGGTTGGCAATGGTGCATGATGCGAGGTCGATTACCTACCGACTGCGTCAACGCTGGTGTGTGGGTAAGTAAAGGTGGAGTTTTTACTGTCGATGCTCTCGCTTACTTTTTTCAATGGCCCGATTGTCCTGTCCTGTGCGACATTCCTACCTGCCTACCTCCCCCCCCTTCCTGCCCCATTACCCCCTGTGCAAATCCCAAGTCCCAAACCTTGCGGAAAATCCCTCCCCCCCCCCCCAAGCTGGGCCTGCAGCAGCAGCAGACTCGGGGAATTACTCACGGAATCACCCACCCCCTTCCCTTTCTTCCCTTCACCGCTGCAGGACTGGCTGCAGACCCCGGGCGCCTGGCATCCACGCGAGCTCCCCTGGCCCCTGCGAGTTTGCTGCGAGGAATGCCGAAGGGTGGTGACAGGGGGTCGTTGTTTGCTGGGAGGGAGGGATTTGCGGATTTGCACAGGGATGTTGGTGGGTGCGTGTTGCGTGTGTGGGGGTAAGGGCTGGTAAGGGGGATGTTTTGGTGCGTGGGAAGAGGTTTGGGGTTTGGAGGGTGAGTCGTTTTGAAACGGGCTGAGCCTGTTCTTGGGGGGGGCGTGGGTGAGGTGAAGTGATGTGTTAGATGAAAGTAGGGCAGGGGAGGAGCGAGGTGAAGTGAGTAGGAAACGGACAGGGGATATGTTCAGTAGGATCTGTGTCAGGATGGAAGTACTCGGGTCTAAAGAAGGGCGGTGAGGGAGGTGCGGCGACAGCCTTGTGCGTAAATGTGTGCCGTAGGCTCAAAGAACATATGCGTTAACACACTGGTAGAGAAGGAAAGGGGCAGGGAGAGTTTAGTCTGAGAACCTGACGGCAAACGAAGCACGTTCAGTTGAGGAGTTAAATGAGATAGATTCAATTCATCGTGCGGGCACCTTCGCCTCAGCACACATCAAGAACTTCATATAAAGTCATACAAAAGCGAGCGCAAGCACTTCAGCGCGCTCAACCTTAAGGGGAATACCGTTCCCAATGCCCGATCCAATTCCATCCAAGCACATCCATCAAAAAAAAAAGGGCAGTCCCAGCCCAATTACCCCACGTGCCTCCCTATCCTTTCAAGAGAGAGTGATGGTAAGAATTTTCCCAATCCTACCCGGCCCCGGCCGCAATCTATGCATTATGATGATGATGATGATGATGATGATGACGACAAAAGCAGATCTATCGCGAAACTATGGTGGTCAAAAACGTTGTCGATGAAAGTCGCGGCGAACGAACGGCCCATCGATCGTGTGTCCTCTCTCCACCAGCAAAGCGTCGCGGTGTCGATGCGATGTCGTTAGAATGAGGCGTTCAATGGGGTACTTCTTAAGAAAAAACTCAAAGTTAGAGATGTATGCCAAGGCCAATGCTCGCAGTTGGGAAAGGTGGAATACCAGGAAGGTTCCTCTTGTCGTTGGGGACCGGGTAGGCGGGATAGTCGGACCAGTCGCGCTTTTCTTGCGGAGCTCGTGGGGCGTGTGGCTCGGGCTCAGGAACGGCGATGGCGACTGGGTTTGGTGCTGGGACGGGGACGGGATCTGGGATTGGGACGGGAGCTGGTTGGGGAGCGGCTTCGGGGATGGCGATGGGGATGGCTGCTGGAGCTGCCTCTGGTTGGGGGATTGGTTGAGGTAGAGCTTCAGGTTGAGCGATAGGTTGGGGTAGAGCTTCGGGTTGAGCAATTGGCTGAGCTAGAGCTTCGGGTTGTGCAAATGGATTAGGAATGGCCACTGGCATTGGTACTGGTGCTGGATTGGCTTCAGGTACTGGTAGTGGTGCAGGGTTGGCTTCAGGCACAGGCAGTGGTAGTGGTACTGGCAATGCCTCTGGTTGTGGGATCGGCTCGGGTTCGGCTTCTCGCTTGTCCTTCTTCGTCGTGTAGTTATCGAAGACAGTTCGGGGGAAGACTGGGCGAGCTTTGGGTGCGAAGCGAGAATTGAAAGCGCGGCCTTGGATATCTGGCTTGGGAGCTGGCGCTGGGAATGGTGCTCCGAGATTGGGGCTTAGTCATGTCAGTGAGGTCCGTTGATTGATCATGGTGATATAGCTTACCTGATGATGGAGAGGAACACCGACAAGGTGGCGAGGATGGTTGTTGAGGACCTCATCGTGAATGATTGGATGAGAAGCTAAATGACGAGCAGGCTGATAATGATTGGAGGTAGGGTGACTAGTGAATGTAGAGGTGTGGGAGCGAGAGAGAGGACTCAGCGTCGAGCGAGTGACTAGGCCTGCTGTCAAGTGAGGATGACGGATGTGAATGGAAGGATGGATGAGAAAGAAGGCGTCCATGGACGACCTTATAGAAGGCTTATCAGACTATCAAACCCGCTGGCCAATCGAGAATGGTGTGAGTGGGCCACAGACGTAGGTTTCGTTGTTGTTCCTGAGAACTAAAAGTGGAGTCACAGCTCCATGATACCACCTTGGAGATTGACTAGATCTGGCAAACAGACGGACAATCCTCGCCAGACAGGGAAGCCAGGGAGCACCGAAGCTTGTCGGGGTGGTAGATAGCAAAACGACGTGCAGCAAGCATGACGACCAGGTGGGTGGGTCAGATCGACGAGTACCGACAGGGGGAGCTCCATCCCTGCTCGTACAGCTCCAGAAAGGTGACCAGAGTGGATACCGCATGGCAAGCTGCAAGCTCCTAGTCGTGCACGGTGCTAGCGATAGGCAATGGGATGGCTTGGTGAAGCGAAGCACCAAGAGGAGGTTTTTTCTGTTGAGCGGAATGCACAGGAAAGCCTGACGATAGCCTGCTTAGTGACTTCAGCAAGCGTCCTGCATGCACGACGGACTGGCTGGATAGAGTAGTGCCTTATCCACATCAGTGGCGCCTACTCCACGATAGCATCGGTAAGCTTCACCGACGGTAGACTTGAGTTAAGGAAACGGTTGGCGCCGCGATGGCGTACACGAGAGCAGCTGAACGACTCCCACACCCATGTCCATATCACATTGATGACATCGTCGAGATCACCTATTGATAGAGTGATGAGGCCAAAAGCTGATTAGAGCAAGATGCAGTTTCCCGAAGCAGGCGTGCCAAGACATGATGTTTGCTATAAACGGTGCCCCGTGTGCCGGAAGGGTAAAGCGGCCGCCCCTGGCAATCTATTCCGGATTGAGGGTCGGTGTTCAAGAAGTCAGGAACCGCTGACACAATCATTCACCGTGTGCCTGAGGGTGCCTGTTTTCCTAACGGCGAGAATCGACAAGTGAGAATGCTATCCACCGCCCTCGGGTACGCCAGCTTGCTTCTTGCGCGCCCGTATGCAGAGCGAGAATGACCAATGTTCAAACTGACTGGTCAATCTGCTCGTAAGACGGGAAGACCAGACCAAGCAAACAGGAATAAGCTGCATGGAGCCTTGGGGTCTTCCTATCAGCAAACGCGTAAAGCAACGGAAGTGGGGCAGGAGCCGGATGCTGATGGGAGGTTCGTCTCGCACTTGATGGTGGAGGGTAGACCGGTGTGAAGCTACACTGTCGTTAACCGCGCGAGAGAGAGATAAGGCACGGTGTCTTTCAGTCTTGATATCAGGCCATCGATAGTACGGAACGAACATCAACATACCCATGTCTAGTGGTATTAGTTGCACGAAAGTGTATCTGTCCTGTAGGAATGCAGGATCGGATTGAGGAAGTTTATTTCGGAGAGACGATGATTGCCACGATCAACGGCCAGGATTGATGCGCCTGGCAACATGCGAGTCGGAAACCACAGGATTGGCTCGTGGAGAAATAAAAGCCCGGCTACCTTAGGGCGTGTTTGCTGCAGCGTGCGTCTTTGGCCAGCTTAGCCAGGCTTAGTCCACGAGTCCGTTCGTGCCAAGCCTGACCTAGCAGTAGCTGCATATATACCGTATGCGACTGGGGAGACTGGACTGGGGCCAAGTTGGAGTCATGGCCCCTGCTCATAAGCGGCTGTGGCCTTGAAGGGAAGTCCACTAAAACAATCTGCCGCAATAATGATTCGCAATGCCCGGAAGACCAGCACATCCGCAAGTCTAAATGACCTAAACGGCTTGCGTGCTTGCTTGGTCCTGCTGGGCGCTCCTTTGGCCAGCTGTGCTTGGATAATCACACCGTCGATCATCCCTTAATTTTACGACCCTCGAGTAATTACCTCATAGGTCCTCCAGTTTGGGAAGATCCTCTCCATCTGCCCACTCAGGAAGTTAGGACTCGCCCCAAAACAGAAGGCCGCCTTCCCGACCCAGCCCTAGCCCGAGCCAAGGAACCAATTGACGGCTGTCCCGTGCGTGATGAGTGATAGAGTTACTCGATGACATTGGTCCCTTCGATGCACTACCGTACTGGTGACAGTCCGGTTCCAAGCGTAGTCCGGATGAGCTCAAGCTTGTATGCACCTATATGTGGTAGGAACCATCGGTTGGCTGAATTTAGCGGTCTTTGACTGGTACCGCTCGCTCCACGTCTTTCCCGCCCATTCACGTCGTATATCTGAAGTTAGGATGGGTGTGGCCAAGAAGGCCCTCGTCATCGTCTTTTGTTAGTAGGTAATCACGCTCGCCTCTCGCTCTTCTTCGGTTTTCCCATCTAGCGTATACGATATTGACGCTGGACAATATCAACGACAGACAAAGAAATCCGAGATTAATCGAATGCCCCTTCGTATATTCAGGCCTGTCAATAGTGACCTATTAGCCTTTCCGTGTCTCTCGTCTGGCCATGGGGCCCAGAACTCTGTCCCGCTGTCCAACAACCTGGGGTAGCGGGGGGGATAACTCACGCATCTTTTTGTAGATAGCTGAACGTGGCAATGAAAGCCGCACAATTCGCAATCGCGATCTGAAATCCAGTTCCTGTAGCCCTCACTAATGTCCGTCAGTTGTCTGACATGCTCACCGATCATTGGAGGAAAACTTCAATTCGTACCGTAGTGGGGAGCTAGATTATTCGAAAGCCTGAGGGTTTTCTTGTCAGCACTTCTACACCGCACTATCTCTCACTACCACTGCGAGTCGATCATGGTCAAAACTTACCAGCCCATGACTGCCGGTGAGCTTGGAAAAACACCTAAATAATTTCGCCGGTCAGTGAAATGCCTCGGGATTGAGCGCCCTCGTGTATAGACGTTAGACGAGCCACGAACCCGCAGCCACAAGAAAGGTACTAGATCAAAGACACATTAGCTATGCTCTCCGGGAAAAACCGCATTCCTATCAAATTGAGCAAACACTGCCATGCCTTGCATGCCGTCTCTAAGAATGGTTATGCTGACCACCACACTGCGTGATCGTAAAGCATACATGGCCGACCTGCATGTCGTCGTCGATATCGGCCAGACTGTTGATCAGCGTTACTTCCCGTGAAGGAGCATACGTCGAGCAAGCTGCTCCAGTCAAGCAACGTAGCCGCTGAACACAGTGTCCATTCTTGGTGTTGCAGACACCAGGGACTGTTGGATTCATGCAGGAGAGATAGACCAGCAATCTCTGCCCAGGGGAGGTATCGTTCAGATTCTGGACCATGCAACAAAGGAGCATTCGCCTTGATCGAAAGTTTGTTCATGCAAGAGGCACGGAGGACCATGTCACCCCCTTCGATAAGCATAAACTCCACCCCGAGTCGAGGTGCAGATCATACCCACCACACCCGTCCGGGTATGCTGTCTCATTGTGAAGCATACCTTGTCCATGGCGTTGCTCGTGCAAGCTGAAACTTGCCCTGCAGCCTACTGACTGATGTCCTCATTTGGAATACAGCTTTCTTTCCAGCGAAGTTTGCATCCGTTGTCGACCGCGGCTCTGACCAGCCAGAAGCCGGATCACAATGTCGAAAGCTTGCACCGGCATTCCATCCCTCCCCACCATGTCGAGTGTTGGCCAGCGTCTCTCGCTCCCACCCTCCCTTACGATAGCAGGGAAGAGGAACGGGACGAGTTGGACATGCAGGTCTGGCAAACCACCAAGAGCGCTCTATCACCGAGGTCCACGAAGCGAAGCCGTGTCTTAGCTTCAGCGCTATCGAGCAGCGAACACCTTGAGCAAGAGACTTGCATGCAGGCCAAGAGCTGACATAGCACCTTCGCTGGCGAGAATGGTGAAATCGATGCCCCTTCTCTTTCCACCGTAGAGGGATGAAATTGATACCCCGACCTTTCCCTCGGTGACGGTCCTGATCTCCGTAGTGTGCAACCTCCCTCACTGCAAAAAGGACGCGAAATCACTGAAACAAAGAGGGAAAGAAAGCAAGCTTACCCTCCATAATGAACGAGCGGTCTCGTCTTCACCAGCAACATAATGTATCCCACAATTGCCACACTACAGCCAGCAATCATGATTGCTCCCCTCTGTCTCACCCGATCACTCACCCATGTCCCAGCCAACACGGCAAGAAATCCACACATATTTGGCGGTACCGTAAAAAGCTGCGCTTTCACACTCGTATACCCCAAATCCTGAATGATGGTCGGCAGAAACAGAGAAAAGCTATAGATGGGCGTTATGATAGCAAAGAAATTCAGACTTAACAATATCGTGTTAACGTTCAACAGAGCCATGCGCACCCAGTGCCACGAAAACGTCTCGCCACTCACATCACCGCTCTTGCTCGTGCTTTGCGAATCCTGCTGCAGTCGAGCAATGACAAGTGATTTCTGGGCCGGTGAGAGGAACCGCGCGCTCCTAGGCGTGTGCGGCATGAAGATGAAGGCGGCGATGCCGAAAAGAACTGTGATGGCGCCTTCGACGAAGAAAATCCACGGCCACCTATGATTCCACACGCCTCGTCAGCAAGCCTTCCAATCCCCTTCCAATCCCCTTCCCAATTTCTCCCTTCCTCTCTCCTCTCCCACTTCTCGACTCCCACCTCCTCCCCAGCACAAGAAAAGCACACTCACTTATCATACCCATGAAACCTAATCTCCGCCAACCCCGTCGCCAAAAGCCCGCCAAACGCCCCACTCAACGGCGCCGCGCAATAAAAAACCCCAATCCGCCACAGCACCTCCCCTCTTCTGTAAAACATACTCAAATAAAGCACCATACCCCCCAACAATCCGCCTTCACACAGCCCCAAAAACCACCTCGCCGCCAACAGCCCCTTATAACTCTTGACAGCACCCATGCACGTGCCCACTATCCCCCACCCGATCATCAGCGACGGTAGGTACCACCCTCCACCGATCTTTTTGAGGATTAAATTCGAGGGCACGTCGATGAGGATGTAGGGCACATAAAATATGGCGAGGGCGGAGTTGAATTGGGTGCCGGACAGGTGCAGGGTAGTGACTAGGCCGTCGATACGCGCATTGCCAATGTTGGACCTGTCGATGAAGGCGAGGAGCCAGAGGCCGAAGAGCCAGGGGAGGACGTGGAGGTCTAGAGCGCGGGTGAGGGCACGGTCGAGGGAGGGGTCGACGTCGTGAGGGGAGCTGGTAGGGAAGTCGGTGGAGGTGGTGTCTGAGAGGTGTGCTGGGATTTTCTCGTCTTGTTCGTTGATGGTGGTGGTGGTGGTGGTGGTGGTATCAGGAATATGGTTTAGGCCGTTTTCGCCACTGCGATTTCGACGTAGGAGGTTGAGGCGTGCCATTTTTGCGGTCGCATTTATTTTTTTGGATTCAGTGTCTATGCAAGCAAGGTTGTTGGAGTCGTGCAAGCAGCTGCGCACTGCAATGCTCCCCTTTTTCGCATATGTTGGATCGCGGCCTGCGCGATCCGTGCAAAGGGATGAGATGTCGTCTGAATTCCCAGATTCACATAAGCTCGAGGCCGACAAGTCACGATGTATTTATTCGACGAGTTAGTGGAGGGCAGGCGTGAGAAATTACTGGCGAATAGTGTCGAGTAGATGCAGACGGACGGATGGCACGGATGTGGATCATCTTTCGCCGCAATAGGGAATGAATCTTAGGGGCACCAGGGGGTGCAATAATTAAATAAGCGTCTGCTAAGGCCGATTTTCCTACAAAAAGGCTGAAAAATCACACTCTTCAAAGTTAAGTTATTTATTCAATATTAATTTAATTTACTTAAAACTAAAATCTTTAAAAATTGAGATAAAGGAAGCGGATAAAAAGAAATATTTATAAGTAAAAAATTCTATATTTAAAATTTTATAAAAAGTTTATACCTAAAATATTAGATAAAAAAGCGGTGAAAACGACGATTTTCAAGGTTTTTAATGGTCTAAAAACGTTTATTTAATTATTTCGCCTCCTGTGGGGGCCCTGTGGGGGCGCTGAATGGGAGGCTGGATGGTGGTCGACCGGTCATAGTTCTGGGCGATCGAAATGATCTTGTAGCCTGTACTCATAGCATCTGGACTAGCGAATATCAGTGCGGAGCTTTGTGTTGCCAATCGCTTGTGGGGATGTGACTTTGCCATGTAGCTGTCCGAGATGTCTCACGAAGCGACCTATTGTTGCATGGATTGATTTTGCGGGGATGATAAGATATGATCTTCAAGATATCAAGATGGAATCAACAATACCATGTCATACGAGGTATTTGTAAATAGGGATGGATGATTTATGAATTCACTTCCAACTATCCTTGTGATGTACAGCCTGTACCATTTCAAAGAGTGGAGCTGCGCGTGAATGCGCCACCAACCGATTCCATCCCAACTCCTATCCCTGCACACAAATGGCCGTGTGTAGTCTTGAGTATGCCTTCATTTGGCATCTAGAGCTCTCTGAACACCTTGCATGCTAAGCTGGATGGATGATCCGGGTGGAAATGAAAAGCAAAGCAATACTCCAGGGTCAATGGTTATGGTTCCCCCAACAAGCGTGCCGTTATATCACCAATGTATGCTTCCTCCAGCTCATAGCTCTCACCGTCGTTGGGGTCGATCCCTACATAATCGAAGGCCGCAACTACTCGGTCGAGGTCGAAGCCCATGTGGACGAACCCATTGATCATGTCTTCGTTGTAGCCGCCGTAACTGCCTACAGTCAATTCTTGATCTCTCAAGCATGGGCCACTTCTGTGATACGCACAGTCGAGCCCGTTCCGCCCGCTCTTCTTCCTTCGACCTCTGCTTCTTCTCTTTCTTCGATTCTGTCCGGTCTCCTCCGCTGCCTTCTCCAGACTCCTTCTTGGGAGCCCCTGCGTGCTTGACCGCCCATTCATGAGCTACCCGTTCGAATTCCTTCGGGTTTCTTGTGAGCATCCCAGCTACCTCTGCATCTTGCGGATCTTTTGGCTCCGGTGTGGACAGAAGGGACTGGAGGGAGAGGAGGGCAGATTTTATCGTGAGGACCGGTGACCAGGCCGAGGAGAGAGTGTCTAAGCAGATAGCGCCCTTAAGACATACATGTCAGCCCACACCATTTGTCCAGCGTTGGGATCTCCCCGACTTACTGTTTGACTGCTGACATTTGGATGCCAAATCTTGGTATCAAATTTCATTATTGGCGGTCGAAATGGGTAATCATTAGGGATCCGGACATCCACCACGTATGTTCCCCCCTCATAAGGAGTCCCAGGTGGGCCTTTGAAAGAGCCCTTCAAGTGCGTGAGATCTGAGCCGTTCCCTATCGGATTGGCTCTTATATGTGAGAGCGTATCGGCATGGATATCGGCCACTTCTTTGGCAACCCTTCGGGTGCGACTGGAAGACATCGAAACGATGGTACAAGATGGGTATGTAGAGAGTGGTATTGTAGTACGCAGATTTGATCGAGGGGCTTGTGGGCTTGGATTTGGTGGTTATCGAACACGTATGATGACAAAATCGCGGAGGGCGGAGAACACGTTCCTGTGGCTTTAAATAGGAGTGTAAGAAGTGGTCAGATCACTCGCAGGAAGAACACAGATTATGGTAGTGGGGTATATAGTGTTATAAGGCAACAGCTCGTAGAGTGATCTTAGTGGACAAGGCTGTGATTCACAAGTCATGTATTGAGGCTCCCAGCAGCTCTTTCTCTTCACTTCCTGAGGCCTGGATGCACCGGTCCATGCGGCGCCTTTTCCGCGCCTGCCTGATTGGACGCACGCCACAAGGCACACCGTCAGCCATTTTCCTCACTGCTTCATACGTCGCTCTGTTTCTTGCACTTCTGTTGCCGCATACTGTGGGCGACTGGGTAGCTGCGTGACAGCAAACCAGCCCAAGAGCTTGCAGGTGTCACAACGTTCATGGCGCAATAAGTCCAGGGTGCCCGCAGCAGCCGTCGGCACGAGTGTGCGCGACCACGCACTTGGAGCTGAGCTGAAGCCTGAAGGACGTGGTCGCACGGTTGCGATATCTACCTGGTAGTCGTGCTACAGCAGTTGCTGCCATATGCTTCGTGGAATACGAACAGACATCTACAATGGCGTCGCTTAGTGAAGACGACGTCTACCGCTCATCTACGCAGTACCGGTTCTGGTCCTTTGCACCCGATGCTCTTGCATCTATGAGAACCACAACCAATGCTGCTGCTGCAGAGGGAGTGCGCGCCGCGGTCGCAAGTGCGTACCAGAAGCGAGGCGGCAGTGAAGGTCGACAGACCACTAACGGTTTGGGCAAAGACAGAAATGGTATCGCCACTAATGTAGACTGTCTTGATGTCGACGAAGAGCAGAAGCTCGTTGGATTCTATTGTGTCAAAGCAATGCAACTAGCCGACTTTTGCGAGTTTCCTACCAATGTGAAGGTAGGTTCTCACACCCCCTAGGGTCTGAACACCCATGATGTTCAGGATTGAGGATTGACGAGCTCTTCTTTTCAAAGGCCACAGCTGTCCAGTATCTCAAACGATTCTACCTTTCCAATTCTCCAATGACATATCATCCGAAGCAAATCATGCCCTCGGCTCTATTCCTCAGCACTAAAACGGAAAACCACTACACATCACTCCACAGCTTCGTCTCCAAATTACCCAAGATAAAACAAGACGATGTGGTGGCACCAGAGTTCCTACTTACACAAGGCTTGAGATTCGCTTTTGATGTCAGACATCCGCATAGAGGTCTCGAAGGTGGTTTTATGGAATTGATGGGCCTTGCCCATGGTCAACGAGGACAGATCTTAAAGAGTAGGATGATGGAAATGAAACCCAGCAAGCATTTCACGAAGCCTGCAAAAACTACAGAGATGCTTGTGCAGCGAATACAGCACGGTCATGGAATCGCTAAGGGGACGCTGAAAAGCTCCGCGCTGTTGACCGACGTATATTTTCAATTCACCCCTTCTCAGATCTGGCTCTCTGCCTACTTGCTTGCCGACGAACCTCTCATCAAGCTCTACCTAAGATCGAAGCTAGCAGAGAATGAAGAATTATATAAGAAGCTTCTGACCACCCTTCAACGTTGCTGCCGAATGCTCGAATCATCCCCCTCAGCAGATCCTGGAGCGAAGGAAATGGAAGACTTGATGAGAATTGATAAGAAACTTTACAAATGTCGCAACCCGGACAAAATAGACCTAGTGGGTATGAATAAAGCCCAAAAACGGGAGGGTGATGGGTCCGCTGGGGACGGACTTGATGAAAAGACGATCAAAAAGCGGAGGCTTGAAAGAAAACACGCCGAGGAGGAAGCTAATGATGTTTTTGGACCTGCCATCGGCTGACATACATGAGACTATATCTTAGATGACTGGGCTTGAAGTTCATTGAGACTTCTACTTGCAAGATGCAACAGAGTCCGTGCAGACCCATAGGTGATGGTATCCCTAGCACTCCGTTATCGTGTACCATTCTCACGGTTATTGGAATTCCCTCATTGAGTCAAGTTAGTTGTGCGGCAGGAAAGCGATAATCTGCATGTACTGCGCTTCCGATTCAACGAGTTGTACAAGCCGTTTTCGTAGAGTGGCATTCGCAAGAAGAGGCAGCTGCGCAGACAATAGGAAGTGAAGACTCTCCTTTTCTGAGCTCCATGCCTTCGAGGAGTATGGGGATATTATGGACAGAGCGCGGGGTGGGCTCAAGCTGCCATTTTCAATCAGGCTGCATCCAGACTTGCAGGGTTCAATTGCCGGACTCGACCTATCAGGAACCAATTGCGCCTATGCAACGGATTCTTCAATTATGAGTAACTTCTATCAGGCTCCCGATCGATCGACACCTCAATTCCTCGATTTCCTCTCCTATAATTGTGGCAAGTGAATGATATATAAGGCTACAGTGAGTCAGGCTGTGCCAAGCCAATCCTACAGCCAGGCTCCACTCCGCACTACCCCACAACAAGTTATAATAAAAGGGCTCATATCTTAGTTTTAAATTCATCTTCTTCCTTCTACTCTCTACTTTCTGTTAGATTTAGACATTCCCCTTTCAAATTAAAGTTTCTTCCAAGCCAGCCATTTTTCATGATGACTATGAGAGGAGATACCATCCAAGAGTCAAGCCCCAGTGGTGACAAGGCCGAGACAAAGGCTGGCATGATCGGCGATGTCAAGAACCTGTATCAATCGAAGCCAGATAACCGTGGGAAGACAACCTGGGTCCAGGATTACCCTGATGACCTCATTGCCGCCGCCGAGAACTCGGAGACAGCCAAGTACGCTCTTCTTGTACGTAACAAGAAATGCTACAACGGCCGCAAATCACTTGAGATCGACTCTCTTGTCGTGCAGAGCCCCTTGCTCAAGGATAGGCTGGGTCATGTCTTGAAAGACTACCCTGGCGTAACCACCAATTTGGACCGGTTAACGTTCAAGGCCCCGTTCAAGGAGTTTGTCCATAGGTGGAAAGCTTTGGTTGAGGCCCTGAACGAAGAGTCAGACCCTGAGACGAAGAGTCACCTAGATATTCTGCATCGTGTGTTGGAGGTAGAGCTCCGAGACGACCTGAAAGCTCTCGACGACTACATCCAGAACGGAGTCATCACCTATGATACCATCTGGATGCTTTTCGAGCCTGGTGAGCTGATTTTCGGCTCTCAGCAATCGCAGCCAGCAGTCGGGAAGCTGTCGCAAGGTAGTTACCAGCAGACACGATGTGGTAACTACTACTCTCTCAGTTGCAACATGGTTGACTGGGATGGTGAGAATTTTGGATGGGATAGCACTGGCTTCAAAGTACCTGCATTCCTCGGTACTGCGAGTATTACCAAGCTCGCCGCCTTCCCATTGAACTATCATCCGAAGCTTGAGAAGGTCAAAGCTGAGCTGGTTGAGCGTGGGAGAGCCTTCGAAGCCCTTGGTGGCTCTCACTATAAGCAGTACTCTGGCATTGCCATTGGTCAGGGGCCATGGGGCCCGATCAAGTACAATGTAAATTCGCCTCTTCAAACGTTGTGTTATGCATACTAATCCCCTTACAGGTTGATAGCCGCATCATCATCGACACTTACGCTTGGAACCGTTTCAACCCCAACCGCCAAATCTCGCTCAACCGCATCACCAACAAGGCCAATGACAGCGGCATCGAATGGACTGATGACGATTATGACAGTGATGAGGAAGACTCCTATTCCGAAGTCTCCACCCCCGATGGCGACTGCGGTCTAGACAGCGGAAACCCCGACGAGATCAAGCCCGACACCGGCCTCACCGACAAAGAGCTACTCATGTGCAACTGCGTTCTCCGCGGGTACTCCCTCCGCAACAAAAAATGGCTCGAATTCGCCATCGCCTCCGTCCGCGATATCAACTTCAGCACCGGCGCCTTTGACAGCCTCGTCCTCCCCCAAGACCACAAAGAGCTCATCCTTGCACTCACCGAGTCCCAAGCTGCCAACAAAGAAACTTTCGACGACGTCATTCAAGGCAAAGGAAAAGGAATGATCATGCTCCTCAGCGGCCCCCGGGCGTCGGCAAAACCCTCACCGCCGAGTCCGTCGCTGAGAACATGAAAGTGCCTCTCTATATGATGTCGGCCGGCGACTTAGGTCTCGAAGCTTCGGATGTTGAAACGAATCTCAGCAACGTGCTTGAGATGGCGACGAAATGGAACGCGGTCCTCCTCCTGGACGAAGCCGATGTGTTTCTCGAACAGCGCTCCGCGCACGATCTTGAGCGCAATAAACTCGTGTCTATCTTCCTGCGCATCCTGGAGTACTATGAGGGAATACTGTTTCTCACTACGAATCGCGTTGATAATATTGACGCTGCGTTTCAGAGCCGTATTCATGTGAGTATGCAGTATGAGGACCTCAATACGAGCTCGAGGAGAGTTATTTGGGAGAATTTCACGGGGGGAAGAAGGGCTGGCGGTTCGAGGATAGTGATTTGGAGAGGTTGGCGGGCTACGAGTTGAATGGGAGGGAAATCAAGAATGTGTTGAAGACGGCGCAGCTGTTGGCTAGTAAGAAAGGGGAGGAGCTTGGGGCGGGGCATGTGGAGGCTGTGCTGGCTATTGAACAGAGGAAGGTTGGTGGTGGGAAGGGAGAGAAATGAGAGAAATGAGTAGATTGGAGCGCTGGAGCATGGACGAAAATGACGATGGATGGCTTTCGCATATCAATAGGCGTTTGATAATGGATAATGTCGTGATGAGATGTGGCGGCTTTGAATACATGCGACCTAATTTTTACCACCTTCCGGTCAGAGTGCTGTTTCTCAAGCTACAGAGGTGCATGCAGCTGTCACGCGTCTTCAGGCCAGGTGACTGACAAGGTCGTTGCCATCGACCACTTTCCTTCTATTCGACCAGTCAGGGGTGGGGGCGTTGGCTTGCTCGAAAGCTACCCGGCGCTCAGTACCAGAATATTAACATTGACATATTCACTCATGCCAGCATCAATCTTCTTGAAAATAACCCGAAACTAATGCGCTCAACTCCTCGGGGTGTGAGGAAGAAGATATTTGAGTTTTAGCACCTTAGGGCTAATGCTGCGGGCTTGGGAATATTTTTGCGTTTTCTTGCTTCTCTGCCAGGCTATCTCAGTCCATGTATTGACATTTACCTCGTGCAATTTCTTACTCAAGATAAAGATTCGATCTCGCTTCTTCTTTTTTCTTTCCTCCAATGATCTCTTGTCGTTCATATCGACTTCTCGGACCTTGAATCATCACACCTCACACCCTTCTCCTCGCCTGCCCTCCTGTGGCCTACCCATCAAACTGCCCTCTCCAATCGTTTCATCCCCTCCACTACCCTCCTTCAGCTACTACGTTCCTATGCTATAACCAAGATCCATAACCTCCCTTGCGTTGTAATGGTGAAGGGATGGATGCCTGCCCCCCATCCAGTAATCTTGTGAGTCCGTTGGTGGAAAGACGGATGGATGGATGGGACATGTGGTTTTTTGAGGTAGATTGAGGGGTTTGATGATGGAGAGCGTGCTGTGCCGTCTTGTGATTGGGCTGATTGAGAGGAAAGGGGGAGAAAGGGGGAAAGGAGGAGTAATAAGTGGGGGACCTCAGCGCCGGAAGGGGAGGGGGGGTATAATGGATAGTGGAGAAAGGAGAGTGGAGAGGGAGAGGGAGAGGAAGGAGGGGGTTGTGGGGGTATGGGGGCGGTGGAGATGGCTTATAGGAAAAGCAAAGCGTGTGCATAGTGGAGATGCAGGAAGTTGTGATGAAGGTTGAAGGTTGAAGGTTGAAGTTGTTCTGTACGATCTTCAGCTCGAAAGCTAGTCGGAGGTTTTATTCAAGTCTGTACGTGTTGACTGCTTGGGCTTGCTGTTCGGGCAAAAATTTCATCATGACGCTCTGCAACAGTGCCAGTCTATCACGCTAAACGACGCTGGTGTGATTGACCCGATCTGGTTTATGAAGAGGTGCGAAGGTCGTGGAAATGGCATCGCATAGGTCTTTGAGGTGGAAAAGGAATCAACACCCATCCATGTCTATTTTTCTTACCTTTTCCAACTCTTTGCTATCGTATTTGCCCTTGATACAACGTCTTGCCCAGTGCCGCGCACTTCTATCCACACTCCACTTCGCTACCTCCTCCCCTCCTCTCTCTTCTTCATCTCGCCCTCTAATTCTTTCCCCAACCGCCCCAGCTCCCCCCATCTTCCCCCTCCCCTTCTACCTCCACCCCTTCCTTCACAACTCCCGACGCCTCCTCCCACCGCCCCATCTCCCTCAAACAAACCGCCCGTCTCCACCAGGCCTTCCCATTTCCCTGCCTCTTCATCACCGTGCTCGCCTCCGCGTCCGCTTGCCCCTCAGGCCACATCTGCGCCGTCATATGTGCTTGCGCCCGGTTACTAAATAATACGCTGGCCTCTTCTCTTACCAAGCCGGCAGGTTCCCACGAGGGGCGTTGTAGTGCCATGTCGATTGCGTAGGCGTAGAGTTTTATGGCGTCGTGCGCGGGTTGCAGGTTCGAAGAGGAGGATTTGCGAAGGGAGGCGTTGCCTTGGTCGCGCATTTTTTGGATTTGGGCGGAGCGTTTGGGGTTGGTGGGCATGGGGGGAGGTGGAGTTTGGTGCGTTTCGGGCGGCAGGCTGAGGAGGGTACGATGGAGGGCGTTTAGGGAGGTGAGGGAGGCGGAAAGGGAAATGTCGGTTGGTGTTGGGGAGGAGAGGGCTTTGGATTGGGGGTCGAGATGAAGGGGGAGGAGGGTGAATGTTTCGTCCATTTCCGCTGTGTAGGCAATTGTCTTGAGGTGGTGGTTGTCGTGATGGAATAGGGTGAAATGGTATCGGCGACAAGCTTCTGAAAAGGTCGTCAGTGAAGCTGAAGAGTGGAGGCGACAGCGAGCTGTTCGTGGAGCTTCGTGATTGGCTGTGGAGATAAAAGGACTTAATTCTAGGCCAAGGCTCTGACAGCGGCTCTCGTGGATTTTCCGGAGGCTGCTCGGCGACTATCCGAAGAATCTGTAACGGCGGCGCTGTCGAAGGGGAAGGCCCAGACTTCCTCTGAACTTGGAAATATCTCTTTATTCGGAAAATGGTGGGAAGAACCAGAGGAAACTGAAGCGAATGCGATGGTAGTTTGCATTATCTCCAAACTAGGAGATGCCAAGCTTGTAGCTAGGCCAAGATCAGCCAAGCGCGGGCTGATTCATCAGTCTCGCGGTCAAGGCACCAAAACGCCAAATCATCCATCGGTCAAATCTTCCCATCCATCAGTCCATCGATGCCATCAATTGAGCCTTGGAAGTCCGTGTGTATGTATTGAATAGGAGAGTCATTTTTCGGTGTCAGAGACTCGTCCGTGTCTCCGTCTTTCTCGCTGGATGACACCTCGAAGCAGAATTCAGACGTGGGCAAGAAGCTCACGGATGCTGCAAGGGTCTGACTCACGACCGGTACTACCGGTGTTGAAGTTGGACCGTCTCTGAGGCTCATCCTGGGCTTACTCAAAGGCACTACTCCAATGAAATCTCACCGATTGAGGTCCATCCACTGGAAGCCACAGGATTCAACGGCAAATCGTTGTTCGCATGGCGCGGCAGGGTCTGAGTTCATTCGCCAAGACCCCTGCTGACAATCCGCTGGTTGCTTACATATGCACCGCTGCAATTATCAAGCATACTCTATTCGTCTGAATACTAATCTTTATAGAGGAGACCCATATAACCCATCCTTTGCGCTTCCATTTCTTTATTGTTGTTTGTCTCTCCACCTCGACTTCTCAATTGCGTGCTTCGCTGCATTGCTCCCAGCCTCCTGGCTGACAAACCTGGCCCTGTGCGATAACCCATAATCATATCCTCTTCTCTACTTAGTATTATTCCTACTGTTTTTCAAAATCGCAAGAGATGGCCGACCTTCTTCGTGAATCGCCCTTGGGCCAAAGTATTCGCTTCCTGACGCGCAATCGCATGCTCAAGTACCCAGAAGAAGAAGCCGGCTTCACCCTACCAGATTCCTACAACACAGCGCTAAATTCGGCTGGCGGCGGAGAGAAGCTTCCAGAGGAGCCAAGATCAGGATCCTCATCTTCAGACTCGTCAAATCTGAAAGATGAGAAGAATGAAGAGAAAGCAGCCTCTCCAGTGATGCCAGCCTTGCAAAAGCGCACCACCACCAAAAGCTTCAGACGCGACGTCGAGGGTGGAGATGGCGGCAACATGACGCTGACACGCACTAAGACGCGCGAGGAGACCAAGCCGTACTCAGATGAGCGTCTGGAGGTTGAACAGGAACTAGCGATAGAACGCACAAAGACGATTCCAATCATCCCCATGAAGACGTCAGACGGCAACATCCTCGTGGATTGGTATACTACCGACGATCCAGCCAATCCGCAGAATTGGTCTGCGAAGAAGAAGCATTTCACCTCTTTAATTCTCATGCTGTACACCTTCGCCGTCTATACTGGTAGTGCAATTTACACCCCTAGCGCCCCAGGTGTCATCGAGCGTTTCGGTGTCTCCCACGAAAACTCATCCCTTCCCCTCTCTCTCTATGTCCTGGCCTACGGTATCGGTCCTCTACTCTTCGGCCCACTGTCTGAAATTCCCAGGATAGGCCGTGCCCCCGTCTACATCGTAACGATGTTCCTATTTGTGATGATGTCAATTCCAACGCCATTAGTCAATAACTTCGCCGGTCTTCTTGTCTTGCGATTCTTGCAAGGATTCTTCGGCTCCCCATGTCTCGCGAACGGCGGTGCAACAATGCAAGATATGTATTCTCTCCTCTATCTACCCTACGCACTTTCTGCGTGGGTATCAGCAGCGTATTGCGGTCCTGCACTTGGTCCGCTCCTTTCTGGGTTTGCTGTAACGGCAAAGGGTTGGCGATGGTCGCTATGGGAAATTTTGTGGCTTGCTGGACCAATTTTCATCCTGATGTTTGTGATTATGCCAGAAACATCGACGCCTAATATCTTGCTCCGAAGGGCGAAGCGCCTGAGGGCATTGACTGGCGACCACAGACTCAAATCACAATCCGAGATCGATCAAGCAGGAATGAATCCACGGAAAGTAGCCATTGACGCCTTGATCAAGCCTATGGAAATCACCATCAAGGATCCAGCGATTGCATTCGTGAACATGTATACAGCTCTTGTCTATGGTAAGCTTGCCTCCGTTCTCGCCAGCATTGATATCCTCAGAATCTTAGACAGTGTCTAACGATGTCTTCAGGTATCTACTACTCCTTCTTCGAAGTCTTCCCCCTCGTCTACCCCGTCTTCTACGGCATGTCTCCCGGCATAGTCGGCGTCGTCTTCACCTGTATCCTCGTCTCCTGCCTCCTCGGCGTAGCTGTCTACTGCGCCTATCTCGCCTACTACCTCATCCCAGACATCATGGCACACGGCCTACGAGCTCAAGAACACCGCCTTGTCCCCGCCCTTTTCGGATCTTTCGGCCCTCCAATCGGACTGTTTATCTTCGCGTGGACCGCTAGGCCAGATATTCACTGGTTCCCCAGTGTCCTTGGTATCACCATATACGGAATGAGCGTCTTCATCGTCATGCAGTGTATTTTCGTAAGTCAAACAAACACTGTCACTAAGCTGAAATGATGAGACTAACGAACTTATTAGGTATACGTGCCGCTTTCATATCCACAATACGCCGCCTCTCTCTTCGCTGGGAACGACTTCTTCCGCTCTGCTCTCGCGTGCGGTAGTATCATGTTCGCCCGACCGCTTTTCATCAATCTTGGTGTCGATGAGGGTGTTACTCTTCTGGCATGCTTGAGTACGACTGGTGTTGTTGGTATCTTTTATCTCTACTACTACGGGGCCAAGCTCCGAGCGAGGAGCAAGTTCGCGCAAGGATAAAGAAGAGAAAATTTGGTTAAATGAGAAAGAAAACGGAGTGGGGGGAGGAAAGCCGCATTTGGAGAAAGGAGGCGGTGTAATCGTTGGTGAGGATGCGAGTGCAGTTTTGATTCGTTGTGCATATGCGATGACAGGTTATGAATGATGGTATAGAAGAATTAATTAATTAAGAAATGATATCCGTCCAAGACATTTGAGAGTTCTCGCGTTCTTGCAGCGTCCTCGCTATTTAGTCATTGATTTGAACTATAGTAGCAAACCCTTACTAGCTGCAGATCACCAATTCAACAACAAATCTTCTGGTAGCATTAGTCCACAAAGGAAGAAACCTGCAAGGATGGGCGATAACAGCTTTCGATGAGATGGATATATACATGTTTTTCAAGCTGTGACTTCTTCACATTTCATGGTCGCTCTATGCATAAACAGGTATTTCGCACTGCCCACATCCCACAAGATAGACACCTACGCGATGCATGATGACCTTCCAACACCATTCGCCGTAGCCTTCCTCAAACTCGTGTCCCATTCCCTGCGCACTCCCTGCTTCCTTCCTCCCTTGGTTCACGCAAAACCAGCGTTCCTCCTCCTCTGTGCCTCTAATTTCTCTCTCTTTCTCATCACAACCTCAACCATCACCCAACTTTCCGTCGCACATCTCCACAAGCAATCCCCCTCTCTTTCCACCTCCTAGTCGTCAACTCGTAGTCTCCCACAACCCCCCACTTCAATGATGCTCCCCACCCCCTTCCTGCGCATGTCCCTCCCCATGCGCCCCTCCTCCACCAAATAAACTCTCATAAGCCAAATAAACGCCAAACAACACAGTCGCGGTCCCCAAACCCGGCAACGTCCCCTTGAATCTGTTGTATCGCGTGAATGGACCGGTATACCGCCATGCTTCTGCTCGTCTCCATGGGTCATGGGCGGGTTGGCCGGAGGAGGCGGCGAATTTGCGGGGGTCGAAGCCGGTGAGGGAGCGTGGGGGGGCCATTGTGCTTACTAGGAGGGGAGGAGGGGCGTTAGTGAGGTCGTGAGAGAGAGGAAGAGGGGAAGGGAGAGGGGGAGGGAGAGGGGCGGAGGATGAGGAGGGGGAGGAGGGGAATTGGGGAGGGGAAGATCGAGGGAGGAAAGGGGGGCGAGGAAGAGAGGGTGAGGGGTGGAGGGGTGAAGGGAAAACGTACTTTAGATTGTGGGAGGAGAGGTGAGTGGTGTACTAAGGGTAGAAGAAAGAATGGTGGAAGTGAATGAGAAGTTGAGATGTTGACTAGCGCGGCTTTTTTGGCGCTAGTGGGGAGGTGCTCCGTTCATTGCGCCTTTCGACTGCTGTAATGGAACTTCAAGACGACGTTGCAGTACTTACAATTGGACCAGACCGCCACAATACTATCACATAGATACAAGATGAGGTTAAGATAAGATCGAAGCATAGGATCACTGGTCGCCACATCGAACAACAACACCCGTCTTAGCCTTCTCCACACATGACCTCGCAATGAAAGCCGCCAACAGATACGGCACTCATACCCCTCAAGGCGCCTTCTCTCATACACAACAATTCAATCTCCCTCATCGAACGCCTCAACACCAGGCCTCCAATTCATCCGGCCTTCCTCCCCCAAGTCTGAGCAACGCCTTCGCATCCGGTGCCGCCAACCCATTCGCACCAACAGGCAATCTTAATGGCCTAGCAGGAGGCTTCGGGCCCAGCTTCAATGGCAATGGTACAGGCCTTGCTAGCCAGGAAGCGGTCAATCGTTTTCACGATGCAGGGCAGGGTCAGAATAAGCACATGCGGAGAAATAAGGGCGGGTCGAAGTCACAGCAGGATCTAAGGATACGGGATGTATATGCAAGTAATTTGAAAGAGGAGATGGATTTGCTAGAACAACTAGTGGACAAGTACCCATACATCAGCATGGTATGCCTCATGACCTCGATCAAGTCGTGCATCGTGGCCGTGACTTGCGGATTGAAGCTGACGCGCATGTAGGACACGGAGTTCCCAGGCATTGTCGCTCGGCCAATGGGCGCCTTCACAACGAAAGCAGACTACCACTATCAATGTCTCCGGTGTAATGTCGACCTTCTTAAAGTGATACAGCTCGGCATTACCATATTCGACAAAGACGGGAATCCTCCGCCTGCCAATTTCGCAGATATATCCGACATCCAAATTCTCAACTACTCTCAAAATCTGAAGCCTTGCCCCACGACATGGCAATTCAATTTCAAATTCTCACTCGAAGAGGATATGTACAACAATGCCTCCATCGATTTCCTTGTAGACATTGGGCTTGATTTGAAGAAGAGCGAAACAGACGGTATAGATCCCGCAAAGTTTGGGTCGCGTCTCATCACGTCGGGCTTAGCATACTTCGAAGACGTGCGATGGATATCGTTCCACTCTGGTTATGATTTCGCCTACCTTGTGAAGCTCATGAACCAAAACGAATTGCCCGAAGACGAGACCGAATACCGCAGGTTACTCAAGATTTATTTCCCCTGCATATACGACATCAAATTTATGATCCAACACGCTCTGCGAACACAATCTGTGAATGACCAGCCCCTCTCTCCTGAAGCCGTCAACATCCTCAACTCCTTCAACCAAACAAAAGGTAGTCTACAAAGCCTCGCAGACGAACTGCACATTCGCAGAGTCGGCACCGCCCACTTCGCAGGTTCAGACGCCCTCATTACAGGCAAAGTGTTCTGGGAGGTGAAATCAAAGATCTTCGGTGGCCAAATCAATCCCGAAAAATACATCGGTCAGATCTGGGGCCTGAACCTCTCCGGCACTCCTCTTTTCTCGCCGCAAAGCGCAGGTGGATTTGGCCCGAACGTAGAGGGTCAAGCAAATACTCCGAATCTGAATGGAGCTACGATCTACAACAATGGTGTGCAGAATCAACCTCAGCCACCGAGTACGCCTGCATCGACGCATACGGGTCTCGCAAGCACGCCCAGTCAGCAGAGACCAGATACGGCTGGGGCTGGAGGCGGACTGGGAACGTTGACGCCTGGAGGAGGTAGCGGCGCCTTTGGATCCTTCAGATTTGGGAAGGGTTGAGGATTAGATGGTTATGTTGATGAGAAGGGCCGAGCAAGGAATTTGCGAAGCCCACGACATTTCTACTCCGTAAGATAGAAGCAGTGATCTTGGCGATTTTGTGTTGCCATGGTAGCATTTACTATTCTCGACAATTGAATGATTATGACTACTTCTCGTGCCTTGCTTTGTTGTTTCTGTGAGTACTCTATATAAGGCATCGTGTCCACACAAAGGTTTATCAATATACCTTCCGCCTGTTTTCGTCGCCGTCCACCTTGCCTCTTCCGGAGAACATATCCTGCCCCACGATCATCCCCCTTCCCCCACCAACCCCGCCTTATCGAAATCTGCATCGACATGATAGGCCAATTCACCTCCTGACATCGGGGACCCCATCCATTCACTATGCTTACACGTGGGCCGCCGTGCTCTTTCTTGATCGGGGAGGTTGATGCGTGATCCTTAGAATGTTGTTCATCTTTTCGTGGGATACCTATATAGGTCGATAGTACCTCTCAATTGATTCTCTACCTCGCACTCGCCAATTTCATACCTACAGCTTTTGCTGCCTGCACAGCGAGAGCGCTGTCAGTACTACTGACTCTACCAGACTCGAAGACTCGACATTGCTTCACGGAAACCACCATCGCCATCAGCTGTCATATCACACCCAAACCACTTCCGTAGCACTACAACCTCCCACACAACCATCGCAATGGTCCTCGACCGCCTCCGCCAATTATCCTCCCACCTCACCTCCACTCCTCCCCCTCCCCACCCTTTCGACCCCCTCTCAGCAGCCGAAATCGAACACGCAGTCGCGGTCATAAATGAGAAGCATGCGCCTCTGGCATACAATGCTGTTACACTGCTGGAGCCTAGGAAGAGGGAGATGATGGCGTGGTTGGTGGATAGCGGAGAACGACCACACAGAGTCGCAGACGTGGTGGCGATTAAGAAGGGGGAGAGGTGTGGGAGGGCTTGGTGGATTTGACTGTGGGAGCAGAGGGGGAGGGGAAGATTTTGAGGTGGGAGAATGTTGAGGGTGTGCAGCCTTTGGTAGGTCATTCTTGGATTGGTGAGGGAGGACGAAGAGAAGAGTATTTGCTGACAGGGGTAGATCACAATGGAGGACCTACAGATTGTGGAAAAGATCGTACGGACAGATCCGAGGGTCATTGAGCAGTGCGTTGCGAGCGGGATACCGAAGGAAGATATGCATAAAATCTATTGTGACCGTGAGTGGTGGTCTGAGCTCTCTTGGTGATGAGTATGCTGATGCAGAGATAGCATGGACGATCGGACACGACGAACGATTTGGGAATAAGATACGCCTGCAGCAGGCACTGATGTATTACCGTCCACATGTGGATGACAGCCAGTACTCATTTCCACTGGACTTTACCCCAATCTACAACTGTAATTCGCAAGAGATCGTACATATCGACATACCGGAAATTCGGAGACCGGTGAACAGATTTCCAGCTCTCAACTATCATGCTCCCGCCATAGAGAAAGAAGGCGGCTTCAGAAAAGATCTCAAACCCCTTCACATCACACAACCAGAAGGCGTATCTTTCCAAGTTGACGGACGAATCATTTCCTGGCAGAACTGGAAAGTGCACGTCGGCTTCAACTACCGCGAAGGCATCGTTCTCAACAACATCACCTACAACGACAAAGGCTCCGAACGCGGCATATTCTACCGCCTCTCCCTCGCTGAAATGGTCGTCCCATACGGTAACCCTGAGCACCCTCATCACCGCAAACACGCCTTCGACCTGGGCGAATACGGCGGTGGTTACATGACGAACAGCCTCTCCCTCGGCTGCGACTGCAAAGGCGCAATCCACTACATGGACGCCTCCTTTGTCAACAAAGCCGGGTCACCGCAAACCATAAAAAATGCCATCTGCATCCACGAAGAAGACGCCGGCATCCTTTTCAAACACACCGATTTCCGCGACGACTCGCTCGTGGTGACGCGTGCTCGCAAACTCATAATCTCGCATGTCTTCACTGCCGCAAACTACGAGTACTGCGTCTACTGGATCTTCCACCAAGACGGTACAGTCCAGCTCGAGGTCAAACTCACCGGCATCCTGAACACATACTCCATGAATCCTGACGAGGACACCAAGGGCTGGGGCACACAGGTCTATCCTGGCGTCAACGCGCATAATCATCAACACCTGTTCTGCCTGCGCGTGGACCCCAACATCGACGGGCCAGATAACACGGTGTTCATGGTCGATGCTACGCCTGGCGCTGCACCTGTCGGTAGTGAAGAAAATAAGTACGGCAATGCGTTCTATGCGCATAAAACAGAGTTCAAGACCCCAGAGCAGAGTGTGAGTGACTACGAAGGGGCCAGTAGCAGGACTTGGGAGATGAGCAATACGAATAAGTTGAATCCGCATAGTGGGAAGCCGGTGGCCTATAAGTTGGTGAGCAGGGAATGTCCGAAACTGTTGCCGAAGGAGGGCGGGCTGGTGTGGAAGAGGGCGGCGTTTGCGAGGCATGCTGTGCATGTTACGAAGTGTACGTCTAACCCAACCCTTTTCCCCCTGCCATTCTAAAAACAATGAATACAGACAACGACGACGAACTTCACCCTGCAGGCCGCCACGTCCCACAGACCTCAGGCGATACTCCAGAAAATCTGGGTCTGCCTCACTGGATCGCTCAACAGACTGCCACCAACACCTCAATCCAGAATACAGACATAGTGCTCTGGCACACCTTCGGCATCACGCATTTCCCGTCCCCGGAGGATTTTCCTGTCATGCCTGCTGAGCCCATCAGTCTGCTGCTCAGGCCCAGGAATTTCTTTGATAGGAATCCCGCGCTTGATGTGCCGATGAGCTTTGGTGTACGACCGAGCGAGAAGGCAAGTGGAGATGGCGGTTGCTGTGGGGGGCAGGGACAGGGGAAGGAGAGGGGTAAGGGGGATGGGGTCAGTGTGCAGGTGTGAGGGTCTGTGGGGAGGGAAGCGGAGCAGGGGGAGTTAGTGGGAAAGGAAATTGACACCCAAGGAAGGGCTTTGTGGAAGTATGTGGTACCATGCCTTCTAGTCAGTGATCATGAAATTGAAGATGCGAGAGTCCGAACACGGGGGCTGGGGGTGTTCTGATGGGTCTGCCTCGCAGTTGGCTGTATGAAAGCACGATGATGACGATCATGATGGGTTGGTGGATAATCTATGAGATAATCATGCTGATCACAAGAGTTACGAAGCGCGACTGACGTTGCGCTAAGGTATCGTGAATGCAATTGTTTTGCTACCTTCAGCCCCTCTGCCCTGGGTAGTCAGTCAATCAGTCTGTCGGCTCGCTGGCTTTTGTTTCGGGCCTGTAAGCTGTAGGACGAGACGAACCCGTTTTGTTCGAAATGGAGGATTGTCGATACATGGTATCTTGTGGGTTATTTCCTCCCTTGCTGGCCTGACACTTACGACACCCTTGGAGTGGCAACACAGCCTCAGGAAGTCTTGGTATGAAGATTCGATCAATCTGGCTCAAAACTTACACCAAATGTAGAAGAGCAGTGCGCAATTTTCAGAGATCGGCTTGAAGGCTCATGATATCGCATCACGGACGGTATCATGCTTTCGAAACGAATTCTAGACTGAAATGGGTCAGACCCCACCAGACTCCACACTTACGATCTCATTCGCAATTGTTGGCGCAGGAACAACAACGTAGCACACACTCCTTGCCTTGAGATGCTGATGGACGTAGCAGAGGAAGCCACAGACATGGTTGAGAATCTTGCGTGATGCGATGTCCACTGGACAATGCACTCCATTGTTGCTGGTTGACCGAAATCGGATTGTTACAAAGGGAGGATATCCAAAGACCATGCTGTAATGCGTATGTTTCTACTCTTTGTCATCGAAGCACGACCCAGTCGATTGTGGGGGGTTGATGTTTCTTATATACTGACTGGCGCTTTAGCCTCTGGTGGCAAAAAGCCTTTTGGCGCCTCTGCCTCATTTGAAGGACGCCATTGACTTTTGTGACAGGATGTAGGCCGGGTAGGGGGGAGGCTGGCTGGATATGGGAGAGGGTGATCGTGGCGTTCGAGACTCCACTTCGTAGGGTATAAAAGGCTTGGAGGGTCTTAGTCTCTTCTCTCTTCTTTGTTCATTGCTTTTGTCTTCGGGCATTGGTAGAGATGATGCGGGCTGGTGCGGGTATTGCAACAGTGTGGATGACAGGAGGCATACTGACCTCTAGCCTGGGTCATCCTTACATTCTACTTTGCCAGCATGAGAATGTTTCTCATTGACCAGTGACTGAATTTTGATATTGGATTCGGCAATCAGCAAGGCTCTATTCGAAAGGGCAGACAGCTACAATCATTGGTATGAGGACCGACCAACCAAGCGCTCTCCGTTACGTTTCTCACACCTTCCTAATTGCAGTCATGGCCAACGTTGTGGAACACGAAGTACTACGTCAAATCACACACGTATGTTCGGTAACCCATCTCATTCGGAGCTGGTGTCGTGAGGCAATCGATTGGCACTTTCACAACATTTCAGTTTCAGGTCGTGCATATAATAGCATTTGTTTCCCTTACCCCTCTCTGAGGTGTAATGCTTCATCACCACTAAATATATATATACAATTCCAGGCAATCAGGTCTGGTTGCCCCCCGTATCGCCGGATCTCGGAACTTACGAAAGGCTTGCGTTGGAGCGGAGGCATGTGCCTTGAAAGTATGCCTTCGTCTCGCCTTCTGGAGCGCATCGGATAGCTGCACCACGCGAAGCTCGGTGAGGTCCGGATTTGCACGACCGGAGAAGATGACTGAAAATCTGATCTACGACTTCGCAAAAGCTCTTGGTTTCAAAATTTTGGTTGTTCGTCTTCCGGCTCGGGTTGAGGACGAAAGAGATTCTTCACATAAGCCTTTGCATCTGGGAGTGAAGGATGTCACTTTCCCACACTGGCGCGTAGACAAAGCTTCCTCAAACACGACTGTCCAAAAGGGGCTATCTCGCTCGGTCTTGTGAGACCATCATATCCTGGCAAATTTCAAGGCTCACCAAAGAAAACTTCAGGCCAAACGACGTCATACAGAATTTCTCATTGAACCTCTATCGACCTCTGAGCAAGAGTCCTCTTGAACGATACCCAACTTCCAAGGCCAACGCGACGGAGCATTGTTCCACGTGACAGTTTTGGGTGATAGGTGCTCAATGCAACAAAGGATCTGTGAGCTCCGGAAGTGTCACATCAACAATTGGTCGAACCAAGACCCAGAGAGGAAACGGTAGACCATCTACACTCGCTTGAGCAGACCATATAGTGGGCGAATGGAGGATCTCTTGATGTGTCACTCTTGAGAGGCCAGTGGGAAAGGGAGCTCTACTCATAAGATGTCACAAGAGATGTGAAATGTGTTTGTCGTGACATTGGACTTCCAGAGGCTTTGCCCGACACATATTTTTCAACACATGGAATAGGGTGCATTGCATTGCACGTCACTCCTCTTCGTCTCCCCTCCATCTTGGCTAGCATTACAGCAAGCTCTGGGAAGGCACTCAGAGTACTTCCTATCTCAACCAACACTTCGATATATTACCGTTGAAGCACTCGTATCTCATCAGAGCATACTTGATTTGTATCGAAGCAAGCCACCCCCCAGATTTCCTCAATACGAAAGACCCGAAATCCCCTAGTCACGACCTCGCTTGTTTGCAGACAGATACCATCATAATGCATCAAGGTAGACGAGTAGGAAGGGCTCTCTCTAAACTTGGGAACAAACTCAAGCAGTCCTTCGTCAAAGAGTCAAAGACCGTAAGTACCCCTCTTAATATCGAGCTGAGACAGACTAATTTTGACCAGGAGATCTATCACCATCCGAATCTGGTGTTCTTGGAGGATCAGGTCTCATCAGATATCGCTACCGGCCCAGAGAAATCCCAACCATATTTGATTGGCGACGGAAATATCGAACCTCCGGACACAACCGTCAGGGATTTGCTAGCCTCGATTAATACAGCTGGGACTGGTGCTGAAGGATCCAAATCTTTAAATCAAGGGCCCAATACTCCTGTTACCGTCTTGCAATCGTTTGGCGAGCTTCACCTACACTGTCCTGTGCAGCTTGAGGACATTACTGGCTCGAAGGAGTCATCGATGGAAGCTTCACGATCTTTTGTACCATTTGATGTAGGCTCTAGAGTTCAGAGCAATGCTTCTTATTGTACAGACGTGGCTGAATGGCTACGTAATATCCCACTGAAAGAGGGAGCCAGCCGAGATACGACGGCACCAGCCTCACCCATCGCAACGGTGGACTCGGAAGAGGCTTCGAAAGACACACCAGGCACTTCAGTCAGCTCCAATGCATCCTCGAGGCGTCGGATATCCAAGCGTCGTGGATCGCAGCTTCACAAGGAGCAATTTTGGGTTGAAGTTGAGGGAGAAGATCCACTATGTTGTTTTCTACTCGCAGTCAAGTTTAGGGAGGCACAACTCTTTCAAGCTATGGCGGAGGATGATAGAATGTACTGTGACCTCATCGACAAGAAGAATGAGGATCTTGATGCACAGGAAGAGGATTTTGAGGAAACCTTGGCTGCAGCGGAGAAAAATCATGTGAACGTCATCAGAGACTTGGAAAATAAGTACACGATGACGATAAACTCACAGAGGAAGGCTTTCGAGAAGCAGCTACGTTCACTGAAGAAAGAAGTCAATAGGAAAACTGCTGAGATCAATCAGATCAACGAAGAAGTAGAGCAGGAACGAATTGCTAAAGAACGAGAGCTCAAAGAGGTGACTAAGGAATTGCATACTATCGATGACGCCTTCCAGCTTGAAGTACGAGAGAGGCGTCGTCTCCAAGCAATCTACGAGCCCAGGACACAGAACTATGAGAATCAACCTCAAATTACTGGCCACGGACTATCTCTCTTCCAAAGTAGTCCAGGTTGCCAACAACCAGATGCAGCAGATGACTGGCATTCATGGACCGTACCATACGAAGACGAGATCGCCAAGAAGGATACCATCATCATCCGCATGAAAGACGAAGCACATCAAAGCGCTACCGACCTCGTCACAGAGCAGGAAGCGCATGCTATCTCAAGGGTCGAAGCCAAGGCTAAAGTCAGCGGTTTGCGAGCTCAGATCACAGACTTGACTCACTCCCTCGCCGTCGTCAGCAAAAGCCGAATGAACAACGTGCGCTGGATCGAAAACGCCTGCACGGTCCTAGAAACCAAAGTTTACGCCCACGAGGTCAAGGATATCCTTGCTGACCGCCACTTCTCTGCGGAGGCAGACTGGACTCTGCTCCAAAACATACTTCGCTCTCGTTACAACACAATTGCTAGTGCCAGAGCAGATCTTGGTGAAAAGGAGAAAGAATGTGTGCAGCTCGAGGCGCGCATCGATCGTCTCGAGGAAGAGACCGTCGTCCTCAAGCAGGAGAACTCGCAGATGCGCGTCTCGAATGAGGGATGGAAATGGAACTACGAGATCGCCGACGAGCAAATCAAGGAACAATGCCAAAATACGGCACAACAGCACGAACATATGGTCTTAAAGAACGCGGAGCTGAAAGCGCTCCTTGATGGAGAAACACAGGAGTTTCTGGCATTGAGGGATAAGGAGACGAGAAAATTAGAGGAGGAGAAACAGGCGCTCGCGAAGGAGCTAGAAGAGACGAAGGCGAATAGGGACGAGTGGAAGCTGGCGTATGAGGAAGAAGTCGGGAAGGAAGATGATGCCGACGGAGAGCCGAGATGTAAGGTCATGCAGAATCCGAAGCCGCATCCCAGTCGAATTGGCACTGATGGCAAGACTTGGGAGGAGAGGAGATTGGAGGGTGTCGAGCCCGAGGGCATGCAGTACGAGGAGGAGGAGAAGGAGGCAGCGGCAGACGGTGAGAGTCTCCCGAAGGAAGTAGATACCGGATTTGGAAGCTGGGCGACATTCTGAGGTATTCTGTGCTTCTACAGCCGGGAATTGAGACACGCGAGGGGCGAAAAGTACTGATGAATAATGATGATGATGATGATGATGATGATGATTGAGACAGACACGTGATGTATCAGTTGATCACCGTGATGGGTAAAAGTGAGTGTAATGGTTGAAACACGACGAAAAAAGAGTGAAATATCGATGTAAGTCCCGTGTGATGTGTATGTCTCTTTTGCCGCTTCTGATTACTGTATGATGAATGTTCGCCATTTCCTTTTCGACGAATCATTCAGCTATACACCATACCTCGTGAGGTGTTCAAAATACATCTGCATGTCTCAATTGCCGCTTCTGCTTGTGGTGTGATTCTTCACATCCCTCCGGTGTCTTGAATGGCGTGAATCAAACCCTTTCGTCCCGTCTCTGCCATGTGTCTGTACACATTCATGCGTGTGATACCGGTCAAATGACCAGAAGGGTAAACACTTGGTGAGTGATTGGTATCGTGAGGAAGACATGTGTCTGAGGCGGGTGAGACAGCGTGATCAGGCTTTTGAGCGTGTTGGGTTGGGGTGGGTATAAGAAGGCCCTCCTTCCCCCCCGGTTCCTTCCTTCTTTTTCATCAGCATTGTTATAAATATATATATATTCAGGCTTCGTTTCTTTGGGGGTAGTCTGGAGCTATCCATGTCCTAGGAAAGGACATTCAATGAGCACGAGTCCACCGTTGCGGAGGGAGTAGAAGATGACCATCCTCGTCTACTTGATACTCAACTAGTAGACGACCTGCTGTCCTCCTCCAGACAGGCAAATGCGCTGAGGTTCCATTCTTTCAACATCCTCTCTCTCGCGATCAAATCCAGGAAACATGAAGATCATTTCGGACCTGACCAAGAAGCTAATCAAGGCAAAGGCTCTCAAATTTCATTCTTTCATCGTTACTACTTGTTATGCCGAACAGGAGCGCTTCATCAATGAGGCGATGTTCAGATTAGCAAAGAAGTATGAACTACCAAGGAACGACTTGCCAACCGTAAAGCTAGCACCGGTAATCCAGGGCAAAGAGGCCGATGTCGTCTTGTTCGATACAGTGATCGACTCGGAAGATACGATGGGGCAACTCGGTCTTGCACAAGGGGAGCCATTCGAAGGGTATCAAGGACCCTGGAAAATGTCTTTCAAAAACCTTCAAGCGATCAAATACGTCGTCTTGTACGAGTCGTCAAGTCTCCTTTGCTTTCCAATACCATTCGTTGCTGTCGTCTCCTTGCCATTGGGATGCCGCGCCGCTCTCGTGGCAAGTCAGCCCTTTGGAGCTGTAAGTTGCCATACCTCCGAGGCTAAGATGATCCAGCTAACATGTCCCAGTGGACCTGAACTTCTTCTAGCTGTTCAGGGGTGGTGCTACCAATGGACGTCATCGCGACTCATATACATCCAAAACGCCAGCTGTTGTGCGAAGTCCCATTTCCTTGCTCAACCCCCCCAAGAGCGTGGTCCCCACTGACTCGCCAACGCATCATCTCGGAGGTCGAGGAGACCGCCGCACCGTTGCCTTGGGAGAAGCCAGATGCACAGACGTCGCACCTGGAGCGCAAAGAGGCCGGTATGAGGGAAGCCGCAATGTACGCCAACCTAGCAAACTTTCGGCGTCCAGTGGCTCCACCACAAACACTGAACGACCCTCTGTTCCCGAATATGCAGATGTCTACTTCGCCGAGGTCTTCCCATGGGAGATGTCTTCGGCCGACGCAACAAGTAGCCTTGTTGGGGGAGGTACTTCAAGGTTAAGGATGGACGATGTCAGTTACGAGGATCTTACTGAAGAGAGAGCATACCTGCCCAGCCTTCCACCACAATTACCAGCCGCCAGCACCTGTACCCCAGGCCTTGAACCGGACCTCGCACGCGCCACTGCTCAATTTGACAGGTGCACCGTATAAGGTTCAAACTCTCAGCAAAATACGAAACCACATCGTGCAGTCGGTCGGCCTGAGGGCGGAGCTTGAACGCGAGACCAACCAGGAGCCATGGACAGAGGCTGCCGCTCAGGAAGCAGCACCCTTATCAGCCATCAACCGACTCGTCGGTTTTCCGTCCGCTGTCAATGGTTTTCTACGTCCCATACTTACGTCTTCCAACAAGCCATCCGTCACCGATGCCGAAGTCTCCCCGGCATGAATTTTCGCCAGAAACGAACTTCGACGGGTGGTGGAAATACTTGGACTGCTCATGCAGGGATTAAGGCTTATAAATGACATGATGGTCTTTCTAGTCCTGTGCAGTGAATAAGTACTTGGACTTGAACGGATGAGCGTATCGGTGTTTTGGGACAACCAATGCTTGAAGCGCGGAGCTCAAGGATGCATTGGTCTAGTGAGCGAAGGCGAATGCAGAGGCACAACGATGATCTAGAAGATGCTGTTGTGAATCACTAATCGCAAGACTACAAGGCTTGGGAAGCCAAAGACTATAATGCGGACGACGATAGTTCCTGGTGTGCATTCTGTGGAATGCAACGCCATGATGGAGCACTCGTCGTCCGAACTTGCATTAGCCTTACCCGAGTGTCTGGTGGAACGGAATCGCGAATACATCATTGCTATCAGCTGAAGGAAAATGGGTAAGAATTACACGAGTATTAGAACGGGTTCATCGGAGGTGATGAGGAGTAGCAGCACCCAGAAGATCTCCAAGGCTCATGCCGCCCACATTGCGGCCGAAGGCCGATTCCTACACGTTTTATTGCCGGCCGCCCACAAGGCACGTAAAGGGATCAGTACTCGAGGACCAGCCATCATCTTCTCGAATCACCCGGATAAGGTCATGGAGAGGAGCCTGGAGATGCTGCCGCGGTACCAGCTTCTTCTAAGGGGAATGCGATATGCTATTTCAAACCCCAAGTGGTTGTCGCGCCTATTTCGGCAGCCCGAACAAACTGAGAGACGGAAAGAACCGTGGTCCTATATATAGGGAAGGAGTGACCTTGCATGTCGCGCCACCACTCTTACTGCGTGCCATCACGGTAGGTGTCGGCTACAACAGATGTTCTTTGGGACTACTGGACATTCTATCAACCTGTGGGGGATAGAAAGTTGAAACGAATCACCTGCACACTTCTCTGTCAGCTTACTCACGATCTGAGCCCTAGGTTTCGAGATGCACAATAATTGCGTCTAAATATATATATGAATGTTCAAGAAGCCTTCACGGACGAAGGATTCTTGAGCGCTGGATAGGACTTGGGACCTCACTGGAATGGAATCTTCCCGAGGGGTTGTTTGACTCCGCCGCCAAAGAACTGGGAGTTGTTAATTCCTCAGCGAATGGACTGAATTCCCACTCCTTGAGAGGCACAGACACACCCACTCTGGCACATTCATGTCTGGACTATCACTTGCTGAGTTCCTCGAGGTGTTGCAAATCGGTTGTAACGCAACATGATCACCCATCTCATGTGCATGGGTTCTGGTCCGGTCCTCTGAAGGTGCAATTCCTCTCACAAAAGGCGCATGGTATCACAACCGACCAAGGAACGACAATGGCTTAGGTTCTCGGCGTTCCTTGCGGACACTGCACGTGTGAAAAGGAGGTTGCGAGTCATACCCGATCGAGAACTTTAAATGCGTCGAAAAGACACTTCATCTCTGCCTGGACAGATGTCAAGAAAGCACAAGAGATGCTATTTCGCCGACCATGGTTTTGCTCTAAATATATATAGAATATCCCACCAGCTGAGGAGATCAGCAACAAGGATCCCTTCGCCAAGGTCATGCCCGAGGCAGGAGCTTCAACAAAGAAGAGAATGCAAGTGACATGGCGGCGTCTCCGGTGGTCACGATCCAGAGGAAAGATACTCAAATCCTTAGGGACCAAAACGAAGCTGGAAATAGAAATACCGCCTTATCCTTCCAAACCGTACACGACGAGGTCCGTACAGATTTATTGAAGAATGGCCAAAACTCTGATGAAGAGAAAACGAAAGAGGGAGCAGAGAACAACCAAAGGCATCTGAGGAAGCCAAGTAAGGGATGAATCCTGACATTGTTGGCGTCCCATTGGAACATTTGGTGCTATAAATATATATACGATACCCTCCTAGCTGAGCAGATCGGCAGTGATCAGCATGGATCCTTTCGCCCAGCTCATAGTTGAGGCAGGGGCTGATGAGCAAGAGGAAGGAATGCGCCGAGCAGCACTTAGATGATGCATTCATATCGACACCATGTACACACCACCAGAGACGAATCCAGTGAACGCTGGGCAACCAGACTTCGTGATTAATGACGAAGATAAGACTCTTGCGGTGTTAGTGACTCATATGGGAAAAGCCTTCCTTTATGATGCCACTCCAAGATACCCGCTGCGTCCATGAGCTGGCACACGGCCCGGAGCTGTCAGCTCAGGAGAAGGTCATGCAGTGGCTGAAATGGCCATGATGGGTGCCTCCCCGAGTCTTGACGAGCAGCTGGCACACGGCCCAGAGATGTCAGCTCAGGAGAAAGTTGTCAAATGGCTAACTTGGCCATGATGGATGTCTCGTCGAACCTTGACGAGCATTGGAGAAGTCAGGAGATGTCATGACATGAGATCACGCGGTGGATAAATTCCCATGTGCTCTAAATATATACGAAATACGTTGGCTGCAAGGTACAAGCACAGCATCTCATATTGGCAGCTGGGACCCCATACGAGGCTGCATCAATGCTCAACCATTACTTCCAGCACCCACATCTACCGGCACCTCCGCTATATACTTTTCAGATAAGCCAAGAACTTGATTCTTGGTTTGCTATTCTTAAAAGCGAGTCGCTCGCAACGCTTGAATCCATCACTGGCAATCTGGTGAGTTTGAGGGCAGTTCTTGATTCGAAAGATGTGCATGATTTTCTCGTCAAGATCAAAATCCTCTTTGATGAATACCGACACAGCCTCCCTTCCGCCTCTCACTCGAAAATTCATGGAGGTTGGAAAAAACGCAGACCAAATAACGGTCTGTCGGAGGATACACTAGACGCACTCACATCGAGGGACCTGATCGCTATCATCATCATCGAAGTGCTCTTCTTCAATCAACTGTGCCGAACCGAACCTCCGGTGGATCCTACGGAAAAACGACGAGGCACCCCTATCGGTCTTCGGATCGTACGCGAAGTAAATGATGACCGTCAAGAAGGAAAGTTGGACTGAATCAAGCCGCCCCAATGGTAGGTATAGCCGTATTCAACCAATATGATTCGCATACGATGACAAGCTCCCAAAAACATATCAAATCATCTCATCAACCGTACCATAGCCTTCTGCCAACATCGCTATCATACCCCTAAATCGGCAGTTCAAACACGAAGTTGCCGGCAGAAAGAACGCAAAGCTAATCTTACAGCAAATGCAAGCCTTTGTCACGCAGCAGCCGGAGATACCAGGCATGGGCCTGGTTCAACAGAAACATGCCGAACGCGGCAGAAACCAATGAGGTCAATGATTACGTGCACTTTGCTTTTGAGACTCGCTAATGCATCGAGCTCATCGCCCTCTTTGCAGGGCCTAGGCGACCAACCGTCTCACAACGATTTGTGCGTACTAGTTGCAGCCTTTGCAGTCCTCTATCCTCAGGTGACGGTTGTATTTAACCCAAGATCAACATCCAGTATGACCATGTCGCCCACGCCTCAATCTCTAAATATATATATGGATGAAGCTGCTGGCTTCGCAGGACTGTTTTGTCCTATCACCTGCGCAATGCAGGTTTTTAATAGGGTCCAGGTCCTTTGTCGGACTTGGAGTGGTCACCTCCATGAGCAAGTACCAGTAATGCCTATAACAACAAACCAGATGCTCGACCAGCTCCGAAACATCGGATCGCAGTAGGATGTGCTTCATGCAGATCCTGTGCTTGAAGACTTCATCATCAAGTCGTGCTACTGAACCCTGGCTTGTTGAGGACCGTTGATCTGGTTGAGTGATGGTCAGCATGAGAGTGAACGTAGCGTCCACGAAGCCGAACGATGGCTTTGGCTCTGTCTCCGAGTCTTTACATCACCGTCTGACTTGGTTCAAATTTTCAGTCCTTATTCATCGCTCATAATGAGAGATGTCAGGACCACAAGCCTTTTCCAGGACGTCTTTTGAAGCATGGACACTTGCCAATACGGACATACCCTGCCTTGAGCGTACTGAGCCTCAAGTACACGGGCTCTTCCATGCTCATAGTCTGGAGATTCTATCGTGACTTGATCGCCCCCCCAACCCCGGTCGTCGCTCGCTCTATACGGCCAAACAAAGAAGTGAACTAGGACGGTGCCTATACGTCCAAAGAAAGACATAGGACAGACGATAACTAGACGTCAGAAGCTTCAACAACATGCATATGTCTGCAGTAATTTCTTGTGGGAATCCTTTCACCGTGGCCGTCTTCAATGGAGCGGAGCTTGATCTTCAAGCCTTTGCATGCTGCAGAAACTCATCACTGCAATATCATGAAGAGTGCTGATGATGCAAAGCTACAAGGGATGAGTCAACACCCCCAGATGATGGGCCAACATGCGCTGGTAAAATCCATACACGCAACTTTCAAGGGTTTATTCACTACGGGCCGCCTCCCCTACCCCTGTGCTTCCAGATCATGATGCAACAAGAATCCCACCAGGCAGATTCTTCAAGTCTGGAAGCCCATGGAAGGAGTACACGAGCCAACGTCATCTCGTGTTCCAAGAAATTCATTAATGATCGCACCATCTCTCTATCCGGAAGGAGCTGTGAACACAGTGCCAGACACGTCCTCGAAGACGTCACTCTTATTCGAAAGCATCATCCTGTGCCGTGAGAATTTGTGGTACCTCTCTTTACGCAATCTCGATCCAGATTCATACCCTGATGACGAGGCGAACGGAGCTTTGAAGCGCAAGAAATCAGCCTCCACATCAATGCCGTGAATACTCGACCCTGGATTGACAGCTGGTGGTGCTGCGTGGTGTATCACGAAACATTAATATATATACAATTTCTGAGGACTGACGAGCGATATCTGAGCGCCTTTCTCGACGTCGCATGGAAACGTTAGAGCTTTTAGGTCTGACAATGTCAGAACAATTCGATCCAGCTTGCGAGAGCATCCAATGCCTTTGCGACTCCATCGAACGGTTGTTTTATCCTGAACCATCCTCCAGTTTAGTGCGTGCGCATCAGCGCGGTCAAAGGTCGCAACATCTTGCGCTGACCCATCCTCAGGAAGTATATCGAGTCCTTTCGATGCCTTCCCGGTCAGAACGCGGCTAGCTACCATATTCAAGCAATAGCAGCATTGCGGGAGTTGCTAAGATTTGCCAATCAATTTGACCTGACTCTGGACTAGGTGAGACATGCGAAATCGTACACAAGCGAAGAAAGACCGAACTTCTGGGTCCTGATAGTTAGCCGAAAGTGCTATCTCTAACGTTATGCAAGGATCAAAGGCAGACTGAAGGCGAGTTAGTGGATGCGGACCCAGGCCTCATCGGTTCTCCTCTTCTGCACGCTACCAAAGTCACCAAGACGAGAAGACGTCGCAAAGCCGCAGAGGATGTACTGACACTGGGCCCTTCTAGATGAAGCTGCTGATATGGAGAACTCAATCACCAGAACTCAAGAGCGTTCTCATCACTGCCTACGTAGAATGGACCTTTCTTGATAGGCGGTCAGGATCAAGGGAATGCCAGCTGCAAGAGATATCAAAACCTTCAGCTGTATCTGAAACAGAGTTGCCTGTGAAGAGAGTCATCGCGCAACATCGAAGGCGAGATCCACAATCCCAGAAGACGAACAGGACCTACTAGCAAGATATATAGGTATTGCCAATCCCTTCGACTCCGGCTGCCAGAATTGCAAGATCTGGTCGGGGCTAGCGTTGTACAACATGCAAGCTAAATATATATAGATCATGCGCAGTGGTACACTGTGGGCAGGTACGCTGTGGGCGGCTTTGCTGGTCTCGTGGCTTACTTACAGCTGCAAAAATAGGTGGTTAATGCTCTTCACCTATCAAGATCATGACTTCGGAGAACGAACACGACGTACTCGTCCGGATCGTTGCTCGACGAATAATTCCCCTCCACAATTCGCTAAGGGACTTCCTAATGATTCCGTGGGGATCTGAACGATTTCTGGCTTCCCAAAACGTCCTTTGAAAGGTTAAAACGACAAGGACCGATCTTGAAGCTCGATGCAAATCTCAACGTCTGTGACTGGCAGAGTGGTGAAACTTGTGAGATAGCCAGCAGGATGTGCGAAGTCCCACCAGGCGTCGATATATGTTGGACCTGCTCCGTCCTGATTGCCTCATGTTGTGATTCAATCACATTTGAGCAGTCTCCACATGGGCTTTTCTTGTGAGAAAGGACGAGTTCATCTGGAACGGGAGCTGAAGCATTTGAAAAGCTCGTAACAAGTGAAAAGTGATGCGAAAAGCCCAGAAGGCAAAAACTTACACATACCCTTTGGGATTGAAATCTAATCAACGCTCCAGTGATAAGCAAATCACGACCGTCCGTGTCATTGATCTCGCTCTAGGAGCTGAAGAGAAGAAAATGTTGTTGAGCTCCATCTTTCTTTCAGCTCCAGCTCCAGCGAAATCAAGAAAAAGGTACATCACGTAACGTAAATATATATACTTTTGGGGAGTCTAGAGAGGTGCTCGCACTCTCTGAGGCTGAAAGCTGGGCGGTACTCGCAAGATCTACAACAGAACCTTGAAGATCAAGAGTTTCTCACCAGCTCCGTCAAATCTCCTACTCCAGAGGAAGGAAAGCCCAAGAGAAAACGTCGCAAGGCCGCAAAAGGTGTCGCAATATTAGATACTTCCAATTCGGATAAGCCTCAGAAGCATCATCAAGACCAAGACAATGCTCCCGACACTGTGGCTTCGCCAGCTCTGGAGGATAACAAAGGCAAGAAGAATGGTGAGCGTAGGGACTTTAGAGCAGGATAGAAGACACGTGAGAGTCGAGTCGGGCGCGAAGACTCATCAAACCCCCAATGAATTCGCCGTCTTTCCTATCCTGTCAATTGCTCTTGAACGGCAACACAATCTTACTTCTTGGATGGCACCACGAAAATCTCACTCCTCCGGGGAGCCTGTTGCCTCCGTCTTCTTGTAGAACTTCAACGAAGACCCCCCCATGGTGCTCGGAATAAGTCTCTATTAGGACGATATTATAGTAAACATGAGCAGAGCCACTCACACTTTCGATTGCGGTATGTTCACTCCAGCATCCTCCGTCCATTGAAGATGGGCAACATTATTTGGCCTTGCTTAAGCGAGGATTGGGCACAGCAATTAAGCGACTTCTGGAGTAACCGTCATCGCAGATCCGCATTTGACCCACAGAATCCAAATCCTGACCCACAAGATCCTACATGACCGTTTGACCCTATGCTGCTTCAAATTATGGGCCAACCACGGCGTGTTGCTAAAATGAATCTATCGGGAGCTTGTCGTGGTCCGCCATTACGCAGGAGTTAAACGCTGGATTTAATACCAATCTCCACGGAACCAGAGCCGTATCGAGACGGTAAGTAAACTCTTTTCAGATCGCAAAGTGGCAGGAATACGCTCACAGTTTGAGCACGAAGCTGCAAGTATTCACCATGTCCGTACTAGAGCGTGGAGGCTCTTCCCTACTGAGGAGCGATTCCCGCTTTGGAAACAAACATCCATGCAAAGGAATCACGAGGGACGTCAAGAATCGCGACCTTTAAATATATATATTGACACTCGAGGTGTTAAGCTTCGCTTGGATGATCCCTCGTCCGACAACTCTTCGTCTCGGTCTTCTCATGGCGGCTGAGATAGCATAGAGTTGCAAAGTCCCACGCACGAAACAGACGAGAGAAGAACGCAAAGCCATACGCAGACCTTCCCATTCTCAAACGCATGGATCGGGGCAACAAAGATCTGACGGCAGGCATCAACTTATTTAACATCTTCTTGCATCATCACGAATCCGAGATGTCTGTCTCTAGGCCGCAGATCTGGAATCTGCGAAGTGAGAAAACTGGCGTGCGTTATCACGCAACCTGATCTCGAGAATGAACAAGATCAAGCAGGACTTGTCAGGTTCGCATCAAACGAGGGTACCAAAGTTGCTGGAAATGAGCGCGCTCCGGAGACGCCCTCCCATGCAACCAGCAGCTCCTCCTCCGCCTCAATCGACGACCCCGCGAGCAGCAGTCCCCCCAAGCAACGTCGAATGGTCCAGGCACGGGTTATCGCGGGTCACGAGTGAGCCATCTAATTAACCTTTTTCGCACACAGGATGTCACTTAGAGCGAGGTCCTTCATACTGCAATTTTGCAAGCAGCTGGCTGGACGCAAGGGACTCTGTGGCTTGCGGTCCAGGGAGGAATGATGAGCAGCTTTCGTCTCGCCTAGGGATAACGGGCTATTCTGTTGCTTAGGTACCAACAAGCTACCGTACGATCCAACGCTAGGCCGTGGGTCTAATCATGCTTGGCCCACGTAGATTGATTGGAAAGGATACGGGAGTCGTGTCGCTGGAAACTGAGGAGAACAAACACGAGGATAGAGATGATTAAGACGTAACATGCTGTTGACAAGGACTCGGATAATGGGCGAGGATGAAAGTAATCTGCGCTGGGTGCCGTCTCTCGACTTGTGGAGATTCAATTATGGGTCTGGACACTTTGAGACTTGGGGGCGACCTTACGAGCCACACAGGGTAAAAAGGGCTATGGTTGGCATTGTTGAGACGTCGAACCAAAAGATATTCTGATAGCCGTCCAAGTACGATGGCCTCACTTCAAACTGAAGCTGAAGCACGACTCCCGGAGGTCCCACTTCGACATCACCGAGACGGCAACTCCTCCCATTCCAGAAGGCCTCGGTGCATTGAGCTGTGCCGATCAATTTGTGGAGGGAAGAGGATTGAGGTGGTAGCGCCGTCTGGTGGAAATTGGTAGGACTTTGAGATAGCAGTATTAGTATGGTCAGACCATGACTTAAGGAGAGGTATTTAATGATCGTAATAGATAGCCCTATACAGTAAAAACTGAGGGTTATAAAAATTTCGTCCAAACTCTCTACCAGTCCTGTAATTAAAGGATCTAGCTAGACTAGGGGTTAGTGGGCCAAGAGCTCATTTCGCCTAATTCCTTAGGCTTTTACATAGTATTTTGGCAGCCCCTGCTCCATCATTCCTACAATCATTTCTGTCAATCAGGGGGCTTTTGGAACACCCGCCCACCGTCCCTGTACATAGATCTATAGATACAGACTCCAAAGCTACGTCAGTAGGGGGTTTGGCTGGCCTAGGGGCAGCTGCATGGCTTTGCCAGCGAGAGAGTCAGTCTTTGGCTGGCGTGGACACTCGGCAGCGAGGTTTTCAGACCTGTAAACCCTAGGCCGGCACGGCCAATATTAGATTTATGACTCATTACATCATCATGTCCAAGCTCGTCAGACCACTAATTATTCTTAGCCGAAGACGCTGCTTTGGTCTTTCTTGTCTGCCCTCTCGTCACAGCGTTTGCGCGTTTCCTTTTCCCGGGTCAAAGGGCCTTGAACAGCTCCTCTCTCTGTGAACGCTGGGTAATGTGCGTTGCTGATACCTTGATCGCCTGGGAGACGTACTCTAGAGCCGTACCTTCCACCGGTGTCTCGTTCTTCTGTTGGCCTGTTGTCGGTTTTGATGGGTGCTTGCAAGATCGAAAGCTGATACAATGCTCGAGAATTGTCCGGGTTCATCGAAAATTATGAAGATAAGTCTTCGAAGCGATGGTAAAAGTCACCAATAGATGTTTCTTTTCTCTCGAGCCGCAAGAGTGATGTCAGTAGATGTCGGGACTCTTTGTCTCTTTGTTGGACGTTGGTGGTTTGAAGACAGATAGATCTATGACGGAGGAACAAATTCCTAGTGACATCAATGTCTAGGCGGAGCCCCCTATAGGACCGCCTAGATGCCGGCCTCTCTAGGGGCCAATGCCCCTATTCCTTCAAGGGGGCGTCGATTCAACACTTTTGGCGTGTTGATATCAATATCTTGTCCCAAAAGTGCCACCCAACGGTATATGCTCTGTTATCTGATGGCGTAATGAGGTTGAAATGAGCAGAGAAATTGCAAAATCTGTAGAGCTATGTGCTTGAGAAGGCAGTCAAAGATATATTTGTTCCAGAAGCAAGTTGTCCTTCTACGTCGTTTGCGTAATATTTCCTACTGTTTCGCCTCGTGATATTTATTTTGCCTACCATTTTCTACAAGTATTTTGACTCCTAGTGGCTGATTCTAGCGTATGTATGTCGAGATGAGACAGAATCTAGATAAAAGCTCTTAAAACCAGCGGCGTATTTTCAGGGGAGAACTTCGTCTAAAATCATGGAATTGATTCTGCAGATGCACTATTGACCGTTTACACGTCGGAGAACAGCAATTCTTGCCTCCCTTTCCTCCTACAATCACTTCTTCTCATAATCGTCGTCAAAATCACGTTTGCCATTGCCTGGTCTCGTTCTAGAACGGCCTACTGCGGCCCCTTGTCCTTCCCACCGCAATGCTTCGCTGCCACGCTCATAGTCTCCCTCCTAGCGCCCTGACCCTCTTCTCGTCTTGGTGAAACTTGTAGGGCTTGAATTCGAGCGTTACCACGCCGACCTGGCTCTCTTGATCTTCAGATTGCTTGTTTTCGGTAATCTTTTCACATGGGCCGAGGGTGGATTCTAGGTATCGCTGGATGCCGGCAACGTTGATTGTCTTTCGCACCAGATGTGGTCCTATCGGGCTGCCTTTTTCCTCAATGTTGATGAATCGTATGATCGTAGTCTGGAAGCTGACGAGGCTGCGGAGAAGAAAGCCAAAGGGCCCTCGGAGAATGGCGGTTGATAGTGGCATGAAGTCTATTTCCTCGACGACTGTGGAGAAGTCTACCGTGCATTTGTTGCGTGCAAATGAAGTACCTTGGAAGTGTTTGAGGAATTGACGCCAGGGAAATCCTTCCATATGCCACTGGTTCTCGGAGTACGATATTATGCGTGTGCGGAGCTCGGGGGCTTTGATCTCTACGACAATGTCGATATCGTTAATATGGCGGAAATGTTCAAGACGTATCTCCTTGTAAGCGACTGGTGCTTGAAAGTATGACGAGAATTCGAAGTGATGAATCATGACGACGCTCTGGTCGAGAATTGGCTGGGATTCAAGGAAAATGACACGTGACGCTCTCAACAAGGCAGGCGTAGACTTCTGCTGATGTGCGAATGACATGTGTGGATCGGTAAAAACGACTATGACGTCGCCTTTGAGGGCGTACTTGTAGATCTTGCGGCGAATCTCGGGTGGGAGCTTTCCCAAGCATCCATAGGCATCTTGGTTTACTGGTAAAGCTGCCATTCCAGCCAATGGAGCGTTGCGAATCTACCAGTCGTAAACATGAGGATACGTCGAAAGTGGTTAGATTAGATTGAAGCTCTGCCAAGACTGACTTACAGAATAGTAGAAAGCAGGTGAAAAGGGCAAAGAAGGAATAAGAAGGGGCTCGCGGTACTTATATCTAGATTGAAACTAATTAGAGAAACCAGAATTAAATACGCATTTCGATAGAGAAGCTTTGATTACCCACCGAGTAGCTGGAAATGCCTGCTTTATTACCGAAAATCCAGATTCAAGCCGTATCTTACGAGAACTATTTACATATTATACTCGCCAAAGACGCGCCTGTAGCGGCTACTCTAGCTCAATATGGAATATTTGCAATGCAAGTGAAGACAACGGCGCTAGATACCCAAGCCGTGACACTTTTTCACACGCCAAATCCTGTGCTCATGGTCAGCAATATGCCATATGTACAAGGAATCGGTAGCACTGACAAGACTCCTGAGTAGTTCTTTTGCCTTTGGGACAGAACGAAGCGACCAACTGCCTTTCTGCATCTGCGTGAAGTATTTGGAGAAGACAGCGCTAGCTCCAGCAGCATTACTCACGATGTCAAACATCAGGTCTGTCTCAATTCCTAGATGCTCGCAGAATTGCATCGCTTCACTCATGCCGACTAGGTGAACACTGATCAGCATTATCTCAATGTCACTGATCGTCAACGTAGAGCCTTTCGAAGGCTTGTATGACCCCGCCTGTTGTACGACTAGCTCAGGCTGACTGGGTAGAAACAATCGCACCAGAACACAATCGTCCTCCCTATCCCACCCAGCCGCGCTTGCCTCGTCGTACAAAGCCTCCGCCCTCTCCAGTATAGGAAGCGGAAATTTCTCCTCTCTACAAGTCTTCGTGATGATCTTCACGTCCTTCTTAATTATCGCGATCGCAGAATACGGCGGCGTGGTTCTATCAAGCATCGGCGGCACTCTGTTCTCAAACATCCAACTCGACCCATCACCTTTCTTCAATCTCTCGAACGCGTCTTGAGTGTTCAGTCCGGCCTGCGCTGCGAGACTCATCGCCTCAGATGACATCGCAATCTGCACGCCCGCAAAGATCTGGTGGATCAGCTTCGCTTTCGAACCCCCACCCAAGCCTCCAGGAATATGGTACAGCCTGGTGCTCATACAATCTAGAATCGGCTGCGCGCTATCCAAGTCGGGGTCTACGCCAGAAGCAAAGATCGAGAGAGTGCCATTTGCTGCGCGTCCACTGCCTCCGGAGACGGGGCAGTCGATCAGACGGATGTCGGACCTGCCTGAATCATGAAAGAGGCCGACAAGATCATTTATGTCGGCAGGAGCTACCGTCGAACACATCAGTATCGTTGCGCCCTTGGGCATGGCAGTGACCGCGCCCTGCTCGTGGTCAAAAAGGAGGGTCTTGGCATGACCGATGATTGCGACCATGCAGATCAGGAAGTCGACGTTCTTGACGGCGTCGCGAGGTGATTGTGCTCCTTTCCCTCCTGCTGCGACGAGTTTATCAACTGATGGTTGGTAGATGTCGTACCCAATTACTTGGAAGCCAGATTTGAGGAGGTGGGAGGCCATGCCGAAGCCCATCGCTCCGAGGCCTGCAAAGGCCAGACTTGGCTTGAGTGTAGCCATGATGGGTCAAAACCTCGCAGTCAGTAGGTAACGGTATTTCTCGGATTGTCCTAGACAGTTGAAGCGCTCTGACATGTATTTGCATGAGTGATCAGTCTCCGGTCAGCGCATTTCCCTTCGACCTACCCTGTCAGCTTCCCCGCTTTTATCGTGACGTTATGCACGGCCGCCAACAATACACTACACAAGGACCTATATTGGAGCATAATTGCAAATATGCTCGACACCATATCGCTGCTACGGCACTCGGAGAACGTCTGCAAAGACCGGGACATCTTCAACTCCTCGAAATCTTGTGAAAGAGAAGAGATCAGACAATCTATCACCTTGAAAAGTCAATGATAGTCTTTGCAATGTGAACAGCGGGCCGCCCTATGCTCAGGCGATATCAGACTATATTTTCCGACGAAGAATGAACAATCGCATCACCGAACAAAGGCAATTTCAACCTCGTGCCTCAAGAAATGCATGCTTACTAAGACACTGGCTTTGAGTTTAATGACCAATGAAATATCAGACGCTAGTCCATAGACAGTTAGTGGGCTACCCCTGAAAATGGAGGCTGAGAAGCACTTGCCATCCATTGTCTTGCGAGAACAACGTCTTTACGGATTGCATTCTCCAGGTTCGCGTCTGTAGCGCCAGCTCACCATAAATCGATGACCCGCATTCAGGACTCGTCTCTGAGCGCGGCCATCTTCGAAACGAAACGTCTCGATGGGGGAGATCTTGCCTCGAGGAACCGCGCGGTATGAGATGGCAGAGGGCAATGAGCTCGAGCACAGTATCGCGGCACTCGACGTTCATTGATGACATCTTTGAACCTGCGTATAACAAAGTATGTGCTTAGTCCATGAAGTAATTCGTAACCTGCAATACGATTGGTGAGCATGTAAAGGAAGACTGCCTTTCAAAATTGGCTCTCGCCTACAGTAGAATTGATATTTGTACTTTTGATGGAGGAAATTGTTAAGTCATATGTGGCAGAGCCGACGACCTTCCTCAGCTACCGTGCATCTCTCTCCCTCCGCTGTTGTCATTGAATGTCAAAGTATGAGTGCATCCTAGGCAAAAGTTACCATCCAAAGACCACATTTTCTGTCAAGCGATGATGATGCATGCCAACAGACTTGATTCATTTAGTTCTTCTTTGATGCGATGTGTAATCTAGGTTATTGAAGAAAACTGATAAGTTCTTGCCTTTCAAATCAGGCAAACACCGGGCAAGACTGGGCCAAAATCACGTTGAAGGCATCTACTTGTGAAGTTAAATTTAGCATTATGAGCAGATCAAGGCTATGCTAAGGCTGAGACGTAGATTCCTCGTTGCACTCAATTGAAAGTCCTGAAAAGGATTAGCGCTGTTGACGTTGAAGGAGTCCGTCCATAGAGTATCAGAATATGTGATGCTATTTGCCTTGGCGCAAACTTCGTGTTCATCACATGACGAGGCAGGTATGAGGCAAGGCTGAAGGACATTTCAGGCCTATACCAAATCTGGCAGTCGCAGGCGACTACGCCGGATGATTTGCCTCTATTTCCCGCTGGAAACAATTCGATTTGCCTTGTAATGTTTGACACATTTCATCATTGTTGCCAGCCCCCTCTTTTCTGCTTGACAAATAGCACCGCAGTGGCAAGGTGCCACAGTCACGTCCATAAGCTCAACACATATAAAGGTGACACCTGCTAGGTGTATCGACGACACATTCGGGTGCTAACCTTAACGGTAAATATATATACAAATTCCTGCCTCTTTGTTCTTGCCTCCAAAATTCTCTTGTCATATCCCTCTATCATCTCACATCCTCACATTTCAGATACGAACAACATTTCATGACATCTCACATTCAACACGTCGTACGCAAGACTGCTAACATGACACAACCGCAGACTCAGCTTCTCAACCCGATCGTTGTCCTACTTCTTTTCCTCATCCTTCAAAAACTCTCGAACATCCTCATAAGCTTCTTTACCCAAATATGTGACATGGGATTTTATGTTCTCGCGATCTGGACAGTTATTACAGGTGTGAAATATATCGCCCATCAGATATCCACAACTTCGCACGTGGACCCCCATCCTTCTGCATCATCCTCAGAGATGGAACAACCACCCGCTGTTCGTAGAGACTTCTCGGGAGAGACTCTAGCTGAAGTACGTAAAAACATCCGCTGCTATCTTGATGATGCAAAGGCTGACTGGTACAGGAACTTTCAACATGTGAAGCAGCAACACCACAGCTGATGGGCATGGCGCCCGAAATAGACTTTGATCAGTATCACTGTGAGAATCATCCACCTTTCAGCCTCGAGCTGCAAGCCCCTCAACCTCTCACAGAGGTAAGTCTATATCAAAAGCTCAGCAAAGATGACCCGCTAATGCTTAGCTAGGAGCAAACTCAAATAGCAGAAAAGTCAAAGTCGATATGCCTTCCTTGCTTGGTGGAGCTTGGCGTGTCGTTTGCCCATATAGTAGGGCCAAAATCGACTTCCGAGGCAGTGGATACTGACAGTGTCATACACAACGATAATAAGGCAATTAAAGATGATCAACCGCTTATTGAACTAGGTGACACAAAGGAGCAACAAGTTGATTGCCCAGAAGCTGCCCTTCAATTGGACGAAGAAACGGATGTACCACTTGAGACCTCGAACAAGGTTCTTAGGTTGGACAACGAACAAAACGCGGGGCACACCGATCAAGACGATGCTGCACTACTGCAGACCGACTCATCTTCTGACCGCTCAGACTTTCATACTTCACCCCAGGCTCAACACAAAAAGTCTTCCCAAGATCATACGGCTGACACATCAGAGAGTTCGACAAAATCTGTCGATATGATCCCTCAACCCGATGCAGTCAACACGACTGAAATTCCTACAAAGAATCAGAATGCAAATACCGATCCTTCGTGCCCAGCGCCTGAGGGAAAGCAACCATTCGAACAGTCTCTACCGAGCGTGGAAGAGACATCTCGCGAGATCGAGATGAACAACGATACATCCCCACAAGAGCAATACATGACAGAACAGCCTTTAAAGGAAGGCTCCGAGCCCAGTCAGAACGAAGCATTCGACGAGAGAAATTCGCTCAACAACATCGGCCAACCTACGGAGCAGACAGAACTCCTCACAGCCAAGTCAGGCCCGGCACCGTCCGAGCTGTTCGAGCCCATGGAGACAGCTACGGAAGCGGCTGATGAGGATGCTCTTACTGATACAAAAGTAGTCACGCCGACTACGGAGCCATCACAAGCTGTCTTCAATGCAGCTGTCGATCATGATGGTCTCGCAAATGCTGATATCTCCGACAGCGAACGAAACTCTGCCCACGACCAAACGAGGATTGACCAAGAGACACCAGAGAATCTTTCGGGTGCCACAAATAGAGATGTTTCATCCAAGACAGATGAGAAGAAGGAAGATCACAATTCCCTGGCAGAAATTTCAGCCGAAGACTTCTTCGTCCCAGTCAAAGATGATGGGCAAAACTTGAATCATATCCTCCTGGCTGGTACAGAAGACCAAAAGCGAAATGCTATTGTAAATCTTCCAGGGCAGCCAGCTGAGGATAACACGGACGTGACGATGAAGGGAGTCGCTGAGGCTCCAGAGGATCCCGCCACCACTGACGACGCTGCTATGATCGGCGCTGGGATCCAAGACGAGACCACATTATCTCAACAGGCAAAATTACCAGAAGAGGTTCACACCGAGGCTCATAAGAGCGTCGAAGCCAGCCCGGACAAGCCTTCGATGGTGGAGGAGAACGAGAGCAAGAAAACCGAGAAACCCCAAATACAGCCTCCGAAGACCAAGAAAGATACCAACAAAGCCACGAAGCGGACATTGCTTTCTTTGTCGCGTGGAACCATCCTTGAAGAGAAGTTTACTCTGAAGCCGGACCAAAAAACAATGGATAGGGTAAACAAGCAGCTTGCCGAGGCTAATGCAGGCAACCTGTTCATTTCTATCAAGGATCAGGATGAGGGACTTGGTCACATCTTCTTCCCACTCATGTCTCAGGAGTCCGAAGACGGAGCCATTGAATCCTCCGGCTACAAGGATACCCTTCAAGAGAATGTGATTGTGGCTCAGGAAGAGGAGCAGGGTGACACCGAGGCCAAGGCTGAGGAACAGCATGGTCCAGAAGCACCGCTATCTGCAATTGAATCGACGATGGAACATACGCAGGAGCCGCTGAGTCAAGCGAATGAGTTCTGCTTCTTTGTCCCAATCGAAGACAATGAAGATGGCTTAGGTCACGTGTTTCCATCTCTCAGTCATGCGACGAGTGATGCGGCAGCGAATGCCGATGATGCTGACCAGAATGACCGTAATAATCAAGACGATGACGCTCAAGCTGATCTCACTGCGTTTGGTTATCAGACAGCAGATAAAGCTGTCCATGATGAGGTCATCAAGGATTCTGCGACAATCCCGAAGGGTGACGAAACTCAAGGAGAGGCTGATGACGCATCTGCAGGTGCAAAAGCTAATGAGAAAGAGCAGACAATTTTGGAAGACATCGGGCATGAGTCGAAAGTCGAGGAGAGCGAGATCAACCGCACAGGCACACACGACGATACAACCCGACATATCGTACAATGTGAACCTTTAGGAGGGACGTTGATCGAGCTGGAAGATATCTCGGAGAATGCTAGTGAGGAGCAACCGCAGCACGCTCTGATAGAAGATGCAGAGCCCGAACAAGTCCAAATCACCGTCCCTGATTCTAGTGCACCTCAACACGCGGTCGTCGAAGCCATCGCAACGGATTTGGGCAAAGAGTCTAAGCAACCCACGACCAAAAGCACCATCGACAATGACAAGCCCGCAATACTCGGTGAAGATGCTCCTGCATCAAAGCAAGAGGCTCACTCAACAAAGCAAGTAGAAGATGAGGAGCAAGCGAAGCCTCATGAAGGAGCCCAAGATGTTGGCGAAGCACAGTCCGCCAGCTCATCATCAACTGAAACTGGCGATACTGTAGTACCAGACCCAAAGCTCGTAGAGCGACACCGTGAAGAGATCAGACAATTGATCTCCACTTTCCCCTCGGAGCAGGAGCGTAGTAGACTGCGCGGAATTGTTATGGGGCTCCTGCACAAGAAGTGGCCCCTGGAAAATATCGTAGCCTCTCTCACTAAGCGCAAGGAGATGAGCAAGAAGATATTCGACCACATTCCGGTCACACCTCCCTCTTCGCCTCCTCCATCCTCCTCCGATTTCGCACAGCTCGACCCTAGGTCTCCGCCAAAGATAGACTTTGCTGGAGGTGAGAAAGTGGCATTTCGTTCCGGGAGTACGTCGCCGCTGAGTTCACCTCCTAGCTCGCCTTCACCGTCTACCAAGAAGAGTTTGGGAATATTTCCAGAGGTGGATGACGCAGAGGGCCGACTTGACAAGCACCCTTCGCTAGTCAAGAAGATTGGCAAGGTCGGTGACTCCGAGGGTGAGAGCTATGCTCCACTCATTGAAGGAATGGAGGAACGCAAGCAACAGGCCGACAAGGCGACACCGTCTAAAAAGGCCAAGAAAAACAAGAAGAATAAGAAGAAGGGTAGAAAGACTACGGCTTCTGAACCTGAACTTGCAGTCGCAGCTGAAGTAGCAGCTGAGCCCAGCGCTGGAGCACCAGCTAAGACAGAAGTTGATGGAAAGACCACCGAGCCCGCCCTTCCTGGAAAGGAAGATGAAAAGGCCAGCGAGCCTGAACCAGCGAAGCAGATAGAGTCACCTCGCATCGCGTGGGACGAAGAGGTGGAGGAAGAAATTGCAAAGAAGCAAGAATTAGAAGAACCACAGATCGAAGGTGAAAAGACCACCTCCACCCCATCCACCACGCCGATTACGCTACAACCCTTACAAAAAGGCAAGAGCAAGCAAAATACCACCTCCGAATCAAAGGAGCAAACCGGGGGAAACGCCGGGGAAAAAGCATTGACGAAGAAAGAGCTACGCGCGCTGGAGAAGAAACAGGCGAAGCGGGCGAGGCAGGGGAGGGAGAGGGCTGAGAGGAGTAAGGGAGGTGTGTAGATTGATTGATTGTTGGCTTGGTGGTGGAGATGGGAAGGGAAGGGATGGGAAGGGGAAATCTCGGGTTTTAATGATTGGTGTGGTTGGACTTCTGTATCTGTGTGTATGGTTTGAGTTTAGTTTAGTTTAGTTTTGATTTGGGATAATTCAGTCCGGTCTGTGTGATGCAATTTTCATGCTTTACAGGACTTTCTCCGTCTATTCATTTGTGCGGTGTTTTGGGACAAGAAGGGGGAAGATTCCTACATGGCTGGCTGGATGGCTGGATGGCGATGTGGACTGTAGATGCCCTACCACACTGCGTAATACGAGAATCGAACACCGTCGACGGCGAGGACGGTAGATTCTGTGATTGTGCTTAGAAAGGCATTGATGTGTCTGGGTGTTGAGAACACAATGTATTCGAGTCAGGCAGGCATGCGATGTTTTGCCCCTATCTACCCACCGAATGCGACATACGAGTACGTCCCCACACACGCCCGTGGCTCTTTTTCTGCTTTTTTCGCACCACAAGCACTGTCGTCACTCCCAGCCTCATACGACATCACCTCTTTCTTCTCTCACACAACGGGCGCAACACACTCTCACCTCCCAAGCGTAACCCTCCCATCTCTCGCCCCAACCCAGAGAACCCCCCCACCACCACCCCCTCCCCCACCACCACCACCACCCTGCCCTCCCATCCCCTCCCACACCCTCATCAACTCCGCCATCTCCCCCCCATGCGCCTCTCTACTCCCCACAATCCCCCCCTCAAATCCCCCCTGTACCCCAATCGTCTCAACAACCAGCGCTCCCCCTCCACTGTCTCCGACACCCCCCATTCCGGTTCCTCAACCTCGATTGGCTCGTCGTTTAGTCGCGAAATGTCGATAGTGCCCCGGCGTTTTAGACTGAGCAGGTCCCGTGTCGCTTGTCCGTTGCTGGCGTCTAGGTAGATCGCTTGGGTGAGGAGGTGGAGGATTTTTTGCGTTGTGGCGAGGGAGTGGTGATGGGGATGAGGATGACCATGTTGATGGGGCTGGGGATGGATGGAGGGGAGGGGGAGCAGGGGCCGAAGGTACTTCGCCAGCGCGCGGTAGTGGTACATCAGACTCTTCGTCTCGTCGCTGTGCTCGTTATTCTCAATAGTCCGCACGCCCGTGAAGTCCAGCACTGCTCTAACGGCATCCCGCTTCGTTCTGGTCGCGTCGGGCTCGGTGGTGCTTTTGAGCACGGCGAGGATGAAGTTCAGCTCGCTTGTTCGGGACAGATTGTCGAAGGATGAGACGAAGCCTTCGTCGTTGAGATGGCGGAGACGCCGGTTGTTTTCCACCACGGACTCGTGGTAGAGCGAGTGCTCGTCGTATTTCTCGCTCGCTTTGCTGTATTTGCCCAGTTTGAGGGCTGCGTCACCGACGCTGGCGAAGTGGGTGTAGAGGGAGTAGAGGCTCCAGGCTAGGTCTCTGGTCCAGCGGACGGGAGGTGCCATTGTGGCTTTGAGATCGGTGGTGTAGGTGGGGGAGACGCCGGTGAACGAGAGGCAGTCTTGCTGCGTGTAGAGGTCTCGGAAGGGTTCTAGTAGCGATTTCTGGTGCTCCAGAGGGAGGAGAGTTGCGGAATAGGGGCTAAGGTGGAAGTTATACTATTGAAAGAGTCAGCAATATCGCCTAAATCATTGTTTGCAGGCACAATAGCGCTAGATTTGTAGTGAATCTGTCTCATAAAGGGGTGATATACCGTTGAGCAACCCATCCGTCGTATATCCACCAGTATCAGCGTCTGCAACAAACGAGCAAAAGCCACAAGATCCTGCGCTACAAGAATGAAGCTATGAAACAAGGCAGGATTGCGGTTCGCGAAGAATTCATCTGGTATCTCTGGCCACTCAAAGTTGATGCTGATGATCATAGCGCCCTTCTTGCAACGGCTAACAAGGCTTGCATTGCTGCAGACAGGGGCAATCTCGGCATCTCTCAGCGCCTTGAAAACTTGGCCTAGGTTGCAAGAGATCGTGACAAAGGTGTTCTCCTGGTAGAGAATTGGTGATGCTTCGTTAAAGATAGCCTTGTTGGCGCCGAGGATCATGGTTTCAAACCGATATAGGCGGCTGAGGAAGCGATTTGGAGGCTGCTGCACATTTGTTGAGACGAGGAGATGACGGTACACCTCTCGGCGCAGCTCAAGAGGGAGCTTCTCAAGCATTCTGATATAGTAGAGATAGTATCGTTCGCTGAGAGAGGAATCGGCAGCGGCGGAGTGTCATTTTCGATATAGTGCCGCCGCCGGGTATTGTGCGTGAAAATCACGCTAGCGACACGTATCTCAGTCTGCGTGTTTACAATAGGCTCGTTTAGGAAGGAGTTCATTGTTTCTAAGGTTATTTCCCTAGATTTTAATGTGCAGCAGGCAGATTAAAGTAATCTCAACTCTTTAATCCCCCCTTCATCCCACACGAGCATTCAATACACCGCATAAAAAGGTGTACAAGCCTTATTATCCTTGACCTTTCCCCACGGACTATCTCCCCCATTCGTAGCACACCCATTACCAGCCTTCACCTGGCTAATGCAGTTATAATCAAGGCTCCCATCCGGATTGGCCTTGACCACTGCGTTCTTATTCCCGCCCGGTCCGTTCGCCTTGCCACAATTATACGCCCCGTCAAAAATCAAGTCCAGTCGTCCCCACCCTTGAGTGACGATGTCGTTCAGGAGTTCCGCGGAGGCGGGACCCGCGGCTGGCTTGGCGAAGTATTTCTGCGGCGAGAAGAGTCGTTGGGTATTGTGGGAGGACCACATGCCCCAGCCTTCATGGATGCCGAATTTGCACTTCTGCCCCTTGGGGCAGTCGCAGATGTCGTTGGCGCCATATCTGCACCCGAACGTCGAAGAGATGCTGCCTGCGTCGTTTGTGAGGCCGTCGGTGAAGAGCGGTCCGTACCAGGCTGTGTATCCATTCATGTCCATGGCTGTTGTGACGATGAAGGTCGTCAGCCCGATTGAGAGCTCCTTTGTCTCCTTGGGTAGACTGATGGCCGCGTCGGCAGAGAAGGTGCCGTGATTTGCGAAGTTGGCGAAGGTTTCCGAGTCGGTCATGAGCGACGAAAGCGTATCTGTGAAGGTCTTTCCGAAGTTTGTATTGATGTCTTTCAGTGCTTTGTCTAATTGGCCTATCTGTACGTTTTGATCGTTTTCTGCCGATGCTGGGAAGAAGTTCTTGACCAAGCCCGGGGTCTGCCCTATGGCTTGGGCGAATGCATTGGCGGCTGCTTTCACGCCGCTGTCAACTGCAGGGGCAAGAGGCCCAAGAAGTGTGGCGAGTCCAGCGGATAGAGAGGCCAGGAGGTTGCCCAGAGCCACGTTGTTGGTTCTCGGCGGGTCGATGGCGTTGACGATGTTTTGGACATCAAGGGCGGCTAGACCGGTGGCGAATTGGAGGGCGACATACCACTCCGAGAAGAAGTTATGAATGACTGTACGTCGCAAGTGTCAGTGTTTACGCATTCAAAGAGAGCATGTTGATGCCCGAAATATTAGGGCTTATAGGGCGTAACTCACTCCAAATGTTCCTGACGATGTAACGTGCCTCGACTGACTTTGCATAGTCCCCCTTCAGAGTGAATCCTCCCAGATCGCACAGATCTAGATTGATCTTACTACAGCCTGTGAAGTCTGAATTTGCCAGGGCCAGACGCAGGAAGCACTTCGACCATGCCTCATTCGGATCGGATCCAGTGCCGCAGCAAGTTCCTACATCGTCACCAGGACCGCAGTGCTTGGTGGTCTTCACCCAATTTCGCAGGTAATCGCCGACGTTCTTCTTGTCCCAGCAGTCGGCGCTGTAGGGTATGATTGGATCGACGCTGCAGGGATCGGAGTCGGCTCTTGGGAAGACAAGCTCCTTAAGTACTAGAGTAGCAAATGACAAAGAACCTAGTCCAAGGAGGATGAAAGTTTGAAAAAGGAGCATTTTGGCTCGAATGTGTGGCAATGGGAAAGGCTTGCTATGGAGAAGCACATGGAGCGTGGACGATGCCCTTTTATGAGGCGTACTTAGCTATGTGGTCCCATGTTGGATTGTCATGAGACGAGCTGCCATCCATTTCAATGGGCGATGCAAGTTTTAGAATATGGATTGTTCGTTGGATGGACATTGCACGTGCGCCGGCGTCCAACAGGAGATCTCCCACGGCGTCGTGCCCGTGGGTCGGCGTTGGATCAAGGCTGTACTGATGACAGAGTTCCGGCGTGTTTTATCTGTGATCTGTGATCAGTGAACCAACACGAGATTCGTTCTTGGATTTACTTCATCAAATTGGGATGATGAGCCGTCATTGCCCATATTGACGCCAAGTTGAAGGCATCCAACACCTCCACACGGCCCGCGCCAGTCGGACACCACCCGCCAACAAGATCCCCGGTTTCACCCCATTCGATGACGACCAATTCCTCCATTCGACAAACATCAGGCGGAAACAATCGTGGCGAAGCCCACTGAAACTCACGCTGCTTGTCATCCCGTTATTCTGCAGAAAGCATACCAACACGGAAAAGGTGCCAATACCACTGCCACCAGGCACACACCACATCCCGGAGATAAATCTCGCAGTAAATGTACTCTGCTGTTGGATTGCAAATACCAGCCCCCTTTTCGCATTCACCAATGCGCTCTGTATCGATGATGGATGAGGGTGCGTGTTGTCAAAACATTGCGTGAGGGTCTTCATCGAAACAAACAAAAATCGCAACAACCTGACCTGGCTTGGCCTTATGCTGATTAGCACCTCAAAGTCGAATAATGCACGCAGTGGGCACGAGATTAGGCTGAGTCTATATCATCTCTACCTTGTTGCAAAGACCGTGACCGGATTGGAGGCAAGGCAGCGATTGTCGGTCAATGCGCCCCCCACCAGCCAGCCACACCCAATTTGTCTCAAACCGTACTTTGATTGAGTGGAATACTGTGTTGTATGCGTAATGGACGTCGAGTCCTCGCCAGCCAGCCTTTGCTTACCTCCCCTGCGCACCTCGTGACCCTACTTCAATTGTAACCTGATGGCGGTGCAAGCTTCTTCATTAGTGGTCGTGGCGAAGTTCTGCAAACGTAGCTACGACTGAACAGAAAGTACCGAAAGCTGCATTGCTTGCAGAGACAAAGATCGTCATGTTCCGAGATTGCAGGTTGCCGTCATTTCTCAACCTCATCAAATGTAGCTAAACAGGAGGAGGAGAAAGATGAACATACATGGATGGATCTGTAGGAGCCATAGACCGTATCAATATGTACAATTTATTCCACACATAAGACGATGCTATGCCGCATAGCTCCTACCTCAGTATCTATGTCCCGGTTCCCCACCTCTTTTACCTGAATCGTTGTAGCAACAACCTCCACCGTGACCCCTCGCATGTCTTGCTTTTCGTGTTTTCCTAATTCTACCTCTCGATTTACTTTGACGAGATTTCGGTCTCTTTTGTAACGCTTTGTTGACCCAGCGACCTCTGTGCTTCCAAGTCTTTCCTCCTCCCGTTTACAAATATCATGTGTGGTATTCGGTTGAAATGATGTTTGAGCGTCGAAGAAGTCAGAGATAGGTACGACATGGTTTCGACTATCCTGGTTATCTTCCACGAGTCCAGATGTAGCAGACATGTTTCTGAGGCTTTGTATGTTCCTAGCTCTTTTCCTTGGACCTTCCTATTCACAGGTATAGGACCAGAAACCCAACCTTTACGTGAGAATTCAGAAGGGCAGAACTTGGAGAGAAACTCAGGTATGTCCGTCTATTCCTTTAAATGTGATCGCTATTTTGTCGAGCCCATATCCCGCGCCTGCTCGTGTACTATTCGAGCGTTAAATTGTGGACCAGGTCCCATAGAGACGACCATGGATTAATTGAAAGCCTCGCAAATTTCGTCGACCGGCGGCAGACTTGGAGAAGGCACTGGTCATCTCTCGCCTTACCGCTCGGATGAAACATGTCGTTGAGAGTGACCTTTAGACCTTCCACTTTCCCGATATCTTATTTTGACTGGATCGTTGCTCCAGGGCTCTTGGTGCCTTCCATGTCCTTTCCCCCTTCCTCCAGCCAAACTATCTGCTTCCCATTGTAAGCAGCAAATGGAAAATGCCGTCATGATCAAAGATGCCCTTGTATCTCGAGTGAAGAGTGCACACAATGAAAACGGCGTGTCCAACGCTATCATTACTTTGCCTTTGCCGAAAAGGTGGTCATTGATGTCCCCAAAACAGCCTTCATACTAGGGTAACGATGATGTTGTAGTCTTCAGGGTCCATCAGCGTCTACAAGATTGACAGGGTGTTATAATCTGAGCAGGTTGATATTTCAAGAGCTCGACAAATGGAGTGTAGGTGGTGGTGAGAGACTCTGCAGCGTCTTGGAGAAGAAAGAAGAGGCCGACGGGGAGAAGCGCTGCAGTCGCCATTATGCTGGACTTCGGCGCTGCAAGAGAATAGAATGCGTTAGGATGGCACCGAGAGATACAACTGGAGCTGCTGAGTGGTTCACGTCGAAAAATCGGGTCTTTAAATAGGTTTCGACTTTCACATAGCGAATGATTGCGACGTCGCTAGAGATGTCGACAGAGCCGTAGAGTGTAACAAACGAAGCAACCAGATTCTCGGTAGACCTCCATGGGATTGATTAGGGCGTAGCAAGAGTGTCACACCTGGGTGGTCTGCATCTTCCGTACATACATTTTCCTAAGACTTGAGACCGCGAGCAATGTTTTCCATTGGACAAGAAGCCAACATGCGACTTGGTTCATTTTGGCTCAATACCGTGTGCCACACGTATTCATTGTCCTTCTGAAAAGGGCCGCTGATCGCGCTTTCAGTTGAAGAAGAAGGTGTAGTCGGATGTTGTACGGGAGACAGAAGTCACAGCTGATTCTCGAGTCTCAGACTTTTCAAGAGACGAAACCGTAGGGTTCCTAATTATCGAGAACTCTTGAGGAATATAGTGAGCCAGCTCTACTAATCTGAACCACAGTATGAATCTGCATATGGGCGTTCCATTGAATTTGCGATTCTGTCAGGTGCAGTCATTTCCCTTTTCCCCATGCTTCATCGGTTTCCCAGCTGTGAGACTAAGTCAATACTCGGCGGAAGTAACAAGAGACTTCTGAGATATCGAAGCCTAGATACGATAAGACCGTAAGATATCGAGCGTCTTGACAGGACCTTGGCGTATCGGATAAGATATTGAGACTCTGTATGTTCCTAACTTCTTGAACAATCTTGCTAACCGGAAGGATGTCAAAGCGTAATTTGAGGCGTTTGACGATATTTCAACCTTGTCTAACCATGGCTAGAGACTGCTTTTTCCTAGTTTCATGCCTCTCTTGTCATGACCACAGCGTCACATGTCGTAAGGACGACCGTCAGACTCAACACACCATACATTCAAGACTGTAGGTGTCACGTAAGGGAAGCTTTTTCGATTGTCTGTAATCTTGTGCTGGTGGGGCTTGAGGGAAGCTATGATTCGTAGTACTGGTGGATGAGACGCGGGCGGAGGAGTGAAAGACTTGTCAGTCCCTTGAGCACGATAGGGATAGTTTATACTCTGGACTTGAGATAGTAGTGCCCCGGGTGTGTGTGTAGGTTTCTCTTTTCACATTCTCTTCTTTTGCTTCTTCTTGTTCTTCTTCTTGTTCTTGTTCTTCTTCTCCTTCTCCTTCTCCTTCTCCTTCTCCTTCTCCTTCTCCTTCTCCTTCTTCTTCCACATAGAAAAAGCTGTCCGAGGATGAATACGAGATAGAGCTTTGCTCACTCGACGTAGCTTGACTTCTCACTTTAGGTCAAGTCCATGCCTCTCCGTCAGCTTGTAGACAGCACTAGTGAGCGAATTTCGACAGAAGACCCGCTGGATTCATTGAAAGCCTCGAGGACTTTTCTGGTCGAGAATGAGATTCTTCAGAGGACTGGGAAGGTCTGTGATACCCCTAGCATAATTTTGTTGGCTCCAATTGGTCTCGTCCTTCCTCTTTTCTGTGCCTTCAGCACTGGTCGAAACTTCACTGAGTCTCCCAAAATAAGCCTGCGCTAGCATCCTTCGGATTTCATTGGAAGTCTCAAAAGATGGGCCTACTGATTCCCAGGTCACAGCACATCTATACGTGCTCCCAGTAATCATATAATCCCATTTATTCCATGATACGACTCTGCTGATCATCTTTCGCCCATGAAGATCTCACATTCATCGGGTGTAGTGCGAAGCTGGTCCAGAGGCCGACGCAGTGACAATGGAAGGTTCTTGTAAGATAGCCTCATTATTGAGGTGGAAAATGCGTATGACTTATGTGTAAAAGCCTCGAGGGCTCTTTCGATCAAAGGAGATTGTCTTCAGGAGACTGGAGAAGTCTTCAGAACCACAACCACGTATGTATTATCGCCGGACTTTCCCGTTCCTTTTCCTCTAGATACCTCCAGCAATAGTTGAAGCTCCACCGAGCCTGCTCTAGCAAGGTCTAGAATTCATTGAGAGACTCGAAAGATCGACGAATAAGGATTCAATCTTCTTGCCATTCATACTCTTAGAACTGTTGCAGCCGCAAGTCTGCTGAGTGGACATGACGCGTCTGTTTACTCAGCTTTCGTGATCACAGATGTAGGTAATGAGTATGACCTGAAAGATCTCCTTCGTCGCTGAAATTTTCGACGAACTCGCCGGTCGAGGAGAGAATCTTTGGATTACAGGCGGTACTGTAGCTGTTTTGGCTGAAATATTGTTGATTTGACGCGTCAGGTCTCTCATTCTTGCTTCCTCTGATGGCAGCAGTAGCCGAAGCCTCGATGGCTCGAGCTTTGGAGGATTCAGGGTTCAATGAAGGCCTCGAAAAAACGGTGATCGGAAGGAACAATGTCCGAAAGACCACATGCGTCTCTCTCGTCCCCGCTAGTAAGGGAAACTTCGATGATTGTGACCTGCCAGAGCTCCCGGGTTCATTGAAAGCCTCGAAAGAAAGTGACCCCCGCTCCTAGATCAGAAGACGTGCGCTTGATATGCTCTTAGTGCTTGTAGTCTCCTAGCTCTTTCAAGACGTGATGTTGCTGATCGTCTTTCGCCTATGACGCGAGGAAAAGTGCCAGGATCAAAGTCAGAAACAACACGTGCAGGGTTCGTTTAGCAATACCATCTCAATCGGGTGTAGTGCGGATTCGCTCCGGTCGAGTGAGTCGCTCTCTGATAGACTGCGAACCTGTGCAAGAGGGCTCTCCGACGTTTTAGCTCTGTAGAGATGACTGCTTGAGCTGTGCCTCAGTCTAAGAGAAGACGAGAGCGTCCTTTGTTTAGGTTGGAGCTGAGTTCCCCTTGCAGAAACACATCCAGCGTGTTACTCCTTGCAGTATCCACTTAATGAGAAGGCTTTTGCAGAAGTCTGCTTGCTGAAAAGAGTCTTTGCTATCTGCTCGCAGATTTGTTAGTGTCTTCTCTATTCAGTGTATATACTCTGTCTGTCTGCAGTAAAGTGAGAGCAGATTAGTTCCGCCTTTGGCAAAGCTCCTCTCTCCGAAAGATGTCTATGTAGTCTTATTTGGAATAAGGTCTGACCGGAGAAGTGCTTCGGAAAACGATCCAAGTCAGAACATGAGTGCAATAGACAAAGAAGCGTCATCAGTAAGCGTGCCACATAAGCTTGTAAATTATATATTTATAAGCAGAAGCTGGCTTCCCCAACGGAAAGCTGAACAAGCAAGAAAAGAAGAAGAAAGCAACGAGGAGGCCGCTCAATTTATAGACAAGGGGATCTGTCAAGCGTCTGCCTTCACAATGTGAATACTAGCACAGTGAAGCCCCGTGCAGGTGAAGTTCACGCCTCACTTTAATCCTGCCTCCACCCCAACCCATTGCACCAGACGATCGCCCCGCCAACATCTCCCTCTTCACACCTACCGCCTATCCTTCATCCTTCATCCTCACCCTTCACCCTCACCCCCCCACCGTTTCCCGCAGGACGTCAATCATCCTACTGATCTCCTAATCTCACCGCCTACACCTCTCACCCCCACCAGCCCCGCACTGTCCGCCCCGCCCCAGCCCAGCCCAGCCCAACGCACGCCACGCCACGCATCTGACATCACTACAACCTCCCCATCCAGTTCCTTTATTAGTACCTACCGATCGCAGATGAACGTCCGCTTCCCCGCCCCATCCCCCCTTTCCCCTTCCTCCCTTCCCAAAAGATAAAGCAACAATCAGACCATCGTGGGAAGCTCCGTAGCAAGCTGTATCCTCGGCATCGCTGGGGATGAAAGGTAGCGGGGGAATACTTGTGCAAGGCCGGGAGGGAGGGAGGGAGGGAGGGAAGAGGGGGATGGTCGAGTACACCGTGCCAAGCACTTTATATTAGAGCCTCGGAATCATTCCGCTGTTTGGAGTAAGGCGGTGCTAAATATAGACGTCATCGATCACGAGGCGGAGATTGCGGGGTTTAGAAAGTTTGGCTGCGTGAAAGGACTGAGGGGTGTGAATTGATCCTTGATTTGGAGGTGGAGAGTTGAGAGCGAATATTGGCTACATGATGCTGGAGTACGGGATGGGATAATGTTGGGGAAGAGCAGGAAGAACTTTTGAAATACTACCCTATCCACCCGTATAGAAGACCGAAATAATAAAGTACTGCACATATACCCCCAAAAATGCCATTTCGCTATCCACCACGAGGACCACATCCTTCATGATCCTCTCAAATGCCCGATTGTTCCACCTACCCATGATTCCCTCCCACTGATAGGAGGCACATCATCTCGCCTCCCCATTTCCATTAACAAACCCATTGACCCCATTGCTCAACCCGCCGTCCACACCACCCCCTCGTCCCTTCGACAGCAAATCGAAAACCTTAGCAGCGCCTTTCTCACCCCCATCGACGATATCATCAGGCACGCTCCCCGCCTTAATCGTCGTATTGTCATTGATATCCCCCGCAACCTCCGCCGCCTTCTCCAATGCCTCCATCGCCTCATCGTTGTTCTCCGTATACCCCGTATCGCTGGCATCTACGTACGCCTCCAGTCCCTCTCCATTCCGCGGGTACTCCTGCATGAGCTTCTTGTGCCGGACGAGGGCATCGTTCATTTCCTTGGCGTCGACGTCGTTGATGAACTTGCAGGAGCCGAGTGGGGAGGGGACGGCGGCGCGGAGGATGCCATCCCGCGTCTTAAGGATCGCGGCGGTGCCTTTTTCGAGAATCTCGGAGTCGAATTGGGGATGGTCCATGGAGAGGCCGGCGCGGGAGAAGAGGGAGAGGATCCGACGGTGGTCTTTGTCGGAGAGGAGGTTGCGCGAGTTGGCGAGGGTGGCCGAGTAGGCCATGTCGATGCTGATGGCGTGGCCGTGACGGAGGGGGGTAGAGGGGACGAGCTCGTGCATGGGTGACCAGCTGGAGGAGTGTAAGTTGGTTATGGAGGTGGTGGTGGCAAAGGGTGACGACGAGGAGAAAGCGCGGGGCAAGGGTGGGAGGGAACTTACGTGTGTCCGTAGGCGATGACTCTGTCAAGTCCTATCTCATGAAGATTGGGTGTCTCAAGTTTCAACATCTCGAAGATGCCCTCTCTGTTGATCTTATCGGCGGCCTCAATGACCTCCTTTGATGCGCCATTCTTTCGACCAAACCCAGTGTCGATCAATTGTTCGCAGTATCTATCAAGGAGATTGAATGTATCAAGGTGTGAGCAGGTGGAGATCTTGATAAGCTCGGCAAAACCGTTGCGGATTTGCGCAGTAGGTAGGGTGCGGAGGAAGGTAAAATCAAGGAAGGTGTGCATGGGAGCATGATAGGCACCCAATCGATTCTTGTAATTGCCATAATTGACTGCAACCTTGATGGAGACCGAGGCGTCTATCAGACCAATGACGGTGGTCGGTACTCGGATGAAATTGGTGTTCCTGCGGTACGCCGCACACGCGAAGCTGCGGGAAAGAAACGTGACGTTAGCGTCATGGACCACCACATGTCTCACAGGATGGGAGGGAGCGCCTTGATATCATCTCTGGCAGGCATGCAATTACCCAGCAACATCAGTCACAAGGCCACCTCCAACCACCAACACTGGCTCCTACGCTCGCCTCAGTTGCATACTCACATCGTCATACCAGATCATGTACCTTGCGGATGATGCCGAACTCTGTCATCGAGTCCACAATTGACAGGAAGGTTGGGATCGTCTTCGCTTTCTCGCCGATTTTGGTTTGGTGAACCTTGAGCGTGAGGCCGTAGTGTTCAAAGTAACGCTCGATTGTTGATCCATAGACGCGATAGACGTTGGCGTCCATGACGGCCAATGCGCGACCCCATCGCTTGTAGCAATCGGCCAGCTCGTGGTTCTTGACGTTGAAGACCTCATCTTTGAAGGTAAAGTCGTAGGAGATCCTCTCGTACCCTTCGACGTGAAAGCCAGTCTTGGTCTCTTGGACCGTTGCATTCATGTCAGACATCTTGTAAAATCGGCAAAAGTGCTCAGAAATTCCACGAGAAGAAAAGAGAAAGACGGGTGAGGAGGAGCGGGCGTTTAGTGATTGCGTGGCGGAAAGCACGGGCGATTGGACTGCTTTAAAGACATTCGAGGCATTGTAGACGAGCTGGTACTTCTGACGTCTTGCAATGCAGACGCGACGCGAGAACGCAGATGGGGGAGATCCCGCGCTTTGTCCCTTGTTGGCCTGGGTAGGCGTGCGATAAAGTTGTCATTGATTGGGCTGGTGGCAGTGCATTTAGCCTTTGTCGCTGCATTGACTTCTGGCCGTCGTGAACCAGTCTCGCGCTTGCGATGCTCGTTTGTTGTAGTGGCAGCCAGAGTGCGGCACATGACGACGAACAATACACGTATTCTTGCGTCGGAGATACTTGCAGCTAGGCATTTTGTGGAGCGCAAATGCCTCTAAAGAAGCGTGATGCAATAGCCCCAATCAACGGCCAGCTCTCGAGCTCGTCAGCCCCTGCCTGCTGGCAACCGAATGCGTCTGTAGATGCCGTATGGTCAGGCCGATCGTTTCCACGGAATTGTCTTGGGTGAAAGGTACAAATGACTTACATCATGAGATGATGAAAATAGGCAAGAGCAAGCAGAATCCAGACGCACCCCACAAGGAGGGACGGGCCCAGATCTCTGGGAGACGTCAGATTTCGGGTAGATTGAGTTGGCCGAAGACCCACTCTAGAGAACGGGAGAACGGTCTGTGTGAGATCCGAGATCGCAATTGGCGGGGAACTGGAGGCATCCTGTATGTCGCCATCATGTCATGACTTTACTGGCTTAGCCTGTCCATGCGGATGACTTCAGCATCTCTCGCGTCGTCTGTTGAGGCAATTAGATCGACAGATGCCAAGCGGGATCCTGCAGTTTCACGAGATATTGTCGACGATTTTCGTAACGCTTTCGTGTTGCAGAAAATCCCTCGGCAATTTACTTCGTTGGCCTCAAGCACCATGGACCCTGACGTAGGGCGGGGCACTAGAGGCGCGGTGCCCCACCGGAAAATCTGGTGTTGAGAAAGGCGCGTATTCAGGGATTGTAAACACTCAATGTATGTCGCGTAACACCTCTGTTTATTGCTCTTCATCTTTCCTCTTCGATTGTGAAGGCCCATCATGTCCACCTTCGACCAGGACAAGTCGTATCAGGCACAGGAACCGGAAGGCACTTCATTTGTACGATGAGATCCCTGGCAGGTTGGAGATAGTGACGGCTAACATCGACACGTAGTTCGACGATGGAAGAGAGATTGAGTTGCTGCATTTTGTGTACAGTCATCCGAAATTGTCTGAGATCCGCGGGTCCCCTGAGAAAGTCATTGGAGCCATTGATGAGTTTGGGCGTACCAAAAAGTATTTGATGAACGTTGGACACCACAAGGGCCAGCTGGTGACCGAATTGATCCAGCAACACAAGCCAAAGGTTATGGTGGAGCTGGGGGGTACATAGGATACTCTGCCATCCTGTTCGGGGGTGCCATGCGCAACAACGGCGGATCCAAATACATCAGCTTTGAGCGTAACCCCGAGTTCGGCGCTGTAATTGCATCCTTGGCGGATTTGGCAGGCCTGAGTGATCTGGTTAAAGTGGTGATAGGTCCGAGTGCTGATTCCATCAAACGACTGCATGCCGATGGGTCTCTGGAGTACGTCGATATGATGTTTCTGGACCATTACAAGCCAGCTTATACGAGCGATCTGAAATTGTGCGAGTCGCTAAGAATCGTACGACCTGGAACACTTCTCGCGGCGGACAATGTCATCACGCCCGGAAACCCCCCATACCTCAAGTACGTTCGTAGCAGCGTCGAAGAGAAGCGGAAGATGTGTGAAGACGGTGCACCCAGCCAAGATGACAAGGCCAACTTTGGAGACAAACACAAAGACCAGTACAAGAACCGAGTCGATGAAGAGCATCTCGAGTCCGAAGCTCGTGGAAATCCAAATCTTGTGTATGAAAGCTGGCTAGTGAATAGCTTCGAGCCTAATGGGGTACCTGTGAGTAGATGCTGTCACTTACAGCTGATCTGAACTAATGACGAAAGGATGGTGTCGAATTCACAAAATGTTTAAGACAGGAGTCTTGATTTGTGTCATATCGACACTTACAGTGATGTTCGGTGCACCCACCCGGACAAGGAAGAGCAAGCCGCTTTCATATACAATTGCGATACCGGAAGGCTGCATAGAAAGCCATTCCAACGACGGCACCACAGCGCAGCAAGATCAATCTTCAGGCCGATCAATCTCGCCAAACTTGATTGTATCCGTCGTGGAGGCCTGGTTGTGTCTCTGGAGAGCGTCCAACTGTTCAATGCTTCGCCATCCTGTCAGGTCCCCCTCCGCCATCCCGTTCTGGGTCTTTTGATGCATCAAGGAGTCGATTTGCTTTCGGAAATGCGACTCAGATGCAGGAGTGATTCCAGAATAAGGGCCCCCATGACATTCGGGGAGGGCAGTCCCCTCACTGTACATATCGCAGGGGTAGTGTCATCGGGTAGCGGCATGAGCTCCCAAGTAAAGCCGACAGCCCCAGTACCCATCCAACGAGTACTACCTCTACATTGCTGACATGTTGACCTGCTTACAATGTGATGCTGCTGTGTTCTCCTGTGCAAAACGAAAACTCAATTCTCGCCAAGAAAATTTCCCGATTTGGACTAGCACAATACAACAGTACGGAAATATAATTCTAGGCGCTCCATTCATGCCTCCTCGATCCTCCTTCACGTCTACCTTACCACGAGGACAGCATCAAACGACTCCAACGGCTTGCACCAGAGTCGTTTCATCTACATTATGCGCTCACAACGGCTCTTGTGGGGCCGCTTTGCCATGCGCCATCCCCGCAAATTGCTGTCTCGCATACCGGCTCATCGAAAACCTTCACTCGCTCTGCCTTGAAGTCTCCTGCGCTTTGTCCGCCATCATCAGCTCCCCTCCCAGTGGCGCGAAAATGGAAGTAACACGAGGAGCCTTCATTTCGCCGTCACTATGTCTTTCGCAAAGGCCCTCCCCAGAAGCGCAAGCATTCTGGTCTTTCATCACTTGTAGTAGCCTCCATATTTGCAGACCATGCGGTTGTCGAAAGCGAGCTTCTGGCACGTGGACATTGACAAGTGTCTGAACGTCTTTGTACCTCAAAACTTTGTACACTGCTTGCCTCGGCCCATTGCTCATTTTTTGGGCTATAGGGAGACTCCGCAAAAGGAACTGGGTAATTTGCTCATTGCATTTTGGGCATGTGTGGGCGCCTTCGTCGATGTGGTTCTCATTGAGAGCGTCTTTATGATACCACAGATCAGACATGAGAAGCCTCCGCTGTTGATTGCCAGCTTCGTATGCCAAATCCTTCCATTTCTCCCAACATATCTTAACGAACAACAGGGAGCAGCAGCCATACTCCAATATAATACCATCTCCTCTCCTCTAGCTCAACCCCGCAATGCAATACTCGGCGAACTTCTTGCCACCATCACCGGCATCGGCATCACAAAAGTGTTCCTTTTATCTCCTAAGTTCGAAGAGCTACGATGGCTGGCAGGTGGGCTCTCTGTTGGGGCTGCCTCCGCCATCATGACCGTCACAAAGACCATATATCCACCAGCAGGGGCTACAGCGCTTTTGGCGGCTGTGGACCCGACGGTACAAAGGCTTGGGTGGTTTCTCCTGCCGCTTGCTATGCTGTCTACAGCCCTCACGCTCGTTACGAGTCTGTTGATCAACAACATACAGAGGACCTATCCGACATACTGGTGGACGCCCATGGAAGTCATACATGGGAAGAGGGGTACAGATATACAAGCGATCGCAAAGGAGGCGCCATCCTCAAGCGGTGAGGCGTCATTGGAGAAGGAGCGTTGGCCAAGTCATTCGGAGTCGTTGGACTTGCAGACGATACAGATCACGCCGGAACGGATCGTTATACCCGACGATATGATGTTGACTCTAGAAGAGACGGACATGCTAGGGATACTGAAGAACAGGCTGGCTCAGCAACGAGCCGGAAGTGAGACTGAAGGGCAAAGTTCTGTCTGAATAGTAGAATCCACGAAGACCGTGTTTCACCAAAAGTACTCAAGAAGTCGCAGATTCGGTACCAAAGTGGCTTCTCCAATCTTTCTCTCATCCCTGGCCTATGCGACTGCCTTTACCGTCACGCAGAAGCTTGCGACTGACTCCTCCGCTTGAAGCCAGTGCAAGTTCTATCACCAAAGCTGCACAATCCCAACGCGAGGCAAGCTCTCAGTCAGGTCATGATCTATCTAACCAGCCACGTCCGTCACTCATCCAACATGGCCTCAGCGCCCCATTACCCATCATCCTCTTTCTCACTTGTCATTCCTAAAGTTCCCCTCCCATCACCACCCGTGCACCCACGCCCGTCTTAACACCCCTTCACCCTTTCACCACGCCCCTCACCACACCCACTCCCATGGCCCCCTACCTCCACCCCTCTTTCACCCCCTCACTCCTAACCCCCTTACGAAAACCCCATCCCAATACATCCACAAAAGCATGAAAACCCTCGTTCCCCCTATTTCTCCGCACCATCCTCCACCATCCTCCACCACTCTCCCTGACACCTCAGTCATCTCATTCCGCGTCTTGAGCACGAGCTGGGCGTAAAAACACCAGTGGCCCCTTTCTTTGCTCTGGGATCTTCATGATTATTCTTGGCGTGGGGGTTTGATAAATGCTCATACGGTGTGGGAGGGGGTGGGGGTGGGGACATTCTACACGATAGACAGGTCAGAGGAAGTTGGAGGGTTGGAGGTCACTGGCTGTTCTGTTGGGGAAGACGACATGGACGAAGGAGGGAGACGAAGGGAAGGGGTTGGGGAAGGGGGGGGAAAGGGGGGAGGGGGATGGGATGCCTTTCCCTCGCAACACTTACTTACAATTTCGGCGGTGTCGTGGGAGCGGAGGTTCGGGTTGACAGGGTCAAAGCGGGCGCGAGGAGGGGGGAAGGGAGTAGGATTGGATCAGACGGATTTCATGAAGCGCACGAGGTGCGGTAAATGTTCTGAAGGGCATCTCCAAAATGTCTTGAGATCCTCTGTCTACCTGAAGTGAAAATGGTGTTGACTAGCTGATCCGTTTCACCAACCTACCTGCCATTACCGCCCATATATGTCAAGGCCTTAGTTGTTCAACATACAAATACTTCAGGCTTTGATCTTGAGCTTCCAGATGTTTGAGGTGGCGAGGATGATGTACCACGTCGATATTGACAGCAGGGCGGAGAGGAAGAATAGGAGGCTGTATTCGTGTTCGAGGGATTTGAACGAGAGGTGCAGATGTTGGACGAGAGTTATGTTCTATCTGCCCTTTTTTGAATCCTGATCGTGGAGGAGAGGCAGTAGGCCTTCCTGCTGCTGAGTCATCGGTATATCCCGACTGGCATCAGCTGGGTTGGACTACTCTTGCCTCCATGCCGTCTATGAGGACGCGTCAGGCGTCAGCGGATCTTCCTGCCATATGGCCCTTTCTGCTTTCGCTTCCGAAGAAGTACGAAATCATGGGCTCTCGCCTACTTCCCGCTAAATTGTCGATTTATGAACGTTTTCTGGCGAAGGACGATTGGCAGTGTGCTCGGGGGAGGGACATGTCGCGTTAACAAGAGATGTAGGCTCGACGAAGTTACCTATGTCGCGGCAGACTGCAGAATGAAGGCTGGAAGGACGAAACATGGTTCCCATTTAGTAGGCACTGGGTAGAAATGCTCTGGCTTGTGGTGGCGCTGGGCTGGCAAAAGCTTCCAAAAGAATATATGAGCCACTCTTGGCTATTCAAACAAGGCTGGCATCGGCTGTAAGGAGAAAGCGAAATCTATCTAGACTATTCTGAAGGAGAATGGAGAAATGTTGGACATTGAGACCCTTAGCGGCCGCATAGCTATATACTTGGAGAGAAGAAGGTGTTGTCCTGCGAATGTGATGCTCAGTTTTGCATCCCATTTTTTTGATATCTCACGTATACGTCAAGAACCAAATCCAGTAGCCATTCCCGAAAGAAATCATGAAGTCTGAACTGGGATCATCATTGTCTGGGTAACGGTTGTAGTTACCGTTGTGACAGATGCCATCGATCCAGTCGGGTTTGCGCATTCAGACTTGGCTACATCCGCAATCAGCATTGAAATACCCGATGCAAAGGAAGGCGCTACTTACGGATATAAGTCCCCTCACTCTCTGGCCACGACATTCCCCCAACCATCCAGCCAGACACCCACAAAGTTCCCAGGACTAGGTAAACTACCTTGAGTGCCGACCAGACATGTTTGGCTTGTAGTGGCTCCCACCACGTCAACATCGAGAGCATGATCAACGGCAACGCACTGATCCATAGGAAAATTATTTGCCAATAAGTATTGATCTCGTTCTGTGCGAGAACTGTGATTGTCAAGCTGTAATACTGCGACACTGGGAGGAAGACGGCGAGCCAGAATAGGAAGAAGTGGCTGCTAAGTCGTTCCTCTCGTTCGCGGGCGGAAAGCTCTTCAGACTCCTTTGGACCCGGGGTACGGTGTAAAGGTAGGATAGTATCTTGATGGGCTGACGGTCTCTCTATTGGTGCCGGAATACTGTCAGGAGGGTTCGCTTCCTCGAGCACCTCCACGGCTTTCGAATCATTTTCAGAGCTTAGAGGATCATGTTGCCAGATTACTGCTGATCCTACTTCTGAATGGCTGTCAGAGATTAGGTGATTATGTTGCCAGATTACTGATCCTACTTCTGAAGCGCCATCAAGTATATATGATGGGCGTTCATGCTGCGAGGTTGTTGGATCGGAACTTCCGTTTGATGGGCTTGGCCTAGCGTTGTCCATGTGAGCAGACGAGGGTAAAGTATCGCATACGGAACACTGTTGCTCGCTAGATTCGCCCATGTTGTTAGTAGTTGATAGATGCAAAGTGAAATGACGGAGAAGGATGGCATTTATATACCAAATTTGGTTTGAATGTGATGGCTTGTGGTGGCGCCAGCTTGGGAAAGCATCCACAAAACCTAACATCATGAGTCACTCTTGGCAATTCAAATAGGGCGGGCATTTTCTGTGCCCTCAGTGCGTCATGAGCTGGCCTACACGGTGATCTGAAATATGGGAGGCTGCAAAATTAGTCGCCCCAGAAATTCTTGTATGAGGCTCCTCGCCTTGCCATCACGCTCCGTGCTATCTTCCTGAACCTCGACACTATTCTAGGTTGTTCTCGCTTACTCCCTCTCAGCTGTAAATCGCTATGTATGCTGCTTCTCTGGCTTGGCTGCCCTACTCAGAAGTACCCACTGAATCGAACTCGAAGAGTCAACCACGCCTTCAGACAGTCTCACCATCTTCTCGTCCTAATCAGTGCTCGGTAAGACCTCTTGTGCGGTGATCCGAGAGCGCATGTGATGCGTGTGAGGTCCATCTTGTTTTCTTCGATAGTGTCGGCCAATAAGCATGACGAAAACTGGAGCCTGGAGCCAAGCTGCGAAGCCAATTTCGTGATCGAAAAGATCGTCAAGGTCCCATTCCCGCGTCCAACCTAAGAATTGCGGTTTAGCGGTCACCTATACTTGGTGGGCTGCTACGATTGATACTGAGTTTTATCGCGGCCGAGTGACTTGAGCCAACGTTGACACCTTTCGCTTCGGCAGGACTGTCCGGTAGCTCGTGGAGACGACCGTTCGACCATGTAGACATCTCCCCCATTTCGGAAACCTTCATTTCAGGAACCTCTTCGACAGCCGTGTCGCTCTTGCGCCGCTCAAGATAAGGATGACGTGATTCTTTCGTGAGACGCCACCGTAGTTCGCTATACCAACGTGCCAGTACGCCTGATCCATTATCTCGTTGAGTGTAAACCCGTATGGCTGACTTGTATCTCAGCATGATCGTGGAAATAATGAGAACCTGAAGTAAAAATCCCACTGCGGTGATGAGAGGAATTCTTTGTTTCAAATTGTGCTCTAGGATCCTCGAGACCAAGGGCATCTGTGGTAATTGAAGCTCTGTCAGTCCTCCTTGTGTAAAGCAGGAACATCTGTTATTAATACCGATTTCCGTAGCAATAATGATGGCCAATGTATAGACAAAGCACATCGTATCTTTAATGAATATAAATCCAAATTGGATTCTTGTATGATGACCGAATGGAATCAATGTTGAAAGGAAGCTTCCGAACCAGACAGAAAATACCGACAATACACTTATGCTTCGGCATGATAGACCGACTGGCGGCATGCTTAATGCTGAGGCAAGACTAGTCACAGCTGCCGCCATCACGACGAAAAAGGCGATTCCAAAATGAAGAGGCGGCATAAAGCGGCCAAGAGACATTCGAAAGTGTCGTGCCGAGCCAATCCGCCGCTTGTGGACCGCGCCTTTAAGGGTGAAACCAGGATCTATCGATCGACATATGCTGGAGTGTGTTCGACCTGGTTGCCAGAAGTACAGACCTCCGTTTCGTATCCGAAGGTCACGTTGGAGCGCGAGGTCTCCCATAAGATGTAAATTGGTGCTCTGATCAGGCCTAGAACTATCGCACTCCTGCTCAAAGCGTCGCAGGATTCGTGGTATGTTGAGTTGGTTCTGTGAGGCGCCGATGAGAGACGCAATGATTACTGTGGGGATCATCCAGAAATAAAGTTGCATGAAGACAAGCGAATCAATTGCGCTTTCACTTGAAGTTAGGGAAGCCTTAGTGGAGATACTGTTCATTTCGATGGCAATTGCGGCGAAAAAGATCCAAATGCCCATGGTAATTGGCAGCATTTTTGAGGACCGGTCCGCTGTGAGAAGATTACCACTCTGATAAATTTGATCCAAGAATCTTTTGGAGCTTTGTGGACATGTCTATAGCTCGGAGATCACGGCTCTGCAATAACATGAGTCAGAATTTGTGAGAGCGACTGGTTTGATCTGACGTACATCTCTTGTTCCAGCCACCTGCTTGCATTGTCGCTTGTATCCGCCCCCCATTCATCGTAAGAGTTTACAATGAGTGCGCAGGATTTCCAGAAGTCGTCAATATATGAACTTCTATATTGTCTTTCTTGATGACGCCAGAGGTAGTCATTGCTCATCTGCTGCCAATGTACTGCTTGTTGCTGGCAGTTTTCAAGTTTGTGAATTAAGGAGCTGAGGGTTCCAATCGGATCACCGAGCAGGTGTGCAGTCGAAAAGACTTTGCACAACGTACTGAAGGGTGGCTGAGGACATAAAGCAATAAGCTGTAGAAGAGGAAGTTTCCAAATCGCTAAGTGACTTCCTAGGTCATTAATAGGATATTTGGTCCAGCCAACGCCGGCTACAGCTTCGCACGCACTCTTACTCAACCCTTGACCCTGGACAGTGCGCAAAGAAGGTGACTTGGGCTCAAAGAGCCAGGGTCCATCCGGACATTGCTGCCAGTAACTCGTCGTGATATTCCACAGGTGATGAAAGTCAAATTCCGCCGTGTTGCGACACTGAGGTGTGATCTTAGAGCAGTCAAGTTTGTACGTTGAGCAGTCCATTAAATCCCCAGATTCTTCCATGCTTGCTTGTTTTCTCCTTGGTGCAGTGGCTATAATGAAATGCCCGACTGAAAGCAAAATGCAGAGGCCACCAAACACTGCAAGGCACATCATCTTGAACAGCCTGACAGATTTCACATAGACATTTCGCACGTGAGACGACACTTGAGCCAAACGGCTCTCAACACGCTCTTGGGGTGGAGGCGCTGTTACAGGTTCGCCGAAATTAGTGGGCGGAGGTAAAGTGACTTTCTTTTGAAGGTATTCTGAGATGTCTGCCAAGATATCCTCAGCTGTAATGAAGTAGACCCTTGTACTTGAAGCAACACCAGCAACAATGTGGCCACAGAAGTCTCCATTTTCGGCATTCAAAACCCATGATCCGCAGTCTCCAGGCCCTGCGTCGAGCTCTTAAGCAAGTCTCTAAGTCTGTCTCAAGCATTGGACTCGCCTATCTGGCGGTCTAGGACAGCTGAACACCCTCGCTGGAACTTTTGTCCTCCCGGACTCATGAACAGAGATCGATCGGACAGTATCTTTCCAGGTATCGTACCTCTTGATGCGGTGATCACATAGACATTTGTGACTAAGCTGCTGTTGGCAGCAATTTTGTCAGGGTATATTCTCTTCCCACCAGGGGTTGCATAACCATTAGCCACAGCGATGCGTTCAGGGTCAAGCGAGCATAATGCCCAGTCATAGCTTTGGAACTTGTTCTCATGGCTCAATACTCTCTTGGCCCTTGGAGCTCCGGCGTTGTGGATTCTTTGAGGTGGCGTGCCGACCACGACATCGAACATAGAACAATCGACACTAGAAGCCAGCTTCAAATCTACTAAAGTTGTAGGTCAGACCAGCCAGGAATGGGAGCAATTCAATGAAAAATACCTAAATCTTCGAAAGTATGAGCTACCGTCAGGAGGTATGCTTCGCCGTCCAGCAGTATCAGCCCACCTCCTGTGCATCTTTTTGAACCACCTTCAATGGTCACAGCATTAGCTATGGGTACGCTGTGGGTATCTCTTGAACGCGACTCAACGTTGTTACTTTGCACAGCTTCATCGTCAGATCCGCGAGAACCACCAAAAAGGATGAGAGGGTCGGAACAGAATTCGAGCCCAATGCCCCGGTCATCAACCACAATCTCCTCTCTGAACTGCAGAAGATCTTTGGTTGAGCATCATTCAAAGACTTCCCATGCATTGCAAATTCTAAGGCCCAACCCAGTTGGATTGAAGCCCCCTTCCAGAAATCCTCTCTCCGTCGTTCCATCAAATCTGCAACGTTGCCCATGGCTTCAATGAGAGGGCCCCGTGCTGGAGGTCTAGCTTCCCAAGCGCGTCTCTTGCGAGTTCCAAGAAAACCCTTGGACGTTCTCACGTGCACTGCAGAGTTGATCGATTGCATTCGTTCTGGATCCTGCCATTTCGGGTGACCTAGAAAAGTCGCCATGTGGCATCGCTGTAAGGACATAATCGAGGAAATCTACCCTCAATGTCGCGCGGACGCTGAAGGTTGAGGAATGTCGTAAGGAGGAGGAGATAATTCCACAGAAGCAGGCACTCAGCTGTCGCACCACCCGAAAGGCTGTAGAAACGACCAGGTTTTTGGCTCAACCACGATAAGGCTCGCCTATGAGAAAGGTGCCCCCTCCTCCATGCCCGGTTTTCTCAAATAGTTCCTGTTTGGCTGGAGGCCCTTTACCGTGGTTGCGGTGGCCTTAGGCTGATCATGTCAACTTTCAGCCTAGCATTAAGGCAGACGATCAAGGAGAATCTGCCCAGCTGTAGCTGGATGTGACACCCTGGGCCACCTCGCAGGCTTCGCCACCACTATTATTGTTAGCGCCTCGCAAGATGCGCCAGGCGCATGGAGAATTGTGATGCTTTCTACCGAGAGAGATTGGATCGTGCATTTGCTCCTGGGCAGGCTTTGCAAGCATGACTTATCGTTTCTGTTCTTTTTGCCTCAGATTTTAATATTTCGGATCGTGGGTGAGATACAGATGGCGGCACAACCTTCAAGTGCGCCGCCGTCCTTCTTGCTGGCAGGCCGTCTATCAACACTACCAACGTCGGCTGATGATGTTAAATGGCTCATGCTATCACTATGGAAGCCAGAGCTCACCGATGCAAGTTATGCCGCGAGCTCAAGAAGCTTCGAAGCATATGTACAGCATATTTACACCGACTTGTGTCGGATAGCTTGCACAGGCCAGGACCCCATTGCGGCCACGACTCACGAGCAGCTGAATCGCGCTTGCAGACTATTGCGCGCTCCGGAAAGCACGCCTGCGTCTGTGCTGTCTTTCCTTGGATCGCAGATGGCGGAAAAGGAGAGACTGGTCAAGGTCGCAGCTGGGATAATACTGCCGCTAAAATATCAGCGGGATTGGCGGTGTCAGGCCTGGGAAATCGGTGGACTGGACGCTGACGACCCGTTTGAGTGACCTGGCGCGGACTGTTGTAGGTACATCAGCACCCTCACCTATTCATAGCATTCAGACACCCTGTATCATCTGCAGCACACCGGTCGCATTACCCACGAATTTCAATGCATACAGCTTGGAGTTCGTTGCCGGTTTCGAGGTGATGTGGACCAGCAGTCTCGCAGATCACTTGAGACTCGTTGAAATTGATGAAAAGCTCAGACTTTACATCTTCCATCATACCGGCCTTCTGCAACGCCATCTTGTACTGCCAAAGTATGAGTCAGTCCATCCCCTCGATAGTCTAACAGTGGTTCATGATGTACCTACAGCCCAATCATTCCCAGGGGTGTTGTCTTGAAGACATTCGAGTCTCTTTCTCTGCTGCTCCCGAGACGTAATTCCGAGGTCCAAAAATGGTTTGACAAGCTTCAAAAGAAATACAATCTGGATCCCGGGACTGCCAAATGTCCCCACTTTCCGAATGAGCAGCGACATCTCAATCGTTTTAGCCATTGGAGAAGTCGACTAAGAGACCTTAAAGAAGCCTTTGACTGCCGTGAGCCTCCTGGACCGAAATATGTTTGGGGAGATCGTAGCAAACCAGTCCAGTGGTGAACTTTCTGGATTGCAGTTTTTATCCTAATTCTAACCACGGTATTTGGACTGATCCTATCAATCACGAGCATCTTGCAAGTCGCCAAAGCTCATTAACACCACAACCTAGGAGTGTTCGAACTAATTCTGCGCACTATAAAGGCTGATAAGGGACGTTGGATCCGCCTTGCCAAGTTTGAGCTTACACTGGGGCACCTGCCATCCTGAGAAAAGAGTCGCTGGCCATAATCAGTGTTCGTAGCGCCTCATTTGCAAGTTCCCCGGGAATACGTATAGTTGCGCCGAAGCTATGATGGCGCAACTCACAGGTCGCAATGGCGACAACTGTCATAGCGATAACGCGAGCAGATAGTGTAAATACAATTTACCGGGCCAATGCAGTGAGTGATAGAGTATTCGAAAGCGTCTTCGGCCTGATCCGGAAAGACGTGTCGAGATACGCATGAGCCGTTGCTTTTCCAATGAGGTGCAGGGAAATGTGTTCGAATCCATCAATTGATACAGTGGTAGATCGATACAGTCAGATGTCCTCAAGGCGTGATCGTTGAGTGAATTTGAGACCGTCGACTCTGCCTTGCGGGCTAAGGCGAGGATTTGGGGACGTATACCACTGTCATCATTTGCTTTGGTGTTGCCAAGTGAGCATCTAGAACGGTGTTTACATGCAAGATAGTTGTAAGGAAGGTCAATTCATTCCATAGCCATCAATATGTACAAAATACGATCTCAGAGTCTCAAACAACAGGATCTTTTGAAACGGCTCGGAGATCGGCACTAGTGTAATATACTCTCTTATGATACCAAAGTCTTGGCATGGGTGGGTTGAAAAACTTCCTTGTCCAACAATAATCTTTCAAAAAACCATTATCAACCACCTCGAAAGACGAAAGCCTTTTTCGGTCTTTGCCAAAATCTTACGGAAGGCGCTGGTCATCTATCCATCCTACGCAAAGGACGAGAGTGATCTTCTCCGCCGAGGCCCGTCTTAAGGCCCCACATCATCGGCGGTTTAGCCTCCGCCTTTCTTTATCCCAACATTCCTTCCACATTTCCTCGTATCCGACCTTGACGCTATCACAATGGTTTCCGCCTCAAAAGCTGCGCGACAGGCAAAACGAGCCGAAACTGGGACGGAACCTAAGAAAAAGACTCTTGCAGCGAAAACAAAGGCAACTTCAAAGGCTGGGTCATCAGCCTCTTCAGTGAACGGCGATGAGACGCCCCCGTTACTCGAGGGTGATGGTGATGTTCTACCCGACGACGATGTGCCTGCCACAGACGCAAAGAAAATGTCCAAAGTCAGTAAGCTCACAGAACAGATGGACCGACATGGGCTGTCAGACCGTGTCACCACCGGAGTTCTGGCGTCCCTCGCAGCCAGTCGGGATATCAAAATCACATCAACATCGTTAACATTTCATGGAAGAGTACTCATCACAGATACAACGCTAGAGATGAATTATGGCAGAAGATATGGCCTCCTTGGCGAGAACGGGTGCGGAAAGTCCACGTTATTGAAGGCGATTGCCAAGAACGAATACCCAATACCGGAACATATCGACATCTACCTCCTGAATGAAGGTGCGCCGCTGACTGATCTCGGAGCACTTGAATGGGTAGTCCGAGAGGCAGAGCGTGAGATGGAAAGACTAGACAAACAAGCAGAAGATATTTTAGAAAGAAATGGACCTGAGGATCCGGTCTTGATGGATCTCTATGAGGTTCGTCTACCATGCTCGCAGGAGTCTTCCATACTGACGTCTTTAGCGAATGGAAACCATGGATCCCTCCACCTTCCAGACACGAGCCTCCCTCATTCTTACTGGTCTCGGCTTCAACAAAAAGACCATCAATAAGAAGACAAAAGACATGTCTGGTGGCTGGCGTATGCGAGTCGCCCTTGGAAAAGCCCTTTTCGTCCGACCATCCCTGCTGCTTCTTGACGACCCAACGGCACATTTAGATCTCGAAGCTTGCGTGTGGCTAGAAGAATACCTGAAGAAGTGGGATCGCACACTTATACTTGTTTCGCACTCGATGGACTTTTTGAATGGAGTTTGCTCCAATATGATAGACATGCGAAGCAAGCAGCTGATCTATTACGGCGGAAACTACGACTCGTACATCAAGACACGGTCAGAACAGGAAACAAATCAAGGGAAGGCATATGCGAAACAGCAAGAAGAAATCAAGCATATCAAACAATTTATTGCCTCAGCAGGTACCTATGCAAACCTCGTCCGACAAGCCAAATCAAGGCAGAAAATCCTCGACAAGATGGAGGCAGATGGCTTCATTCAGCCAGTTGCTCAAGACCGCATCTTCACCTTCCGCTTCGCAGATGTAGAAAAGCTTCCTCCTCCAGTCCTCTCGCTCGACGACGTTACCTTCTCATACTCTGGTGAAAAGAAAGATAATCTATATGAGAACCTTGACTTTGGTGTCGACATGGACAGCCGGACGGCATTGGTCGGTCCAAATGGTGTTGGCAAATCTACACTCCTTCGCATTTTCACTGGTAAACTCTCACCAACCAGTGGCACTGTTTCACGACATTCACACCTGAAGCTCGGCGTGTACAGTCAGCATTCTGCGGAGCAGCTAGACCTCACCAAGTCGGCCTTAGACTTCGTGCGGGATAAGTACCCCGCTGTGAGCCAAGACTACCAATACTGGCGGCAACAGTTGGGTCGTTATGGTCTGTCAGGAGAGTCTCAAACGGCGCTCATGGGTACGCTTTCCGAAGGACAAAAGAGTAGGATCGTGTTCGCACTGCTCGCGATTGAGAGTCCAAACATGTTGCTTCTGGATGAACCTACCAACGGTCTCGATATTCCTACAATTGACTCGTTAGCTGACGCCATAAATGCATTCAGTGGTGGTGTAGTGGTTGTCTCGCACGACTTCAGGTAAGCTCTGTGCTCGATTGACTTGCCATGATATATACTGACTCATGTGTAGATTGCTGGACAAGATTGCAAAAGAGATTCAAGTGTGTGAGCACAAGTCCATACACAGATGGGAAGGCTCGATAGCGCAATACAAGAACCATCTGCGAAAGAAAATGATGGCTCAGGGTCAGGTATAAGGGAAAAGCTGTGGACGGACTGCGAAAGAGCTATTCGCCGCTGGAGGAGCTTGATTCCAGGATTATGATCAATGATATATGGGAGGACTCTAGAGTTAGGAAGGATCGATAGACAGGACGAAAACAGGCGTTGCTTGAGTGTGCGAAACGCAGCAGTAGAGGTAGATAGACAGTCTTGAATGTCCGACATCTTATTTACCAGAAATATGACCTCCCTTGACTCTCATCCCCTCATTGACACGGAAGTACGCTCAATGCCATTGTTTCCTCTATTATACCAACCAATAGCGATAAGAAAGTTATTCATGACGTAGTCGCACCAGTCGAACACAATATTATACCAGAGACGGGACCTCGGTCACCTCAATCAGGTCACGCAACACCTAGGGAGCTTCTTTACGCAGCGATGGCATTTTCAATCTCAGTATCATTACGGCTCCTTCGTACCTGCTCATTGGCCCTGCTGCCTTAAAATCTTCGTTCCGCGAGTCCTACACCCTCAGTCGACGATATGCTCACAGCATCTTCCCCGCAGTGGCAGCACGCCCTCCAGAATGCTTCTCTTCTTGCCCTTTCATTGTTTTTCCTTCCCCTCTCGACGTTCATCCTCTTTTTCTCCTACATCTTACGACCATTCCTATTCGCTCGTGGCATTGTTGCTAATCCCATCAATGTCTTCAAACTCACGGCCTCACGACAACAAAACGCGTCACGACCTCGGGCTGTCCTGATAACCGGCATCAACATGACGAAGGGTCTCTTCCTTGCCCGTACCTTTCATCTCGCTGGGCACAATGTCATTGGCGCTGATACCTCCCCTTACGCAAACGGCCGCTTCTCCCACTTCATTCAACGCTCCTATATTCTTCCCTCTCCTGATGCCGGCGGAGATGGTGTCGGCTACCTGGCTGCCATCCTACGTATCATACGGCAAGAAAATATCAATCTGTGGGTCTCGTGCTCAGGCGTAAGCAGCGAAGTCCTTGACGGTCAAGCACGGGACACAATCATCCAGAACTTCGATGGCCGGGTCAAATGCGTACAATTGTCCGCTGCGTTGACGGAGATGCTGCATGCAAAAGATACATTTGTGGGGAAGGTACAAGAGCTAGGTCTACCAGCACCAGAGACACATCAGGTTACGAGCAGAGATTCGGTACACAGGCTGCTGAACGCGTCTTCTCCTCGCTCATCACCTGTCTTGAATGGGGACATGGGCAGCTTGAGTAAGAAGAAGCGTAGCAACCACAGCAGGAACAGGAAGTCATACATCCTCAAGCCATCAGATGTCAATGATGCATCGAGGCTTACGTCTGACCTTACTATCCTCCCGCGGAGAACTGTGAGCATGACGTACAATCACCTTGCATCTATCAAGATCTCTACCTCACAGCCATGGGTCTTGCAAGAATTCATACCGGGAAAGAAAGAATACTGCACACACGCTCTCATCATAAGAGGGGAGGTCAAGGTGTTTGTAGCTTGCGAAAGCTCCGACCTCTTGATGCACTACAAGTCCCTGCCTGTCAATAGCGCACTCAACATCGCAATGCGAAAATTTACAGAAGAGTTTGCTCGCAGGCTACAAGAAGAGAGTGGCTCGAATAGCAAAGCTGAGGTCACAGGACACATGAGCTTCGACTTTCTCGTGAAGGAGGAGGCAGACGTCGATGGCGTACGCCATCGTATCTGGCCCATTGAATGCAATCCACGAGCTCACACTGCCGTTGCTCTCTTCAGAGGGAACGAGAAGGAGATGGCAGACGCCTATCTCAGCGCTCTACACCCGCCGTCAACGGAGAGTCTCGAAGATGATGATCGGACACTCGTCAACGGCCATGCCAATCTCGTCACTTCTAATGAGATTCTCAGTGAGGAAGCCGAGGGGAGCTCCACCATCACCCCGAGGCATCAAGACCTCAAGGTTTACTGGATTGGTCACGACATCGTTACGCTTCTTATTATACCCTTCTTCTCCTTAATTTCATTGCGGCTCAGCTTTTCCAACTACGTGAAGGGGCTGGTGGCATTTGTGGACCACGTGCTGTTCTGGCAAGATGGAACGTACGAGGTCTGGGATCCTCTGCCTGCGTGGTGGCTGTATCATGTGTACTGGCCGCTAGAGCTGTTGAGATGCATCCTTTGGAGAGGCAAATGGAGCAGAATCAACGTTAGCACTGGAAAGATGTTTGGATGTTGATATAACATATCTACGACAAGGGATCAACCGACATACATTCCTACACGAGCTTTGCTTCACGGCCGTACGTATTCTAAGTCCCTTCATATCCCAAAGCCTAGCTATCCTAACGTCGGATGATATGCTTTGTACACTTGGAGCGCATTCTCAAGGCACTGCACCAGTCCGAATATCGCAGTCAGGACCAATGCAGCCGCAGCAAGCAGGATGGGAAACCTCTCAAAGCCATTACGCTGATCATACCAATATTGTCGCCACGAGTTTGGCCTCGACTCATCAAAGACCTGCTTCAGGATCACAATGCGATCGCGCCAGTGGCCGAAGCAGTCAATTTGCCGGTCTTCAGCTCGTAAGCAACCGCACTCCGTGACTTCCGGATCGAGGTGCTCCTTTCGATGAAGTTTCTTGTACCATTTGACGGTTTGGCGGTCCGTCCGTGGAAATAGTAAAGTCATGGATCGAATCGTTTCTTCAATGAAGCCTGGAGGAAAGATCTTGAGAATATCGCTATCGGAAATATTAGCAAGCCTACGGTAACAGCGCGGTGGAGTCTTCTCACCCTCTTTGTACTGACTTGAGAAAGGCTGCGTGATGGAAAATTTCAACCTCTGAATCATCACCGACCATCCGTAAATGATCTGCCAGGTTGTGGGTCCAACGGATCTTCACGCCTGCCCTCGTCCAAAAATTCTTAGCCATGAAAAATCGTTCGAGCTTTACATGCTCGCGCTCAAGCTTCCCATGCAGTGGAAAGCGTTCGCCCAGAAAGCTTTGCAAGGACCCCGATTTCCACAACAACGGCTTCCGACCCTGAAAATAGTTCGGAATACAACCAATGCTTACCATGGTCACCAGACGCACAGCTAGATCAATCGAAGCATTCAGCGATTCCGAGCAAGACTCTTTGTCTGCGGCCCGGGCTGCCTTCTCGATTTCCACCAGTATTGAATCTTTTGGCAACCCTTTTTTGATGTAATCCACGATGAAAACAATGTCTCGATGTGACCGGGCCGAAGTATAACGCCCACGATCGTGTAGAGCAATGTCGCATTGTTGCGTGTAACATTCGAACCAGGCCTCAAGATTGTGAAGATGGGTAGAGGCATTAATATTGTCGTCATGCACGCCAAAGATTGATGAGACGATGCAAGGCTTCAAGTCGTGCCTAATGGGCCATGTAAGCAGTGATTCGTCTAAACCGGACATCTTCCAGCTCTACGTGGGAGCGGTATCCGAGTGGACAAAATTTGCTACCGCAGACTACAATGCACAGATCACTTGCTGGAGTAAGATAAAGGTCGCGTGCTCCCTAAAATAGCTATAGACAACCGTCCGTCAAACGTATCGATGCCATGAGTTGTCAGGTCAAGCTTCAACCCCAACTTTGCTCACGGCCTCAGCCTGACGCCCTGGACTCAACCCAGTGATCGGCCAAACCCCACCACAGTGCATCCATCCAATCAAATATACCATTTAAGCGGGGTTGCAATTTAACTTGGTCCGCGTATGTCGAAGTCGTTGCAAAGCTTCTCGCATCATTATTTTCAGCCATGACTACCCAAGTCTTTGAACGAGACATGAACCTTCCATCGACCCGATACTCGTCAGATGCTGCGAGAAAGAAGATTGTCTCACCCACTATTTGCCAGCCATCTGTCACGGCCCAAGGAAAGCAGTCGTACATTAAGCAAATCAGGACGAAAGTCATTGCGAGCCACAGTAATTGGCCTGATCCTGAAGCATCTGCTGGGGAGGTATTGCAGACCATGGGTCGATTGACTTGTTGGGAGGCACATGGACCAGCTCGAGAGCAATTCACTCCCTGGCTAAAGAAATAGTGGGGTTTCTCGACAAATCCTGCGATGCGCCTCGAGTTGGCGTTGCAATATCTCTATGCATGGTTGGCCGAAAGAAGATTAAGTCCAAACCGACCGTTGTGCTCTCAAGCCCCGATGGTGCATCTAGATGTGAAATAAGATCTTCGATAGAGGCTAGCAACATCATTCGCAGATACCCTGGATTTGTTCTCATGGACTGCAATAGACCACCAGGCGCTGGAGAGTTGAAGTTACTACTTGAGCTTGAAAGGCGAGATCCCGTTTCTCGTTCTCAAGAGCTTGAGCGCAGTATAGTGGTTAAGGAGGGCTTTGGGCATGGTCTTGGAGCCTCAATTCATCTGGGAAACCGCAATGATTCAACAGAACAACAAAAAGTCATAGGGACAGGCGGTGGTGTAATATGTTGTCTTGAGAAGCCTCGGTACAAATACTTTCTCGTGACTGTTGCTCACATATTTGACAAAGGAATTGGGTCTCTTTTCGGCTTGTTCAAGAATACGAGCCAATTTGTATACGACGTCAACGAAATGGATTTTGAGGACAGTAGTTCCGACACAGATGATAGCGATCCCGAATCACCTGTCTTGTCTAGCTTATCGTCGAGCCCTTCGAAGATGCTTGAAACGAGAGGTCAGGCCTGTTCAGGTAATCAAGGAAGGGAACTTCCGCACGTATCTCCATCGCTCAGCCCGCTATCCAAATCACCATCTTTCACTTCTCTGTTCAAGTATGATCTTGAGCTCCAAGGACCATATGCCAGCTCGGCGGATGCAAAGCAACCTTTTCTGGACTGGGCTTTGATTGGGATGACTCGTGGAACATTAAGTAGACTATTTCGTGGTCATCCCCCCATCCAAACCATCCCAATGAGGTCAACAGATGGTGAACCTGTAAAGAGAGATATCGTAGTGTTTACGACACGAAAGGCTCTTGTAAGCGGCCATCTAATGGCTACACCAACATACGTTCAACATCCAGAGAATCAAGGTGTCCAAGAGCTGTGGACGATACGTTGCTATGATACATTAGAGGAGGGAGATTGCGGATCATGAGTCATGAGTAAACGTGATTCGAAGATAGTAGGTCACCTTATAGCTGGGAGCCCAACCACGGGATTAGCGTATATTGTCCCCTTCCCAAACTTGCTCGACAGTGTGGGAGAGACTCTTGGCGGTGAGTGGAGCACATGGAATGACTCACTCAACCCTCTAAATTTCTTCGGAAATCGTTCTATGCCGGATGACCTCTCCATCGCACGAATCCCAAGCACCTTCACGGCAGGTATCGGATCTGACATCTTACAGCCGCAAATTGACAACAAGAGCCTCCCCTTCCGGTCTAACTCGCCCGAAGGAGTGAAAACTTTAGAGCCTCCTCATCATCAAACAGCAGAGCTGAAATCCGGCCATTTGACCATTTCTAAAGCACTTGACTTGATTCGAGACGATCGTGCCAAGCCTCTCATCGTCACGAAATTTCTCGAGCGTACTGATCATGAAATATGGACAAAGATTCAGCTACATCCGACGACGTATGTGATGAATCAAGAGGAACACGATGTACTGATACACTTCAAAGAGCTCCATAAAGATCATCCTGACTTCAAACCCGCCATAGCTCGATTCTTGGAAACCTACAAAGGCGATCCTGCCCAGCTACCCCAGGGATCAGATCAACGCTAGCTACAACACTTCCATGGATGGGGAGATAATCTCAACACCCAATTCCCCGAGCCTCACGGTCCAAGTTAAGCATGACTGAGACATGACCTAATATGATCCGCTTCATCCCCTCCTATGGCTTTCCGCTACACATCAATCCGGAGCCAACCCAATCCAACTCTCTAGAGCCCACCCCCTCCACGGAAGCAGAACCCAATAATGTAAGCCAGACACTCTTTACCAAGCGGCGAAAGCGCAAGGTGAGGACTTTGCAAGCTGAGATTCAAGCACTGTGCTTCATGAGCCCATTAATGTCATTGCTACCATCGACAAAACCTCAATTGAAGACGCCCAAAGGAACGAATGAAGACCGGAGGTTTAGGGAGGGGTGTACGTACCATCGAATAACGTCGAAAATGCCTTCAATTTTAATGCAGGTTAGACGATGCATTCCCAAGGCTCAGGATAGAGTTGTGCTGGATCGATCGGTATGAAAAGCGACGTTAATGATATACGAAATGATGAGCATGATGGGATGAAATTATGAATAGTGCACAAAAGCAACGTAACTGAAATTCGCATGTAAGGCCTGAGAGTAGTTCACAGTCTAGATAGAAATATGATCTTCAAAGCCTATGTCTATCGTCTTGCTCTCTGTCTCTCCTCAACCTTTCCCCTACACTCGCCCTCCGTTCCCTCCTTTGCCCTTCTTCTTTCCCTGCCCCCCTTCACCCCTTCTCCCTACAAATACAACCCCTCAATCTTCTCCTCCGTCTTCGTCTTCATAACGTTATCCCTCGCGCTCCTGAAATCCGACATCTGCACCCTCATTCTCCTTTCCCTGAGCGCCCTTAACCCAGCCTCCGAGCATATCGCCTTGATATCCGCGCCTGAGAGGTCGTCTTTCTGGTTTATGAACTCTTCGAGCTCGACGTCCTCGTTGAGGGACATCTTCGAGGTGTGGAGGGTGAAGATTTTGCGTTTGGTGTTTTCTGGGGGTGGTGGTTAGTGGGGTAGAACAGGTGTAGAGGTGGAGAAAGGGGAAAGGGATGGGGGGACTCACGATCAGGGTTCTCGAACAAGATCTTTCGATCGATACGACCGGGGCGGATGAGAGCAGGATCCAACGTGTCAATCTTGTTGGTGGCAAGAATCACTTTCACGTCCCCGCGGTCGTCGAAACCGTCAAGTTGGTTCAGCAGCTCCAACATCGTTCTCTGCACTTCTCGCTCCCCACCAGATGTAGACTCGTATCTCTTCGTTCCGATGGCGTCGATTTCGTCGATGAACACGATGGAGGGCGAGTGCTCAGCGGCCACTTGGAAGATCTGCCGGACTAGTCGAGGACCGTCACCCAGGTACTTTTGTATCAGCTCACTCCCGACGATGCGGAGGAATGTTGCGCTCGTCTGGTTGGCTACCGCTTTCGCGAGTAGCGTCTTCCCAGTGCCCGGACCACCGTAGAGGATCACGCCTTTAGGCGGCTTGATGCCCATTTCTTCGTATAGTTCAGGATGGAGCAGTGGGAGCTCGACTGCTTCGCGAACCTCTTGGATCTGAGACTCCAATCCGCCAATATCTGCGTATGATTCTGTAGGCGCCTTATCGAGTTTCATGACGGAGACGAGAGGGTCGGCGTCATCTGTCAGGACGCCTACGACGGACACGGATTTGTGATGGAGGAGGATACTTGCGCCGGGCTCGAGGAGGTCTTTGTCCACGAATGACATGATCGAGACGTAGTACTCAGGCCCGGTGGCGCTGGAAACGATGGCGTGGTCATCGTCGATCATTTCTTCGAGATTGCCCACGCCCATCGGACTGCCCCGCATATCATCGACCTTGCTTCTCTCATCTGCGTTGCGGTCTAAGGCGTCTGAGTCCCCGCCGGCTGTTGCGGGTGTCTGGTCATTTCGAGCTTTGGCTTTCCGTATTCGCTCTTGGTTTTCTACGTATTCTTCTTCTAGGAGGAGGTGATCGTGCACACGTTGTAGTCGCAGGTACTTGAGCTTGCAACGAGATGTAGGATAGACGGTGGGGAGTTTTGTAGAGGCATTTGGCCCAGCTGCTTTGCGCTTCTTCCGCCCGATGCGGGTTGTAGGGGGAGGCGGTTGTTCGTACTTGGGCTTATCCTTCTGTAGGTGGGATGAAGTCAGAGTCTATCTCCAATATAGCAGAGATGAAGTTGTACCTTCTTGTCCTTGTCATCTTTGCCTGGATCACCTCCTGGAGGCCCGCCGAGGCCTGACTGGTTTTGACCCTCCATTCTATCAGCGCCGAGTCTTTTCTAATCATGCCGGAAAACAAACCATTTCTCAAACACGTATGCAGTAATCTCTTAGGCGATGGGTTTTTATTTTCGGAAGGAGCAATGGAGATCGTAGTGATCAAACTATGTGAAGGGAAGGTAGAAGATGATGATGATGAAGCTTTGCTACCTTAGTCGCGACTGCTCATTCTCCGATATCTCGGCATGTCAGTTTTTCCGATGCCGAGCTGCGCGGAGATGGCGTCAATGAGATTTAGCTCATAATGACTCTTTGACAAAGGCGAACTTTCGCAGGCAAACCAACAACGATGTTACTTCCTCTCACAAGCTACCATAGTAGTACTCCACGTGTGGCTGTCCTCATGACAAGCTCATATCGCTGCCGATCTGCCGTCTCAACTCCCTCGTCTTATATTCCTACCGAGTCATCATCTACCCCCGCGCTTTGACGCGAACAGACTCCCAAAGTTGGAACAGGAATTACGATGCTCTTGGAACCACAGAATCTCGATTATTCTACGACTAAATCGACAGGCGAGACTATCGAGCAATGGTCACCTTTCATTGGCATCGTCACCGCCATCATCGGCAATATTCTCATATCTTTTGCCCTCAATATCCAACGCTACGCACACATACGCCTCGGTCAAGAGTTTGACGAGAAGAAGAGCTTGCGACACAATGAGCGAAGCAAACCTGATAAGAAAGACTACGGCACGCAACAGAGTGACGTTGCGGAAGAAAGAGCCAGGCTAAATCTGAAGACCCAGCAATGGGACAATGGGCGCACCGTCGATGACGAGGATCCTAGCAAGCTTGTCAAGCCAAAATCATCACACTCTTCACTACGCTCTGATACTTCCACAGACTCGACGATCAAGCCGTCGGAGAAGAATGAGCAAGCAACTGAGCGAAAAACCTATCTCAAGTCTCCATATTGGTGGGCAGGTATTGTCTTGATGATTGTTGGAGAGGCCGGAAACTTCCTCGCATATGGTTTCGCACCAGCATCAATTGTGTCGCCACTTGGTGTTGTCGCCTTGATTTGCAACTGCATCATCGCACCATGTCTACTTAAAGAAGCCTTCCGCCAAAGAGACTTCTGGGGTGTGATGATAGCCATTGGAGGGACCGTCACTATCGTCCTTAGTGCGAAGACCTCGGAAAAGAAGCTGGGTCCCGACGATGTCTGGGCTGCCATCACTCGTTGGGAATTTGAGACATATCTTGGCATCACCGTCGGTCTCATCATTATCTTGATGTGGGCCAGCCCTAGGTACGGACATAGGAGTATCTTGATAGATCTTGGGCTGGTTGGTCTTTTTGGAGAATATACTGCACTATCAACCAAAGGCATCGCGTCCCTTCTCTCGGACACACTCTGGCGAACCTTGACTTTCCCTGTCACTTATCTGCTTATCTTCGTCTTAGTCGGCACGGCAATCATGCAGATTCGTTACGTCAATCGAGCTTTACAGCGCTTTGACTCGACGCAGGTGATTCCGATACAGTTCGTCTCCTTCACACTTTCAGTCATCATCGGAAGTGCGGTTCTCTATCGCGACTTTGAATCAGCACCGGCAGCAGAAATGGGCAAATTTGTCGGAGGCTGTCTGTTGACGTTTTTCGGCGTTTACCTCATCACAAGTGGGAGAGCTCGTGGTCATGACGATTTCGGGGCATACGATGATGATGAGGAAAATACAATTGGGCTTGTGGATGAAGAGCGGTTTCAGGACGAGATGGATGTACCGTCGAAAGAGCAAGCGCGGAGACAGTCATCTACAAGTCCACGCTTCAATGGATCTCAGATGGATTCGCGACGATCTTCCAAGCAACAACCTTTCCCAGCTATAAGCACACCAAGTCGCAGAGCGTCGCAAGCTTCGACTGCCTCTAGCGAGTTCGATTCTTCTCTGGCAGCCAACCCCTGGCGGTCAAGCGACGAATTGTCCAGCGCACCTCGCAGGCCAACCCAAACTCTCGAAAGCACTATCTCTCAACCTCTTTTGCCTTCGCAGGCTGCTTCAACCAGTCAAACGCCAGAGACACCCTCCACACCTGATCGGCCGAGCCTCTCACAGCGGTCGAAAACCCGGCTTACTCCAGGGCCTCTCATGTCACCCCTGTCTCCGTCCTTCAGCGCCATCGTAGCAGATCAGAGGAGGAGGTCATCCGTGGCTCAAATACAAGCGAGGCGCCCGACTCTGACTCAGATGAGGAAGTCAAGATCGAGTCGAGGATCGAACGGGGTATCTGGCGAGCTGGCCATCACGGAAGCATCGCCGCTGAAGCACACAAGAACAGCAGATGACATGATACCTGAGGAACGTCCATCGATGGGGGATCGTTCTCGGAGCGTCAGGGCGTCAATGGCAAGGTTCTTCAAGAAGGAGAGTAAGGGCAAGAGCCAGGACAGATCGGGCGACCAGAGCGAATTTTGAGTCTTATTTATCTCCATTCAATAGCCTGGCGTTGGTGGCATTTCGACCAGACTCGACGCAAAATTCTGTGGAGAGCGATGATAATATTTGGGTGGTCTTGACTATTGGAATTGATACCCTGGCGTGATTGTAAAAGTACAAATAGTATAGCACCGGCAAAGTCGCCGCATCGTATGGTAATGAGGTACTGCGATCAATGATATGATATCGCCGTCTTTGTCATGTCTACCGCTCGTGGATCCAGGCACGACCTGCATCTACCCATGACACTGACGTCTCCGTGCTTGTGATCTGCAGATAGCCGTAAGAGTACCTGATTGACGTACACTGATTATCGTCACATTCCGACCACCTGCATACAGCTCGACATTCATCTTCCCCACCGATGTCATTCAAAATTGACAAGGCTCACCCACCCCCCATCTTTCCATCGTAGCAAGCGATGTGACCCCGTATTGCGGATATGGCAGCCTGCTTCTGCTGCAACCCAATTGATTGTAGTCCCCAAATATCGGGAGTTGATTGACATCAAGCCCCGCGCACCATGCAGCGCCGATCTATTTAACACAGCCTCTTTTGGGCAATTCGCACGTCGCTTCACCGTCTTAATGGGGAATTGCCCGCTCGGACGATATCTTTCCTTTTCGTAATTGAATTGCTCTTTCAACGCTGAGTGCTAGTCACTGTCTGCTTTTGTTCAGGCATGGAATCGTGATAAACAACGTTCATCGACGCAGGACGAGTCACTGCCTCTCTATTCGCTCTCAACCACAATGCCCACATTTCTTCTCAGAGCTTACTCCAAGACGGAAGGCAGAGTCATTGTCATTGCTCATCAGGTTCTCGCTTGAGACTGGTCTCTGAACACCCTCGTTTCTTACATTACAGTCTAACAAGCATGTGTATCATGCTGCCAGCAGCTTTCGCTCTCGTTATTGCTATTGCTATTCAGCCTTTTTTGGTCTCTGCCGCCCCGTTGTGGCCCTTGCCTAAGACATACTCCCTAGGGAACCAAACAGTATGGCTCGCAGAAGATCTGTCGTATAACATTAATCTACCATGCAGGGTGCGTACATCCGCACACCCCAGCCCATGAATATGAACTGAATATGGTCTAGGACGAGACCCCATTCTACAACATCGACACCGCCATAATTGATCCTGTTGTCGTGCTCAACGCAGCTATAGAGCGCGCCTTCTACCGACTCAACAATGATGATTTCGTGCCATGGAAATTTCATCCCCGTGACTCGGACTTCGAACCACACCAACCACCCTATCAATCGCCAAATCTGATCCAAGCCATCAACGTTACTCAGCAGAAGCCTGACCCCGTCAATGTCTTCAAGGCCGAAACCGGCGAAGTCGATGAATCCTATGGCCTCGACATCGACACCGCTGGCAACATCACCATCATCGCAGACTCAATCCTTGGCCTCCTCCACGGCCTGACCACCGTCACCCAACTCTTCTACACCCACAGCTCAGGCGGCGTATACACTCCTTATGCACCTATCTCCATTCTCGACTCCCCATCATTCCCCCACCGTGGTCTCAACCTCGATATCGCACGCAACTGGTACCCTCCCGACGAAATCAAGCGCGTCCTCGAAGCCCTCTCCTGGAACAAGTTCAATCGCCTGCACCTCCACGCAACAGACGCACAATCCTGGCCCCTCGAAATCCCCTCCCTCCCCCTCCTGGCCTCCAAAGGCGCCTACGCCCCTTCTCTGACCTACTCACCAGCCACCCTCGCCGACCTTCACAAATTCGCCCTCTACCGCGGCATCCAACTAACCATCGAAATCGACATGCCAGGCCACACGGCCGCCATCGCCCATGCCTTCCCAGACCTCATAACAGCCCCCGACATCCTCCCCGACTGGCCCACCTACTCCGCCGAACCCCCCACCGGCCAGCTAAAACTCAACTACACCCCCGTAACAACCTTCCTCTCGACGCTCTGGTCTGACCTCCTCCCCCGCCTCGCCCCCTTCACCAGCACCTTCCACACCGGCGGCGACGAAGTAAACCGCAACGCCTACCTCCTCCAACCGGACCTCCACACCAACGACACCGCCATTCTGCAACCCCTCATCCAGTCCTTCACAGACACCAACCACGCCGCCATCCGCGCCGCGGGCCTCACCCCCATCGTCTGGGAAGAAATGGTCCTAGACATAAACCTCACCCTCCCACTCGACACGATCGTGCAGACATGGGGCAGCATCCCAAACTCCACTGCCCTCGCGGTCGAAAAGGGCTACCGTGTCATCGCCGGGGATTACAATTCCTGGTATCTCGACTGCGGGCGGGGCAGCTGGCTCGACAATATACCCGGTAGCAAGACGGCGCTGCCGTGGCCATACGTCGATTACTGCACTCCGGTCAAGAATTGGCGGACTATTTACGCGTTCGATCCGCTCGATGGCGTGCCGGCTAATCTTACGCATTTGGTGCTCGGTGGGGAGGTGAGTTTGTGGAGCGAGCAGACGGATCCCGGGAATGTGGATGAGATGCTGTGGCCGCGGGCGGGTGCTGCGGCGGAGATACTTTGGCGGGGTGGGAGGGATGAGCAGGGCATGAATAGGAGTCAGGTCGAGGCGAGCCCGAGGTTGGCGGAGTGGAGGGAAAGGATGCTACATAGGGGGGTGAGAGGTGCGCCGGTGCAGATGGTTCATTGTACTATGGAGACGGGGGCGTGTGAGATATGAGGAGCATGAGGCTGGGTAAATAAGAAAGGGTGGGGTTGGAAAAAGGGCGTCGTTGTTTTTAGGATGCGCGTTAGATATATATACATATAATGGAAGTATCGCTCAAACGCCTGGCCTTTCCCACCTTGTTCGTAGAGGAAGTCCCGTTCCTAATAGGAATGACAACCCGATTAAATTGCTGGTGTTCGCCCGACCTTCCTTTGTCGAATACTTTCGGACGTTTTATGCTTCCTGCTGAAGTGAGAACATTCTTTGATGTATTATGTAGATAAATGCGCAGCAAGATACCCCATTTAACACCATCCTCCAAGAAGCTTGACGGCGGGTAGAGGACTGTATCCACCGAATCCATATCTCTCGCACTGAAGCATCCTCATGCAAAGCTTCAAATGAAGTAAGCCGTACAGTTCTTGAAGAGGAGAGAGCTAAGGGCGGGTCTTTTCCTCGCGAGTGTTGTCCGTCGTGGTGGGGATTATAGACGGTACGGGCGTGATGCGCTGAGATGAAGTTGTGATATGTGGTATGAGAGGAGGGGTTTCTCGAAGTGAGTAGCGGCAGTTAACGGACGCCAATTCCCAATGCAGGGGCGGGCAGGCGAGTTGAGAAGGACGCAAAGGTCTCAGTGAGGCGGGTGCTGTGTTTTACATGCCTCATTGTATATTGTTTCTGTTCTGGGAAGTCTAGGGAACGGCATCAGAGGTGATTTGTATGAGCGCAGAGGTATGGCTTGCACACAAGATTCGAAGGCCTTGTGAATGATTCGTGACAGAGACGTTTTGGTGTCGAGGGAGTTTGATTAAGAAATGGTTGGAAGACTGTCCGAAGATCGAGGAAGCAACCTGATGTGCGTTTCTCAATTTTGTGTTATGGTTCAATCTGTCGAGGCGAGGGCAAGCATGCTGGAAAGGGCGCAGAATTTTGGTCTGACCAGTATCTAGCCTCGAGCAACCAAAGCGATATAGATCCGTACCTCCAAGCCGTAATTTTAGTCTGGAAGGAAGGTTCTTCATGCTAGGATGTTGGTGCAGGAGCCTGTGCTAACCAAAGGACTTCATCGCTTGGTCTTCTCTTTAGTTGTTCGAAATCCGGAGCGGTCAGCTGAGGGTATTGACGGGCGTGCAATCGAAATCGATGGTCGTCAGGTGGTGCTTCTGAGCGTCTACCGGCTTGTCCTCCTCCCGGATTTGGCACTTTTGCTTTGTTACTGCTCATCATTTTGCTGTGTGCCTCACGTCCGACTTGAGAGACTGGTACTTGGCTCCTTGTAAGAACCTTCGATGGATGTGAAGGACTTTTGAAGACGTGATGTCACCCTGCTCATATCGATAATTCTGAAGCTTCTGGCTTTATAAAGTTCCTTGCGGTGATTCTAAGCCTCATTTGTATACAATGATGTAGAGAGGAGGGTCAAGGGTCTGTCATAGAAGTATCGTCGTCTTCGCATAACAACTCGGAGATCTTGAGTGCCTTTCGACGACCATCTTGCTGTCCCTGGCCCTGCTGATACTCAGGTGAAGAAAGTTGTCTGGCCCCATGTTCTAGTAATAATGATTCCACTGCAGAGAAATCATCCTTTCTCTCTAGGCTTACCTCTCGATCTTCAACGATACACTCAGTAGTTCGTAGGATATGTAAAGGACTCGCGCCGTGCAAATGACTGAAACGAGGCATTATTGAGCCTTTATCCCAAGGAATGGTATCACCATTACCGCAATGATTCGGATTTGCGCCCGCACGGAGTAGTGTGCTTACTCCTGGACGGTCCCAGGCTGCCACGGCAATTTGTAGCGGTGTTATCCATGAGTATGTGCCATTGGCATCTCCGCCTAGGTCCAGTAGTTTCGACAAAGCGCAACGATATCCTTCGCAGTCGTTCTCGTGTATATGACATGGCATATACAAAATAAGAATTTTCGAAGGGTTAAAGAGAACGTCATCATACTCCAGTAGCCGAGCAAGCCCCTGTTCCTCATAGATAGTTCCAATTTGTGCAGCGATTTGGATCAGTGATCCGTCAAATATCTGTTCACTATTGAAGATCGAAAGTCCATCCTCAGCAATACTTTGTCCGTACCGAAAACGAGTTCGACTCAAATTTTCCTTGCCAACTTCCTTTATGCACTGCGCAAACAGGGGCTCAAATGCATCGATACTGCACATGGAGATATACAAAATAAAGCATCGCCAAGCAGCAATGTCACTGGGCATTTCCAGCCACTGCATTGTCCAAAATTGGCTGATAGGAAACCAGTCTTGATCACTGTAGTAACGTGTCTCAATCTCGAAGCTGGATATTGCGCTTGTCATCGTCTGATAACGTTTATCAGAAGGATCCAAAAGATCCAAAGCATGCTTACGGAAGGTCGCGTCCTGGACTAGCTCACTAACGCAACCTTGAAGGACAGCAGGTATGATGACCATGCAGTAACTATCGAAATTGGTCTCTATGGCATCCATAATGTCAGGACCACTTTGCGAGCCGACGCCTTCTTCGTAAATCTCGTTCGACTTCAGGTTAGAGACCTCTGATATTATGACGCGGGCAAAAAATTTAGAAAGAAGTTGCTTGCATGCAATCGTAAAGGGAGTAGAACTTTTAGAGGTACGACTCGATTCGAGCCATTCTCGAACGGTGTAGTGGGCAAAGGCGACTACCAAAGAGGAGTCGTTCGCATTAATGAACCCACAATCGCTTACAATATTAATAAGACACCCACATAGCTCCCTGAGTGTCTCATTGTTGTAAATGCGGTCATTGTTCTCAGCGGTAGACTTCGCCATACTTGCATTCACAGCTTGGAGTAACACATCACAAGGCATTCCACAGCCGCCATGCATGTCACCATGGTAACAGACCCACTGAAGCGCATGATGCACAAACATTTGGTCTTTGTCCGGAATGTCCAGAATCCGATCGTACGTCTCGTCCAATGTTTCGGGCAGGTTTCTTAAGGCTTTATGGACGATTTGAGGGTCGGGTTTGAGTCGTTTGAGTGCGTCGACTTGACATACGGCCCAGCGAAACCTATGATAATGTTAATGATAAATTAGATTAAGATTGACCAAGTTCACTTACATTCCTTTGGCGCCTTTCTGAATTGCCTCCTCAACTTCTGTCAAAAGATCTTTAGGCCAACTGGCGAAATAGTGAATTGTATCAAGCAGAGAATGAACGCAGATTTTGATATCGTGCTCCACGTAAGGGTTCGCCATTGAGATTGGTACAGAGATACCCTTCATTACGCGCTCGATATCAATATATTCCCGACTTGTTGCCAAAAGCTGAACATTCCTGAGTCGATGATCGGTAACGAAGTCTTGGAAGACCTTGAGCAGGCTCTCTCTGGGATTGCTTTCATCGATCGCATCTACCATGATGTATGTTGTTTCAAAAAGGTCGAGACTGTCTATGACAGCTTGTTGTAGATCTTTTAGACTTGGCTCCCCGCCATGGTTGTACATACGAGTGACGCTTGAGGGTACCTGCTTTGCCTGCCGGCAAATCTGAGAAACCAGCCATCGTAGAAATGGTATAGCTTCATCTTGACTGTGACCGAAGTAACAATAGTAATACACAAGCGTGCATTTATTAAACTGATCGCAGTGTTCTCGAACAGCTTCAACCAGATGGGAGAACAAAACAGATTTACCAGCACCTGGAATTCCATGGATCCAAAGACAGCGTTGAGTCAAGTCCAACCAGCTAGTCCATTCTGGATGCCGTTTCATCCAGTCACCCGTACCTGGTTCGTACAGATCCTGGTTTCGATGATGCAAAGGCGATGGGTCAGTCTTTTGGAGCCATCTGAAAATGTCTTGGCGTTCGCTGTCTAATTTGATTTGTCAGTCAAGACTTCTCTTCCTTATCAAACAAGAAGAGCAGTATGATCATACCCGTGAGCTTTTCGTAGACCTGCATCGTCTTTACTTTGAGGTCTTTGATGTCTTGGCTGACGAATCTGTCAGCTCCCGCGCACGTTTGAATAAAGCGCCTTTTCATTTGAAGAATATTCGAGTGAGGGACCCTTACGCAGAATCTGTAGTAATAGCCATGGTAATAGTATCTCTGTATCGCGCTATGTCTGCAAGCAGCTTTTTTGCTTTGCTCTCCTTCAGTGGCCAAGCTAGCGCTGCCCAGGCAGCCTTTGCTTTCTGTTTCTTGGTTTTGGGATGACCCTCTGGCTGGCTCTGGTCGATGCTTAAAAGCTTTTCAAGTTTTGCAATGGCCTCATAACACCCTGAGATAGGTCCACCATTGCTAGATAAGGCGCTCAGTATTGCGGATGCTCCGCTGGTGTGGCAGGACAGGAATTGCAATGTTTCGAAAGTAGTCTTTATGCTTGAAGTCTCGATCAATACGACACGAAGTTCGGAGGCCAGATCTCGTGCGCTCGAAATGTAGGACTTGCACAAGCCAATAATTCGATCCGCGATTTGAACAATAGCGATCACACTTGCTGCGATTGCAACAGCTTCAGCCATGATTCAAAGCTTGTCAAGGATATCCGTCCCGCCGACTTTGATATGATTTTAATTATAATCGAAGGTAAAGTTGTGTGTCAGGCATCGTGTGGCAGTGCAAATGCCAGCGCATTGGTGGGCAACCTGCTTGGCGCACCCCTCTTCGTATCGTCGTTTGTTACAGCAATCTGAGCCGAATCAAGACCGGCTTGTCAGCCTTGTCGTGTAGCGTTGCCTGTTCCTCCACTTGCGCCTTTACAAAGCTCAGTAATAGGGAGAATCATCGTGCAAAACGTTCTGCTGGATTTGGCTATCTCTTGGACGATCGAGAATGCCGGTACCGGAATATAGATTACCCGAGCCGAGCGCCGGGCATCGCTTCTCGTGGGAGAGGTTGAATTTCCGTCGCTCAAGGCAATCATGAATTCTGAACAAGCTCAACATTGGTTTTTCTTGGTAGACTTACCAGTCTGTTACCCAAATTACTGGGCCCTCCACCCCTGCAGCCGACTTCCCCATCATGTTACTCCACGGCCCCTCCAGCTCCTGGCTGAACATCCACTTTTTTCACCACAATAACGCCATAATTCTTTCTCCTCCTCGATGAGCTCTTGAAGAACGTTGCCGAAATCTCCAAGTAGATACGCTTTGTCAACGAATTGAGCGCCATTTGTTTAAGGACTAAGATGACTTCCTCGTACGTGACCAGTCTTCTCACCCCAGGGTCCAATGAAAATGTTATCGCGATATTCGCTTCTGGATCCGTGTATTCGAAGTGCGTGATTATCTGAGAATAATCGGTCTCTCCGAGGCGCGCTATCGATCGTATGATCGCGATGAACAGATCGATTGAGCGAAGAAAGCGAGCGTCCGGGAGAGCCTCAATTTCGTATGACATACCCGATCCCTGCAGTTGCTGCGAGTCACCTGTACTTGAGTGTAGAGTGGTATTACTTGCACCTGCTGGAGCGCTATCGCCAGCGAATGATCCGTTTGATGAGATATTGGTAGCATTCTGGTCGCCGGGCGCAATCCTAGGTCTGACATCCCGAATCCCAATCTGTCCCACCTTGGTCTTCTCGGCTGCAGCTCCAGAGCTTGATACAAAAATACCAGCGTTCAATTCCTTGTATGGCTTGTTACGGTACTGATCCTCTGCAATCCGTTGAAGACTCCATACAATGTGACTGAAGTAGAGATCGGGCGTTTGAGTTGAATCTGCGAGGGCAACGACGCTCTCATCCGGAGCGATGTAGCCTTCTGTCGTTTGAAGAAACGGGAGTAGTGCGACCTCACCTATTGCGTTGATGACAGAAGACCAGAAGCTTGCGACGAAGATTGCCGAGTCTCGGTATTTGATGTCGAGCTCGAAATCATTTGGGACATTGTCGTTCTCGACGTTGAAAGTTGAATTGGGCAAAATGGTATCCCTTGCGTCTAATTGATGTGGTACAGCAGGACCTAGAGAAGTCGATCTGAGGGTGCTGTCGCTTGACACCGCTGCACGGCATATGGAAGACCACCACCGAAATGCGAGTATCCATAAGAGAATACGACGCATGCTGACGCCAGTCTTGCACTTCCAGAAGTCATTCAACATATCACTTTGGCTTCGCAAACGTAGGAGAGAAATTCTGCGCTTACCCACGTATTTCGAAATCTGTAAATATGGCAGCTGCTGAGACATGGTGTCACTTGCATCCGAAACCCGCCCAGTATCCCACCAGTGATCAGCCGAGAGCCTTTACTTTGACTACCAAAATGATTCAGCATGGCAAGACATCGGCATATTGTTTCACAAGATGGACCCCTTGTTGTAGTGCATCGGTGCCCCTGACCAGGAGAACACCTCGTGGGTTTGTACAAACATGCTCCCAATCATCATCATCACCGAGCAAGGGCACTCTGCGATTTCAATTACACCATGGCAATAAGCATTCTGTCCGAGAAAGTAGTTTCCAGGCTTCTGTTCCATGTTGGTCCTTCATGACTCAGAGCAGACTTCGTCCAACTAACATCCGCCTTGCAAGCTTCGCCCTCGGCATCTTCAATAGGAACACGGAGAACGCTATAAATTGCCGCCGAAACGCCGCTCGAATGCCAGGATTGGCTCAGTCGCCACACACATGATGCAATTGATAAAGTTTGGAAAGCCGGAGCTCGATGGGGACAGATCTGAGAGGCTCCGTACGCAGTGTATGAGGCTATGGTCCAAGGAGTCGTGGTCCAAGTTCACGAACGCAAGTGTTTCTTGCCGTCAGAGCGGCGTCTGAGTATAAAGGTCAGGCTGATGAAGGAGTAGCGCGAATACCACCTTGAGATATTTGCAGAGGTCGCGAAAGTTGTCCATAGGGACAAGGAAAATGGGAGGCGCAAAAAAGGGTTGATTGAAAGAGATCCTCGGAAAACCTTGAGGTCGAAATTCTTATTGAGTGTTCAAGCGCGCCACAAAGTCATGAAATCGCAGCGAGAATGCGCAATTTCTGCACAGCAGCTCAACATCTCGGATGGCACGGCAGTAGCTGGCTAGCTGGCCACCCAGAAAAAGCGACTTTTGGTAGAAGTGAGGTCATTAATTACGAACGGGTGAATGAGCTTGATATCGGAACCATGGCAGTGCATTGTGAAGAATTGAAGCATGAGCAATTCGTCGGCTCCTGTGTTCGGGATGGAACACGCTTGTTGAATAGAAGCCAACGCAGGATATGGGTACTGGCCTGAAAGTTGTTGCGTTTGATTGTCCGGAGATATTGATATCTCAAGCAGCATCTCGGGGCGCGAACAGTATTGCGATCTGCACTGTGAGGTGGTGTGTCTATGCTTTGAGGCATCAGGAAAGACGATGCGAGAGGCCTTGTTTGTTTACATTTGCACCGGTCAGCGACGCTAAGACTTGAAAAGGCTTAGCGTGAAATGCGGAAATTTCTCCGAGCGAATCCTTTTCTCGATGTTATGCGAATCTGGAGATACGAATTTATCAATCGTCAACGCGACTTCTCGAAAGGAGTGTCTGCGGATACATAGTCAGGTCGTCTAAATGTTGAAGCATCATGACAGCCAGTTCATGTTGGGAGTCTGGTGGCGCATGCGTCAGCCATTCAAGACTTGTGAGGTGGTCGGAGGGTTCTAGTGAACACTTCAATTCCTTCCTCATTTTCCGAATCTCTAAATGTCCAAATCCCTCGGTGCTAGCCTCAAAGTCCATTTTATGGTAAGCTGCGAGAATCAGCCTATGGAATTATGCGATCGAGATGTGAATGCTGGCAGACACCGCTGGAAAGAGGCCACCTCAGGACCACTGAAAATGGTTCACATGATTTTAACGACTTTCGTTTGAGTTGTCTAAGGCTGACTTGAATGCGACACTCAGTAGTAACATCTACGTACACAAAGTTTGAGAAGCATCTGCTGCATCGGCTTGAGCAATTAGCAATTGAAGGCGTTGCTTTCAGTCATGCGAAATGCAATGCCCCGCGTTTGCATTACCGTCAAGATGCTCTTTCTTCTTTCGGTACTTCACTTGTTTGTCTAATGTGAGATTAAAACGCTGCTGCCTAACATACTTTCAATTCACTTTCAGCAATGTGAAGTGTTGAGCCCCGCTCGATGACTACATTAATCTACCTAGATCTAACTCTGTTGCTGCTCTTACACCTGCTCTACTAGGGAATCCTACAACAATGGTCGATAATTGTGCGACTTGCGGTAAAGACGCAAGACTTACTTGCAATGGCTGCCTCAAAGCACCATCTTATCTCGATGACCCCGCACATGCTACGAAGTATTGCGGCGCAGAGTGTCAAAAGAAGCACTGGCCGACACACAAGAAACGATGCAAGACGTTGCAGAATCGCAAATCTCTCTATCGAGCAGCCTCGCTGATTCAGGAGATCTACTATGTGACGCGACGTAGAACCTGGGGTGGATTCATAGAGAAGATTCTTCGCGTCGACGACGAGACCGTTTTCGTCCACATGTGTCGCGTACGGAAGGGCGACAAGAATAGCTGGATACAAAAGCCTCCCTACGGAATGATAGGTACGACCCTTCAGGACGAATATACGCTGCTAGCGATGAATGGTTGCCAAGCTGCAATTGTCACAATGGGCCCGAGCGTTGAGGTCATATTGAAGAGTGAACGAAGTCCAAATTCTCTACTAGAAGACTTTTCCGCTAACACTTGTTAGATTTGATTATCGGCATGCACGAGTATGAGGTGAGACCAATGGGAAGGAAACTTTGGGACGTACAAGTCCGTCCCGATGGATCGATCGATCAAGCAAGAGCACATCACACGGTTTTTACGCTTCATTTGAGCTTGACGGAGCGGTATGCCCTCGATCTCACTCACGCTCAGTACGGCCACCAGAACGATACATTGACACCGTGGAAAACATACCTCGACACTCGTGTGCATTCAACAATTGATAAACCACGTCCTGTGGGCTACACAAACGAAAAGAATAAAATCATATTCGCCGAAATTGATAATGGCGACTATGCCACTAGGCAAGTCGCATTCGAAGGCGTGCTCCGCCAAGCGGTCACCTCGGTGCCGCAAAAGGTCGATGCGTGGTCCAAGATTTGGCAAACCTCTGACGAAGCCGCTCACCATCTCCAACGAGATCGCATCATCGGCATCGTGACTACGAGTTTTGACAAGTTCATTGCCAGCACAGCAAACACACCTCTATTTCAAATCTGGAACTCACAAGCTATGTACCGAGGTATGGTCGCCATGGGAAAGCGGGAATATGAGAACAAGGTGAAGGATTGGGGCGAAGATGGACGTGGTCGGCTTTACCCTCTCCTGGTTGACCTAGTCAAGAAATGGCAAGCTTCCGACAAGAAAGGGGAATGGGCGCCCAGGGATGAGGGAGGACTACCAGCGGGATTGAGGATTGATGAATCAGGTCTGGATGATCCTTCGTATCGGAGCGAGGCAGCCAAGGCGGTGGAGAAGGCCACAGGGGTGAAGCAGTCAATTCTCACAATCGAGGTTGGCGGTCCTAGCAGATGAGGATCTCAGCACACGATTTCTGCAAAATTACTGCAATATCAGCTGGTGACTACTGACTCAATCTAGTCTACCAGCAGAAAGCAAATTAACTATCAGCTCGAGATCTTGCCCCATTGCTTCGATATTGCCGCAATTTGTGCACATTTCAGGTACCTTTTGGATGTCAATACTACTAATCTATTGATTATCTAGGAGCGCATAACGCCACAACCACCCCAAGCTGACGCTACTTCCTGTCCACAGTACTAGCCAGCGGCTCGGCGGATATGGCTGTCGGCACGCTCAGGCACAGTGACATCCGAAACCTGGGGTATCAAGGATCATAAGCCTCTGCGTTACTCTTCGAGGGCGATCCTGGTCTCAGCGTAGATCTCTACAGGAGCTTGTACGCCGCTTGGACAAAGCTTGATCAAGGCGCGAGACAGGTCCCTCCTGAGGCCTACCAAATCGAGTTGAAGGAACTTCTATTCCTGTATTTCACCAATCATTACCGACTAATAGAGCTGGGGTAGGAGAAATTGCTCAGCGCCTCCACCGTCATGCTGCATCGGACATTTTGACGAAATTCTCTTCCGGCGCAGAGCTGGCCATCTCACGACGTCATCTACGGGTGCCGAAACAGAGAAATTGGCTCCGGTGAATGATACATCTCGCCAAAGCTCTGAAGAGCACTCTGCCGCTGCCTTCAAAAGCGATGGCTAGCCCTCGAGACAAAGACTTCGAATTTCCCCCAGCTCCAATGACTGTCTTGTCCTACACAGCGACGACATCCTTCCCAATCTCACGAATATTGCAACTCTTATCTGTCTCATCTACCTTTCCCTCAAACAGCATCAAACCCGAACACAATAATGCAGCTATGGCACAAATATCGCAGTACCATACGAGCCAACTGGCACCTCGGCCTCACCTGCTTCGGCGGGCCAGCTGTACAATTCCAGACAGTACGTCTCCAATCCACCTGCCCATTTACCAGACGTACCTCCACGAACCCTGAGCTTGCGTTGACAACAACCAAATCTAGTTCCACAAACACTTCGTCGAGAACCTGCAATGGATAGATGAACCTATGGTAGGCCACCACCCTCTCCTACTCCCTGCTTCCAATCAATGTACTGACATAGATGCAAAGTACCAACAAATCTTCTGCCTCGCCCAATCCCTCCCCGGCTCCGCGACTGTCAAGATGCTTCTGTGTATAAACGCTGTTCGACACGGGCTGGCTTCGGGCTTTCTCGCGGTTGGGATGTTCGCGTATGTCCAACCTTTGTCCCAACTTCTTTCTCCCTAACCTTGTTCCCGCCTCCCGCAGTCTACCCAAATGTTGCTGACATAATCACAGTCTCCCAGGTGCACTAGCAATGTACGCCCTCGCCATTGGTGTATCACATCTTCAAACCAACCTTCCGCCAGCCGTTTACGCCCTTCTGTCTGGCTTCAACGCCGCTGCCGTCGGGCTGATCGCGTTCGCGGCCGTCAAATTGGCGGAGCGCGCGATCAGTGATAGGATCAGTCGGCTCTTGGTCTGCTTTGGGGGCGTGATGGGGGGCATGGGAAGTGCGTTGTGGTGAGTCTCCATTCATCCTCAACCAATCCTTTGATACAGAGAAGAAGACGGGGAAGACGGCGCTAGAGGGCCACAGAGGCGAGGAAAAGGAAGACAAGAAGGGCAAAGAATAGAGCAAACAAAATTGAGGCCACGAAAAAGAGGCCAAGGCTAATCCGTACGCTGCGCAGGTACTACCCCGTCCTCATGGCCAGCGCAGGCTGCGCAACCTACATCTGGGACACCTCCATCCTACAGAACCTCTACGTCCGCACAAGAGCACGGGGGCACAAATGGCGACAAGGACGTAAGATCAGAAACAGGAGGCGAGAATACGACGTCGAGGCGCTGAGCAATTCGCGCTGGTCGGGCGAGTCAGAGCGTACATTGTTGGAAAAGCCGCTGCCTGAACCACCTGCTGTGCACGAGAAGGACGCGGGACGGTGTAAGGAGGATGTTGGGATGGAGACGACGACGGATGAAAAAGGGCAGGGAGGTGTGGTAGGGGGAAAGCTGGATGCAGAGAAGGTGCGGCATGAAGATGTGGACGATTTCGACATCCCTTCCCTGCCATGGGGGATTGGGGTCACGATTCTCGTGGGGTTTGTGATCACTTTCGTGCTGGTCATCGCATTACGGGTTGTCATACCGAAGTCGCGGATTTTCGATGTGTTCAGATCGTTGTATATAGCTGGCACGATCACTTTTGGTGGTGAGTCCCCCCCCTCCCCTCTCCCCCACCCCTCTTTCCCCCCTTCCCCATCCTCCAAACCCAGCACACACAAGCTAACCACCCACGCAGGCGGGCCCGTCCTAACCCCCCTCCTCCGCGACTACATCGTCTCCCCCGGCTTCGTCACCCCGCGCAACTTCCTCCTCGGCTTCTCCGCCTTCCAAGCCCTGCCCGGCCCAGGCTTCAATTTCGCCATCTACCTCGGCACCCTCTCCATCATCCACACCGCCATCCCCTCCTTCCTCGGCGCCCTCATCACCTTCGTCGCTATCTACACCCCCGGACTCTGTATCCTCGTGGGCTTCATGTCCCTCTGGCGCATCATTAATGGGAGGAAGTGGTTCCATTCTATCTTGAGGGGCGTCAATGCTGCTGCCGTCGGACTGGTTTTCGCGGCGGTGTATAAGTTGTGGCAGATTGGGTATTTGACGGTTTCGGTGCAGAGTGGGAGGCCGTTGGGCACGGATCCGTGGTGTGTGTTGGTGCTTGCGGTCGTGTATACGGGAAGTGCGTGGTTTGGCTGGAATCCGCCGTTTTCGATATTGTTTGGGGGTGTGGCGGGGGTGGTGAAGTTCGCTGTCGTCAATGCGTAGGGGTGGGTAATGAAATGTTGGAAACTTCGAGGTGGTGCTGCTGGTGTAAGCGAGATATTAGGCCAAACAAAGAACCGCTTCTGACCTGATTTATTTCGCCAATTTGTCGTAAGGGGGTCCGGTACGCTTGTTGCATGGTGATCTTGCGAACTGCGCTAGGCCAGCTCGATTCTCTCGGTTCCATCTGCTTGCAGTATCGCCCTGTCGCCGAGCTCTTGGACACCCTGCTCGTCGAGCTCAGGCGGTCTGCAGGTGCTGCTCATTTCTGTAGGTTCCTGCGCCATTGGTGGTTTTGTTCCAGCAAAGTCTGCCTGGTCTCGTCTGATGAGCGACTCTTTCTTCACAACCCCTTTGTGTCGCTCGAATGTGAGCCATATCAAGCCGATGAGGACTGCAGCACCTATCAACCCACCGATGCTAGATTCAACTACGACCCATTCGTTTGCGTTGGAGGGGGTTGGGGGTCTGGCGCATGAGTGCAGTTTGAAAGTGTATTTACTGAGGGTCCTGTTGCGTTTGTAGTATTTGGAGATGTTTTCGGAGCTGGGGAGGTTCAGATGGGGATTACCGATGGGAGAGGTAGGAGGGCTGAGCTCACCTGGAGTTGAGCTTCCTATCAGGGAAGCTATGTCTGGTTGCAAGGTACCCATGTAGGAGCTGAGACAATTCTGAGTCAGCAGAAGTCTCCCAAATTCCGGAGTGCTTTGAGTCCTACGTACTCTCCGGTATTGTCATAGAAGTCTTTCACAGCCTGAGACTGTCTGTATGGTGACGAATTGGCTGCGTAGTGATCATTCCACTGGAGTGTGTTGAGGTCAAAGATTCCCAACCCCTGTTTAAAGTTGTCTGGCCTAGTCATCAAGTCTAGTATGAATTGTGTACCATTTCCATGGTCGACGATGTTTGGATCCCTTCCTCCAAGTACTAGGATTTGAGAACCTGCTACGGCGTTGCATGAATGTCCTGCTCGTGGATGACTGGGCTGGTAAGGTACTTGGAGCCAATGGAATGCTGGTAGTGTGAGTATGAAGATCTCGTCACGCTGAATGTTGGGCTGTCCGGGACCTATTGAGCCTCCGTAGTAGAAGATGTCGAAGGTGTTATTATTGGACTCCATGCCTGCAGTGCATGGATCAATCCTACCACTGGGGATTTTCCCACTTGTTTGTTGTCTGTAGGTTATGTTAGTAGCTATGTCGTACACCAACACTAAGCCACCCTCATCAGCGAAACCTCCATCTTCATTCCTGCCTCCTATTCCAACCAACAAACCTCTGGAGCCCCAAAGGGGTACGTACTGCAAGACACCGTGCTCAAAAGGTGGAAGGGGCATTGTGGAGGTTTGATTTGCGAAAATTTTTGTGGTCGTATTAAAATAAACCAAACTTGAGCGACATTTAGTGTCAGCAGCCTCGCCTCCAAATATGAATCCAGAGTCTGGACATTGCGCTGTTGAAGCTGCGTGGACAAGGATAAGATTATCGCCGATCGTAAGTTCGAACTCGGCAGACTTCGTCCATATTCCACCACCCCGATGATCAGGCTTCAAATTCCAGAGAGACGGTGTGTCAGGAGGAAGTGTGCCGTCCGGGAAGTCACAAGGCCAGCCATTGAAACCAGAGTATAACGTATCTTGAGACTGATCGTACCACAGTACCCCTTCACAGAAGCTTGGAGCTGTAGAGGGCTTTTGAATTGTGGAGAAAGTGACCGTTGAATTCTGCCAATCTTTGGACAAATCGATCACGAGTGTATGATTGACTCAACCAAGTGTCAGGGAGATATGTCATACAGGGGCTTCTGCTTACGGTTCCGATATTGAGCATTGCCACTTTGTAAGAAGGAGAATTCACCCCCATCAATGTATAAATATTCGCCTACAACTGTTGCTAAATCACGTCTTAGCCTACTAGTATCTCATTCTTCCACGCAACTTACCTGAATGATACGCCCTTCGTAGGAAGTGGTCAGGATCAGGGACAGTGGACATCTCTGCGCGGCTCGGCACACCATTGGCATTGAAGTCGTGGGTGTTTTCTTCTAAGTAATAGTGTACGCATCACAGGGTATCGCCTCGAGTCCTGTAGATAGCGAAGAACGAAGCCAAGGAAACGCCGACGATCACAGACTCTGTGACTTGGAAAACAGAACGGGTACAAGTGTTCGCCCAAGCTCATCCAGTTTAAAGTCTTGTACTCTATACTCACTGGTATCCATCGGGATTAAGGAAACATGCAGCTGTTTCAGCTCTGCATCCGACATGCACCACCCAGGGCGTGCGCCATGCACCTCGGTGGCGGGCATGTTTCTTTGAGTAGCGACGAGTTAGGTTCTATTGGCCTGAGAAGCTATCAGTACCAAAGTCCAATGTACACATGTATCGGAAGAGAGACAGTGCCTTCAATTCCTTCTTGATGCTTCGCTGCAGGGCGCCGAGCTTCAGGAGAGCCCTGAGGTTTGGAAAAGGAGGTGTTGCAGAATTCGCTTGGTCATCAGCGATCCGGAGGCATGCCGCTGCGTTTCAAGGGCTCGTATCATTTTCTCAGACTTGGAATGGTGAGAGAGGCTGCATTCAAGGATACGAGTGAGCCTGACTGTCCTTGCACTGAGCTGAAGAGCTCACCGCTTGAATTGGAGGATGTGAACAGCCGCCTCAGGGTCACGCCAAGCGAATCCGCGCTGTTCGCTACGACATCGAGTATGCCTGTAATTCGAAGGCTGCAGGACCACATAAGAGGATTTTCTGAGGGGTGATGTGCTTATGTCCGCGTTAAAGCCGAATCAACGGAGGGAGATTTTCCGCCCCCGGCATGCAATGAGCTACAACCGCTACACCCCAGGCACTTCATGATGTTTGATTACCTTGCTGAGATCAATCGGAGGAACTTTGGCGCAGTCCACACCTCTCATATCTCATAGAGCTCGAGATTATGGCTTACTGCAGACGACGCCCCTAAACTTGACACCCTCATGGACCCTAGATCCTCTTATATGACGCGAGCAGCGCGAATCTGGGACGGTTTGGCATTCAGTGATGGAGCTATCGAAAATGGCTTTACATGACTAGCGCTCGCTGAACTATGTGTCCGCATCAATCACCCTGTCTCGCGCATGGTGCTGCAAATTTGCCGCTGGGATCCTTCACGACGACCAATGTCTTGAGCTGCCCACAAGGCTACATTCAGTTCTCCAGATCTACGATCTTACATCAGCCCAAATCGACCGTTGTTTGAAATTCTCACTGGAACTTTCTCGTCCTGATACGGCGGACATGTTCTCCCCAATTTTGCTCACCGTCTACCTAATGATGAGCAAATACAATCCTGTCATTAGCAGGTCTATCAAGACGAAAGACGTAGATAGTACTATCTCAACCAGCGATACCACAGCTCCCACTCTAACAGAATTCAGACCTGTCCGAGTAGACACATGGATGACAGAAACCCACATTCTCATCGAAGACAGCACCGGCAGAGGCTACCCCGATTGGAATCAGCATGGAGAGCTGTTTCCATTTCTGAACAAGCTCCAAAGCGAAGCAAGGGCACGAAGTGATGCGAGTAAATATGATCCGAAAGTTCCAAGCGCATGGAGATATAATTTAGGACCCGGTGATGGTTGGCAATGGGCCTTGACAGAATACAAGCCACAACTCTTGTGGAGTGACGTAGTAGCCGTGGTCGACGCGCTCTTCATCAATGCCTTTCAATTTTTCAGGTCTGGAAAAGGCTACTGTTCTTTCCAGGTTACTATCGGTCGTATGGGTACTGCGCACCCGGAAGAGGAAGATGCTCTGGGTATCGTCTTTCTATGGTACGGACAGCCGAGAATCTCGTCTACCGATGGTACGTCAGGCACTGGAGCAGACATCGCGTCCGAGAATGTCAATGTCACCACCGTTGATTGAATATCAAAGAAAAAATTGTGCAGTAGGCGCACTGGGCTGCTAGAGAATACACATGTCGAAAGGCCCCTTGAATCAATGAAAGCCCCTGTTTGAAGGTGATGTCAGGCTCTATCATGGTAAACAGCACTTGAGCTTGTACTCATCGGCACTCTGCACCGCTGGCAGGTCAAATGGCATAACGTTCATGATCTCAATGTATCACGAACGACCAGCGGAGTGCATCCAAGAACCCGCTATGCGTATCGCTGCTGAGTATCGTCTGCTCATCTTTGGCTTTGAACATGTTCATCAAAGTGGTGCAACTACCATGTAACTGCGAGGGCAAACATACTCGGGCATGACCTATCTACTATTCATTCAGGTGCACACACGAGCTTCTTCTGACACCAATGCGCTTTCTCCCACATTGGAGAGTGTCAGTCTGTGCTCGTGGCCACGCCGAATCGAAACAGTGACTGATGCCAGCAATGATCCTCAATGTCTAATCACAATTCACAGGTGGTTACTGACAACCAAAGCAACAACGTTCATTCTTCGCAATGAATGTAAAATTCGCCATCTACCAAAGCTGGAGATACATGACGTACGAACGACGGCTTCACATCCGATCCAGTTTCCGTAGGGAAGCATCGAAGTCGCCTTTTTCATACATCCTGCTCTTCATGCTAACAAGGCAAAGGTTTCAAATACTATCATCGCATCATCGACCACCTCAGTTTTTACCTAGGATTTCTCCAGCTCGCTTGTCCACTTTTTGCCCCAAGTACAACTATTACGTCGGATCAAACGCAGCAGTCGATAAGCGGAATTCATGTCCATTCATTTGGCGCATAGTTATCTGCTGCGCTTAAGCTCAAATAAAGACTCGAGTCCGCATGACATCTATTGTCTCGCGAAATGGCGATAGTCAGATCATGAAACGTGACAGAAATAGAGCGCTGTGCCTAGCTTGAGACACGCATGACAATTGCAGAAAACGGTTCAGCCACCGACGACCCCATGCTGCATTTTCTGCGCGATCCGACAAGCATCCACTGTCTCTCACGTCGTCGACATGATGCTGAGATTGGCGTTATATACCAAAATCGTGGCTGCTCTGCCCACGCAAACATTAGCTGCTCCACCATTTTTGACCCCTGGTACCCAAGACATCGATATAAACGCCACCGACACGCTTGCTATTTTCAACACCACAGATACCGACCTCAGCGTCGGCGGGCCTGTGACTTGCTACAACACCAACGACCCGATCTTCACCCCCCAAGATATCGGCTACGTCTTCGAAGCCTGCGTCCTCGCCCTCGAGCTCCTGTCCAGAGAGATGCAGACGATGATGGAATGGTGGTGGGTACCCAATCTCGTCCCCCCACCCGGCCCCCTCGGCCGGTTAGCAATTCTACCGCTCCTGAACCAGCGAGAGCCGAAAGCATGTCTGCTCGCTATGACATCCACACTACAATTAGGTGCTGCGTCGATCGCGTCCGCGCAGAAAGGGTCAGCGATTGGATGGAGGCCTGAGTGGGGAAACCAACTGCCGCAACAAGTAGTGCAATTATTTCCGCAGTCTAAGGATACGGTGGTGGAGGGTTTCAGGAGACTGCTGGATTGCGTGAGGAAAGAGAAAGGAGAGGAGAGGGCGGGTCATGTGATGATTGGTATGTTCTCTCTTCAAATCGAGAGATGGAATCTATGACCGGGACTGGAAATCCATAATTCATAAAGATAACAGAGGTAAGAGAGCGCGCTGATGTTTTATAATCTATAGCTCCTCAACTCCACCTTTTTATGGCTCCACACGGAGTTCACGGGCAGCAGAAGACACGTTTCGATATTCTGACGACTTTTAGGGGAACGGATCTTGGATAGCAAAGTGATGTAGGCCATTAGCAATGGGGATTGTGTATGGTGATATGGAGAGCTAAGATTTCAAACTTAATGCTCGACTAATCCATGAGTAAAAGATGTCACACATTCACATGGAAATTGTTGCTCACCCGATTCCTGCCTCAGCCTCGATCAGTCGGCCAAAGTGCAGCAGCTATCCATAACCTGCGATACTGGCATTCAGCTAACCTGACACGAAGGTAACGATTACAAAGACGAGCATCTCATTCCCTCAAGCCTACTTCATATCTCAGTGCTTTACTCGGCTTCGAATGCACCCCCAATTTTTGTGGCTAACAACGACCCAGAATTGCAGCAACATCCACAAATATCGACCCAACCCTTCTCAATATCAGGTACTAGCAACTCAATCAAACCCAACCATAGATCCACCATCCCCCCGCCTAGCCCACGATTTCCACAACCCTTCGTCCCCTAACCCCCTACTCCACAAACAACACTTCCTTACATCCACGATGCCTCCACACACTGACTGTCTTCACATAGATTCTTCCCCCCTCTTACTCATCAGAAGTTACCCAGTTCCCCGCCATCCGCCTCCCTGGCCCCCTCATATTTACCAAAACCTTACCCTTTCCCTCCCTTCCCCCTTCTCCCCTTTTGACCACCCCTCCACCCCTCCACCTCAACTCACATTCCCTCGTACCGCCCCTCCGTCCACTTCAGTCATCTTCTCATTTCCCCAAACCTTCCACTCCTTCCACTCATATCTTGCCCCCAGCCCTCGACACTTTGGAAGAGTACCACGCCGTATCATCACCCCACTGTCATCCCCCTTTTTTTGGATATCTTATCGGTTCTGGGAGAGGCGCAAGAGGAAGCGGGCAGAGCTGTGGGCAGGAAAGGGGAGGGGGAAGGGAGCAGGAGAGGAGGTGGAGTAGGGAAGGGGCGTAGGGACGTAGGCGCGGACGGGAACGGGAGGAGGGGGTAGGGAAGCGGGGGTAATGGTCATGCACCTACCCACCTGACCTCGAACACAGACGTATGGCGCTGCCAGGGGAGACGATGTGTAACCCGCCTTCAATCAAGCGCGGGATCGGTCATGTAGGCAGACAACCAAGGCGGAGGCGGGGGGAAGTTTATGTTTTTAATTGGGCTGGGCTGGGCTGGGCTGGATTGGAGATGTACCCATCTGAGGGAAATTCGAAGTGGGTTGGTGCGGGCGGGGGGGAAGGATACTCGTGATGTATGAAGGTCGTTGAGAGATTGTGAGTCGGGGGGTTGTGGATGGGTGGGAGAGATGTAGGCAGCTGCCTGAGGAGGGTGGAAGGGGAGAGGAAGGGGAGGGGGAGGTGGGAGAATTTGGATGACCTGGGTCGGTTTAGAGTATTGTTCTAGTTAGGTTTTGGTGTAAGGAATGGGGTGTCGAATCTGGGTTGGAGAGCAGACGGTGATACTGCATTGCTGGGGTCTCAATAGCGACATTTGTGTCATTTCTCGAGGGAGATGGCTCTTATTGAATAATCTGTTTCACCTTCAGCTGTCTCATTCTTTCTGCTGTGGCTCTAATACACCAAGTTCACCCTCCATCACGAACGAAAATCGCCTCGTCCACTCCCTCTCTTTCTTCCCCATCCACACCCAGCACGCCGCCCATAGCGTACTCTTTCCCCCAACTCCTCACCACCCTCCCCATCTCCCCTTTCCCCACTTGACTCAACCCCTGGAAATCACCCAACATATGGCTCCCACAGATCAGCCACAGAACGCTGCCTATGCAGTCTGGGGCTCTCATTCCCGCCCCTCCCGCCCCAGCCATCCATCTCTTGCCCAACAGCCAAATGATACCTACAAGCATCAAGACCATAATTCCGACACTCATCCACGTACACACCTCGTAGGCGATGAAGTTCGTGGTGGGTTTGTAGGGGATGTTGGCGAGGCAGACGATGAGCGGTTCGCAGAGGATGGCGACGAGAGAGAAGTATGCGTTTAGGAACTCCGTGTGCGCGACGGAGTGGAAGAGGCCGCTGTAGGGATTGTTGTGGGGCGCGGAGAGGAGGGTGTGTGTTGCAGGCTGAGGGGAGGAGGATAGGAGGCGGAAGGGTTGGTTGAGGCGGAGGTCTGGAGAGAAAGGAGAGGTCAGTGAGGTTGAGGACATGGTAGGGGGGTTACGGGTGAAAGAGTGGGATGAGAACTGGGGGACGAACCGTCATCCAGGAGCGTCCAGTACATTTTGAGAATAACGGCAACCGCAGTGAACAGAAAATTGACACCGAAACTACCGCTCTCCATGAAATGCTCGAAGCTGCTGGGGTTTGGGAAGCGGTTGTAATAGATCATGAGTGCGAGCAGACCGATGACGAATGCTGAAAAGATTCCTACGGTGGCTGAATGCGTCCAGATGTGGATGAGCTGTCGTCTCCGTTTTGTGGGACGTTGGAAGTCATCGTCGACTTTGTGGATCGACACAGAGGTGTGGTGTTTGCTGTGAGGTAAAAATGATGACGTGGGGTCGTTCGGGGCACTGTCATCGGTGCTGTGTAGGCCGTAGCGCTCATTGCCATCCAAGTCGTAGTATGGCCCAATACGGTAGCTTTTGGATCGTAGAGCCTCACAGAGCTCTTTCGGTGTCGGCGGATAATACGCACGAATGCGACGGAAGTCTTCGATGGCGCGTTGATCTTGGAATAGTGAGGTTAGAGCTGCGATGCTGAGGGGGTTTGTGTAGATGCCGCTTCTCGCTCTTGCAAGGCCAATGATGAGTCCCAATGTGAGAATTGCCATGAATGCTAGTACACCTTGTACGACTCGAGCTGCTGGAGGGAATACGCTCAATTGGGGAACACAATTGTCTCTTGATTTCATGGGGTTGCAACTTGCGGTTCCCAGGAAGGCGATGAATATGGTTTCTGAAGACATCGGGGCCAGGATGAGTGCTATGGATGAGAGTAGACCAGACCACCAGACAAAATAGTGTTTGTTCTTTATGGCGGAGATAGTCGACACAGCTGTGATTGACGCTCGATAAGTCAATCCCAACGATTTCTCGGCCAAAGCGCCATCAGGTTTGTGTAGCTGGTAGAACGGTTCGATCTCCTTGATCGCAGACGCTAGGATGTGCCATGGGGCGGTAAAGATGACAGCTACAATTATGGGCAAGAAGCCGCCAAGAACGTAATCGAGCGGTGAGAGAGTATACATGTACGTTGTTGCTGGTGCTTTATCTTGTATTGAGACTGCTCCACTCGGCCCGACTACAATGGTCTTCCCATCCTTGAGAGTTGCCGTTGTTGGGGTTGCGGTATTGAAAGTCGAGCCATCAATGACGATCTGACCATCAGTGCCGATCACGTACGTTTCACCGACTGCTGTTCCAGTGATAGGGGCTGTAATGGGGCTGTTGATTTGTGATCCTGCTTGAAATGCACCATTGACGACAGGTGCAGGTGTCTGAGCAGGGCCGTTTGATGGCTGACTGCCAACAGCGACGGTATGCCCACTTGCGTCAACAACGACACTGAAAACGACATGCGTTAGCGCAGGCACCTTCGGGAGGTATCGAAAACGTACTCTGTGGCGCCTGGAGTATTCCCTGCAGGCTGAGCTCCTGGCGAAGGCGACCCTGGGGAAGACTGGCTGTTGACTCCAGGCTGAGCCCCTGATTGTCCGTTCCCATCATTCTGAGAACCCGACTGACTACTGCCTCCATTTTGAGTGCCTGGTTGACCAGTATTTCCATTTTGCGCTCCAGCCTGTCCACCCCCATCTCCTTGAGAGCCTGATTGTTCGTTTCCCCCACCCTGAGCGCCAGGCGTTGGCTGTGAACCACCCAAGATGACCACTGGGGTGTTTGCTGGATTTTGTGGATTGCTGGGGTTTTGCGCAGGATTTGGAGGATTTGGAGATGACTGAGGATTTTGAGAGCCAGCACCGACAGGTAGAAATGCTGATGATGCAGGAGCGAAATGTGGACCAACAGGCAAGAAGTCTGAGGAGGGCGGCGCGGTTGGCTCAGGTACTGGAGGTGAAGAGGGAGCCTGCTTTTGTTGATCATTGCCGACAGGAAGGAAGACGGACTGGGGAGGAGCTTCGCTGGTTGGGTTGTCGTTGGCTTGATCTACAGGGCTGACTTGAGCTTTGGCGGGAGTGATTGATGGACTTGCAGGACTTGGGGATGAAGGACCTCCTGCGCACAAAATTAGATTAGCTATGCACAACGGATTGTAGTTGGGTGGGATCTACCACTTTGCGGTCTCCGTCTGACAAATCTGTGTGAACTCGGGTTGCTGGCGATGGCATTCTGAACGATGCCACCTTTGTTATGAGCTGGGTAATGTCGAACGGCGACTTCGGTCAACGCTATCAGGATCAAGGTTGCGGCGAAGAGAAAGAGTAGGGAAGGCAATCGGGCAATGCCTGGTTGATACATTTAGTATACAGAGCTATAATAGGCTCAAGCAAACGCAAGGAAAGGTGATGATGATTCGCTCAAAAACATGGACAAAGGACAGCGCAAAGGGACATCAAAGCAACAGTGAAGATAACCACAACCTGTCAACTTAGCAGCGACATAAGTATCAGCATCGCGACATGAATTGCGCAGCAGAGACGACGCAGGCCGAGGGTAAATACGACTTTTCACACCGCGCTGCTGAGCAAAGTGGCCTGACATTTTAGCGTAACGATGGCGCATCTCGAAGCGGAGGCTGAGAAAGTCGCATGAAGCCAGCAGTTCGGCAGACACGATGATAGGCTTGTAGCCGCCGTCATTTAACTCGAACAGGCAAGCTTTGATGCTATACAGCTGTGGTGGCTGTCGACGATGCTGGATGAGGGCAAGTCCAACGCCATTCTCGGTAGCGACGTTCTAGAACCATGGACTCGGTCTTGGGGTCCAGCTGAGATCGTACCACCGTGAATTAGGGCTGACTGAAGGAAGGCAGCCATGCGCTTGCAGCTCAATGATGCAATCTGATGCGTGCGATGATCAATTGAGTTGACATACATTTGTTGATGGTATTGAATACAGAAGGCATTTCATTCTTGAGATGGTCTTGGCACTGCGTGATATATTAAGTCACGTCTGCAAGCTCTTCAGACCGGCTTACTCATCAAGTTCATTGGGTATCATTGGTGGAAATTAGGGTAGAGGTGGTAGAATTCTTCCTATTTGCTTGTGGGCGGTCAACACCCCGCCGGTCAGGCTGCTCAGGCTCTCTGCTTCGAAGATGCGTGAACTGCCTCATTGCACCATTGCGCACCATCATCCTGCTTCTATTACTCTCCCTAGATACGACATCCATCGGTTGGCGCGTTCACGATGTCGTTTGGATGCTCAATCAGTGACGTTGCTTTACTAGTCAAACTTGCAGCCTCAACAGTCAGAAACTCCCGGAAAGCATGTGGAGAGCATGCTGAGCTTACTCGAGAAGTTTTGGGCTTGAGCTCCGTCTTGCAGCGTCTCGAGACCGAGATCCAAGAGGGTGCAAATGTAATTGAGCGCCCGGGATGCAATTATGCGGAAAGAGCTCGCACCAGTCATTCAAGGATGTATTCGCAATCTTGAGAGGCTGGCAAAGATTATCGCAAAGTACAGTGCGTTGTCTGTGGAAGAAAGAAGTGCTACTAAGCTATGGCGGCAAGTGAGGTTCGGAAGTGGAGAGCTGGTTGATGTTGCCGAATTGAGGAGGCGGATTACCGATCACACATCGGTATTGAGCTTGTATATCAACATGATCGCTGCCGGTGGCGTAGGACGGATTGAGAAGCAGATGCATGACGCCGGTGGCGATTTGAAAGAGATAAAATTGGCCGTTAATGGGATCACGGCCCATCTTCTGTCGAGTTAAGCTATCGAAGGATCTGTACTCACAGACTACTCAGGAGATGACAAGGCTGTCTGGAAGGAATTCCGTCGAGAGTTGCTCAAAGATGGTTTCTCTAGCTCGGTGATCAAAGAGCACAAATTAATAATCCAGGCTTACATCAAGGAGCTCGGTGGTAGGGGCCTACTAGACGATTCAAATCCTGTCGAGTATGGTCCTAAAAAAATAGCTATCACCATTATTGATTTGAAAGATAGCGACAAACCTTTAGATCGAAATCTTCACCCGAGCCTGAAGGCAGCAACGAATACTTGATTCCCCCTGTAATTACTATGAGCTCAGTCCAAGAAGATCCAAAGCATACTGAGCTTTCCAAAAAAGAGATTGAAGGAAAAGATATTGATTTCAGCCCCATGGAGACCCCAATGTCACTGCAGCCACGTTCGGATAGAGAGAAGAAAGCCGAGAAAGCGCGGCACAAGGAAACAGAACTTGAACCCGAAATCATTCATCTCGATCATGATAGCATGGTCCCTTTTTCCGACATCGGATACAAAGTCTTCAGCCGTTTTAACACCACTAGCAGTGAAAAAGACCCTGCGCGGAAAACGAGAAACTCAGAAACCAAGTCAGAGAGGAGTAGGGACAATGTAACCTGGGAACAAGTAAAATATCGGGACAGCAGATCTAGCCTTGGTTTTTATGATGATGAGACTGTGATTAATCTTGAACTACTCTTTCATCATTTCTCCATAGATTCCACCAGTCATATGAACCGAAAAACATGCATCAAGCGGCCAGATGACCCCCAAGATCGTCAAGAAATGAATAAATTTGAACTACTAGTCTTTGAGAACTCGCTGTACATTGGTACGTACGAGTTGAGGACTCTAACACAAGACATACGTCCGTTCCTTTTGCGCACAACCCTTGAAGACCTCATAGGCGGGGAGGCCTTCTTTGGTTTTCCGGACAAGTGGATTTGTATCGACAAGAATTCGGGGTTGGAACATCCGTATGATTTCTTCTCTAGCACATATAAATATGGCAGCAGGGAGCCAATTAGAATGACAGGTTCGGGAGATCTATTCTGCATCTCTTTCAAGAAATTTCTACGATTCAGAATTGGTTGGAACGTCGGATTGGTAGTGAACAAGCACAACAAGAATGGACAATGATTCTAAGAATCATACCTCTGCCTCCAATTGGACCACCCTTAGGCGCAAACAGCCCGACATAGGACTAAACCTGAAATCGAGCGGGGCTCTCTAGATTTTCGTTTGCGACCTCCCCGTCATTCTTCGGCGGTGCGCACGGCTTCCAAGTCATCAGTCAATTTTGATTGTTTCATTCGGACGGAACAACAATGCTGATGCGCCTATCATACATCAATATCTCCCACCAATGCCTTCGCCATCACCATCGGTTCATCATGACACTAATTACACGGTACCCATCGCATAATTATTGTTCTGCCCAAGTGGCTTCTGATACCCGTGCTGCTCATACTCTCCCGGTGGCACTACGCTTCCTCCCATATTCGCAGCTGGCTGCTGCCTCTGCTGGCGTTTCTTCTCTGGCTCCGCGATTAATCCGGCAGCGATAAGGAAGAGCGCGGTGAAGAGCTCCATAATGATGGCCATCCCAAGCTGTACGAATATGTTCCCTTTTGTGATCGAGAAAGACCCATTGTTCACAAAGCTCGCCAACAAGGAGTACAAGATTCTGACGGCGAGAAAGGGTAAAGCGGCCAGCATGGCGGCAAAGACTGCTTTTTCACTGCGATGGAAATGCGGGAAGGCTGGTAGTGTAAGGACCGCCATAGCGACGACGCCGAGGTAGGTGAGGAGGAAGAGGATTGAGCCCGCTTTGAGGTAATCTAGACCGGTCGAGGCCTTGTCTGGATATTGCAACTTTGTGCCCCCGACGATGCCGACTATGAGGCCGATAATTGCCGGGATGTGCAGGAGTCGTAGGATCTTCACCTGCCAATTTCTACCCTCGATGGACTTGCAACTGTGTCAGAGTCAGCTTCGCATGCACGTCAGATTCGGGTATAGCGACATACATCCTGTCCAGCATTCCCATTTCAGCCAGTAACAAAGGACTCAGGCCAATAGAACCAAGAACGGAGGCCCATGCTGCGTCAGTCTTGCTGGTTGGATTGTTGACAGCGACGATGGTCAATGCAGCCCCTCCAAGTCTGAGGATACAGAAGATCATGAGGTAGAGATATCCGAGCTGGCGTGAGAACCCTTGACGGATATTGACATAGGTGGCAAGAATGAGGAGAGGAATGTAGATGACAAGTTCGGCTATGGCCACTGCTTCGCGGGACTGCATGGTGGATAGAAATTTGAGACTGATGATATGAAGATGGAGACTCGAAGAGATCAAGATGGTTTCAGGAGTGTCTGACGAGCGAGATGTGTGTACGATGCGTGAAGGAGACGATGAAGATTGGAGCAAAAGACCACGTCCAGGAGGAGGTAATATAGCACAAGCATGCAATGCGCGCCATGGTTCTGCCACTCACCGACATCACAGCTGAACAGCCCATCTCGCGAATCTTGCTCGAAAAATCCAGCATGTGGCTTGAGGATGGTCGGCAGATGATAGGCCAATGCCCAAAAATGCCAGTTCCTCGACGCTAACCCCCTCGGGGCGGGCGCTAAACCCAGAAGGTGGATTTGCGCGAAGTTGCGGGGGCTGATGGGGGTAGCGTTCCGCTGTTGAGATGCGGCTGAGGCACGCTGCTCCTCCGATAATAATCAGGACGGTGCTTTGTTTAGAAAATGCCTCATATGCTCAAGGGGATGACGCGTAGTATTTGCATATGCAGTCAGCGCGTGCGAAGCCACTGATTGGCATATTCGTGGACGAGGATGACCCGGCAATGTCGCTGCGACCTAAGAATCAGGATGTTCGTCTGTGATATTCACCGCTTGTACGTCAAAAGGGATTGCTAGAATTTCAACAGAAGGCGCAACTTCAACACTCCTGCAATGGCGACATCCACACGCGAAGAACTTGCGCATCGCCGCTCGAACAGTGATCGAAGGCCTAGATCGCTATTGGAATGAACCCGCCTCTTGATCGCTGGAGTCACAGCCATCACCTGCAGGTAGAGGAGGGGGGCCCGCGTCTATGTCTCCAACGTTTGCGACTGGAAGACGACCCGCAGGTGACTTTTGCAGTGGGAGACTTTAGACAATGAAGGACGCAGGGTACGAGACCTTAACGACCTAAGACTCTGCGGCAGGATTCAGAAGGGTCCTTGCACTCATACTCAAAGCATGCCAACAATGTTCGGGGCGTTCAAGCAATTCAGAGAGGCACCAGCTCTCAACACCCTTCTCTGCAGAGGCAGAAAATACAAAAACAGCATCGACACCATCTCAGCAAACAACGGATTCATTACGTATAAGCGGACCATGATCATATCTGAACTAACCTTACGTCCCCGAAGATTCGTCAACCAGAGCACCATAGACCGCCCCATAACTGTGTATCTACTCTCCCTCATCATCTGCACCAACGCCAAATCCTCACCATACTACTTGGGTTCTCCCCCGTACGCCTCCATGGGAGGCTCAATGCCACCTCCTTTACCCCCATTTAGCTGTTTGTCGGAGAAAAAGTCAGGAAGACTCACTTGGTAAAACAAGCAAGCCGGGAAGGTATATGGGGAGAACGCACAAAGAATCGCTGGGCTTTCACGTTGTCCTATAGATAATGTTAGCCCCGTCGCTTGTTTGAAGCAATGGATGAATGGAGAAAAAGAAGTGGGAACGCTAGATGAGCGTAGGTCTCGATCCCAAGGTAATGGACTGAGAGAAAAATAGACGAAAAGGGGAAGGGGTTGGAACCTACGATCGTATCACTGCTCCCCCCTCTCGCCTCCATCGCTTGGTATGGTCGCGTAGGTGATCCTTCATGATGTCTGTCTATTATAGACGAAAAAGGGAAGGGGTTGGGACCTACGATCGTATCACTGCTCCCCCCTCTCGCCTCCATCGCTTGGTATGGTCGCGTAGGTGATCCTTCATGATGTCTGTCTGTTGACGATGTCGATGCAGTGCAAGACCTTTTGCAATAGATGGATTCGTTGAGGCAACGACGGTGAAAGCGGTCCGAAAACCTTGCGATTCTGGGAAATGGATTTTCAAGGTTAAAGAAGGAGACGCGAGTATTGGGAGGGGGAAGCAAATTTTTATGTTCGAGAGGCCGTGACATGGCAGCTTTGCAACAGAGCCGATCATCTGCGATAACGTCAAAGAGCGTGGGGTGTGTTCATGCATGGCTTCACGGACTCTGTGCGTCATTGGACGACCACAGGGTTGAGGCTTGCTGGCCTGCTCACTGCATGGAAGATGCGACGAGATGAAAGCGTGGTGCTTTAGCATTGGACACCTTTGAGCTTACCTTGCAGATCATCGGGATGACTGGTTCGATCTTTGGGCTGATATGCATGATGAGTTGGTGGCTTCTTCTTCAGCCTTGTGCTCAAATCGTTTGATTGGAGAGATTGGGTTCCTTGGCTGCGGGGGCATGAAGGTGGCTTCTGATGAAGAGGGGAGGAGCGGTCTCGAGATACTGTCTGCAGTGGTCTTCGTTATTGATCAATGGCACCGTGATGTTTGTCTGAGTAAGGGACCTTCCATTATACAACCCTAGATAGGAGCTCAGACGCTAGACCCTGAAAAGGCTAGCGGCTTGGCAGGGGCTTTTCGACTGAGGCGCCCCTCGGGTGCTCAAAAACCTGATCACTTTTGGGCTTGGCGGCTGCCAAGTGATCAGGTTTTTCGGCCAACAACCAAGGGCGCTTACGTGATCGGTCTTCAGCTTGCGGTGAGGCTCTACATCAGAAGACACTTGATTTACGGGCGCCCAAACAAAGACAACATCATCACCGTCAGTCACTTTACATCATAGCAAGCGTCGCAGCTGGCAAGAGTGTATAGCGCGGGCCGAATAATGACTGAAGATACAGGGAGAGCAAGTACGATCCTGGCGAGTGATGGTGGAGTTTTAGGGTCATTATCCAGATTAAGCGTCTTTACACCCCAAGGGAATCACTCTACCGGTCACACCAGGTCACATCCTTACAGTGCAAGAGGCTGTATAATGAAAGAGGCAAGAACGTGCTTTGATTGTATCTCAACGAGGCCGTACAGTCCAACCAAACGAGCGATCGATGTCCTTCATCACCAACATGTCGATATATCCACCTTCCCCTCAATGTTGGGACTAGAGCTAAGTCCCTCTGTCTACCTCAACAGTCATTACGGGGTGGAGAGGGTGATCTCGCCCACCTACGTCCGCTACTAATGGGCCGGACGACTGAGTCCCGATCCTTTACCGCCACTTTTGTGGATCAGAGAGGGAATAGTCAGAATCATCGTCTGATACAAAAGAAGACTCGGAGGATGAATCGTCGAGACGAATCTGGAAGATCTTGGGGGCTTTTGGGTTGTGCTTCTTTGAAGTGTCGGGACCGGCCTCGGTGAAAGGCTTCTTTGAAGTGTCGGGACCGGCCTCGGTGAAAGGCTTCTTCGAACTGTCGGGAGTGGCCTCGGTGAAAGGCTTCTTCGACTCCTTGTCCGCTTCGGGAAACAATTGCTGTCTAGGGTCCTTAGTTGGCTACGGATGTTGTCAGTGCGATTCCGAGAAAAGAGAACTGGGCTAGATGAGTGGGGAAGGGAGTGAAGAGGATGTGGATTCAGGATTATGATGGAGAGAAGGAGGGCAGCGGTTTGTGTGACGGTGGGGGTCTTCGAGAGAGGAGGAAAGGTAAGGCAAGGTGAGAGGAAGAGGTGCAGAAGTAAGGAGGGAAAGGAAAAGGAGGGAGGAAGGAGGAGGGATGAGAAGTCAACGGGACGGAGGACGGGTCATCGTGGAAACAAACCCACAATCGTAACGCTGCTCTCGGCCTCACACCACATGTGCTTATTTTCGCGCGGGTACTTCGACATACTGTCTCGACCGACGATGTCGATGAAATGGGAGTTGATGAGGATTCGAAGTTTTATAGAAAGCAAGAAGTCTTATCAGGTGAACAGGGGTTGCGAGTGTGAGAGGATGGATAATTGAGGCTGGCAAGAGGTGTTTTATATCTGAAGGAGGGCATGGTGGGGTAGACTGGACAAACAGAGAGTCGTGGGGAGAATCGTCGCTCTGTTGTCTGGACCCTGCGTGTGTTCATGCATGGCTTCGGGGATACTATTCATCATTGGACAACCACCAAGCCACCTTTAAGCCAACACTATCAAGTGCAACGATCGACAGGATGGAAGCGTGGTGCTTCAGCATTGGATACCTTAAGCTTCCCTTACAGATAACGACCGATCCTCGATAAGATGATTGGAGGGATCTTTGGGCTGATATGCATGATGATGTGGCAGTGGCTTCAGCCTTGCGGTCTACGCATTTACTACTCAAGAACAGTCACGAGATTAAGAAGGGTCATGGCACCCATACCTAAGTACCCTATACTAATGATCATCATAGTTTTTTTCAACGAATTCAGAGAGAGAGGCACCATAACCAATCTAAACACCTCCCTCGCCTAGGCCTACAGTGGTAGAGAAGCCAATAAACAGCATCCATCGACATCATCTCAATCAAAAGACTCAACAGATCCATCCATGACGCACGAGCGGGCCCTGATCATGTCTGAGCTAATGGATCCCTCGGAACCTCGCGTCCGCTAAGAACACATGACTGAAGCCTCTTAAGCTCGCCAAATCTGTGTCCACACCTCCCTTCAACGATCCTTCAACATCCGCAACGAAGCCAGGCCCCCACTTTCCCCCCCTTATGCAATAGGACGTTGTTGCCACCTACTTTACCCGCAGCTAGCTGTTTGTTGAAGTGGGGGTTAGAATGGCTTTTTTGGTGGAAGAAACAGACAGAGGAAGGGGAAGGGCATGGCGAAGGGGCTTGGGGAAGCGTACGAACAACCAAATAGCTTTCACATTATCCTGCAGCTGATGTTAACGCCAATTATTCTTGGAGGGTGGAGGGTGTGGATGTGGAAAGAGTCAGGAAGCAATGAGATAAGAAATTTGGAGAAGAGGGAACGGGGCCTCGCGGCGAGGTGCAGCTCAATGAAAGCAGCGGAAGAACTAGGATGGGGAGAGGGATGGGGAAGGGGGAGGAATTACGATCGTATCACTGCTCTCGACCTCACAGCATACGTGCTTATGTTCGGTAAGATGATCAGTCATGCTGATGCAAGACGAAAGGGATATGATGAGATCTATTGAAGCGACGATGGTGATGCGGTGTGAAGATCTTTCGATTCTGAGAAACGGAAGTGGGAGTTCGAAGGGGGGTGAAGGACTTTCTTATCGAGGGACGGCGGGGGAGATGGTATTGTCGGTCATCTGAGATAACGTCAAAAGATTCTATATCTGCGCGGGATGTGTTCATGCACGCCTTTCATGGATAGTGTGTATCATTGGCCTATCACTCAGTCAGCACTACTGCGAGGCTTTAGTCTCGTTGAAGCGTGGGAAGATTGACGATGCGAAGACGTGGTATTTTGGCATTGGATATCTCGAAGCTGATCTTGAAGATAGGTGACTAATACACAACGAGATGATTGGGCTGATATGCGTGATGAGGTGGTAGCTTCAGCCTTGTGCTTTGTGCAATTGCAGTGATTGGGTGGTTTGGCAGCACACAATGGGGGGGGGCTGTGGGTGGTCTTTGGTGAAGAGACGGCTTTCTGCCAGTACCATCAAGCATTCATTGGCTATTAACATCATATCTTGGGATGAGCGAGGGGACTGTCCACACTGCTGGGGAAAGGGGCTGAAAGACACTAGAGCCGAAGGGGCTAGTGGCTTGGCAGAGAGCCTCCAAGGTGCATTTTGACCGCTGCTATCCAGGAGGTCTTGACATACTCTGAACATGAGATGAAGAAGAAGCTTGCCAAATACCCTCCAGTATAGCACGTCATAGAAGGCTTAGTGAAGCCCACTCCAACCCAAATGAAGGGAGATCGCTTGGCGTTTACTTTTGTCATTTGGGGAGTGGGGGATCGAGATTGTGAGATGGATCTTTATGGTACGATACAAATTCGATAAAGGACGACACGTTAGCAGAGTGATGGTTCGGCACGTAAGTAGAATCGTAACGTCTGTCGAGAAGAAACACCTCACTAACAAGCTCATCCTGTTGATCAGGGTGGCCGAAAGTAAACATCACTCGAGACCTGACTCAATAAGTGACAGGTTTGCAGCCAATAGACAACGTCAGATATCTCGTCATCTTTTTGTCCACTTCCGAGGTCTCAAGCATTCTTCGCAATGCCATAAAACCCATAAGGAGCATAGCCTTTCGTGATTCTCACCTTGCCGAGTTCTACCTCTACCACCCTCCCTCCCTGTCTCATCTCTCTTCTAATCTCGCCAACAAAATCTACATATTGGCCTCTCCCCAGCTGTTGTAACGACACATTTCTAAGTATATTCAGCAAGTTTTTCGCTTGGAGCGGCGAAGGCGACATCATGGGATCAATCTCCGTATCGATCAACTTCCAGCACCGATTCCTCAATCAAGTCTTCCATATCGTAGGGCGCTATGCTCGACAACCAACCTAGTCTAGCGAAATAGAAGCCTGGGAAAAGTAAGACATCGGTGTCCCATTGGGAATCTTCGATGATCTCGCCAACGCTCTGCAGCGAAGTGCTATTCGTAGACTTCGTAATGACTACCTCGGAAACGCTTCCAATCCCATCATTGTTATCGATACTAGCAATCTGTCTGATCTCAGAAGATTCTCACGCTCTACCGGTTGAGACTTGAACGCTACCTTCACCCGATCGACGATGCTCATAGCTGGTGTACAGTTGACCGTCTAGAAAGAAGTAGAGTGCCTGTCGTGCATTCGCACCGCCAACGCTGCCACGGTTCTAAACAACGCGTCTATAGCTACGCGTCGGACGAATGGCTGGTCGACACGAACTCCACCGCCGAGGTGAATTAACATGGGACTCTGCGCCTCTGAATCGGTTATTTCCAGCTGGTTCTTTTGAGTTGAAGTCTTTGAGCGCAAGGAGGTACACGTTGCTCACGGCGTTGAGCTAGGAGTCTCGACGAGTCATCGGGGTGGGGAGCCAACTTTATTTGATAATGTTGTTTGACGAAATGTCTATGGAGTTCTGGAGTCTGACATCACTACTTGTAGTGTTGGTGTCATCAGGATCTAGAGGAATCGATGTTGTGTTTGAGTCGCTAGCAACAATCACGGCCGCGAAAAGGGCGGGCGAAAAAAGGAAGAGGCATGATAAGATCCCCGCCGTAAACACTTCCTTCATCGCTGAAGATTGCTTCTCTATATCTCATGATTCAGTATGAGTCTTTAGTCGATATTCTGGCGCGCAGAAAAAGAATTATTTACATTCCAGTCAACCTGCTTCCATGTCTCAGGACCTTGAGACATGTCTAGCCTCGCACTTGGTGGTTCAGTATCCGCGTCAGGACGTCAACGAGGACCAAAATACTCGAAATTTCTATCACCCGTGTTTTGACACAATCCACCGTTGAAGAGAGTTATGAGATTGCAGTGGCCATCAATGAGCTGTATTAAACACAGAAAGAAACGTGAACCATGAACCGATGTTTGTTGACACTGTTTTACCTTACATGAGACCGTGCGCAGGTGGTCAAACATCGTCATCATTGTCGGACTAAGGACCTGGAAAACCTTTACCAGGGGTATTCAGCGTATATCGACCGTATCGGTGGAGCTGAGCGATCACAACGCATGGGAAGAGGTCCGGAATTCACAGATTCCAACCACACCATACCGTGAAGAACTGTGCAGCTTTTGTGCTTCGTCAAATTCTGGACCTGTTTTGCCTGGGACAACTTGGTGGATCATATTCGAGTCTGCCTCAACAACAACACCCGAAAATGAAATACATATACACTTCAGAAGATACCTCAGAGATCTCAATGCCGTGCAAAGTCTAGAAGGCTCCATTCATTATTCACTCATGCGCGGTACTATCTTTGTCTGAAACTGCGCTTTAAAAAGCGCACTCGTACGCGAAATGCAAACAAGACTCGACAAAGAGTCAATAAACTTCCCTGACAGCTGCTCAATCGTTAGCACACCTAAGCCTTTCTGGTCGATCGCACCATGAGACTTCGGCCCTGCCTCAATTCGGCTGTAGTTCTCGTATCCTCATGTGGCTTACCAGATTCCACCTTCGCCTCTCCTCTGAACCACTCATCACCGAGCACAGACCTGCCCCCCTCCATTCTCAACGCTCTACCACTCGGAACCACCGTACCAGCGATCGACCCCAAGTTCAAGTTATTAGATCACTGGGGCACCGATAGGATCAAAGGTTCCCACGCCTACGCCAACGCCGTCGGCGCCGTCCGTGACATCGCGCTACAAAACGACTACAACGGTCGAGAGCCCGAACACGCGTATCGATACGTCGGCGGCGAGGATGTCACAATCAACATCCGCGGTTGGCCATCCTCGTCGTTCTACAGACGCTATGCGCTATGGGCGATTGTGAGCTCCATCGGCGCGATGTCGAGGCGGCCAATCTTCGTAAGCGCGAGGTTCACGATGAAAATGCAGGCGAGGACCGTTGGAGAGCTATGGTATCGGGGGCCGAACACTCCTGCACAGGCAATCAATGAGGACGCATCGATGCTGTCAGCATCTGCAAATTCTTCGGCCGTGGACGATCTTGATATGCTCGCTACACCTTTCGACGAAGATTCGGCGTCCGTCGCACCAACTCTCCTCTCAAAAAGAGCTCTGCCCCCGCTTTCGCCCTTCAACGCCACCGTCCTCCCCCTCGGTACCTCTACCCCCCTGACCCGCCGGCCAGGCACCCTCATAGTAATCCCCAATTTCTCCGGCACGCCCATGTCGATCCGGGCTTTCACCCTCGCCACAATCGGCGGCATGGTCTACGTCGCGCGCAACAACACGCTCGAGCCAGCTAGGCACTTCGCGGTCGACATCTCTGGCTTTGGAGGCGTAGTGCAGATCGACGCGCCCGGAGAAATGACGGATCCGCCGTTTTTGAATATGGATGTTGTGAATGGGTTGGCGATGTTGGTGAAGATGGTCGGGGACGGGAGGGTGTGGGAGGAGTGTGTGGCTGATGTGGGCTGGAGGACTGCGGAGGCGCTGTTTATTTTTGGGAGGTTTTATGTTTATGCGACTCCGAGGCCGGAAGGGGGAGATGGAGGGAAAGGGGAGGGGGTGGAGAGTAACTAGTGGTGGGGTGTGAGGGGATCGCTTGAAGGGAAGCCAGTGCTGCGGGTTCGAGAATGAATGATTATCTTTGGCCTCATTCGCTTGCTGAAATTTGATCCTCGCAGAATGAAGGCGATTTATGAATAAGCTTAAGTATCATCTGTCTGCTCGATAGCAGGAGGTACTGTGCAGCGGAGATATCATCAAACCAAACCTCCCTCTCCTATGCATCAGTCACTCGCGTCGAGTCGTCCATCGACCATCAATTCACTCCATCCCACCCCGTCCCACCCCAGCTTTGTCAAAGGAAAATCACTACCAGAAGACGCCAGCCCATGACGCCCAACGGAGTACCCCCAGCTAAATACCTTAACAAACTAGAATCCGCGTCGACTCACCCTCACCCTCACCCTCACGCCTTGCCGCAGGCCGGAGAGGTACACTACCCGATCTCATCTCATCTCATCTCACCTCAACCCCCCTTCTCTTCCCCCACCCTCTCGTTTCCCTTCGCTTCCCCACCAGATCCTGTACAGAACATCCGAGAATGTAAGGGTGAAGTTTCTTAAGCGTGGAGACGAGTTTGGTTGATAGGCACGGCTATGGGATGGGGTAGAAACGCTACCTTTGAAATTATGAATTGCTAGGGTGGGGCTGGGGTTGGTGGGAAAGGGGAGGGGAGTGAGGGGAGGGGAGTGAGGGAGGAGATGGCAGGGTGGAGAGAGGGGGTAGGAAGGGGGCAGGGAAGGGGGAGGTATAATGAAGTCTTGCTGGATGAGAAGTGGGTAGGAGTTGAGTGGGGAAGGGAGGCTTAGATTGGATGAAGAGGAAAAGATTGGTAGCTGAGCTGAGCGGATGAGGGGGATAGATCATCAATTGGCTTAGTAGCTGGGTGGGTTGCCTATCATTCCTCTCGGTTTGTATGCTTCTCCTCTTTCTGTTTTGTCTAGTTCAGTCTTTGATGCTCACTGCGTCCACGGCACTTGTAGCTTGCAGCAACACCCCACTTACACGACATGTCCCCGTTTTTAACCACCAGCCATGTGTGCACGTATGAATCTTCCTCCTCTCTTACTGCTTTAGTGCAAATCAGCCCACCAGATCCACTTTTTCCTCTACTTTTGATCTCCCTTCCCCTACATCCCTCCCCCCTCCCCCCTCCCTCTTTCTTTAACAAGGAGCCTGTGTAGTGAACACCTCAGCACTACACCCCCCATCCCCTTCTTGATCACACGCCGTAACGCAAGGCTTCTTCACCGTCGTCACTGGGGTCTCGAGCGGGCAACAGCACGGGATTGTCGTGGTTGTGGTGCTGGTTTGCAGCCCGCACCAGCCATCGCGAGCGCGGAGGCGGAAGCAGTTACCCTCCCCTATTGTTGTGGTTAGTATGTTGAGGGGCATGAGGGTTGTGGGGGGAAGGGGAGGGTGGGGATGGTGGTGAGTGATGAGGGACAGGTTTGAGCGGGAGGGAAGAGTGGGTGATGGGAGAGGGAAGGAGGAGGAGGGGGACTCACAGAGTGGACAGAACGCCGGAAATGTAGTCACCGAGATTGTAGGACATGCGGGGTCGGTAGTCTTGCAATTTGGACCACGGAGCGCGCGGGCTTTGAGGTCCGCTTTGACAGTGTGGAGGTTGAGTTTGTGGAGGTCGGGCGCGGGATTGACGAGGGTTGCGAGAGGGAGGGTCGCGAAAGTGGTGGGAGATAGGAGGGTAGGTGCGGTGGGGGTGGGTGCGAGTGTTGAGGGGGCTGAGGCTGAGGTGAGGGTGTTGGTTGAGGCAATAGTTGATGATGTGAGAGTGAGGATGGTGAAGATGGTGGCGAGGAAGCTGGTGGGTAGTGGGTGGTGTTAGTGAGGTTTTGGGGTGGGGAGATGAGAGAGGGAGGAGCAGAGTACCCGAGTGTGAGAAGACGAATGAAGTTCATCGTTGCGTCTGTGAGGTGATCTTGAGGTGTACCTTGATTCTTCTGTGTTGTGATGTCTCGTTTTTTGCTGTTGGAGCAGAGGAAGAAATTGAGGATGGAGTTGAAATTGGAATCGAGATGGAATTGAGAGTGTTGACAAGTGTTGTACTTGTACCACTTGAGATCTGATTGGACGTTTCTGACTCAGGGTCGGTGGAAAGGTAACCAAACGATCTCTTGAACAGTACGCGTGAAGTGAAAGTCGTGGGATTGGATGGGAACTATGACAGTGAATGAGGTGAAGTCTATGAGTTTGAAGATGATGGACTGTGCGGGTGATCAGCATGATATGGCGCTTGGCTCTTTTGGGCAATGTTTCGCTCCTTCCTCAAAATTGTAGAGAACGTAGATTTTTCACTCAAAAACATGCACGAATCGGGGGAGAAGCCAATGAATTAACATCTCAGATTTATATGATCCACAACAGAAGCTCGCAGTTCACCCTGACATGTTTTCAACGACCTTGGAGAATCGCGTCAATCATTCCATCCGCGCCACTGGGACTCCATTAGTTCACGCTCCTTCTCCTCCTCTTCAATCCCGCCCTCTTGATCTTCATCTTGGCCACTTGAATCGTAGGGCCTATCCTTCCATCCACACCACGGACGTTCCCAGGCTTTGTGCGCCTCCTGCTCTTCTTCGACTGGAGCTTTACTGCTTCCATACTCTTGCCTAAAAGGCAAGCCGGCTGTAACCTTTCAAGTCGATTTTTTGCCTGCAACCATTCATTTCTCCCTACCAGATCAGATAGCAGCTTTCTCTCGCTGATCCGACAGATCACGCTTTTTGTTTTTTCCGCCGTTCTATCTATCCGCTTTAACAACCTATCGCTGTGAGCTCTCATCTCCTCCATTCCTCCCACCAACTCACTCGGTCCCGATAGGCCAAAGTGAGAAGTATTGGACGGCTCGGAGGTTGGAATTGTATCACCGATAAGGGTGGAGGGCGAAGAAGGTGGGGTTACTGGTGGCGACGTCGTTGGCAAGAATTGCTCGCGTACCTCCTGCCATAACTCCTCTACAGGCAGGCTCATAACGTCTTCCCATTCATTCACGCAGAGTAAATCTGCCTCTTTCTGGGTCTTGTAGCTCTTTCGCCTGACCTTGACACATCGTGAGGGAGAGGAATTGCGCCTCTTGCACGATGTTGTGGGAGAAAGGGCTGGCTGTGGGAACGATCGTTAGCATGGTGTCTAGACAACACTGACATAGAAGAGGCAAGGGGCAGGCAGGGTTACCATATCTTGATATCTCAAGATGGCTGATCTGATGCTAGTTGCTTCGAAGTCTACCTTGCTTTAGTTCAATCACGGGAAATAGCGACAAAAATTCGTTGATCTGTAAGGAGTGGAAGACGCAGAAGATGTTTCAAAGAATGCAATGGTCCTGTGGCGCCACAGCCGTCCGTTTCGCCTTGTCTGCCACCATGGCTGAAATATGCTTGCAGACAGTGAAGTTCGGAAATATTACGCAGATGGACTAGTTGAGAATTTTTTATTCCGCAACCGCCGACTCTTAGGATCTATGATCCGCGTGCAAGAGTCACCTTTTTCACATATTATCCCCGAGTGTACACAGTCTTAAAATGCTAATCTCGAGTCCCAGGTCTCAACATCCGTTTTCTCACACACAAGCTTCGAATTTCCTTCAGCTTCTCGACTATATCCTTAGTCTGCAATCGCTGCATATTCCGGTCGTCCTCATCAAACGCTACAATAGCAATATCTGAAGCCCGCTCGGTATCCTCATAGGCATCGACATTTTCTTGCCGCTGGTGTTATTATCCCTCCGTCGCCATGTCCTAGCTTGCCTCAATTGAAAACCAATAAAAAGCAGCGTTTCACAATGGATGATGTGGCTGATTCTATGCAAAGGCCTGGAGCGCTTATATCGGTCTATCCACATCATTTGCAGATACGTCGGAGAGAAGGTCATCGGTACTGAGGCTATGGTTTGAAAAGTACGCGCCGCTTTCTTAGGATATAATTCAACACCGATCTACTCTCAGCTCTACTGCTCCCCTCCCTCCTTCCTTCCCTCCATCCTCCCTCCTCTGCGCTCGGATGGACTTCCACTAAGGACACCCATCCTTCTCAAGACAAAAACACCCCATCCCAAACGGCACCCCGGTCCCCGCCCTCTGCACACTAATCGCGCTCTCATAAAGCGGCTGCGAACTCTGGCCCTGCAGCCACGACGTGAGCGTATCGCAAATCCCCATGATCCCATCGAACGTGAAGGGCACCTGCGCGAACTGATCCATTGTCTGCCCGAGCTGCACGTTCGCCTGTTTCGGAGACCCGCCGCTCCCACCCTGCCCCCCGTCCGCAGTGGAAGTGTCCATGCCCTGGTATGACTGCTCGTACGCCCGATCCCAGTTTGAGTTGAGGCCGGGGACGTACACGGCGGATGCGTTCGATGCCAGGGTCATGGTTATGGCGGTTTTGATCTTGGCTAGGTCCGAGATTACGAGGCTCGTGTCCAGCGTGGAGCCGCTGCTCGGTGAGACGACGAGTTGGACCGCCGGGTCGGTGACGAGCGTCAGGGTCACTGGGGCGATGCCTGAGGGGATGGGTTGGTTTTGGCCGATCGGTGGGGTCCCATTGGGAGGGGCGCCGCTGGTGGTGTTGGAGGGGGCCCCGTCTTGGGCGCCTTGGGGGGCGGGGGCGCAGGAGATTAGGGGGAGGAAGAGGGAGAGGAGTTTGAGGGGGTGCATGGTGTTTGGTGGTGGATTTGTTTGGTAGGTAGTTGCTCTTTTGGGGTGTTGATTGTGGGTTGTAAAAAGGTGGTTTGGTGTGGTTGCTTTTGGTGGTTTTTGGGGTGTGTTGGTTGGATACTGATGGAGAGATAGGATGGGAAAGTGAATCTTATACTTCTTGATGTTCGCTCAAGACTTTGGATTCTGCCTTTCATATCGATCTGCGTAATTTCTGTCGCAGTTTCGTGATGGGTTAAAAGATGTCTTTGTTGGTGTGTGCCCTGCTTCAGGCAATTTCATGCTTTTTGTCAACCCCGGGTTGACTCTGTATTATTACGGCTACTGTTGGTCGGGAAGGAGCTTGATGTCTGAAAGGCAGCCCGGAAAGCCACGAGGGTTACTATGAATAGCCAGACTTAGTAATTTTGGTGTCGCGACTCCACTCAAGACGATGGGGGCCGCTCGTTTCACAGCGGAACCAGAGCCTCAAGGCATTTCAGCACCTGCCCTGCTAGGGTTTGAGGCACGTTTCGAGTCTTTTAGGCGACATCAAGTCAGCCTCACTTTGGCGATAGACCATACAATGACAAGCCGTTATTCAAAGTCACCTCATGATGATGCTGAACAAGACTTGAGATTAAAGGATGCCGATAGACGTCTTGCGTCTCCGCATAGGTCTTTCTGCCGAGATTTCAACACATGTCGCCAAGAACTTTCTCGTCCTCAGTGTCAAGCGATAATGTTGGATCGAACGACTGTTGCGATCATGTTCAAGACTTAGGACTTTGTTTTTCTTCTTGAACGTCAAAGCTGCCGGCGCCATTGCTCGTGGTACTGACGTAGTCCTCGTAGTCGACCCTCTCACGCAGAGTAAAGTCCAGCTTTTTGTCATTCTTTTGGCTGACTGCAGATGCCGCTGCCGGGATCCTTGATGTTCAAGAGCAGAATCCACGGAGAACTGTAATGCGGAACCTTGTGATTATCAGGGGTCCTGCGAGCCGAAGTGACCCCAGGATCGAGGGAATGACTGCAGGCTTGACGCTGGACTTATCCCGATTCGTCTGCCTCGAAGTTTTGCGTAAGTGAATACCAGCAATTCGCCAGTCATATGAGTATTGCCGGGCCCGATGACCCCCTCACCTCTCCCAACGTCACCTTGTCCACGCTCACGTCAGCATATCCAACAATCCATTAACCCTCTCCACCAGTCCCTTCCAAGGTTGATCACCCTCAAACCCACTCCAATCTCTCGAATTGACCACGAAAGCCCAATCATGGCCATCACTCCTACTCTCCGCGTACGCCAAGCCTCCCGCAACACTGCTGACTCTACTCTTATTGATCGCCCTCTCACCAATCCCTTGTACCGCGTTCGAATGAATGAAATATGCAAGATAGCTGGCTGAACTTGCGAGTCCCAGACATCCGACTGCGACTTCGCGCACCATTCCGTCGCCGCCGTTCGTGTACGGCACAAGTTGCGAGGCTGGCTGGTTCGGGTATACGGCGCTGGGACCTAAACCCTGGTCTTTGGGGATGATGAAGTTCGCGGAAGCGGAACTGGTGCGGTCAACGATTGTAGGGAAGCCCGTGACTCCGATACCGGCAGGTTGGATGATATTGGCGGTGAGCCAAGTCAGGTAATCTGTCTTTGTGACGGCTTCGATCACGAAGCTGAGGAGGAGGTAATTGTAATTTGCATCGTGATAGTCAGAGCCAGGGTCGGCTTCGAGCGGACGTTGCGTATAGATGTATTCGACAATGTCGCGTTTTGTCGCGGTGGAGGTGAGGCCTAAGGAGAGCGCGATGTCGCGCATGTGGAAGACTGGATCGTAGCCATTAGGGTCAAGATCTGGCGCGTAGCCTGATGTATGGTCCAGAAGCTGTTGAATCGTAATGTCGTTGGCGCGACGGTCCTTTGGGTCTTGAGATTTGACGGTTGGGAGGAGCGTGTACGCTGTGTCGTTGGGAGAGAGGACGTTCGTGGAGAAGAGCTTTGAGACGGCTGCAGAGAGGAAGATTTCGCTCAGTCCAGCGATGGGAAAAAGGTCAGTGAGAGCGGTCAGGCGTTCGGAAGCTGTTTGCCAATCTTCCCCATGTTGCACCTTCACAATGCCGTTCTTGAATACTGCGATTTGGCCCGAGTCAATGTCGTTGCTGCGTAGGAAATCTTGCAGTTCGACGCCAGTCCCTTCGTAAGAACTTACAATATTTGGAGACGGTGGTTCGATGCTCGGTGCGCTGCGGTCTTGGAACAGACCTTTCTGAAATTCAATTGCGTGCCCGGCAAAGATGGCAGAGTAGAGTACGTCGTTCCCTGAACCTCCGGCCTGGATGTGGATAGCGTTTGCGTTCTTGGTAATTTGAGATGATTGTTCGGCCAGGAACTCTTGTTCTGTCTTGCCGTAGATGACTGTACTCACGTCAAGAAGTCTGTCACTGAATGCTGAAGTGTATTGATGATCAGCACTGACACCTAAGTAGTATGGTTGAAATCCTGGTAGGCTAGTCTCGCTGTTGAACAGAGTCTGAAAGTCGCCTGAAGCATTCTTACCGTACGCATGCCATCTATCAAAAGTATTCTGAGCTTGTGGTGCCCAGGCTGCTGCAATGACAAGGCCTGCGCCGATTCCGTATGTTGTGAAGCAAGTCAAAATTTGCCGGTTTTGGTGTGCAAGCTGATTGTAGTAGGCAAAGCTATTCTCGTCAGAAGCTCCGCCAGTGGTTAAGTCAAATTTCCAAAACCATTGACCAGGATCTTGGCCTGTGCCATTGGTCGTCTGTAGTTGCATGTAAGCAGACCACTTAGTGCTATCATCTGTAGGGTCGCCGATGGCAGCCAGGAGAGTGAGTACATAGCCGGTGGCAGCACCGTTTTGAATAAAGCTTTGGACATTGGTCTTGGTGTCGTATATAAGATGTCTCCATTGCTGCCCGCCGACTTCGATCCAGACCACTGAAAAGCGAGGATCTGATATCTCACCGTGCATATCAAGTGAAACCATCCGGTAAGCGGGACTGGCTCCTGAATTCTGTTGATATACTTGAGTATGCGCGGAAAGATTGTAATCATGATAAATGATATTTCCGGGGAATTCACGCTTTTGCAGCTTATGCTCTTTCTGATCGTGATTGGCCTGTTGGCTTGCAGGATGTGCCAAGGAGAGGCCAAAAACGCAAATGCATACGAGCAAATGGAGCATTGCGTGAGTTGACCGACTTAGTAGGCAAAGAAATTGAGTTGCCGAAGAATGCGACAGCATGACCAGAGGGCGAAAGGAATTATTGCACAAGTTGAGGCTCGTGGTAAGAATGACAAACGTTGGCACTGCCCAACGAAAGAAGGGCCACTTCACAGTAGGCAATATATGTCCCGACAAACAATCGCATCGAGATGGTAGGAACAACGGAATTGGAAGCGCCAATTGAGACGCTATGCGCATGGGCGTTCAACGTTGGCAGTGTCCGAAAAGCCATCTCCATCAACAAATGTGCACAGCTCCCTTGCCCTAATACGTTTCGAGAAGATGCCTCTGTGAATTGCTTTCAGCGTTGAGATGATGTTGGGTAATTCTAAAACTTTTCTCAAGCCACATAGAACATCATTTGGTTGCGTATGTGCCCGCATAGCCGAAGCGAAGTCCAAGCCTTTTTCGGTAATTGTGAAGCTATTCGCATTGTCGTGGCTTTTGTTTCATAAGCGCTCGACAAGTCGAACGAGGAAGCAGCCATGTTTCGTTGGTAGTCACTTGTGATGATCCATCGCGAAGCTTCGTTGGGCATGGCATGGCTCTGCGCGTGACCACCCTTGAGTCAAAGTTGCGCATATTATTATTGTTGCGACATTTTTAGCAGCATTTTGCGGGTCAACCTTCGACAAACAGGGCGGCTCAGAGCAAGAGTGGCGTGACCTCACAGGAGTCAGGTGAAAGCTGTAAGCCGATCGTTCAAGTTTGGTGGCGGTAGCGATTGGACCATAAGCCGTCTAGACTTGAGCTTCGGTACTGCTTTAACAATCGACACAGTATTCACCTTTTCAATGGTGCTTCGAATACCTGCTCAATCTCCTTCGATCGGATGTGAGCTTCGAACGGGCCCTTGTGAGCTTCATAATGAGGATATTCTGATCGCCAGCGGACACGGAGCCGATTGCTCAGCTAAGGGCTTTTAAGCCAACCAAATCAAGAATTTGATTTGGAGGCTTCAGGTACATCATAGCGTATTCATGTTTCGATTCGAAGCTCGGGTATCATCAGACCGGGATTCATGCAGTGTTGACCTAGGGTTGTCCGAAAATATGAGCGCTTTCCTCCTCTTACAGCCCGACGACGAAACGGCCGTGTCTGGTGACGAAGGAAGTTGTAGCCTGGATGGCAGACCGAGGGAAACGACTGTGGGTATCTCTCTAGATGAAGTGCAGCTGCTCTTGCCAGGTCGAGAACATTGCTGAGGAAAGGATGGATTGATTGATTGATTGATTGATTGATTGATTGACTCTTAGAATACCCAACCGGTCGTAAAGACCAGTTATGAAGCTCGTCTAATTACTAATACATATCCTGTCCAATCAAACGTCCTAGATTATATCTATAAAATAACTTTTTCTATCGTAGTGGAGGAGAGCCTCCTACCCCGGCTCCTTACTACAATAGGCTTTGTTGAATAGCCTTATTTTTGTATAATCTTTAGTGTTGCTGTCTAACCTATATCTACTCGTATATTTGATTATCTTTCCTCTTTAGGCTGGACTGCTCCTGTCAGCAGTAGCCTATTAATACTCTTTTGTGGCAAAGAGTCGAATTCCAGTGTTCCGTTTATCTTTGGCTGTTGGTGTTGTAGCTTTCCCTACGATCTATAGGCTTCTTTTGTACGTAATTTGTATAGAGAACGTTCTGGCGGAGGTAGCTATCGGAAGCTTGTCCAACACACCCCTATATATCTACCATTTTGTCCTCTACGTCGGCCAGTAAAACGGTATATAGTCTTTGAATACCTCGTTATCCACCAACTTTTTATGTAATAGTAATGCATAAAAGCTCCCTTTCTTACCCGCGGCCTTACCTCTGTATCAACAAAATCAGGTTGCTTTGTTTTGCTGAGACGCGTCAAGGATATATCTATTATAGCTGGGCGATAGGCTCTTTCTCTCCTCTATAAGGGCAGTTTCTATGTAGCTAAAAAGATATATAATAGCGTAATTGCTAGTAAGTGAGGATTGGCTACTAACGTATTTGGAGCTTGAGGAAATGCGTCGTATATCTGTCCACCTCCTAACTGTTTGCCCTTATTTAGACAGAAATCATACAAGTTAATAGCCTTAGAGCCACTAAGGGTTATAGTTGTAAGGATCGTCGTTTGGCAGGTGGACCAAACCTCTAAAACTGTCGCTACTTACGAGGTTAATATAGTTAGTATGCGTAGAAACCCCTATGTAGTGATCCTCTATTATGCAGATTAAACACCACGGTGGCAAAGTACAGTTTAACCTCATGCCTAGGAGGCAAAGGATGGAAATGCTTGTAGGATAGATTTCGGCAACAAAGAGCGAAAAGGGAAAGGCGTCGACTGACGTTTTAGGTCTAGCGCGACTTGGCGCGATGACGCGTCTTGGAGGGACCGAAGGCATCGTCTCACCAAACATTATGTTCTTTGAAGTCGCTGTACGCTCGCATGCACCAGTCACATATATTGCCTTTCGCTGAGAGCCTCCGGAACATCTTCTGACCATAACACGGTCTAGAAGAGGTACGGCAAACCCCACAACGCAGCAACGGAACGCGCGCCGCACTTAACAATGGCACAGTAAAAGCACGACCTTCTCAGGCACGCTCGAGCTTCTTCACGCTACGTCAATTGTCCAATTGGAAGTACCTCAACTCGCCTCAGTCGATACGCTATCGCAAGCATGCGAGGAGATGCTCCAATTGCGTCATATGTCTGTCTGGCGGGCCATCAAAACAAGACCGCTACCAGGATGAGTGGCTTTTGTGTGAAGAATCATTGAAACTATCAAGCGCCCTAAAATCGTGGCAAATAATGTGGGCACAGACCAGCCACAGGCCCTGACAGCACCGTCCATTCGAGTGGGGACGGCCCTTCCCTTTCTTCCTGCTCTAAATGCTACATGAACAGCGCATTGCCTATCCGGCGACTTTGTACCTTACTTGGAAATAGATGACGCGATGGGTAGTTTGCATCCAGACAAGGCAGATCAAAATACAAGAGAGCTTTCGCCGTCAGCGGACAATGTCTTCCACCTAGGAGGTGTTCTCTGGTGCCGCTCGGGCCACTATCTAGCCATTTTCACGCCGCATTACAAGCCTCGCCAAGCCTGAACGGTCGAAAAGCTAGACAGATCAGAGAAAGAGAGCCGCATACTTTGGAATCGTTTATCATGGGGAAGGACTTTCGACTTCTAGGAAGTTTGGCCCCGACTTCTTCCTCCAAAGTCTACCAACTCTGTCATCATCCGTAAAGGAAGACAATGGGAAAAGCAGAGTCCAGTATCGAGCTCACGCGACACAGTGATGCGTCAAACATCAGCGGGTACGCCTCGTCCTATTCGCGAACTCCAACTTCCTCAACGATTCAGCATGCCTTCGATCGTATGGCCAAGGCATTTGTGAAGCGGCAGATATGTATGGCGACATCGATACAGCTGAGGAGCTTGGATATGTAGAAAGAGGGTATGCAGTCTATCTCAGACAACGGTAGGCTCTTGTTGACCATGATCGCAGTCTCAAGGCCCGTCACATTCAATTCATCGCGATTGGGGGAACGATAGGGACTGGCCTTTTTCTTGGTATCGGCCGTGCTCTCACTCAAGCTGGACCTCTCAGCTTATTTCTTGGATACTTGTTCACTGGAATCGCTGTCTATGGCATGGTACAATCTCTTGGTGAAATGGCAACATGGCTCCCAATCCCAGGGGCTATCCCTCAATTTTGCGCCAGATACGTTGATGGAGCGTTGGGCTTCGCGGTAGGATGGAATAGCTGGTACTCATACTCTTTGACGGTTGCCGCAGAGGTATCTGCCGCCTCTGTAGTCATCCAGTACTGGGAAGGCATACGCCACATCAACGTCGCGCTATGGATATGCCTTATTCTAATTGGCATCGTATGCCTCAACATTTCTACAGTCTCCGTATACGGCGAGGCTGAGTTCTGGTTTGCAAGTATCAAGATCATTACAATTGTTGGGCTGATCCTCATGGCCTTCATCATTGATCTTGGAGGGGGTCCGAAGCACGACCGGCTTGGTTTCCGCTATTGGAATGACCCTGGTGCGATGAAGGCGTTCGTCGCAAATGGAGCTAAAGGTCGCTTCTTAGGCTTCTTCTCCACGCTCATTAACGCGACTTTTGCGTATGGCTGCATCGAAATAGTGGCCGTTGCGGGTGGAGAAGTCAAGAATCCAAGGAAAAATATCCCCAAAGCCATAGGCAAAGTCTTCTGGAGAATGTGAGATTCGTCGCATCAAACACTTTCTGACGAGTATCAAGCTAACCTGTCGCCAGCCTGATATTCTACGTCATCGGCTCCCTAGCGATAGGAGTTCTTGTCCCGTACAATGAGAAGCGCTTGATCAGCGCGATCAAGAACAACGAGCCTGGAGGAGCCGCATCGCCTTGGGTAATTGCCATTCATCGCGCCGGCATCCCAGCACTACCTTCCATTATCAACGCCTGCATCATAACTTCAGCCATCTCGTCTGGAAACGCATTCCTTTTCGGTGGTTCGCGCCATCTCTTTGCTCTAGCTCAGAATGGGCAGGCGCCGCGAATCTTTCTCACATGCTCAAAGACGTGAGTAGTAATGATGAACCCCCTCTCGGTTAGTTACTGACATTCTTCTCCAGCGGCACGCCGTACTATTGCATCGCAGCCACGGCTACAGTTGCCCTCCTTTCTCTCCTTTCCTGCAGCAAAGGTTCCGCACAGGTGTTTGTCTGGTTACAGAACATAATCTCTATCAGCTCACTCCTAATCTGGACGTCCGTACTCGTGGCGTATTTGAAATTCTACTACGCTCTACGCGCTCAAGGCATCGCCCGGTCCACCCTGCCGTACAGATCAAAGGGTCAGCCCTATGTCGCGTGGGCGGCTCTGTGTTACTTCGCAATTATCATACTATTCAATGGCTTCTGGACATTTCCTTCCAAGACCAAATCGCTGAATCTTACAGACTTTGTCACAGCGTATATAGGGCTGCCGATCTATGCATGTCTCTACGTCGGCTGGAAGCTACTCAAGCGGACGAGAACGATCAGGTCTGGAGAGGTCGATCTAAGGACTGGTAAAGCGGCTATCGACGCAAGGCAGTATCAGGACGATATGATGGACAAGGAGAAGAGTAGGCGTCCTAGAACGAGGTGGAACAAATTTTGGTCTTGGCTTGTCTAAATTTGAGCTGTAATGCCTCGGCGAAAGAGAGGACAAAGATCTCAGAAAGTATCCCACTCTCAGAAAACGCTCTTGATCTCTTCCTCAGTGGATGACCTACGACGAAAGCTCCACACCTGAAATCGCTCGTCTCATGAGCTATTCCAATGGTACAAGCAACCACAGCTCCTAGCCTGAGGCCTCCCTTACGATCTAGAGAATAATTTGCAACAGCCGTCAGCAGATTGATCTTGATCGACCGTCAAAATATTACTCGCCGATAGCTAATCAAGATGATGCAAGAAAGGTCTCAGGCCTAGACCGCGATTTTTGCGAACTTCGCACTAAGACATGTTCTATGCGCACGAGCCTCACCACTCGCGCGTGTTTCTCGATGGACCCTTACATGAGGGAAGCGGTCATACATAAGTCTCACCCACGCTCGGATCTGTCAATCTCGCAGACATTCAACCTCCCTGCAGGCTTGATTCACCAACGGTATCCAACAGTCCCGCAACTCTTCACCGCCTAACAAACATTTTTAATCTACCACCACCTCCCCTCCTCACCACACCAACGACTTCATAATCCCGCAGAATGTCATCACAGCCACCCTCACCTCGCACCATCGTACCTCTCCTCATCCTCCTCTTCATCCTGGGGTTCTTCTTCATCCCTGCCCTCGCATCCCCGCTCGCGAACCCGAACTTCATCGCCTCAAATGGTGAGGAGATTGTGACAACGGAGAATAGCTTTATACAGCCGCCGCAACCAGCAGGGGCCAATGTTCTAGAGGGGAATGATGTCGTGGAGGAGGGTTGGCTTACGTCTTAGGGTACAGCTGCAGCTGACTGGATCGAGGAGGACTGAGACAGAGATGAGAGATAGCAATGATGCCACCTCAATCTTGAGCGGAGGAGATCATCTCGGTTGGGGTCTCGCAGAGGGATGCCATACGAGGCCTGTTTTTTGGGGGCGATGGATATGGGGTTAGATTCTAAAGGACTCGGGTTTTGCTCTTCAGAGCTGGTCTCGGTGTTTCGAACGAGGAGCCTTGGAATTTCAAGTCTGGAAGCTCGCTTCTTATGAAAGTCTTAACTTGCTTCATGGATCATCGATCGCACGGTATTTTAACTTGCCTGCCCGGCGCAACGTTTTTCCAGTCCGGGTTTTGCAACTTGATCATTTCGCGGCCTTCTTTCTTCCCTTATTGCCCACTTGCCCTCATTGCATTCAAAGCCTATGATGGCTCATCGCCTTGAAATTCCCAGTCCGTACTTGTACGACATGCAAAATTTTGCTCGTTGTCTACGCCATGCGCGTAAGACAGCAGCCAGGCTCATTTCGTCGCCAGACGAGCTCCCAATGAAAGGTTCGACAAAGATGTTGCACAGCCCTTTGCCTACTATGGGAGAGTGAATGTTCACTGATAGTTGGTAGACCTATTAACGTCTCGCTTCGAGAACATGATCGTCAGGCGGAGATTGTTCTACAAAGCTTACTACAAAGGCGAACAAAGGCGCTTTGAATCATGTTTGCACGACCCTCGAGAATGGTATTCGTGGCTTCTTCCTTGTGCGACAGGGACAACTTCTCTTTGTTCATATCTCAAAGACAATCATCCCTTTGATGATCGAATCTCACCTCCTTCTGAGTGAAGAGCCCGCAAATCCGTGCGTTCGGCCAAACATACAGCTGCGAGCAAAAGCGCAATTCAATAAAACCAGCACCCTCTGATCTTTCTTGTAATCATGACATTCAAAGGTCAGCCAATCGGTTCGTTACATACCCACGACGATCACTATCCCCCCGAAGCTCTCGTTCGTCTCAAGAACAATTATCTCGATGCTCGAGAAGGACAAGAGTACGACCTCACATGCATCAAAGCTCACTACTGCGCAATTCTCTTACAAAATGCATCACCAGCCACTATCCATGAGCTGGCCAATTTGGCGACTCATCAGAAAGGCAAAGCACTCAATCTGGTGCTGGACTACACGGAGCGTGACATAAAGGACGCAGGTGCTCCATTTACCCATACAAACGACAGAATGCGGGATGACATTCCTCTGTCTGAGTTGCAGACGACGACCTTGGAAGAGCAGACGACCAGGGAGAGACGTTGCCACCGAGCCATTCGAAGCGACGCAGAAGAATTGGTATGTCATGGAAAGTGTTTCGAAGTTGGTGGCCATAGGTATCAGGATGAGTTCGGCTTTCATCGCTATTGTCCAGGTCCAAGTCTTGACTAGAACACAGAAAGTTCCGCAATAAGGAAGCTGACCATCCCGAATCTAGCTTGCATGAGCAAACAGTCTGGCTCTGAATCAAGTCTCTGCCTTTGCAGCGGTATTGCTTGGTGTCGGTGATAGGGTGCAGTTGTGTGGCCTACCAATCTTTAAATGTATCATCGATCGTTTCACCCTCACGTGGATAGTCCGAAGTCTGCGAATAGAGCTTGCACGACTCGCTCGCAACAAAGCAGCCCTTAAATCAACCAGATCATTGCATTACATCTGGGATATTGTTTGCAAAACGTGCGCGCAATACAAATACTCAGCACAATGCCTTACTTTCCACATCAGCCCGTCAAAGATCTATCTATCCTTCCACATTTCAACAAAGCACTAATCAAAAATTTAAATCACTTACATCATCAACAACGTCAAGATGCCCGACAACGTCGCCAACGACCCGATGAAAACCTTCGAAATCATCCTCCGCATGCATGTCAGATCGGATAACGTCGCCGTCCACCGCTCTCTTCATCTCCTCGAAGTGAATACAGACCACCGCACATTCCAAGACCTCATAGACCTCGCTGCGGAGAGTAAACATGAAGAAGCTTTCGAGAAGATGAAGCCATATATTTCCAACGAGAAAAAGGATCCGGAGTCCAAGTGGCAGAAGGCAAATCAAGGCGGCGGGAAAGTAGGGAGTCATGTTGAAAAGAAGAATTGTGGCCGGAGCCCCTGCCATCTTGGTGGTCATCTGTGGTATGAGAAATATGCAAAAGACTATAGGCACTGTACTGGATAGGAGCCCTGAGCGCGAGATCAGTACTCAGGTCTTGCCTCAATTAGAAAAGCAAGGAAGGAGTGACAGAAGATTCGTAGGCTGGTATCACGAGAATTGGATGAGGGTTGTATGCATATCATTATTACATTCATTCAATCTTCAAATTTCGGGGCTTGATCTCATGACTATGTTCATGGCACTTTCCCCCCAGTCCCCCAAAATGAATCCACTCACCATGAGTCTGTCATTTTTTAAAACTTCCTCATAAACCTACCTCCATCAGGAGCCCCATTCATTTCTTGCATCACCCACTTCTGGATTGTGACCTTGCTGAAGACACACTACACCGCACGACCGACCCGGGCCACGTGAGAAACTTTTATAAGCGAGCTTTACCCAGAGAAGAGGGTGGCGGGCTGCTTCACCGAACCAGCACTAGTACCAGCTGAATGTCCCTGTTATCGAGAACTACCAGAGACTGGGACGTGTGTCGAGAGAGTACAAGGAGTAGTGAAAGAGGCGGCTGGGGTAGAGGGTGGAGGGTGTGTTGATGCGGTGTTGGTGCTCACATTCAATGGTGGCAGTCTCAGATTCTCGCTCGAGGTTTTTGACTAAAGCGCATAGAGTGATGGGCCCCCGCCTCCTCATGTTGGCTTGAGTATTGTGTGCTAGATCTTGGTTTGATTGATGTGCCTACTGTTACTAGCACTGTGGATATCTATGATGTGGATTTTATCTGGGTGGCGGAGGTCCTGCTCGTCGTTATTCGTGTTTGTCAAGGGCTGTGTTAGGCTGGTGGGAAAGTGCTGACGAGATGCATTGAGCGAGTGTTCCTATGTCGCAGACTCTCGAAGGCGTAGAGTCGTAGGCTTTTGTTTAAAAATCTAGGAGAGAAGTTTGAACATAGTTCTTGCTAAACACTGTCAAGCTGTAGAAGTGGGTATTCATCGAGAGAGTGTGGGTTGGCAGTAGGTGGCTTTGAGGCACAGTGGATCAAGCTCAATATCGAGGGTTTGTTTTGGGCTCCGTACGGTTTTGTGATGTCGGGTTTAGCACTGGGATGAATAAAATTTTGTCATCCATATGCATTGCTCCAACCAATCGGTGGTCTCTGTGAGATTTTGTATTCAAGTAACGTTGCAGGATATTGTGAATGATTTCCTGGTACGGCCTTGCTCGTGGTAACTGGAGATCGGAAAGATAGTAAGAGAAGTTCGAGACTTCAGTATAGTGCAGCAAAATATAATGGAGTTAAGGACTTTTAATCGTGGCAAGTAAAGGAATAGACAATTGTCGGTGGGAAAGGAGGCGTTGAAGCAGGCGAGGGTATGGTCAGGGAGGAAAACGGCGGAGATTGTATGGAAGAGTTTCTCTAGGCGGTTGGGCATCACGGCGCGAAGTTGCGTTTCAGGTCGCAGACGAGGTTCGCCTGGTGGATGGTTGCTGTGAAGGGTACTGACTCTATGCTGGCTGTAATAAGTAGGCTGAGTAACATCGCTTGAGGGCAAAGATTGCTAGGATGGAGCCTTGATTGAGTGTTCAGAGTCCATGGCCTTCGGGCAATCAAGGCTCGTTTGTTCCAACACAATGGCAAGCTTCATCAATCTATCATCTTTTAGGCAGTGTATCCGCCTGCAATCGTCGGGTTAAAAGTGCCAATGCAGACAGGATATTTAATAGCTCTCGCGCAAGTATCTCTCCTTTGACTTTCAAAAATTTCGATTGCAATCCCCAACCATACAGAAAAAGCTTTTTGCACCTCGAAGCTGATAGTTATCATTAAGACTTTTGACGCACGACCAGAGATGAGCGGATTCGAGCTGTGCCAGGCAAAAGGCTGCCTAAACATCGCCGCTGGTCCATTCGAAGTCAAAGAGCCGAATATTCCAACCGTCGAGGTGGTCTTTTGTGAGTCACACCTTGCCAAAGCACAAGACGTACGACGTGAGCGACGAGAAAGAAACCGGGCGACCAAGACCGTAAGACGAATCAAGAGGTATGAAGAACAATCTTCTCCACTAAATGAGATTATTGAAGATAGTGAGAGGCATTGCTGTTGTCATATGGATCCAGCCAGCGGATACTGCCCCCAAGTCTTCGACACTGAAGAAAATTTGGAAAAGCATAGGATGGAATCGGGGCACCCTAAGGGTACCTCAAAAGTCATGGAAGAATGGTTGAAGTCGAAGCAGGGGAGGACGGTTTCGTCACCAGGCGGTGCTCAAAGCACGATTGATCTGGAAGTGTCAGAAGCTTTTATGCGCGATCCTGTCAACTATAAAGGAGAAATTGACTCAGATCATTGGAATGAAATATTCCAGGATGACGTTCAACCAGATTTGGAATTCGATGTGAAGAGCCAGGGACGAGGAGTTGAGGGAAATAGAAGGGCGGTGGACGGAATAGGGGGAGGCCGCGCCCTCCTTCCTTCAGAGATTGATTTGCTGCTTTGATATGCTACAATGGGTGGGAACCGGAAGGAAATGTACTGTTTATCCCACTCGGTTGTCGCGCTCAATACTCTCATTCTTCATGTTTAAAACCCGTGGACTCGCACGATCGGGATGATCAGAGGAGGTCTCTACGCTCTGCTCATCTTTCGTCCTTTGGACCTTGACATAAGGACTGCATTCTTCTAAAATTGTAAGATCTGGGCTTGTGTATTCTGCGATATAGCTGTTCCTTGAAAGTCGCGTTTCGCGAGGCGTTTGGTCGGATGACTAGATTCCTGCCTAATTCTTTTAATGACTTTCGAAGCGAAGAGTTCTCCAAACTTTCTTGGCAGAACTTGCTCAAATACTTATGCGTTGGCTTAGCCTTCGTGGTGGATCTAGCTCCGTGGAGCAATTCATCTACTTTGAATGAACTGAGGCGTGCCAACCGTGTTGGGGAATAAGTACTGCAGCGGTGATGATGAATATGAAGAAAAGACTTTGCGGTCGTGACATCTAGTCCAGAGTGTTTTCCAAGATTAATCTGACGCCTTGTCAACCACAATAGCAACGTGAACACTACTTAGCAGGGGCTATTAAAGAGGTTGTCGACGTTTGGTGTTAATATAATTGGACAGCGAGGACTTTAGACAGAACGGCTGATTCTGGGAAAGATCAGTGGGAGTAGCGGAGTATATACTGGAAATCGGTCGAGCTGAAGATGGAGGCAAGTCATTTTGCAATCATTCTCTAGATCTTCTTCTGCTGAGTCTCTAAGCGCCAAAGTCATAATTGATCCATTAATCAGCTGAATGACTCTCATGTCCCCCAATGTGAGTACCTGTTCGTCCAGCTCGCACGATGCTTCGTCCCATACTTCTTGGTTTCGATTGTCTTTGTAAGGCATTTTACCAAACTCTCCACTGAACATAGACACCTCCGTAGGAGACTTGGTTGAGGGAAGGCTCTTCAGCCACGATATGAGTAGTAGTGGTTCAACGAATTTTTGATGCGACATCATATCGAACAACGGGATGAAAAAACCAATCCTATCTCGTGATAGATGTCTTAACGTCGATACACTCTTTTTTCTCATATCTCCAAAGAGCTGTAAAGTCAACGAGGTAAACAACGTCTTTCGTTGTGTGAAAGAATGCAATTCAGCAATGCGATCTACGGTTTGTAACTTCTTCAAATGGTATTCATGGGGGATATAATAGCTATCGAAAAATTTTTCTTCGTCACCAAGGGTCTGAAATTGACTAGACTTGAATGAAGAGTTCGATGTTTTCAGCTGGTCTGAGTCAGTTCTGACGGCACGTTTTGCCTTTGGTCGATGCTCGTTATTTAAGGGGTCGAAAGACAGCCATATGTAGGCTTCAGCATCTCTTACTTTTCGTACACAACGAAGAGGCACATCAAATCTTTGATGAGGTAGAAATTCCTGTTTGGAATAAGGAAGATCGATGTGCAATCCCTGGTTGGTAGTCGCATAGGGCTTTCGATAGAATCGAGTATCCGTCGCACGGACGACATCACCCGAGTCTGCGAAACTAGCCGGTGAACGAGCTAGCAGTCCACTCATCCATAACGCCTCATCTTTCCAAGCGAAGATAGATTCATCGTCATAGGATTGCAGAATCTCGTATTGAAGCCTCAAGAATGCTTTTGATCCTTCACCATAGAGGAGCGGCATATTCACGTCAAACAAGCCTAGAAGACATATGCCATGTCCTCTGTTCTCAGAGTCTTGCGATTGGCGGCCCATGAAAATCTTTGAGCAACACTTGCTCCTCCAGGGCTGAGCAAAAATGTCTCAGGAATCTTGGTGACCTCCACCAAAAGATTACTCAAACTAAATCTTGTGCCAATTCTGACCCAATTCTGATCATAGAAGTCAACGAATGCAGGAGCCAGGAGTTCTTGTAGCGTCCATCCCCGTGTGAACCATCTGCACGCTCTTAAACTCTCGACGTCAAACTCATAGTGCGTCTTTCTCTCTCTCGACCACCCTTCAAGATTTGGGTAGTAGGCAGATTCCAAATCAAATATGTATGCATAGCAGATTTTGGCTCTCCGATACCATTCATACATAGAGTTGATAGCCTCGGTCAGCTCAGCGCTACTGGATTTATCAATGCAGCAAGTGTCGACCCACGCATACTGAAGGCCTTTCTCCAAAGCGATAGCGCAACATTTCTCTATCTTTTCGTAGCCGGCCAAGTGGCGGTCCTGCAGTTTCTTGAACTGCTTGTACGATACTTCTTCCTCGCCCCAGGTGTGCGAGAGAATCGCGTACGACGGTATTTTCTCGCCAAGAAACTCATGGAGGCTCAGATCTGCAGTACTGATAAGTCGCATTGATGCGGAGTAGGCTTTAGCAATATCAGATTGACGGCAGACGCAGACTCTGTTACGTGCAACTCGATTGAAGTCGGTTCGTTCAGCAGCAAAAAAAGTGAAGCAAAGTCGTAAGCGCGGAGAGGTTTCCGCCCATACAAACGCTGCCCGGCACTCGGCTTGGGTTCTTCCATCTCCGGGCTTGGCACCTCGAGATTCAACCTTTGTCTCCATAAGCTTTAGACCCCCTGCTTAAGGGGAACTAGCGCTTTTATAGGGGCCTTATAGGCTTCCCCTGCAGGGGATCTGCACTAGAAAGTTTAAGAATCCTATATTTTTAATTAATAATGCTAAAGCTATATTAAAAAAAAAATTTTAAAATATAAAATATTATTTTTTTAGGGCATAAAAAACCTATATTTTATACTTGCTTTAGGAATTATTAATAGGATTTTATTTAAATTTAAATTAATATTTAAATTTATTATTAATATAGTCTATAAATTTAGTTTATAATATATATTATATAAGTTTTTTTTTTTATTTTTATTTAAAAATTAAATAATATTTTAATAATATTTTAATAAAACTTTAAATAAATTATATATATTATTATAATAAAGTATTAAATAAATAGAGTTTATTTATTTATTTAAATATTATATTAATACTTTGCTTTTTATTATATTTATATCCTAAATAATTTATTAAAAAGCTCTACTTTTTATTACCTTATTTAAATATTAATAGTACTCTTTTATATTTATTAGTTATATTAATAAAAAGTATACTTAAACTTATAAGTAAAAGAAATCTACTTTATAAGTTTTAAATATTTAATTTAAATACTTTATTTTAGATTTAAAGTACTTTTAAAAGATATATAATATCTTAATATAAAGATAGCTTTAATAATAAAAACTTTTTTTTAACTTATACTTATAATAGTTACTTTGCTTAGATATACTACTAAATAATAGTTTAATAGATTTAGAAAAATTATAATTAAAAATTCTTTTAGATTTTTAAAGTTGAAGATTATAATGCTATTGCGCTTAGATTTATAAACAACTTTTATAAAGTTATTTAAAATAAGCTTAAAAGGGAATTAAAACTACTATTATCTATTACTTTTATTACTACTAAAATATAATAAATTAATATTAAGTTATTACTTTAAAAGTCGATATAATACGCAAAGCGACTAGTACTTATTTATTCTCTTTAACTTTCTAACTTTTTCTTTTATATAGACTTTTTCTATATTTATATTATAGATTTAAATAGCAAGATACTAAATTAAAAGTAATAGCTTTTAAATATTTTAGCTTAGTAATTTAGCTTTAATTTATTAATATTTAATAATAAATTTTATTTTTAAATAAATAAAGCCTTATATTTTAAAAGTTACTTTTTACTATAAGTTTTTGCTACTTAACTTTAATATATTTAATAATAATAAAGTTTACTTTTTAGTTTAGTTATTAAATAACTATATTATTAATATAAATATAGATAATATTTTCTATAATAAATTTAATAAAACTTTTATAAAAAGCTATAAACTAAATATTATAATTTATATATAAAATTTATTTAGTATGTTGCTACTATAAACAACGCTTATATATATAATTTATAGCTAACCTAGTTTTATTATTTAGATATTTTTACTTTTATCCTACTTTTTATTTGCCTACTAAATTATATTTAAAATATAGAAAACTTAAAGATTAAATATTACTTTAAAGAGTATAAGAATAGTTTAATAAAAAATAAAAATATAGAATAGAAAAAAAACTTATATTTAAAGACTAATAAAAGCTTTAAAAATAACTATAATAAAGATAATAATAATTAAGAACTAGGTATAAAAGTTTATCCTAGTATAATTCTTTATTAATATTATTAATCTAATTAATATATACTATAAATATTTAAATATTATATATTAAGCTTTAGATTAAAGTAGTGATTTCGTAGAAGAAATATTACCTAACTTACTTCCCCCTTAAGGAATAGAATAAAGTAGTAGTACTTAAAGAATATTTTTAAATTTCTAACTAGAAGCTATGCCTAGAAAGATAGCTATTAATACTTTAAAAAAATAAGATAAATTTAATTATAAAAATATAATAAATAGTTAAGTCTTTAATAAAAAACTAATTAATAGTTTAAAACAAAGGGTTAGATCCTATATATATAATATAATTAAAACCTAATAGCTTTTATTCTAGCTATAAAATTTAAATAAAATTTTTATTAATTAAAAATATTTTAATAAAAAGTTGAAAGAATCTTTTATAAAAGTAGGATAAATAGCAAAGAAGTTTTTAAAAAAGCTATTTAATATTAATTTAAAATAATTATTTTATTTATTATTAATATATTAATATACTTTTTTAAGGATAATCTATTTAATAGATTATAGAATAAGTTAATTAAAAAATATTTAAGCTAATTATAAACTATTTTATAAGCTTAAATAAAATATAATTAATTTGCTATAGCTTTATAATAGCTAATTATATTTTAAAATATTATTAGTTATATTATTATTTATCTTTATTATTAAATTCTTTTTTTTAGCAAAAGTATTTTAAATAATAAAGCGCTAAATTAAATATAGAGTAAACATTTATATATTATTAATAAGATATTATAGGTATATACTTATATAAAAATAATTTATATATTTAATACTTCTATATTAAGATTAGATAAACTAGAAAAATAAAAAATAAAAATAAGCTTATATTAGTTATCGTACTATTAAAGCTATTTAGCGAATAGAAAAAGCAGTTTATAGCCTATATTAATTTAGCCTCTAATTTTAATATATATTTAGTCTTTATATATAGAGTACCCCTTAATAATATATTGCTTAACCCTATAAAAGTTAAGGGTATATTAATTAAAAAAAAACTTTAATAATAATATTTCTAGTTAATTAATAAAACTAAATTAGATTTCTAATTATATTATTGCTACTAGTTTTAAGTTTTTTAATTTATAGCTATAAAAGAAAAAAAAATAAAAGTTATAGTTATAGTTAATAAAAATTAAATAGTTCTAAAAAGGCTATATTTTAATTTAATTATTTAAGTTAAAGCTTATAAGTTAAAAAAAGTTAGAAATAAAGTATTAGGTAAAATTATATTACTATAATTAAAATAGCTTTTAACTATTTACTTTAAGTATTCTTTTTACTAAATACCTTATTTTAATATATTCTTAATAATACTTTTATAATACTATATAATATAGAACTTAAAGATTAAAATAATAAGGATTATTTTATATATACTATATACTAATTAGAAATTATATATTCTAATAGTAAGTACTATAGCTTATTTAACTAAAAAGTAAAACTTAAAAACTTTAAATTCTAGAAGTTCTATTAAGCTTAAAATATTATATTAACTTTTATTTTTATACTTTAAGGCAAGAGTAGCTTAGAGTTTAATAATAACTTACTTATAGATTTGCTAAAGCTTTACTTAGGAGATAAAAAAGTAGTATTTTTTATAAAGTATAAGTCTTTTAAAAACGTAATAATAAATTTTTAGTTAGATAATATAAATATAATTTTACTTAAAAGCTAGCAAGTATAAAATAAAGATAAAAATAAGCTAGTAAAAAAAAAAGACAAATTAATATAGCTATTTATTAAGTTAGAGATATTAAAAAAAGTATAATAATTATTTTACTATAAAGATAAGATCCTATATTAGGCTAAACTCTAATATTTTATTAATTATTTATAATAATTTTTAAATAATTAAATAAAGGAATAAATAATGCTAAAAAGTGACTTTAAAAATAATTTCTTTTTATAAAATAAGCTATAAGTTATACTCTAAAATACTATTAATTTTTATACTTTAAATAACTAGTTAAAAGCTATAAAAGATAGAGAGAAGCTAGCTTTTGTATTATAGAACTTTTTATATGCTATTTTATATTATTAAATAAGCTTTAGCTATTAGTATTTTATTAATTATAATTATAATAGCAGTATAATTTTATTCTCTACTAAAAAAATAATATACTAACTTTATAGTAGTACTATAAAAAAAAAGATTTATAGTATTTTATTAATATTAATATTACTACTAAGAATAAAGCAAGGATTATAAATTATTTTTAAAAAAAATAAATAATAATTATAACTCTTTATATTATAAATATCTAATTAATAAAAGCTTATAAATAATTTATAATATAGTAGAAATCCTAAATACTAGCCTTAATCTTATTAAAGTTAATATAGTTGTCGCTATAAAGCTATATATATAATATAATCTTATTAAATAGCTTTTTAAGCGTATCTACTATATTAGGTAAATAGAAAAGTATTTTATAAAAGCTTTAATCTTAGTAGAAGGGTTAAATTAAACTTTTAAAAATTCGCAACAACTAGCTTATAGTAAATATAATAAAGGTTTATAATAAATTTGCTATTAAATCTTTAAAAGTAGGTAGCTTATCCTAGTAGATTAAATAAAGTAAATATTCTTTAATTAATATATATAGCGTATAAATTCTATAATAATAATATAATTTCCTAATAAATAATAAAGGCATTTTGCTATTATATATATATAAAGTTTAAGCTAGCTACTTTAATTAGTTTAAAATCTATTTAAAATTCTATATACTTTACTAAATAATTACTTAAAATATATTTAAAGTATTTTAAAATTATTTATTTAAAATTTATTAATTTTTAAATAATTTCTAATTAAAAATTATCTATAGCTTTTAGAAATTTACCTATATTTTTATTTAATTTTTATTTAAGTTAGTAGGCGCTAAAGCAGATTTAGCTTAGACTAGTACTAACTATATAGAATATTAATAATTCTTATTTTTATTATATTAATATTATATATTCTATAGCTTATAATTATTTTATAGATTATATATATTTAAATTTTATTTTTTAAAAAATTTATAAGATTTTATTTAAATTTAAATTAATATTTAAACTTATTATTAATATAGTTAATAAATTTAATTTATAATATATATTATATAAGTTCTTTTCTTATTTCTATCTAAAAACTAAGTAATATTTTAGTAATATCTTAGTAAAACTTTAAATAAATTATATATATTATTATAATAAAGTATTAAGCAAATAGAGTTTATTTACTTATTTAAATATTATATCAATACTTTATTTCTTGCTATATTTATTATATAAATAATTTATTAATAAACTATACTTTTTACTGCTTAGTTTATATATTATTACTATTATTTTATATTTATTAATTATACTTATTAAGAAAGTATTTAAATTTAAAAGTAAAAAGAACTTATTCAATAAATTTAATTTAATAAATACTAAAACTTTATTTTTACTATAGAACTACTTAAAAGAGAAAATTATTAAATAGTATAAAAAGTTTTTTAATTAGGAAAGCGCTTTATTAGTTAAAACCTATAATAATTATTTTACTTAAATATACTGCTAAATAGTAGCTTAATAGCTTTAGAAATTTTTTTTTAAAAATTGTTTTAGATTTTTAAAATTAAAAATTATAATATTATTATGCTAAAACTTATAGATTACTTTTATAAAGCTATTAAAAATAAGTTTTAAAAAGAATTAAAACTATTATTATTGTTTATTATTCTTATTATTACTAAAGTATAATAAATTAATATTAAGTTATTATTATAATAGTTAATATAATATATAGAGCAACTAGTACTTATTTATTCTTTTTAATCCTCTAGCTTTTCCTTTTATAATAATTTTATTTAAATTTATATTATAAATTTAAATAGTAATATACTATATTAGGAGCAATAGCTCCTATATATTTTAGCCTAGCAATCTAGTTTTAACTTGCTAAAGTCTAATAATAAACTTTTTCTTTAAATAAAAGCAAAATATATTTTAAATATTATTTATTATTACGAGTTTCTACTATTTAACCCTAATATATTTAATAATAATAAAGTTTACTTCTTAGTTTAGTTGCTAAACAACTATATTATTAATATATAAATAAATAATATTCTCTATAATAAATTTAATTAAGTTATTATAAAAAGCTATAAACTAGCTATTTGTTACGCCCCGCAGGCTACACAGCGCATCAACTGCGCTAGAGGAAACAAAGGACACTCGTTACTGGTTGGCTTAGCGAGACCAACCAGGCCCGCTCGTTGTAACGCAGTGTTCGCAGAATACGCACGCTAAGGCCTGCGTTACAGTGCGAACAGTGCGATTACCATTTAATATATAATGTTACTCGTTCGGCGATAGATAGTTTGCTCCTTAGTTGTTAATACATTTATTACTGAATACCCTAATAGAGCTCTACGTATAAATCGCATTACCGTTGCAGTGTTTAAGCTCGCCGTTCAAAGCTTACTTTCTTTTGTATCTATAGCTCGTTACTACTTGCTAAGCCAACCTAGCTTGTATACGACCTAAGCTAGTCGTTGCACAGCCCTTGCATAGGCAAATGACCGTTATATTTTAACAACTTACAAACAATATAGGATCCGTCTCGACGCCTAGGACTTTTGTGCCGTCCTTAGCGTTAAACCTGGGACTAGGGGACTCTATTAAGTACGCTACCCTAGAATACTTCAAAGGGGACTAAGGTACCTTGAAACGATAGATAGTTACAGTGCAACTTTATATAAAGATATACGTATCCAAGTTTCCTAACGAAACCGCTAAGGTAATATTTGCTACATTATACCTTGCGGGCGCAGCCCTTGACTAGGTAATGCCCCGTTTAGAGGACTACCTTATAAACGTAGACGATAACTAAGAAAGCGAAATAAGACAAATGTTCTACGACCTAGGTAACTTTATAATATATATTAAGACGGCTTTCGGGGAAGTAGACGAAGACAAGGCAACCGAGAGGAAGCTGTAAAACCTAAGGCAAAAAGCGTTAGCGTCGGTTTACGCGGCAGCATTTAGAATGCTAGCCTATAAGATAGAATAGGACGACTTAGCTTTAGCAGCCCATTTCTATTAAGGTTTGCACGATAGGGTTAAGGACGCTATAGTAACAGCAGATAGACTAGATTTACTGGAATCAATAATTGAAATCGCAGTTCGGATTGATAACAGACAATAAGAAAGGTACTTCGATAGATAAGTACAACGAAAAAAGCCTGTAATAAAAGGACAATAGTCTATAGGAGATCCAATAGAAATAGATGTTTTAGAGAAAAAATCGAGAATTAAGACTTGTTACACTTGTAGCAAAGCCGGACATATCAGATGAAATTGCCCAAAGGAGGCCGCTAAGGTAACAGAACAATAGATCGAAGTAACTAAGGAAATCATGCTAGCTACAGGGAACAATCACTATAAACTTTTATAGACAGCTTGCACAGAGGATAGCTGCAGAGTATATTAATCAGAAAAAGATAGGTCAGGATAGTACCTAAGGACACCTAAACCAAGAAAAAGAACAATTAAACAACTAAGAATTCAGTATTTACCGTTCTTTACTGAGAAGCCCGTAATAGCAGCTATAGAAATGAAAATTAGAGAAAAATGGACAACAGCTTTAATCAACAGGGAACAAGGAAATAAAATGTTAAAAAGAATGTTCAACGGAATCAGAAGATACCTCGAAGCTATAAAAAGCATCTGCGAGGATAGTTTAGTACAAAATGTCGACGTCGAAAGTAAACATAGATTAATAGGAACAACATCATTCCAAATTATTGACAGTAACCAAAGTTACATTGTTCTGGGCAAAAAGTGGAACTAGGATATAGGAGCTTTGCTTGAAACAGAAAAAGCAAAACTTGAAAGAAATACATTATTGGAGGACCAGACAATACATCTCTTGGCATATAAAAACCTTATAATGACAAACTAGCAAGGACTAGAAGACGCTAATTACACATAGAACGACATCCTAGAAGTCGATATAGTATTCAAGAAAAACATAGATATAACAGCAACTACAATATAGAAACAATTCGAAACAATACAGGAATTATTGGCAAAATCCTATAGAAAGGATATTTCTAGAACAAAGGAAGTCTAGAAACACTACATACTGCGTTCAAAGGAAGGCGATTATTCGATATACTCCGAAGAAGACTTAGTCGATAATACAGACGAAGAATTAATCCCCAACTCAGCAGAAAGTGCCTAACGGCGACCATCGCTGTACCTAATAGATAAAGAGGATGATTTATAGGACTCGACGCCTAGCTCCTCGTCCTAGGACGAAATAGTAGAGGAAGAAGAATCCTCTTCCAACGAAAAAATACTAAAGAAAAAAGACGTTAGCGAACTCTAGGAGTAAATAGAAGCAAAACTAGGTAAGTTAGCCCAAGGCAACTTCGAGCAGTTCAAGGAAACAGAAAGTAAGAGGCAAGCACTTAAGAAAAACCACCTCGATATTGCGGGAAGTTTTATTAACTAGGAATACTTACAATTAGACACCGAAGAAATAAATAATCAACCCGACACGGTCGGCGATTATCCTGACTAGAACCTTTAAATAGGCCTTTTGGTAGGTATTAGGCCCCGATTCAAGCGGCCTTAGACAGGAGGAAAGGATCGTTGAAATCGAAATCGGCGAAGGTTCGATCGATCTCCTCAGAAGACAACATCGATATACTACTCAAGGACGGACTAATAGCGACCGCAGAGCTATTATCGGCAAAGGGATCTTCGAGTTCAGCAAGTTTGCGAAGGACGTCGGCTTCTTGTTTAGCTATATCCTTCTTACGATGATTAAGGGAAGAATATATGTTAGAAAGCTTTTTCTGTTTAGCAATATTGGCAGCCAGCTCCCTGTACCGCCTAGCCAACTCTTCTCCTTCCCGGGAATTGCGGGGAACAAGATCTTCCAATTTTTTACGAATCTCTTTCTTTTTCTCTTGGATACGGTTCCCTACGGACAATCAGTAAAAGAAATAACGATACAGAATCGAAACGGACTTACATGCATAATCGGAAAGAAAAACATCACAACGGTAAGGGCGACCAGAAAGTATATAGGACCCGCAGGAATCCTAGTTATCAAGAACGCAACATTTGGTACCCTTACCCGAGCTCTTGCAAGAAGAACACAGGAAAGGCATCTTGTCACTTTGAGATTAACAGAGCTTAAATATACGAAGTCGACGCTGGTAAACCCTACTAGGCATGATAAAAGAACATAGAGGAATTGCAAAAGGAAAAATAAATCGCGGGGAACAGCGCTTCTTATATACGCTATTGCCAAGAAACTTTAGGAGGTAATATAGGGGGGTGGTATTACGCCCTGCAGGCTATACAGCGCATCAACTGCGCTAGAGGAAACAAAGGACACTCGTTACTAGTTAGCTTAGCGAGACTAACTAGGCCCGCTCGTTGTAACGCAGTGTTCGCAGAGTACGCACGCTAAGGCCTGCATTACAGTACGAACAGTGCGATTACTATTTGATATATAATGTTACTCGTTCGGCGATAGATAGTTTGCTCCTTAGTTGTTAATATATTCATTACTGAATACCCTAACGGAGCTCTACGTATAAATCGCATTACCGTCGCAGTATTTAGGCTTGCCGTTCAGAGCTTACCTTCTCTTGCGTCTATGGCTCGTTACTACCTGCTAAGCCAACCTAGCTTGTATACGACCCAAGCTAGTCGTTGCACGGCCCTTGCATAGGCAAACGACCGTTACACTATTATAGTTAAACTAATAACTATAACTAATATATCTTTACTATAGAAAATATTTAAAAATATAAATTATAGCTAACTTAACTTTATTATTTAAAAGTCCCTACTTTTAATATATTTTTCTTTTATAATATATTATCTATTTTTAGTAGAGAAACCTTAGGGGGCTAGGGGAGAAAAGTAACTATAGAATTTAATAATAATAGTAATAAAAGTAGCAGTAAAGAGAGTAATAAAAAAAGTAAAAATATATAACTAAATAATAATAGCTATTTTATTCTAATTTTTTATTAATATTAATAATCTAGTTAATAAATACTAAAAACGCCTAAGTACTATATATTAAACTTTAAGTTAAAGTAGCAATTTTATAGAAAATATATTACCTAACTTGCCCCCTTTCTAATAATAAAGCTAAGTAGTAATAATAAAAGAATATTTTTAAGTTTTCTATTAAAGGATATATATAATAAAATAAAAATTAAACTTAATAATAATATAAACTAATTTAATTATAAAAATATTATAAATAGTTAAGCCTTTAAAGAAAATATAGCTAATAAACTAAAGTAAAAGTTTAGATACTTTATATATAATTTAATTAAAATCTAATAATTTTTTTTCTAGCTATAAAGCTTAAATAAAGTTTTTAATAGTTAAATATTTTAATCAAAAGTTAAAAGTTTAATTTTAAATATTTTTTAAATAGCAGTACTAATTTTTTAATAAATAATATAAAGTATATTATAAAAATTTATAAACTTAGTTAAACTAATATTAAGCGTTTAATATATAGCTATTCTTATATTTTTTAAAAAATAAAAAATAACTTAAGCTAATAATAGGCTACCTTATAGGCTTAGGCAAAGTATAGTTAATTCGCTATAACTTTATATTAGCTAATTATATTTTAAACTATTATTAGTTATACTATTATCTATTTTTACTATTAGATTATCCTTTTTTAGTAAGAATATCTTAAGTAATAAAGTACTAAGTTAAATATAAAGTAAATACTAATATATTAATATTAGGATAGCACTAGTATATACTTAAAGGAAAAAAATATATATATCTAATACTATTATACCTTAAGTAGATAAACTAGAAAAATAAAAATTAAAAATAAACTTATATTAATTATTACGTTATTAGGCTTACTAAGCGAATAGAATTGGCAATTTACTGCCTATATTAACTAAAGCTTTAGTATTTATTTATATTTAGTCTTCGTATATAAAACGCCTATAAATAAGGTATTACTAACCCTTAAAGAAGTTAAATCTATACCTATTAAAGCAACTTTTAAACTCCTTAAAAGATAATTTAGTCTTAACATCTCTAGCTAATGAGTAGAACTTAATAAAAACTTTAATTTAATTATTATTATTAGTTATAAATTATTTAATATATAGCTATAAAAAAAGCTAAATATTTAAGTTATAGCTTAAAAGGTAGGAAAGCTAGTAATTAAAACTGCCCCCTATTTTAGCTTAATTATATAAAATAAAGTTTATAAATTATAGAAAATTAAAACTAGAGCGATATTTACTATAAATATTATTTCTATTAAGTACTATATTTTATTATAAATTAAATAATATTTTTATTATACTTTATAATATAAAACTTAAAAATTAAGATAATAAAGATTATCCTATATATACTATATGCTAGTTGGAAATTATATATTTTAATAATATATACTATAGCTTATTTAACTAAAAAATAAAGCTTAAAAATCCTATATTCTAAAAGTTCTATTAAGCCTAAAACTCTATATTAACTTTTATTTTTATACTCTATAGCAAGAGTAGCCTATAGTTTAATAATAAAGTACTTATAAATTTATTAAAACTTTATAAAAAAGATATAAAAGTAATATTTCTTATAAAGTATAAGACTATAGTTAATTCTATAGAAAATTATTAAATAAGTAATATTTATAAAGTATTAATAAAAATATAAGCTTAATAAGCTAAAGATAAATATCTTATTTCTAAAAAAGAACTAGAACTAAAGTCTTTTAATATTAAATTAAAAATTTTAAAAAATATATAATAATTACTTTGCTATATTTATAATATACCTTTTTTAGTTAAATATTAAAACTCTATTAACTATTTATAATATTTCTTAAATAGTTAAATAAAAAAGTAAATAATACTAAAAAAAAATTTTAAAGACAACTTTCTTTTATAAAATAAACTAAAAATTATTTTTAATAATACTTTTAAATTCTATATATTAAATAACTAGTTAGAGGCTATAAGAGGCAGAAAAAAGCTAATATTTATATTATAAAATTCTTTATATATTACTTTATTTTATTAAGTAAGCTTTAACTATTAATATTTTATTAATTATAACTATAATAGTAAAGCTATTTTATTCTCTACTAGAAGTATAATATACTAATTTTATAGTAGTACTATAAGCAATAAGAGATCTATAGTATATTATATATTATTAATATTACTACTTAAAATAAGGTAAGAATTATAAAATATTTTTAAAAGGAAATAGATAATAAATATAACTTTTTAACTTACTTATATCTAATTAATAAAAGTTTATAAGTAATTTATAGTATAATAAAAATTTTAAATATTAGACTTAATTTTACTAAAGCTACTATAGTTGTTGCTATAAAGCTATATATTTACTCTAATCTAATTAAATAACTAATTAAGTATATTTACTATATTAAGTAAATAAAGGAGTACTTTATAAAAGTTTTAATTTTAGTAGAAAAGTTAGGTTAAAAGTTTAAAGATTTGCTAAACTAGCTTATAGCAAATATAATAAAAGTTTATAATAAATTTGCTGCTAATTCTTTTAAAGTAAGTAAGCTTATTTTAGTAGATTAAATAAAATAGGTTTTTATTAATTAATATATATAGTATATAAATTTTATAATAATAATATAATTTTCTAAAAAATAATAAAAGTATTTCGTTATTATATATATATAAGTTATAAGCCCTTTTACTTAAATTAGCTTAAAATCTATTTAAAATTTTATATATTTTATTAAATAATTATTTAAAATTTATTTAAAGTATTTTGAAATTATTTATTTAAAATTTATTAATTTTTAAATAATTTTTAACTAAAAATTATATATACTATTTAAAATTATCTATCTTTTAGGTAAATTTTAATCTAAATTTATTTATTTTTTAAATAAGTTTTAATAAATTAGCTTTAGCACTTTTTATTTAAGTATAATTTATATATTAATAAGCTTTAGTAAGCGTTTATTCTTATTAATAAATATTAAATAAATAATAGTTATTATATTAGTATTATTGCTATACTAGTCTTGTTAGCTATATATATATTATTTATTTATACTTAAAACGCTATAATTATAATATAGCTTAAGCTGTTGTTTCTACTTTTAATACTACTTTTATCTTTATAACTTACCCTTTATATATATTAGTTATTGCTTTTTTTAATACTATTTTTATCTTTATAACCTATCTTTTCTATATAGTAGTTATTACTCCTTTTAACTATACCCTTATCTTTACCCCCTACTTTCTATTATAGATCTTTTACTTTTTCTTTAAATAGCTCTTCTTCTAATTCTCTTGTCTATACCTATTTAAAATAGAAGCGATTATAAGTCTCTAGAAGGAGTTAATAATAAAAGCTTTTTTTTTAAAAAAAATATATAAATTAATATAATTTATAAAATAGTTATTAAGTTAGCTATTATAAGCTTATAAATAAGAATATAAAATATATAATAAGTATAGAAATATATAGAAAAGTTTTAAATATTATATATATTCTTTAAAAAGGATAGGGGATATTAAATAAAAGAAAATCTTTAATAAAAAAAGAATAGAATATATAGTCTATTACTTTTAATAAAAATTAAAAAAGTTAAGCTAAGTATTTACTTTTAATAAATACTAACTTCCTAATATAAAGAAAAACTATTTAAGCTTGCTTTTTAATATTTATTAAATTTATTAATAAATTAATAAAATTTCTTTATAATTGCGGAAGTTTCTACACTTATTATATTAAGAGCACTTCTTAGATCGGTTGGATAATGATTGATTGTAGAATCTATCTGCTAGTGCGCTAGAAATAAGGCAGGTCCTATACGTATCAATGCCTGCGATACGTACATAACATCTCCCCTCGACAAAAGAAACTGGTCGTCTACGATCAGACCACCATTTTTCCATCGTGCACGCATATGAGAAGAAAGAAACACGATCGATCATATTAGCATACAGCTGCCCATAGCCAATATCGCATTCCGATCGACTGCATCATCATATCGCTGTAAGCAGAAAAGAAAGGGAATAGTCGATCGCTCGTTCCGTTTACACCGATCGATCATATTAGCATGTTTGTTCTTATTGCTCGTAGATATCGCTCTATGGGCGATCGGTGACGAGGGCGAATGTCAGCTAGGCGTTTTTTGCGTCGCTCCCTTCAGCGCTTGTACCGTCCGTAAACCTCGATCTTCCTGCGTCCGTCAGACTGCGTACCACGCCCCATAGATGATCGCACTCCTTTTTCGCGTCGTTACGGCCTTTCTCAGCCGTCCGCAATTCTGCTACCGCTGCATCTCGTTCACTCTTGACTTGCTGCAGAGCAATATCGGTTCCTCCCTTCTCAGCTGCACCCAAATTTGCTATCGCTGTATCTCGCTCACGCTCAACCCGCTGCAAATCCTGTAGTGTAATAACGCCTTGTTCTTTCCCAGCCTTATGCGAATTTGCTATTGTTGCATCTAGCTCCCGTTTGATCTGCTGCTTTTCTGCACGAAGGGAGTTGATTGTGGTGTTAAGGTGATCGATAGTTGCATCGTATTTTTTGCGAAGGGTATCGCTTGTCGTGTTAAGTCGATCGATAGTTATATCGTATTCTCTGTGTAGGGTATCGTTCGTTGACTTAAGCTGATCGATAGTTGCGCCGTATTCTTGCTTCATCTCATCGGCTTCGCTTACTAGCATGTACTTATCTGGGTTAAGGCCCAACTTGCCAAATTTGAGCAGCTTTTCATTCGCTTTGAGCAGGTCCCCCTGGGCTGTTTCGAGCTTCTTGAATAGGTTATCGCGCAGTGTTTGCATTCCCTCGTCAGTGAACTTTGCCAAGTCTGTATTGAAAGCGTCTACTTCGGCCTTTGCCGTTTCACAATCAGCGTTCGATGTCGATAGCTTGATATTCGTTGCGTCGAGCTCCTGGCGGAGCTCCCTGATCGTGTCCGTATCTGTCGATCGTTGCATTTCCTTTATCTTGTTTAGGAGTTGCGTTGACTCCTCAATCGCCTAAGCCTTCCCTTTTGCCAACGAACTGAGCTCTTTTTCGGCATTGAAATATTTCTCCTTTTCTGCCTTGAGGTCACTTAGGACCTGGAAGCTATAAGTCTTCGCTTCTGCTAGTTCCTTCTCAAGCTTTTCGACATCCGATTTCGATTTCGAACGAAGGTCCTTCTCACCTTCCTTGTTCGCAGCCTTTTTATGTCTTTTCTTGCTTTCCGATACTAGATCGGTACTCGACGATGAACGCTTCTTAGACTCCTGGGCGACCTCCAAAGCTGTTCTCCCATTGTAAAGTTGATATCCGTCATACGTGCCACGCAGTATTTGCGGCGTTGGTGGCGCGTGATGCTGTACAGGCGACTCGTCGCCTAGGTACCAAGCATCGCTCCCATAGTCCTCAGGTATAGGGAAATCTTCGCCTATGCCGAATTGTCTCATTAGGTCGCCCCCATACTGCTTCCCGTTAAGGCACAAAAAGTGCCATTTGTTCGTTTTGGCATTGAAACTTTGAGCAGCGCGTCCAATGCCAATGATCGTATCCTTGATCAGATCGCCTTTTCCTGTGAATTGCGATCGACATTTCGCACGTAGTCTAGACCCCTCCGATCCTTCAAAACAATGAACCTGGCACGTCCACCAGTCGTCCAAATAGACGCCTTCTGGGTGTGCTAAGAAGTGCCTCAAAGGATCGAGTGGCCAGTAAGCGATAAGAGGCTGTGCTGCGAACTTCAATGCGTCAGGTCTTTGCTTCTTTTCCACCGACACTGTTACCGCGTTCTTGCCGTTCTTGAGATACAGGTTCCGGTATCCTCTATGACTAATGTTATAGCATCGTACATTTCGAAGGATGTCCTTGGGCCAGATATTTATGGGATACGACCCGTACTTCTTTTCAGGGTCGAAAAGTGCCATATCGTTCTTCTCTCGATACAGATTACGATACGGTCTTGTGGAATTATTGTACCTATCATATCCCGGGTCCTATCGATCGTCAATAACAGGCGCTATGCCTTCAACGCCTGGTTCTTTAAATCTACCTGGATCGTGGCTCGCCCATGGTCGATTATAGTCGATTGACTTTTCGGAATTAGTGGTGATCTCCCCTGGCGTAGATTCGGGATCGACAAGGGAACCGAAATCATAACTTCCCGCATTTTTGCAATGCTCAATCAGCCTTGCTGGATCCGTGTTGTGCTGCTGCCTATTGAAAAGCTGAATGTAATTAGAAAGCCCAAAACGACGTCTCGTAATTATCTTATGCTCTGCATCAGCCATAGTGTTTTCTTTATTGAACTCGCCCGTATGGATACAATGGTATGTATCATACCATTTGGCCTTAATGTTAGCAGGAACGCTGTGATATCGTTTGCTATCTTCGATTGTGAAATATGGATTGAACGCGCCTATATGCACACCTGGAGAGTCTACGGATGCGTTCGTATTAAACACATCGCCTCCACAGAAGGACTCGATCTTGCGCATGACCCCGTTGTCCAGTTTAATCGTTCGTAGGATGTACAGCTGACCGATCTCGCTAAAAGCGTTCCAAACTGCCTCACACAAATAGAAACCATTTGGTATAAAATATGAAGCGTTGTATTTGCACAGTGTTCGAACCAGTTCTGTAGCACCTTCTAGGTTCGATCTCAAATCGTTTTGATAATCGATATCGTTAGCCGGATGTCCCTCTAGGAATTTCAAGTTGCGGTACTCAGGGTTCTCAGCCTACACCGCGAGTAGGTACCACAAGTCTGGTAAATAAGCCAATCGCTCCCGCCTTGATAGTCGGTTTGTATTGATATTCGCTGGGCGATCATTATGACTTAACTTTCGATGTTGTCGTATCGTTATGTTTGCAACCTCTCCTGGACAATATTCAAACTTGGGGCTAAAGTCCAACGGTCCACCGAAAGGTAACTGCAGCTGTATGGTTCGTCTTGGGGGATTGAGCGCATATCCATCCTCATCCTTCTTGTACTCGGCAGTAGAGCTTATTTCCGACATGGTTGACAACTATGAACAGTCGTTTGTTGTAAATATCAGGTCGGAAAGTGATAATGAAGTGAGGTGTTGAGTCTGCGGAATTGTTTCCGTCCTGCGGAAAAAGTTTGGCAAAATTAATATCATGAAAAAAAAAATAAAAAAAATTAACAATTAGGGCTCGTTCGCCTTATCTTCGTTTTTCAAAGCGTTCTACTATTTCAGGAACGTCCTGCTGAAGACGCCATGCCGGCTCGAACGTAGTGTCCTTATGGCTCTTCCATTTTACTCGATAGCCTTGAAGCCGCCCATGTCTTTCCTTTTGTAGGATCCTCTCGACGACATGATGCTCTGCGTTATCGATCGAAATCGGGGAAGGTGGGGGGATCGACTGTTCGTAAGGATCTATGTTTGCTTGTTCCAAATGGATAACCGATACAACAGGATGCATTTTGCTCATGGCCGGCGGTAGCTCTAAACGATAGGCCAAATCTCCTACTTTCTCGATAATCTTGAAAGGGCCGACTTTTTTGCTTGAAATGCTTGACGTCTTCGGTAAATGGTATCCCGGTGTGCCAGTTTTTGCTAGTTTCAAATAGACCGATCCCTGGAGTTGGGGTGGACGATGCTTTCGATCGAAATTAATCGCCATGCGCGTCTGGGCCAGGTGGATTGCATCACTCACGTCTGAGCGAATTTGTTGTCGTTTCTTGTGGAACTCTTCAGCCGGCTGGTTGCTTTTCGTTCCCGTGTCCGTCGTTAAAGACAATAGGTCCCTGGGCAAGACGCCGTACAACGCTTCGAATGGCGTTACCCCGGTAGAGGCGTTTGGCGATGTATTGAGCGCGTATTCGATTTCAGATAGCATTTCACTCCAGCGCTCCTCGTATTCACCGATTAGCAAACATCTCAGGGCCGTTTCTACCGTCTGGTTCGTTCGTTCGGCTTGACCGTCCGCCGAAGGGTGATAGGAGGCGGTCATTCCCAATTTCACTTTGCATCTTGCGAACAAGGCTTTCCAGAAATCGGATGTGAACTTAGGGTCTCGATCCGAAATTATCTTTAACGGCCATCCCCATATGCGGTACACATAATGCCAATATTGTTCCGCCCATTGCTCGGCTGTCCACTTTTCGTTTCCAGGAACTAATCGTACGAACTTCGTTATTCCCTCCGTAACAGGAAGTAAAGCATTATACCCATCAGGAGTTAGTGGAAGCGCGACGACAAAATCCAGCGAAACGACTTCGAGGGGAGCCGTAGCCTCGTTCAAAGGGTGCAACTCGCTATAAGGAGGTTTTCGAGATGCTTTCGATAGTTGGCAAGCGGGGCACGCTTCCACGTAGCCCTCGATTTGCTTCCGCATCCTTGGAAAGTACACAGATCGTCTCAATCGTTCGTATGTACGACCGATGCCCCCATAGGCGTAAGAGTCATGTCTATACTCGAGGATAGTACGTACAAGTTTTGCTGGAATGCATAGGCGATCAGCGTCAACACTAATGTAGTAAAGCAAACCCGTCTCTGAATCTAGCCGATAAGAATGGTACAGCGTTTGCGTTCCTCGCTCATCGTCCTTCGATGATTCCCTGATATCTAGCAACTTCTTGTAAATCTTAGTAAACCCAAGGTCGATTTTGATCTCCTGCGCGATGGCTTTGAGAAAGTCGTCGTCAGACTGTACTATTGTTATAGGGAAAACTTGGGAAACCGCATCTGACGGCGGATCTTTGATCGCCGCTGATGGTTCGATCGACGGAATACGCAATAAGCCATCCGCGTTGCCGTGTGCCTTTCCTGCTCGATGTACAATGTTCATTCTTGGCTCAAAGGACGACAAGTAAAGCGCCCACTCGTTTAAACGTGCTGATCGCCTTCCTGTAGTCTTGTTTTGCAACGCCGATTTCAGTGCCATATAGTCCGTCACCACGGTAAAATCGCCCGAGTCGAAGTATTGTGGCAATTTCGACAACGCCTATACCAGAGCGCCAGCCTTTAATTCCGTTGCCCAATACCGTGTTTCCGCCCCTGTCAGGTCGCGGGATAGGTAAAGAACTGGTCGTTCTATTCCATCTAAACCAATTTGGTGAAGGGCAACACCGTAGCCCTTCTCCTTACTGCTATCCGTATAGAGAATAAACGGTAGGCTGAAATTTGGAAACGCTAAAGTCGGAGCATTATACAATTTGTCTTTTAGCGTTTCCTATGCCCGAAGGCACTCTGGGGTAGCGTCCAACATCTCCTGGTCTGATGTTGTATCCGGTGATCGCCTTTGTGGCGATGGTCCTTCTGACTTAGGGACCGAGACTTTATAGATAGTCGTTCGTTCGGCATGGCGGCGTCGCTTGCCACCTTTGATCGCTGCGTGCTTAAAGCCCCGTGTTTTCAGCTGCACTAACGGCCGAGCGATGAAGGCGTAATGGTAAACGAACTTCCGATAGTACCCAAAGAAGCCTAGGCCTACCTCAAGTTGGCGTAAATTTTGAGGGAATTTCATTTTGCGAATAGCTTCTACCTTTTCCTCCACTGTGCTTAAGCCTAGTCGAGAGACGTGATGGCCTAGGGCCGTAATGCTAGGATATGCAAAATGACACTTGTTGACCGATAGCGTGACTCCGCTTCGTTCCAAAATCCCGAGCACCTGATCCAGATGCTTTACGTGGTCGTCCAAAGAGGACGAAAAAATGATAACATCATCGATGTATACCAGAACGAATTGCCAAAGGTATGGACCGAGCAAGTCCTCCATGCGATGTTGGAAGAATCTAGGCGTATTCGCCAGACCCATAGTCGATACTGTGAGCCATTCCTGCCCACGATGCGGTGTCAGAAATGTCGTTTTCCACCAGTCCGACTCTTTAGTCGGTTGCTGAAAAAATCCCTTTGTAAGATCTACTGATGAAAACACTATCGATCTACCAAGAGCGCTCAAAATGGTGTCTTGCTTCGGTAAAGGGTAGGCGTCTGGGTAAAGCTTCGTGTTGATCTTGCGTAGGTCGACAACAACGCGTGGTTTTCCGTTTTTCCAAACTACGAACGCTGGCGAAGATGCTGGGGATGGTGTCCTAAGGGGGACACGTTCGATGCGTCCTTGTTCGACAAGGGGATCCAAGATTGAATCTATCGCCTTCTTATCCCGATGGGACAGGTTAAAAGCGTTTTGCTTCAACCCGTCTAGATCGTTCTCATCGCGGAACGGTATTGGCATTTCAACGCCGTCGTTAAATCTCCCTAGACCCGGTCGAAATAGCTTTTCGTGGAGCTGCAGCACTTTCGAGATCCTTTCCGCATACTCAGGTCCCCAGTGCTGGGAAATATCGGCCTTTTCTACCGTCGTTTCTTCCGGATAATCGACGACATAAGGTATTTCGGCCTCGTCCCTAAACCTTCCTGTGAAAACGCGAGCGAAGTCGATATCCACTGTCGTATGGTTGGACTCCTTCAAAGGTGAAACCGTTCCAAGTCTTTGCCCTTTAAAAATTTTGATGTCGTGGCGACTGAAATTCGCTACCGGAATTCTACCTGGATTATCCGTAACTACGCCTTGAACCGCAGAATAGAACGTTCCCAACGCTAGATCCAGTTTTGGTTCGGGAAGTAAGTGATACGCATTTGTCCGAGCTAAAGGGCGATGTTTCACTAGGACGTTGGCGCCATGTCCAGCCGGAAGGAGCATATCGGCTGATGCGTAGAGGCTGACCTTTTTTCGTTTCGGTTCCACGTATATGCGTGGCTTGATGGGTAGAGTCGTTGTAACGTTCTCGATCACGAAGGTGGATGTTTTCGTCGAGGGAATAGTTGCTCCTAATTCCGGAGCTATCGTTCGAATAGGGACTTCTAAGCCCCCAACTTGCATCACGTCTTGTGTGGCACCCCAAACAATATGCATATTGTTTGGCTTTAAGATATCCGTGCCCAACAATAAACCGCAAGATAACGACGGAATGATATGTATTTCGCCTTCGACTGAAACTAATGTGCCATCTAACGCTTTCATAACGATCGTTGGTCTAGCGCAAAGTGACGATGTAATGTCGCCTTTCGCTATTCCCTTGCATCTAAGGCGACGGCCGTTCGCCATTGTATAAGAATTCGAGGTCAAGAAGAAAGCGTTATAATAAGCCTTAGACATAAGCGATACTGGAGAGCCAGTATCTATAACAAAATCTTCTACCCTACTATCCGCTGTGTAATGTTGGCAAAAGACGTTTGTGAATTTTTGAAAGCTCAATCCCGGCTCCGATGCTTCACTAGCGTCGTTGTGTTCGACATTTAATTGATGAATCAATGTGGTATCAAATACATGAATAGGCGATATAGATATATCTTCTTCATCGCCGACGCTTGTTCTCGCGGGAGCCGCGTCGGCTATGCATCCCGCTGGTATTCCCCCGGATCCTCCTCAAATGCCTCGTTTTGAAGCATTTCATATGTATCGGGATCGTAGGGATCGATAACGACATCGTCGTCCTCGTCCGGCATTTCTTCGTCTTCGTCCTGCGGGTCAGCTTTGAAAACCTTCTTATCGTCCGCCGGATGGTCTCGATCCCAATGATCGCCTCCACAATGTCGGCAAGGGCGAGGAGGGGATCGCTTCGATGGCGGAATGTCCTGAGCCGGTGCTTGATATGCCTTTTGAGTCGTCTTTTTTGAACCTAGTCCTTCTTAGGAATCCACTCCTTCTTGGGAGCGTCCTTTTTCTCGTTCCGAACGGCACCGCTCTTTGTCTCCTAAGTTTCCTTAGTGGTGACCGTACCCCACTGGCGTTGGGGTTTCGTTTGAGGTGTTGTATATGGTCGATTCGCTGTAGCATACGACCGATTGGTATTCGCATTATTTGCTGCTTTCAAGGCCTTTTTTGCATCTTCATACACCCGTCTTGCGGCGGCTTCGTTGTTTTTCACCCGCCGATTAAAACTCTCGATCGTATCGAAATCTTCCCTCAATGGCGTTGCCAATGCTAATTGTCCTTCCAATCCTTGCCATAAATAGCCGACCACTGTGTATTCGTCTGTGATCCCCGCATCTAGCAAGTAATTGGTTTTGGTAGAGAGATATTTGCTTAGAGACATATCCGTTTTATCGAAGCTGAAATGCAATTTTTCAGCCGCTCGAAGAGAATCGAACCTGTTTGGTCGATATTCTCGTAATAGCTCGTCCTCCCAGGATGCTAAGCTTGAGTTTAGTTCTCGCCTGACATCGTCCGATAGACAGTTGTGCTACACGATCGCGTCCCCTTGTAAACAGATTGGTAGGACGCGTAATACTGCTGCCTCGCCTTCGATTTCGGCGATATGCTTGAATCGACGTACGAAGAACGCTACGCCTTTGCCTTCTTCATTGTTTGGATCCTATAGCATGACATCCGATAGCCGTAATGCACGGACCTGTGTCTGCGGTTGTGGCCGCTCCTCGAGCGGTCTTCTGTTCCTCCCATTCGGAGGCTCGTACCCATCAGGTACCCGATCGTTCCGCTGGGGAGGCAGAGGCACACGAGCGTCGTTCGCCTGCTCGTATGGAGCATATCTAGTGTGTCGATTACTGATGTTCGATACCGTCTCCATCCGACGGAATTCCCGAGGTACGTTCACCGTATCATGAACGTCCCTGCGTGGGCGTGTTTCGACATGACGTGGTATCGTTCCACGATCATCACGCAGCTAGCGTATTTCCGCGCTCATCTCTCCTAGCTGACGTCGTAGAGCATCGAATTCGCTCCTCGGTGGAGCCGATACTGGGCGATTATCGCGGGGTTCCGGGTATACGTGAGCGTGGCGTGTTTGTGGTAGCACAGCGTTCACGAACCCGTGTCGAGGAGGACTGCGATCGTATGGGCGATCGAAAGGGCGATCGTTAGGGCGATCGTATGAGCGATCGTATAGGCTTCGTAGCCGCGGGCTTTGATGATAAGGACTACGAGGTCGTTCTTCGTTTCGGAAGAGCGGAACCCCCATATTTCGCTCCCCGGTAAGTTCCATATCCCTAAACAGCTCCTCTGCCCTTTCTGGCTCGGTGTTCCAGCGTTCAGATACAAGAGGGTCAGCGTTCTTGATCTCGTCTTTTCTTGCGTTCGAGAGGTTTTGTCGTATCTATCGCTTAGTATGAATAGAGGATTTCTATGGTCTAGGAGGGTTGAAGTTTATGTTCCCTCGTCGAGTGGGGGCTAGTGGAGCCCTGAATTCTAGTGGTGGCTGGCGTGGTGGCGTTGTCTGAGCCGGAACCGATCGAAAAAGGTTCTGATTCGTGGCCGGGAAATCGTTCCGCGTTCGACGAGCTGGCGATGTCCTTATTTGAGACATCACGTCTAGATTTACTTCTAGATCGCCTGCCTGAGTGTCTGGGCCCGATCTAAAGCGATCGAGCCACTCGCTGAAAATGATTTCCGTCCTGAGGATATAAACGGCGTTCTCCGGCCGGAGAAGGTCCGTTTCCGCCTCCCTTCGTAGGCTCTTCTGTTTTGCCTCCGACTGGAGTCGATATAGTGGATGTGCTGCGTTTACGTCCATTTGAGTAATGTGATCCTTAACCCAGTGGTCGACTGGCAGCGTCCCATTTTGGGTTTGTCCTATCAACAGGAGAATGCATACTGCGTCCCGCTAATAGGCCCCTTTAGTATATCCTGCATTCGGTGGTCCCTTCTTTCCTATTACATCGATCCTTCTCGAGACGTATTCGACCGTGTTTTCCCTGTCTCCTCGATCAGTGACAGCTAGTTCATCGATCTCTGCGATGTCGTCTGGCAGATTAGCAGGGGGTTCCTGCAACGGTTTCTTTCCGGGTCGTGCAGACGCCGCTTTGCTCGTCTCCGCTGTAGCTATGGCTATCCAGCGTTTTCCTTTGCTCGATCGATCTTATCAATGCGTCCGATCGAACGTAAGGGTTTGGTGAGGATCGTGTTAATCTCAAAAACAGGAATCGTGTTTGTATTGTTGTGATCCGAAACGGGAAGGTACGCCGCTCGTTGGCCGTGCGATCGCGTTGCCGTGCGATCGTGTTGCTGTGCGATCGTATTACCGCTCGTTCAGGAAGGACCTATGCTTGTTGTTTATAGAGCGATATAAACAATCGCGATAGTGAGGTCGTAGGAACGTAGAGTCGGTGCGATCGATGTCTGGGATTGATAATGGTCGGTGATCGATATCTGGCAACCGTTTGGTCGTATATAGTAACTCGATCACTTGTTATTGGGCAGTTGAGCGTCCAAATGTCGCTCCCCTTAAGAGTTAGGGTTGTCGATATCGATCATATACAGTCATAGATCGATAGCCGAGGTAGCGATCGATCGATATCAGATTTGGCGTTTGTGTTAGCCGTCGAGTGTTGTTCTTGATCGCCTGGCAGGGCTACTGATGGACACTGGTGCGATATTGTGAACGCAACGGATAGCCGCTAATGGACGCCCTGTGCGGAGGGAGGAAGACCGCTAATGGATGTTCCTGTCCCTGTGTAATCGTCTGAACGACTAATGCGTTCTAAAGGGTTGCTACCATTTATTAAGAGCACTTCTTAGATCGGTTGGATAATGATTGATTGTAGAATCTATCTGCTAGTGCGCTAGAAATAAGGCAGGTCCTATACGTATCAATGCCTGCGATACGTACATAACATATTAAGTCGGCTAGCAACTAAAGAAAAAAGAGAACTAGTGGAATTTGCACTTATATATATTACTTTAATCTAAATAATACTTTATTCAATATAATATAAAAAGTATAATAATTTACTAAGATTATTTAGCTTATATTTTATAAATAGTAATGCTAAAAAGCAACTTATTAATATAATATCTTTTATTAGGCTTTATATATCCTATATAATCTTATATAAAACTATAGCTAAGCTAAAAGATAAAAATATATAATAAATTATATATTTTTTCTATAATACTTAAATAAATAAAGCTTATAATAATTTTAACTTTCTAGAATATTAAGTAAGAGAATAGCTAAAAGATAGGAAGACTTTTATTTCTTTAATAAATAATATTATCTTTAAAAGCATTTATATACTTAAATATAGCTTAAAATAAAGCTAGTAGCAACTAGAGATCTTTTTATTACTTTTGTAGATTTTATATAATATAACTATAAACTAGTATTTCTACCTAGTAAATCTTTAAAAAATAAATAATTATTATAATTAAAATTTAATAAAGTATAAGTATATTATTACTTCGCTTATTTTATAATTAAAGCTAGTTTACCTACTTTAAATCGCGAACTTAATATAAATAATAACTTTATTATATTTAAATTATATATAGTCTAAGGAAAGTTATATAAAAAAGTTTACTATTAATTAAAATTTATAAAATATATAAATAAATAATTCCTTTAGCTAGAAAAAAAAAGGCTAAAATATTAGTAATAAAGTATTATCTACTAGCTTCTATCTAGCAAAATAAAAGTATAAATAAAAGTACTATAGCTATTATAAAAAATTATAAAATTATTTAATATAAAAAAAACTTTACTAATAATAAGTAAAGGATAGACTTAACTTTATAGTATAGTAATATTAAGACTATTTTTTATATTTAATCTATTTAAAAGATATAGAAGTAGATAGCATAAATATTATATAACTAGAAAGAATAGGTTATACCTATATTAAACTTTTAGTATTTAAAGTATAACTTTTTAAAGCTTATATAATATATTTATTTTAATAGTAGCTATTTAAATAAATAGGCGACTTTATAATATATTATAGATACTTAGAATAAATTTATTATTTAACTAAATAATTTTACAAAACTAGAAAAACTTTTAATATACTTTTACTAAGCTTATGTTTTAGTAATCTTAATCTTTAATTAAAAAATAAATATATAAAAAAGGAAAATACTTTTATTCTAAATAATAACTAAAGCAGTATTATAGATATAATCGCTAAATTATAAAAACTTTGAAGCTTAGGTTTATACTATTATAAAAGTAGCTTATTTTTTAGATTTAGCTAATTACTATAACTTAGAGCTATTAAATAAATATTAAGTTAATTATTAATATTTTATTTGCTATATAGATATTTATTTTATATTATGTTTTATAATTAAATAAATAAATATTAAGTTATTACAATAAGCTATTACTAAGACTTATATACTCTTTTAAGTAAAAGGGGTAAAAACTAATAATTATAGCCTAGAGTTAATATATTTATTGCAAATAATTAATAATAATTTAGTAAAAGAAAACTTTTAAAAAGCTATTTTATTAAATATATTTATTAATTTCTAAAGAATAAAAAAATTAATATTTAAGATAAATCGCTTAATAGAGTTTTTTAATAGTTTTATATTAATTATAAAACAAACTAATTAAACTTAACAAAGCTTCTATTAGATTTATTAAAAGAAATTATACTTATAATACTATATATATTATAGTTAAAGCTAGTATTTAAAAATATATTAAATTAGTTATAAAAAGGGTTTTACCTTATTAAAAATAAATCTAAAAATATTTAAATAATAGCTATTAATTTCTATAAAAAGGACTTTATTAAAAAAAATAAAAAGTAATTTATAGCTTATATTATAATTAATCTTATCTAAAAAAGCTATTAATAGCTAAGTAATAATGATAATAAATATAATAAATATATAGTAATTAAAATAAATTTTAAAAATAAATTAAAGCTTAATAACGACTTTAAAAAAACTAACTTTTATGTAATTTTAAATATTAATATTAATATTAAAATAGATAATTTTTTTGCTAAAATCTTATAAAATAAAATTTTTTAAGAATTATTAAATATTACTTATACCATAGTAAAAGGCTTTACCCTTAAGTATAAGACCTTATTAATAATATATATTGCTGCTAAGGGAATATATACTATCGCTAAGGGAGTAAAAGAAAATAGCTTAAAGCTCTAAGCCCTTAGAAAAATAATAAAGTAATTTATAATTATTTAAAGTAATAAGATAATACTACTTTACCTAAAAGTAGGCTATATAGCAGCTTCTTCTACTTTTTTAGCTTTTTTATTTACTTTTTTTTTAATATATATATACCTATTCTTTACTTTATATAAAGTTTTTTAATTAGCTAGTTTTTACTATTTATTATAGTTATAATATTAATAGTTATTTTATTATTAAGCTTTTTTTTATATATAAGCATTTAAGTATAGATAGGTTTCTAGTAGCTTTGCTTAGTTTTAAAGTATTATTATTAGTTATAGTTACTAATAAAATTTATATATTTTTTATTAATTTTAAAAGTTTTTTTTTATTATTAATTAATATATAATAATAAAGTAATAAAGTATCTAAAAGTAGTAAAAAAAGCTTTAGTAAAAAACTTTAATAATTTAGCGAATTTAGAGCGATTATTAATATTAATTTTTTATTAATAATAATACTATAATAAATAACTATTTTATTCTTAATCCTATAATTATTAAATATTATTAAATATTATAAAAACTAATTATAATATATAGATAATAAATAATTATTTATATATCGCTATACTAGTAAGCTATTAATAGAAACTTCTAGTAAATCTTTATCTATATTAAAAGTAAATTTTAAGTTTTTTAAAAAAAAAAGATAGTATTAGCCTTTGCTAACTAAAAGGTAAGAGTTAAGCTATTACTATTCTTACTTTTTAAAATAATACTACCTAAGCCAATCGCTTGCTTATTAAGATAAAAAAGGACAATAAAAAGTAAAAGAAGATCTATAAAATAAAAAAGACTAAAACTAGTAAGGAGAATAGTAATAAGTATTTAGCTTTTATTATTACTATACTTCCTATAATAAGAAATATTATTTAATATTTATATTTAATACTTTATTTAACTACTATAACTATATTAAATATAATATAATATACTTTAAACTAAGTTATATAAGTAAGCTTTTTAGCTTAATTATTATTATTTATTTATTATTTTATAGGATAAGATATTTTTATATACTAAACGTAATATTATTAATAATTACTAGAAAGAATAAAAATAGCTATTCTATAACTTTAAATATTAGAAACTTAAATTTAAAGCTAATCTTAGAAAGTAAAAGCATAAGCTTAAAGCTTTAAAATGGTTAATAATTATAGAAACAATTAAGAAAAAGACTAAGGAGCGCTATATAAAGTAGTTCTTAATAAAGTACTTTAATATTTTTAAGCTTTTTATTATAGCTTTAACCTTATTCTTTCTTTATAAATAACCTATAGTTTTATAAAAGAAAAAATAACTTTATATAAGGGATAAAATATTATTAAATAATACTAAAAGAGATAAAAGTAAGCTTATAGCTTTAAAAGCTAGAAAGCTAGATTTAAAGTAATAGTCTTATATTTAATAAACTTAATAATAGCTAGAGAATATTATAATTTCTTTTTTTATCTATAGTTTTAAATATATTATATAATTTTTATATTATAAAATTATAGATTATAATATAGATTAGTAGCTTAGTAGCTTTATTTATATTAATAATATAGCTTAAATTATAAATTTAGCTACTGTTAACTTTAGTATTAAT